GGGAGGGAGGGACAGGGCCGTGAATGGCATGACAGAAGAAAAAACAGAATGCTGCCGTCCTCTAAATCGTCGCAATATCGTAAGTGGTTTGGGTTTCTAAGCGTCGAAAGGCTTCCGTCCGTAGACAACATAACTGGCATTTATTAGCACAAGAGAAGCACCAGGAAACGGGGTACGCGAGGCACAGAGTGAAATGAGGAGCACTTACATCGGCCAGTAAGCGTGGATCTTGGGATCCTTCAGATCCTTGCGGGTATGCGCACAGAAAACACGAATCTCGTCGGGCGTCCAGCCAAGACCACGAGCGAAATAAGCAAGTGAAAGGCCCTCGAGGCTACCCGCGATATTAGCGTAGGCCCACATCCCCAGTTCCTTGAAGTTACTGTCCCGCGGCCAAGTGTTAGTGGGCCACTTCTTCTGCACTTCAACGATGCACTCAAAGCCTGCATCGGCCAGGTAATTTTTGTACTCGACGACGGGCCACACGGGACGTCCCAGGTTCTGGCCAGCCTCGAGGCAGGCATCGCACCATTTGGAGAGGTAGCTGTTGGGGTCAAGGGTGCCGTCGTCAGATCGGGCGGGGAGAGCCATGTCCTGGAACTCGATGTAGCCTCCGGGCTCGAGGTTGTCATAGGCCACCTTCATCATTGCGGGAAGATTCTCGAAGCAGCCAAGCATCATGCGGGCAAATATGAAGTCGAACTTGTGGGACCAGGTCCATTCTTTTTCAAGATCGTCGATTTCGAAGTTGAGGTTTGGAGGGACGCTGAGGTGGGCGGCAGAGAGCACGGAGTCAGCATATGCGGGTCGGGAGTCGTCGCGAGTGCCATACGACGCAATTGGCTGCGAGATGGAGTCGTGACTGTCACGGTGAAGTAGGGTAGCAAAGGGGAGCCTACAAGTCTGGTTGTATAGGGCTCAAATCGACGCCAATAACCTGTCATCCAACAATTGAAATTGTCAACATCGGTACGGGCGTGTGGGTAGTGGGGGTGGGTCGCAGCCAGGGCGAGTGTTGCATACATGAGCCTCAGGATGGAGATCCGCTGCAGGTTCAAGGTCAGTATTACAGACTGTTACAGGGCTACCCACGAGGGAAGAGCCCAGGATCATACAAGGAATAGTTGGGAAGTGTGGTGTGGTGCCCATACCATAGCTTATTGCCCACTGCCCAGTTCCTGTGCCCATGTCGAGGACATTGCGGGCGCCTTGAGCTTTGGGGCAAAGAGCCAGCTCTCCGTGCATGGTTCGGACGTAGAGCTCATGCTGGAGGTCTGGTTTTATGGAGCCAACCGGTTAATACAGGACTAGGTCTCAGAGATGGCGATGCTGATAGACATACCAAGTCTGTTATTCTCGTCCTACGGGAATTGTTCCCACAGTAAGTAACTAGGTCAAATACACAAGAGATTGTTATTGGTCTGCCATTACCTCGTCATTGGGAAGGACATATTCTGATTTCATGTTAGCTTTACCATGACCAAGTCAAAACACTGGTAGTGTTGAACGTACTCCCACGGCTTAGAGCATGGTAGCGTCGGCCATTTTCCCTCTGGTATTCGAGGATACTCGACGACAGAGAGGCGACGGAAGGCTCGGAGTCCTGAAATCCGTGGACAATGAGCTTACGACGAGGGATTCAATAGCATCCACAAAAGCAATGTCTCTGGGGAGAGATCAACGGAGGAGTGTTTAATGCCAATACACGAGATGAACAGAGGAGAGAACTCACACTACCCCAAACCGAGTCTTCATCAGATAAGCCGGGACGCTATAGTTACAGAAGAATGACGAAGGCCATTGTTAGGTCAACAAATTCCGGAAGTAATTAATGGAAAGTAAAAAGCAGGTAAAATATGTTGAGTAGCCGGGGAGAACACACAATGGCTTCTTGTATTTGGATGCTGGGGCCAGCATCATTGTCGTGGTCGCGAGCATCGTCGACGCTCCGTGCAGCTGGCGGCTGCCCACGAGATGAATCCGGAGAGCTCATTCTCAATGAAACACACAAGCAGCACGACAGGGGACAACCGTCAGTGACGATAACGCTCTAACAAACGACCAGATAGGGGGGTGTCAATGAAGGCACGTTCGATGTGGTGTGTACAGCTGTGGAGGCTGGCTCTGCACCTCGTCATAAAAGGAATGGATGTGACACGGGCGGCGTAACGGATGCGACCGGGGGACGGCTGACGTACAGAAATGGTTCTGTAAATATGTTTGTCGGTTGATTACGATGTTGTTCTCAAACCAAGTCGAGCCAACAAAAGCAAAGTTTAGGCGTGGAGGGAGGGGGAGAGGGGGGGGGAGGGAAGAAAGAGAAGAGAACAGGTTTGGGGATAAATTTTTCTCTTTTTTCCTGGGTTCGGGGAAGGCGGGACCTTGGACAGTTGGAAACTCGACTGTACTGGTGGTTCCTTCCTCAAACCCTTATCAAGTACTAATAATATCTGTTAAAGAAACCAATAACAATATAGAGTACAATAAAATATAATATAAAATAGTCACCGGAAACAAATGGCAATTGTGAAAAGTGACAGCTGGGAACATCTGCCGTCTCTGCGGTGCTAACTTGGCAAGTGCCAGCGACCAGTGAAGGGAAGGAGCGGGCCATCTGAATAATAGTTTCTCATATATTACAGCATGTATACCTACTCCGGGATATAGACTGCTACCCGTAGAGGCCATTAACACTCCAATTCTTCTAGGAAAGTGGAACTCTCGCTATCGTGATTACCCCATAGTACTGGTAAGAGTACTCTATCTACGAGTATAGGTACGGCGTAATATATATACTTGAAGCTATGATGAATATTATCTGCTAGTAACATTAGGTGCGAGTACACCCAACTATACCCCGTTTCAAATCACCCCATTTTCACCCGTCGACTTTACTTCACTATTCCTCTTTGGGACATCACAACGCTGAACTCGCACCCGCACCGAGGCAGAGCGCACCCAATTGTCCTTTCCCATCATCCAATTAGCTGAATTAATATCCTGACAGTTATCAAAGCCCCGATTAGTCGAGGCAGTCACCCCCTTGGGTCTTGAGTCTCCCGGGGGTCGTACCTTCCCGTTGTCTCGGTTCTTCCGCCATAATGAGACAAACCCGCGCCTTCCCGAGCGGGAAAAAAACCAAGTCCCATAGGAAACCCCAAGATTCTCTTTCTCATCCTCTCGTCCCCCTTCCCCCAGCCTAACCCCAAGTCCAGCCTCCTATCTCAGCCCCCTCCTTCTGTGTACACCCTCTTCAATTCTGGCTACTGTTGTTTCTGCTGTTTCTGTCCGACAAGTGATCATTCACCTGTCTCACATCTACGCAAGAACAAAAGGCCATGTCCATGGACTCTCATGTTGACAAGACTGACCCAGGAGGCGTCTCTGAGCTCGGGTCCGACGGATCCTGGGTGTGGCGGCAGCTACTCGCATCGGGGACACCTACCAATCTAGTTGCCGCCATTGTCAGCTTTGTCCTCATCTTCTTTGTCACGGATACACTGCGATCATGGTACCGTCTTTCCCATGTACCGGGGCCGTTTTGGGCTGGTTTCTCAAAGTATTGGATGGTGAGACAGTCCTTCAAGGGATCACAGCCTTATGCCATATATGAGGCAAACCAAAAGTACGGTAGGTGATGCTGCAATGGCCTTCTTGGGTGCGTTGCTATTTGCTGCTATGGCGGCTGCTGCTGCTACTGCTCTTATAAACTCCTACGAATGCTCGCCCACCAACTCCCTCCTGTGGTGCATGAGATGCCCCACGCTGACCAGTGTGCTCCATGCTCCATGTGTATGCAGGCTCGCTTGTCCGTATCGGCCCAAATGAGTTGGCCACAGACGACCCCCAGGTTCTTCGAAAAATGATGGCCATCCGCTCTACTTATACCAGAGGACCTTGTATGTTACTCCTCCCCGAATAAGCGGTTACTCCCTGTTTTCTTCTCGCTTCATTTACTGGTTTTGACCATGAATCGACCCTCTTAGGGTACAATGCTCTCCGCTTCGAAGCTGGAAAAGACAATCTATTCTCTATGCGCGACGAGGATGCCCACACGAAGCTGCGCAACAAGATGGCAGCCGGCGTAAGTAGGCTATTTCCCTTGAATCTGTGCGACCCTGTGCTTCCACATGACGCCTCCCCACCCTTGTATATGCACACTTGTTGAGCCCTTCTAATCAAATCATTCTCTGCCTCATTGCTATTAGTACTCTGGCAAGGAAAACGAATCCATGGAGCGTACCGTCGATCAGCATATCTCACGCCTCGTTGATCTAATCGAAACCAAGTACCTCTCTGGGCCTCATAACTATCGCCCTGTCGACTTCGCTCAGAAGATCCAGTACTTTACCCTCGATGTCATCAGTGACTTGGCTTTCGGGGAGCCCTTTGGCTATGTCGAACAGGACCAGGACATATATGACTTCATCAAGATCACTCGTGATTTTTTTCCCGTCGCCCTAATCATGGCCAATATACCTGCCATTGTGTCGCTTCTACATTCGCGTCTGTTACGAGGTTTTCTCCCAAAAGAGAGTGACAGGATTGGTTTCGGTGCCTTTATTGGGTAGGTTGATCATGCATATCACTGGACAATGCCCGGAAAATGCCCTTTGAGCATCATTACTGGATATTGCTATCAGATGCTAGGTCTCAGTACCACAGCTGGATATCAACTCCGGATACTCTTGGGATACCATCTCTTGTGCAGAATCGACTGACAAATTCCTGCAGTGTCGCAAACAGGAAGGTTGCAGAACGCTTCGGCCCAAATGCCGTTCCTCAGCCCGACATGCTCGGGTCCTTTATCCGCCACGGTCTCGACCAGAAAGAGGCCTCGCGAGAGTCGTTACTCAACGTCGTCGCCGGAAGCGACACCTCGGCAACCACGATCCGCGTCATGATGCTCAGCCTACTCAGCAACCCCAGTGCTTATTACAAGCTGCAGCGTGAGATCGATGACGGCATCAAGGCCGGAATCATCTCGTCACCCATCACGGACGCTGAGGGCCGCAAGCTGCCCTACCTCCAGGCTGCCATCAAGGAAGGACTCCGCATGAAAGCCCCCGCTGCCGGTCCGCTCTTCAAGGTTGTTCCCCCAGAGGGCGATGTCATCGACGGGAAATTCATCCCCGGGGGCACCCAGATTGGCACTTCGCCATTTGGCGTATACCACTCGAAAAAGGTGTTTGGTGAGGATGCCGACATTTTTCTGCCTGAGCGCTGGCTGGATGCAGATGAGCAGCAGTTCGCCACCATGTCCAGTGTTCTCGACCTCGTCTTCTCTGTCGGCAAATACCAGTGTCTTGGAAAGCCAGTGGCTTTTATGGAGCTGAATAAAATCTTTGTTGAGGTACGCCTGTTGTCTTTTTTGTTTCTCTGCCGTCCATATATTCCTGTGTGGTATTAGTTCTTTCATCAGCTGTACTGATAACACGCCTGTGTCTAGCTCATGAGGCGCTTCGATTTCTCCATTACCCGTCCCGAACTCCCCATGCGCATTGCCAATGCCGTAAGTACAACCACTGCCTCTTGGCGACCAAGACTTACTCATTTTAATAGGGAATCTGGATTATTGAGGACTTCCCAGTGAGAATCTCGCGACGTGAATTCGCATATTAACTTCTTCCCACACGACCAATTTTTATATACATGTTTAGCGAGAATACCCTACACTATTTCAACACAGTATTTAGCCCTGAGCATGACGACACTCCTTATTTGATTCCTTGATTCGAGCGATTTCTTTTTTTGTTCCTTCTTCCTATTTATTCACTACTCTTCACTGTGTTTATTCGAAAATGCCTTGAGCAAAGGGGGTTTAGTTGATTCTATGAATTGGACCTTACCCAACCTATGGGTTGTGAATGATATCGCATCCAACGATGACCGATCAAAATCTATGGAGTCTAAGAATGACAGCGCGGAACGCCAAGCAGTCCAAATTCTGTGCACCGTCCGATATTTCGTCATATACTTTATGATTGCAACGATCAGTGTCGGTCACATTCCAAGCCACCCTCAAGTTCATGTCTACCATTTAATTCATAGCAACTATGACGTCGGCCCAGTCTCCAAGCACTCTCTTTTCCTGGCCATGAGAGCGAATAGTATACTTCAAGATGAACTAAGGATACTGTTTATTGAATCTAATGTGATGTCAGACGTCACATAGAGCTGCCTTGTACGTCAGAGGAGACTACAGTCTGTGGTTTACATTCCAGACCGGGGACACACATAAAAATGTCGAAATGTCTGTCACATAGGGGGGATGGATCTCTTCGCGCTTTGGAATTTCCTCACGATCGGACCAAACCTCTAAATCCAATCCACAGCTCCAGCTCGTCAGCTGCCCTTCACCACCGTCCCCAAGATGGACCGCGGCATTCCCCGAGAAGCTCGAGAATATATCGACGACCATCTTACCTCCTTCCAGATCCAGCAGATATTCGCCCAGTTCACCTTGACATGCATCCGTAACCGGCAGGTCCTGTGGCACGGGATGCTGCGTGAGACAGCGCAGTTATGGGCTGACGAGAATGGCTATCAGACTCTCACCACCGCCATGGGACCTCTCATGGACAAGAAGAGCCACCTTTATCCGGGAAGGAACATGTCCGATAATCAGTGGACGCGGTATATCCAGGGCGCATCGGCCATTTTCTCATGGTACATCAGTCAAGGCGATGTGGTCATGGTGCTCACGCGTCCGCCAGAGACTAGGTTTCACCCTTCTGGCAACACGAGTCTCCAGGCTCTCGAATGGCCGATCATTACCGGACAGGTGGGCAACCAAGCCGTAGGTGAGGTCATGATCGTCCATCCGGCTGTTTGCCAGGACGTGTACCAGCTCTGGCCGGTAGACGAGGTAGCGTGGTGGGTTCGGCATCATGGGGTTCACGAGCCAGGCAGGTGGAGGAAGGTCAAGACGAAGAAGCCGTTTGACGGAATACGGGTACCGGCCAAGGCGAAGGCGATCTTGGTCTGTGTCCATGGTGGACAGGTCGAGGACCGTCAGGAACCACAGAGAGAGAATGAGGTAAGGGGAAAATCCGGACAAGAACGGAAAAGGCAGAACATACAGAGAAGGAAGGAAGAGGAGAATCGACCGGAGAATGAAAGAAGAAGAGAACAGGGGCAGAAGCTCCAGAACGAACACGACAGACAGCTTCGAAATCTCCAATCGACTCACCAAACTGAGAAAGATATTCTGCAGAGGGACCATGCAACTCGAATCAAGAAATTGGATGACTCCCACCAAAAGAAGTTCAAGACACTGCTCAAGGAATTCAACAAGGAGACAGAGGTCATTCTCGACGTGGAACCCAAAAAGTCTAGGGTTAGGACCAGGAAGCAGCGTAACGCACTGAAAACTACTATGGAGGGAAAGTGGGCTTCACAGAGGAAGACGGAGCTCGGATCCCTAAAGTGCCAGCAGGTGACCGAGATGGGCCAGTTGTGTCATCGGCAGGCTCTTGCTAAAAAGGCTCTGGTCAAGAGTCTGAAGGCGGAGGGGAGACAACCCTTCCTCCTCCTCCTCAACAACAACAACAACAACAACAACAACAACAACAACAACAACAACAACAACAACAACAACAACAACAACAACAACAACAACAACAAAAAGGCCAATGGAAAGATGGAACAAGACGTCGCGAGAAACGGGGGAGAACAGAATGTAGAAAACAACATCCTGGAGAAGACCGAGAAATCGAGTGTCCAGTTGACGAGGCCAGTACAGGCTCACGTTTCCCAACCCGAAGTTGTTGAACCGGAGAACGAGGTGGAATCCCTGTACGCGGACAAGTACGTGGGGATTGGAAAAGTCATTGCCGGTCTGGACGGTGTGTTCTGTTGTTTGGTACTGATGTTGTACATACTTGGCCTATTTCTTTCCATGCTGCGTGTATGGATCTTCCGGGTTTAAGAACCCAATTGTACATGACTTGTTCTCAGCCCATGTACACATGTGTGATCATAGCGACGATCTCTTTGAAAGAGAAAAATTGAAGGAAGATAGAAAACATTAGCCAACCCCAACCCCCCCCTCTTATAGAAAGTCTCCTAAATCCTAGCGAAATGCCGAACTATTCAGATAAAGACCTGGGCCGCGGGATCAGCAACCGACTCACAGCCATGGTAGCCAACATCGACACAAGAATAGGGTGGAGAGATCCCGCACCTATGTTGGACGCAACGATTCCCGCGACAGTGGAGAAGAGCGGATGGGCAAAGACGAAGACAGACACCGCCGCTGTCGAATCGATATCGCGAGGGAACAGCTTGGACATCGGTTGTTACTTACAGTGGGATGGCAGCTTAAGATTGTCTGCGGCTGCTCGAGCTGCGTCGTCGTCGTCGTCGTCTGCTCAATCATTGTGAGTTCGCTTGGTAAGATGATGCTGAGGCCAACAATCTATCGGGACAGTGATGATATGGAGCGCTCTACGAGGCGATACAGACATTCGGGACTTGGAATGTCATGACTGCTATCTGAGGCAGTGAAACCTGGGGTGCGGATCTACCCGAATAGGAAATTCACTCAGGATCATGGGGGAATCCGGAGGTTACAATTGTTCCCCATGCTTGTTTTTCACTTTCCCCTTTTTCCCATTTCCCGTTTTTTTTTCTCGGACATTTTATGTTTCTTTTTGTCTGTTTCTGCCCTTTTCAGCCATTCCCAGTCTTTTCCATTCCTGTCTCTCCTTTCTTCCTTGTCTATCTCTACTCAGTCTAAGGGAACAATCTGAACGGACTTGATGGAGAGAAGCAAACTGCCTCCAACTCTACCATCTAACAATCAAAGAGAGCGATGCTACGTAGATGAGAATATCTGACAAGCCAGACTATCCTGCCCTAACGCGATGTCTAGCGATACCTTACAAAGGTCCATCGATGCGCTCCAAGCCCATGTGACCCCATCATCAGATAGAGCTATGCGATGACTGGCTGGCGTTGTAGACCGTTCAAACTATGTGACGATTGTGTTTTCTTGATGAAGGGTGTAACGTCCGATGGTGATGGACATTCGTGCCATGACAAGGTCAACCGGTGTCGTGGCAATATCGGTCCCGGGGAGGGGAAAGGGGACCTAGTTGATATTTATATAGTACGACGCATCTCGGGGGACAAGTGCTCGCACGGAAGAGTTAGGGAGAAATTCATTCTTATTCTTCCCAGCTCCCCTCCCCTTTCCCTTTTCCCTACAAGGCTGGGTTTAGTTGATGTCAATGGTTGTTGTTGTTGTTGTCCTGATATTCTCAGTGCTCACACGCCCATTTCCGGATTGTCTGGAAGAGATTTGTATGTTTTTACCTTCCCCTTCTCCAGTATGCACACAGCCCATCCCTTTTCATATCCACCTCCCCCCCCCTCCCCCCCTCTTTGTGTCTAGGCTTCCTATTCTCTCTCTTCCTCTAGGCGATCGGTGTCCGTCAGCCTCTGTACAGCTCCGTCCCAACTTGCAGAGGAAACGCACCCGATTGGCGAACGCGGGGGGACAAGTACTCCGTAAAAATGTATATTACGGGGACTAATATTAAAACAAAGGGTCATGCGGCCCATTGAAAAACAAGATCGTCTGAGCCTCAGACCCATTCATTGGGGCTGCGGGAATACGGTCCCAGCACTGTTGATGATGCATTGCATCTCATATGATCGACCACAAGGTCAGCAGTTGATAAGATGCTAAGCAGGAATCATTGGGGAAGAGAGAAGAGAGAGGAAAGCTTGATGTCCTGATGATACGGAGATGATGATATTGCTCTCCCCTCATACCTCATACTTGATTTCTCGTGAAACCCGTAATACTACCTCGCTACCGTGCCTTGGGGCCGTCGAGAGACCGTCAACCGAGGCGGAGGTGAGGGCCTAGCGCGACGGACCGGGGGGGGGGGGGGGGGGGGGGGGGGCATTCTCCCAGCTAATTTATCTGCCGTTCTCCACCGGGTCAATGATTTACGCGTCTCAAGGGAGGGCCGAGACGAATCTGCAATCAAGGTACAGATTAGTGTGCTTTATGGGGTAGACAAAGGATCGATTACGTACCAAGTGTCATCTGGGCGCAGAGCTGCGCAGCAATCGCTCTGTTTACACGTACTCGTGATGATACTCCGATACTCTGCAGACCAGGATGCTAGCATTGTACGTCGTATCGCTCCTTGGCTACAGACGAGTATCATCAGCGGTCGTTCCTGTTTCCAGTCTCCCTTTCCTCTCCATCATGGCTTGAGCCAATAAGTGAATCATCGTGTCTGGCCTGCGAGTGGCAAACGATGACGGGGTCCGATAATTGACTGTACATGTACGGGCACCAGGCTGCGGGACAGCTGCCTGCTGGGTTGGCCCAAGTCGCCAGACTCGAAGTTGGCAGAAAGGTGTCAGATTCTCAAGATGGTCTGGGTTGTCTCCGATGCGACTCGTACATGTACATACATGTACGGGTGTTGCTTGGCGATCTCGTCTGTGAAGCCCCCTGGCTCTCGGGCAATAAGAGCCAGATGATGGTTGTCTGCATAGACAGGGGCAGGCTACAGAAACGAGGAGATCATCAGGTCGTAATAATATTGCGTAGGAGCTGAAGGAAATGAGAGATTGGTGGCATTGGGGAATGAGACAGAAAGAAGAGATGACCCACACACACACACACACACCCCTGTCAGTCATGGACGGCATCGGACAGATTTCTGGCCTTTTTTCTTTCTTTTTTCGACTCTGTCATAACTCCTTTAGAACCAACAAACATCTCAATCGACCCGAGGAAAAGGACTCGTAAGAAAAAGAAAAAGAAAAGAGCATTTGATCGGGGCAGATGGTGCCGGGGCTAGTGCGAGCGAGCGAGTGCTCGTATGCGAGCTGCGCCAGTGCGTTTGTTGGTCACCGCATGAATTCGGCTTTGCCAGCATCAGCCTAGAGCTCAGGTAGGTTCTCGGTTGAGATACACGGGAAGTTCGCGCAGTGCAGGGAGAGAGAGAGAGAGAGCTCCATCGATCTGGAGTGTAGGAGTAATGCTTGCGCCTCCGGTGATCTGAAGTTCTGGTTATCCTTGATGCATCTCAGACTTTCTTTCGACGTCAGTTTTGCTTTGTTTTCTTCTTGATGGCCTTTACTTGGTCATATTCATATAAGGCACTTTCGCAAGCCTCTTTCTTTTTCTTTTTCGAAACATTACTGGGGTTCATTTCCTCCCCCTCCCCTCTTCCCTTTCCCGTCCGTCCCCTCTAGACCAGGTGCAGCTCATCTAGCGCCAACGCTGGGATCTGTACCGATGGCTGGTACCAGACCGGACCTTCAGCCTGGAAGCGATCGACGGGGCGCCAGGAGCGGCCAAGTCGATTGGTGCTGCCCAGGTTCTCTAAGCTCTACTCGTAATATTCAAGACTACGACTGGAACGGTGACCGGGGGAGGGGGGAGAAGCGTACTGATCGATCGTCGGCATCCTCAATTCTGAGAGAAGAGCTTCGGTTCGCCAAGCTCAGACATACACGTGATGAGTTTGTCCCGGTGCACTTCTCTACCCTTTCCCAACATCCCTGTCCCGAGCTGCTCCTTAGTCGAGCCCCCGTGGCAGCTAGACGATCTACAGACGGCACAGACGCATATGGTGTGCTCTCTTCGTTGCCCTTGTCGTTATCGTCGTCGCCCTCTGCGACGTTTGAACTCTTGGACTCTGACACAAGCCCGAGACTCTAGTCCTTAGCTTCCCATCAGAAGAAGGGAAAAGCCCACCTTTCCCCACTGTCGTTGACAGGTTGAGGCAGAGACGGGAAGGGAAGGGAAAAAGCAATAACGATAAACTGTTTTGCTCCGTCCCCTCCCCCCCCTCTTGTATGGACAAGGCATCCTTTCTTGCCAGGCCCGCTGATATTGCAGGGCAGTGCGTCGTAGGCAGGTTGTGTGCCGCCCATCTGTCTCTCGGATTTGTCGCCTTCTGTCTCACCTGTCCTCCTACTCTTCTCCCTTGTTGTCAGACTTTTGCACAGTGATGCTCATCGTAACGCTCTGTCGCTTTACGTAGTCAGTTCTCGAGAGGGGTGTTGCTCCTCCATTTGCATTCCTTACTTCTAATCGTTCCTTTCCTCCTTCTCTTCCTCTTCCCAGGTGGTTGGTGATACACTCTTTTTTCTTCTTCTGTCTCTTCCTCCCCTTCCTCCCAGCCGTCATCGTCGCCGTCGCCCCCTTGCCCACCACCAAAGTCTTCACCATGGGCTCAGAGCTGGGTCTCACGGCCGAGACGGAGCACGGGCTTCGGAAAGACGGCGTCGCCATCTTCTACGCCGTCCTCATCGCCGTCTGGACACTCTTCATCGCCACCGGTTCCGCCTTCCTCTACATCAGACGCAATGACGCCGTCCTTCGCATCCGCGGCATAACCCTATCGCTCTCTGCCGTCTTGCTGCTCCACCTGTACTGGATCTCGGTCCAGCTCGGCTACATGACCGGTCCCGTCATGCCCGGCGACGCCGAGTATTGGATCATGGGTACCTGGCTCCCTCTTGGGATCGCCCTCTTCCACGCATCCAACTACCGGTTCCTCTACGTCGCCCAGGCCCAGAAACGCTTCGTCGCAGAGCAGCACGAGAAGAAGCAGCAGCGGCAGAAGATCCAGCCTCCCAAGCTTGGGCCCAAGGGCCTCGTCGCTCATTTCAGGCAGGCCAGCTACACCCACAAAATCCTCGTCCTCATCGGCGCCGGAATGGTCGTACAGGTGCGTCGACTTTCTCAACGGGCCGTCTCACGATCGGCAGCATTCCAGACTTGTCCGCCATGTACCCTAACACGTGTTTCCTTCAATGCAGATCCTCGTTACCATCACCATGTACCTCCTATCGCGCAAGTGGCACCCCAAATGGGGCATCCCCGGCACTGCCGTGGAGAGTGACGCCGAAATGGAGCGCAAGGTCATGATGGGTGTCGGATGGGAGTGGTATGTGTCGGCTCCCAGTGTCGACCGCTGTACTTGGAACCATGTCGACTGACTCTACGATAGGTGGCCTACCGTCTTCTGGCAGATGTTTTGGGCGTGGGTCGTCGCTCCCATCATCCTGTGGCGGTCGCGCAATGTCCATGACACCCAGGGCTGGAGGCTGCAGACCGTCGTTTGCTGCGTTGCCAAGTGAGTCCCTTCTCTCGTCACATACCGATGTTCCCATTTCGATGTAAACCCGAGCATCGCACTGATCCCACCTGACAGCCTGCACGCTGCGCCGATGTGGCTGATTGCCCTCTACGTTCCCGGCATGGAAAAGATTAACGAATACTGGATCCCTCCCCAATGGTGAGTCTTGTAGCAGTTGAAACTCGCTGTGCTCTATACCACTTCTGGTCAGGAAAACATATCTGATACCGAAGTCACCTTCTGCTAGGATCGCGGTTTCGATCATGATTATGGAAATCTTCACCGTCTTTTACCCCTGCTTCGAAGTATACCGCCACCAGACCCTGAAGCAGGAGACTCTCGACTCGATTGCGCAGTGGGAGTCCAAGAACAAATTCCCCTCCGGTGGCGGCTCCAAGTCCATCAATTCGTCGGTTCCCACCATGGTGGACAGCACCGCGTCCGGGTGGAAGTCGATGGAAGGATCCGTCAAGACGAACGGCTCCAACGAGAGTATCCTGACCATGGGCGCCCTCGAGCACGTCCTGGAGCGCAACCCGGCTCCACTCCTCGAGTTCTCCGCCCTTCGCGACTTCTCTGGTGAAAACATTGCCTTCCTCACCAGCGTCATTGAGTGGAAGGCGTCCGTGTCCCCTCCGCGCAGCCCGGGTTCGCTGCCCACGCCGCCGCCAGGCCCGGAGACGGTGGGGGAGGAGGAGAACCGCGACCGCTTCAGCCGTGCCCTCCAGATCTACACAGACTACATCAGCTCCCGCGACGCCGAATTCCAGATCAACCTCCCCTCGGCGACGCTCAAGAAGCTCGAGGCCGTCTTTGAACAGGCCGCCCGTGCTGTGTGCGGTAACGACCGCCTTGAAGCTGACCCGGCCACGCCATTTGATCCCGCGACTCCCTTCAACATGCCCGTCAACAAGGCCCCGAGCGACTTGTCGGACTCGGACTCGGAGAAGGGCATGATGCTGTCCCGTACCAAGTCACTCCACATCCCCGCTCCCGTCACCCGCGTGCAGCAGTACTCGGGTGAGATCCCGGCAGCCTTCAATTACACCGTATTCAACGAGGCCGAGGCCAGTATCAAGTACCTCGTCCTCACAAACACGTGGCCCAAGTTCCTCAAGGAGAGGAGATCGTCGATACAGTCTGCTTGAGTCGGTCTGTAGAGGGATCGGGTTGTCTTGCATATATATATATATATGTATATGTATATACACATGCGCATTAGACTGTATTCTCTGCTTGTTTTGGATTTTATCCTGCCACTTTCTTCCAACCGGTCGATAATAGATAATACCCCCTCTTATATTCCATGTCACGATCATGGCCATTACAATAATCAATGTCGTCTTATATATATACACTCCATGCGAGCGCGTTTGTAAGGAACAGGGTTGCAATATGATATAAGGACCAACTGCATTCTTCATGCTCTCATACTCTGATGAAAACTTTCTGAAGTGCGGAAAGTTTCTTCCATAAGTTACTGAATGAAAACGAAGATGCATATTCCAAACAACCTCAGTTTGTTCCGAATCTCATCGCATGTATTATGAACATGTAGTAAGGCGCACCCTGTGGGTGCCACGATACATGTAGAAGTTGCTCACGCCCACTCTTTCTTCGCATAGGCTTGATTTTATGACCCGTTTGGCTGACTCGGTAACGGAATTATTAGTAGACAGGTAGGGCTCATATTGACTGCCATTGAACAATGTAACGTTGATTCTTTGCATCTGAGCTGTTCATATATATGAATAGTTTCGGAATACTACAATCTACGTGCTGATCAACACCTATTTTCTGGAAGACCCTTTTCTGGACTGTCGCATTGGGTTTTGGCGCACTAATAAGCAGATTTCCTTGCAGATTTCTCTCTCTCTCTCTCTCTCTCTCTCGCACACATCTATCTCATCAACCTGCATCTATCCATCTATCCAGTGCTTAGCGTCATTTTTGGCAATTGAAACGCGCCACGAAACAGGACAGAAATGCCTCACTCGACAAACCTGACCTTCCGTCCCGCAACTGTGGATGACATCGATGTCAACGGCATCCTCAAGCTAGTCCGGTCCGCATACCGGGGCGACGAGAGCCGAGCGGGGTGGACCACCGAGGCCGACCTGCTAGACGACGAGCGCATCGACGCGGCGGGGGTCCGCGCAAAGATCGAGGCCCCCGACAGCACCATCATCCTGGCCCACGACGACGAGGGGAAACTGGTATCGTGCTGTGAGGTTGTCAGCAAGGAGGGAGGCAAGCTGGGATACTTCGGCCTCTTCTCCGTGGACCCGAGACGCCAGTCCGGAGGCATCGGCAGCCGGCTGCTCGCCGAGGCGGAGGATTATGCGCGCAGGACGTTCGGGGCAACGCGCATGGAGATGACCGTTATCTGGCTGCGAAGTGATATCATTGCTTGGTACATTCGCAAAGGATACGTCAAGACGGATGAGACCAGGCCCTTTCCATTTCACGAATTGATCAACGGCAAGGCGTTGAGGGATGATTTGCATTTTGTTGTCCTCGTCAAGGATCTGTGACGGGCCGACGCATATTATTTGATGAGGAGAGACGAATTTGCCAGTGGCCATGGGGAACCGGGCACGACATGTGAGATATGATTTGAGGGCAAGGAAATGTGAAGCAGCCACCAGGAGGTTGGATTGAGTCAATATTGTGCACGAGTGTCGAAACACAGCGTCTTAGAATAGGCCGCAAATCAGCCATCACAAGATCAAAAGATCAACAAGCAAGACATGAGACAAGATTACATACACGAGCAATGGGGCCTAGGCAACGGCAACGGCAACGGCTCTCTTTTGTTCCAACAAAAAGCAAAAAAATAAAAATAAAATAAAAAAAAGAGAGAGAGAGAGTAGAGAGAGGAAGGCGTGAAAGAGAAAAGTGTCAAGGTCTCTCGGCAATTTCTGGACAGAGCAAAAAAGATGGACGAACAGGGAATCGAACCCTGGACCTTTCCCAGAGAAGTCATTCATGCAAGAGATGAAGAGATGCTAAGGGAAAATTATACCACTAAACCATTCGCCCAATGGGAAATGTTGAAGAGGGACGAGGCAATGAGAGTAATGAAGGTGGTATCAGTGATTTTGGTGGGTAATATGTTTAGGGCAAGGTGGGTCGAGGTTGGAGGTAAGGCCCGAGCAGCAGGTACAGGTATTGTTACGAGGTATTAGCTTCTGTCCATGTCAGGAAGGGTGTTAAAACTCGTCGTCCTATGAATCTCGTAGGCTGAAAGGTTCAGTTGCTGGTTGTAGATGGGATGTGTGATGGGACATGTAATACTAAGCATATAGTAGATGTAGAGGTGCCTTCAATCAAACTTTATGCACCATTATGTCATTTTCCATCATTGATTGAACATTATTAATCCTTGTAATTATGCCGTGCTACGTATGCATCATCGTCCGAAGTATGCTGTGCCGTCACAATCGTTTCGTGGATGAGGAAAGAGCAGGCAATGAAGGCGGCACCTTCCCTCACGAGCGGAAACGAGAGAGGAGAGGATCAAAGAGGAAAGAGCAAACGCCCGCTTTCCATTGCGGGAAAGGTGAGGGGAAGCCTTGGGAGGGAGCAGCCTTACGGATTCATACCCCATTGCTAGCCACATCGGGTTATCTTCGCCGGCTGTTCCCCCTCTGGTGCTACCCAAGCTCCAACCTCCACCCCCGGATTTTTCGTCCTCAAACCACATCCCAGATATTGCAAATGCTCCCGAGAAATCCTTGTCTCCTTGTCCTGGAGCTTTGTAATGCCCGCCGTTAAGACTCCTTGTTTGCAGTGCAAAGGTATGATTCTTATCGGAGTGTGAATCACTAATATCTGTGGTATTTACTGATTTCGCCTGCAGAGAAGCACGTTCGGTGTAGGTCTGCCTTTGTCTGGTGCACGGAGGAGGGAGGGGGGGAGGGGGGATGATGGAAGTGTCATGCTACTATGCACAGGTCATCCTCCTCTCTTCGTCACATCTTGCTGACTTTTACGTCTCTTCCTTGTTCTCCCACAGGCGACGAGCAACGTCCAACATGTAATCGATGTCGGAAGAAGCGCCTCGAGTGCACTCGGCCATCTAAGTCAACTATGTTTCGTCACAACTCCAGCGCATCCTTTTCCAGGGACCAGAAATGGGTCAATAGCGCAGCAAAGAAATGTACATGCCACTTACCGACTATCGTCTCTTCCCTCACTGACAAAGGTGCAGTCGAGTTTGACAGTCGGGCTTCCACCACGGATTGCGCATCCGAGGTCCTGTCTCCACCAGTGCAGGGCGCCTCGACCGACTCCGAAGTCACAGACTCGGCCACCTCGCCCGTACCTGACGGGCGGCAGGCCACAAAAAATGATCGAAGGCATCCTTCGGATGCGTCTCCAGTACACTTCAGGCTTGGATCCCATTCTGGTGGCATGGAACAGAGGCCAACGCCGGGGACTTTTTGGGATCCACCTCCCCCAATGCCCATGCCCGTACCAAACAACAATCACATGCCGTTGCTTCCAGCTCTCCATGGTTCCCAAGAAAGCGTCACTTTGGCTCCAATATGGCCAGAAAATGCCAATCACGGCTTCCCGCGGGACAACTGGAGTGTCTCGCATCAGGCATCTGCACCGGCACCACAACATATGAGCCAGTCGCCCCATGGCTCAGAGTTGCGGACCTTTCCCCTCCAAGATGTTCAAGAGGCTTGTCTATTGAAATACTACGTCGAAGAGATTGGTCACTGGGTATTTTCGCGACTTTAATCTTCGATTTGCGTGTAACTGCTAACAGCTAGATTGTTTCTTCCAGCTCGACCTTGCCGATGAAGACCGACACTTCCAATTAGTCGTCCCTGTCCGAGCCCGAAGCCAACCTCACCTTTTGAACTCCATCTTTGCCGTCGCTGCCCGTCATCTCTGCCGCATGCCCCAGTACAGGACCGCCCAAGGCATCGAATACATGGGTCAACTGCTCCCCCATCTCGACAAGCATTCGGCTGTCGAGTACACTCTAAAGTGCATACCTGCCCTGCGTAACTTCCACGAGGCGCATGACGACGAGTATCGTGATAGTATCATTGCAACAGCTGTGATCCTCCGTCAACTTGAAGAAATTGATGACGAGGATGATGGCTCGCAGCATCCAGACCGTCTGTCGACTCTCGGTCCGCACTCAACGAGCGAGCAAATCAACTTTCTCCCCATCATCGACTCGGTCCTTCGAAGCCCGCCCTCCCAGACACTTTTTGGACGGAGAAGCCTCATTCGCGCCGCATATTGGATGGCTTTGCGACAGGAGATTTACCACTCTTTCACCAGACGCCAGGCACCCCAGCTGATCTTGGCGTCGGATTACTGGCCTACGGCCTCCAACGCTAACAAGGCAGTCATGCATACGGTGCAGGTGGTCCGATGGCTGTGGGGGGATGGTACCGAACAGGAATGGAGTGAGCTTTTGACACAGCTTGGTCTAGAGCCTCATGCCGATGTCTGGTTGCTAACTCTTCTGCAGAACGGCTTGTGAAGCAGCAAGACCACGTCGAACAAGATGTCCTGGAAAGTTTTCGACCAATCTTTCGCAAGCAGCCTGACCGAACCAGAGGCGAAATCTTCCCGACAGTCTGGTACGCCTCCAACATCGAGGTGACGAGCAATCAGCAGGCCATGATGGCCAAGTCTGTCCTCCTCGCCGAGAATCCCGCTCTCAAGTATGGCCTGTCTGGTACACACTCTCCTCTATCTGCACCCTGCTAACTGACCTTGCACTCTCCAGAGGCCAGTCTGCCTCACGCTCGTCAGTCAGACAGGCTGAAAGCGATGTGCGCGCCCTCATTCTCGAACTCTGCGGTGCCGCCCTCTGTCCACCGGCATCGCCTCCGGCCATTCTCAACGCCGCCTTTGTCATACAAATGTACGGAGACTTTTTCACAGATCCGTATGAGCGCCAGGCCCTTGGTGTGATTGTCGCAAAGTACCGCGCCACGAACGCTTGGCCTTCCCAGAAGCTCACCGAAATGTTTGGATGAGTTGAATCATCGTGCAACCCATCCGGCTCAGGGACCCTTCGCCTCCCGGCTATGGTAGTAACGCCGTCAGCGTATAGATACCGGTGAGACCATTGTGAAGTACTTGAGACCATAGACTGCCTCGGTGTATTCGGGTGACGTCCAAGGACGGTTAGTGGTAGAATTATCATTAAAGTGCGTACGAGTATCGTCCGTATCCTCCATATAAGAGTCATCTGAGGCGACGACGACGGTTCACGCCGGGATATTCTATATGTACACATATACATGCCAGAACCATGAAAAATAAAAGACAAAGAAAAGACAAAGAAGATAGACGAGAGATGCTAGTCAACAATAAAGCTGTCCATCGTATCATCTCCTCCGTCGCTTTGGTCATCGTCCGTGTCGTCGGCCTCATCGTCGAAGAATCCTCCTCTGCGGTGGCTGCGGTCGACATCGCCTTCGTCGTCGTCATCCTCTTCTTCTGAGTCTCCATCATCTTGCGAGGCATCTTCTGAGTCTTGATCGCTAGTCCGGTCCGAGTCATTGCTGTCTGACGGGATGGGGTTCTCGTCTCGGAAGCGACCGAGTCTTTGTGCGAGCGTCATTCTGACGGGTGCTTCTTCCTCCTCTTCCTCCTCTTCTGAAGATCCTTCTGATGAGGATGGAGCGTCTTCCTCCTTACCCTCGCTGTCACTTGAAGAGACCACCTGGGGCTGCTGTCTTGATCGACCTGGCTTTATTGGTTCGTCATCTTTCTCGTCTTCGTCGTCGTCGTTGTCGTCGGATGAGATGTTGTCTTGTCGTCGTCTCCTTGATCTACCGTATTTTCTTGACCGCACATCGTCTTCGTCTTCATCTTCATCTTCCGCGTTGTCCTCGCCATCCGAAATGGTGATGGTCTTATGGGTCTTGGCAGCTTTGGCCGGGCGGGACGCTTCACCATCGGACACGTCATCGTCGGAGTCATCCAGTACACGTCGTCGCTTCCGTTTGAATTGTCGTCCTTGGTCACCGACGCTGGAAGCGCCACGGTCTGGCTCTGACTCTGACTCTGGCTCTGGACTGGAAAAATGACCGACGGTCTCGCTGTCGCCTTGTCCGGCGAGACCTTCGTCATCGGACGATTCATCGGCACTGATAGGGCGAGGAACCAACTCGTCTTCTGACGAGGACTCGTGCTCGATAATCTCGTCGTCGTCGATGCCCTCGCTCTCGTACTCGTCAGGGAGCGTATCCGTTTCATCATCCGAAGGCGCCGACATGGCATCCGCCTCTTCGACGCCCACGCCATTGTCGTGGTCTTGCAGCAGCCTCTCAAAGATCGCCGCACCATACGTAGACTCGAAAATGAGCATGGGCGCCACATTTAGACTCACCTCATGTTCCTCTACCAATTCATTGATACAGAGCGGTAAAAGATCTTTAAAGGGCCTTACGACGTGATGCCAGCTGAATGTAGGGTGATTCTGCAGGTCTGGCCAGCAGTATATCCAGTCATAGTCTTCGCCCAAGCCGGGTTCTATCTCAACGGTGCGCACGCGGTGCTGACAGGCAAGCGGTGACACGGCCCAGCGCCTGTTGATGGATTCTGTTTCCCCGGGCAGTGAGATGAATACGTTCTGGACGGAAGAGTGGGGAGCATGGACGAAAGAAGCCACGATCTCGCCAAATCTCTGGTCGAGGCGGTCCCAGTCCTCAGCAAGGAGCTGGCTGTACGTGATGGCGAGGTTCTGTATGACACTCAAGACCGGGAAATAATCCTCTGAGATGTGCGGGGGTAGCTGGTACAGCCATCCTTTGTTGTGGACGACGACTATATCACTGGCCGCGTTGAATCGGACCACGGCATCTCCAGTACCCATATGCAGGGGCAAGGTGTCGGGGAATTTCTCGAGTACAATCTCCCTTGATTCCCGGTTCACCGACGCCAGGGTCCTACAGGGCTCCGTCACTTGACTGAGGCTGATAAAATCCCCGACGGTCACTCTGTCTTCAATAGGGTCGACAAGGAAGGTCACCGGTATCACGCGGCCCTTCTGAGCCAGGGTAGGGCAGAATATCTCCCATATCTGCCTCCGCAGCTCGGGTGGGAGCTCGGTGAAAAGCGTGAATGATTCAAGAGGTGCCAGATCTTTGTAGCCTGTGGGGTTTGAAGCAATACCCTCGACTTCTTCTGCCTCCAGCTCAATGAGAAGGGAGCCAGGCCCAGAGCTTGAGTTGCTTTCACGGCCGCTCTCGTCCGACTCGTCAGACGAGTCGACGACGATGGGGGGGCGAGCCATCTCGTCGTTTTTATTGTCTTGCTGTTTTCGGCGTTCCTCCTTCCTGCTTTGTTGCTGTAATATTTTGGACGCCGAGAGTAGCAGGTTAAGGGAAGGATGAAAAAGGCCGAAGGAAGGGTAAGGGGTATGAGAAATGGAAGGGATGATGAGCGTGAATGTGTATCGGTGTCATTGAGCTCTGTCCAAGCCAGGACGCAAGGAAAGAGTTGCGGGTGGTCACGTGAGTGGTGACATGGATTCAAGTAATCACGTGGATGGGTCGTCTTGACGGTAATGGCTTGCGTTTCAAGACTTGAATTTACGAGGTATCGTATGGTATTGGAAAATGTTTTATAGTTACAGTTGCCGTGTGATTTATCCCATGCCAGGATAGTGTAGCTATCAATACTATGTAGTTTGTTGACGATGGAGAATACACGTATAAGACGTTCATGGAACCATGGAGTTCTCTAACCAAGATGAATATCTTCTTCGCATTATATTCAACTTCAGAGATGAGTATGAAAACATGCTGAACTGTCGCAACTTGGGAACCAATCAAGGGGATATCAAGAATTACGGACAATGGGATATGCGCTAATACGTGTACATGAACCGAGGGTTGTCCTCTCCCATCTCTTCAATCTCTTCCTCGGCCATCCCTAGAACCCTCCAGTCCTCCTTTCCTTCCATCTTTCTCTTGTTCTTGTTGCGGAAAAAGGCCCAGAATAGTAGGTAGATGATGGCCGACATGGTAACGAGGGACATGGAGATGGCATGGCCCATGACATATCGAGGAGCGTCTCCAGTCGGGTAGAGCTGGGATGTAGTTTGTCAATAAATGGATTCAACGGGTATACAGACGGAAGGGGGTTCGACCTACGAATGGCGCTGGGATGCCAGCCGAGTTGCCAATGGTGAGCTGCAGACCCGAAGCGACAGCACGCTTGCCATAGCGGGGGTTATTGTTGGAAAGCCAGGCAAGCGGGATACCAACGACGATGTAGAAGCCCATGGCGGCGAGGAAGCAACCAAAGTATTTCGGGCCTCCCGAGACGGGACTGACGAGGATGGCATAGCCGACAGCGCAGGTGATTCCGGCCCCGACGACGAACGGAGCGCGACGCTGCGTCTTATCGGACAGATATGCGACGACAAGGAAGCTGATGGCACCGAGGGCGTAGCAAGGGATGGTGAGGGCCTGTACCTGGGCTGTAGACCAGTCACCTAGGCCGGATATGATGGTGGGAAGAAAGGTGGAGTAGCCGTACAGGACCAAGTCGCCACCAAATTGGCCGATGCAGAAGAGGTAGATCTTCCAGTCCTTGAGGCCGGCGTAAACATCTTCCTCGTGCATCAGGTCGGAAGACCTGGTGCGGCCGACCTCACGATGCATGCGGCGGTCCATGAGCTCACGCTCGGCGGGGGAGAGGTAGAAGGCCACGTCGGGCGTGTCGGCGAGCCACCACAGGATGGATACGCCCAGGATGGTCGTGGGGATGCCCTCGAGGATGATGATCCAGCGCCAGCCGCGCAGGCCCGCGACGCCGTCCATGTGGCCGATGCCATAGGCTAGCAGGCCACCGACAGACCCGGCGACGGCCGACGACGCGAACAGGTAGCCGAGGCGCAGGGCCAGCTCGCGCTTCGTGTAGAACATGGTCAGGTAGATGGCCAGTCCGGGGAACAGGCCGCCCTCGAGGGCTCCCAGGATGACGCGGCAGGCGACGAGGCCGGCGAAGTTCTGGACGATGCCCGTCAGCGTGGCAACGATGCCCCAGGCGGTGGTGATGAAGCAGAGCCAGCGCGACGGCGTCAAGCGCTTGATGACCAGGTTGGACGGGAGCTCCGAGGCGATGTACGTCGCAAACAGGATCGACACGGCAATCTGGTACTGGCCGCCCGTCAGGCCGAGGTCCTCCTCCATCCCGTAGAGGCGGGCATTGCCGATGTTGACGCGGTCCAGAAAGCTGAGCAGGTACAGGAGCATGACGGGCGGGACGATCCAGAGATCAAGTTTGCGCACGAGCGCCTTCTCCGCGGCCTCGTCGATGGAGATGTCGCCTCGGAGGTCGGTCGGCGTGCTCGTCAGAGTCTCCACGTCCTTTGTCGTTCCGCCTTGGTAACTCGCAGATGCGGCGTTCTGCTGCTGCTCAGCAGGCGGGCCATGGTCGACGGCCATTGTTGACTGGAAGCCGCGTTCGTCTTTGGAGTCTGGATGTGCCTGCCGCAGTCAACAATCAATTGGCTGAATGCTCAGGGTCACGAGGATGAATGGGGAGGCGAGAACAGAGGTCAATCGACGTCGAGGAAGCGGAACCAGACCCCGATATAAAGGAGCACGTAATAGGATTGATTGTGTCATATTCATCTGTGAATGCCGTCGCCCTTCTACCCCAGATAGGTCGCATGTAGGTCAGGGTCCAAGATACGGGCATCTACACGAACCAAGCAGGTCGTCCCGGCGCCACTGACTCCATCGTGGTGGATACACACCAACCTCCCCCCCCGCGTTGGTGGGGAGCGGCATCGGCGAGAGGAACCTTTGCCGGTCGCCGTCTTGGAGGTTTCGATGTAGAGTGGCTTCGCCTTGATTGTGCAAGCACAGGTACAGCTTGGAAGTAAGCGATCATAGGAGTTATAGAGAATGAGAGATGCAATGGAGTTTACATTTACATACTACCATCAGTCGATAACTTACAGGAAGGGAACCAAGCCAGGGATGGAATTGGATCCTTGGCGGGAGCTCAATTATCCCTGTTCCTGTTGTCTGTCTTCTCGGCTTCCACCCTCGTTGCAAGGTGGTGGAACCCGGATTCGGAGCTTGGCTTGGCTTGCTTGCATTTCCCTTCCCCTGTCTTCGAGAATCGATACAACGGCAATGCGCTCGTAGATAAGAAGAGGATCTCCGTCGTCATATGCCGACACACCAGGATTGCTATCCATGCATCTGATAAGGATGATCCGATAGACCTGCCGATATTGTTCTACAGGTAACGTTTCTATGCAACAGGTAGACAGCCTCTGGATCGGCAAAATGGCAAGTTGCCGAGTGTGCACGTACATGCATCGATCCCTCGCTTATCACCACCAAGTAGAAAACATCGAGTCATGGATTCCACCAGTTCCCCACACAAGGTTGAATATGCTACGCAATTGGGCATGAAGATGATGCACTTACTCCGGATCGAGGAGAGATGATTTGCGGGGGATTGCTTCTCGCGACAAACAGGATCAAGTGCTGGCGGGGAAAAGTGATGCTAGGGTAGGACGAGGTTCGAGACAACAGAGAAAGATCCCATCCGTACATTCGTGTACTTGTATATACATGGCATAGAACTACAGCGTTCCCCCATAGACGCTGGCACCCCATTGGACCGTGTGGCGTAGAAGATGGAGAAGAAGAAAAGGACACGAAGCAATGAAAGAATGACACCATGTAGCAGGGGAATAGCTTATTGCATGTGAAAAACAAACTGCTCTTCAATTTCCGACGCAGACTGGCCCAGAGTGCTATCCTCGGACAAGAGAGCGTCACGCCAAGGTTCGCGAGTTTCGTCGAGAAAGCTTTCGATGAGGGGATTTCCGAGGACGTCTGCATCAATGTATCCCATGCCTCCCTGATGTTCGAAACTACCTATATGGAAAGACATTGTCGGCGGTTGTCTGTTCCGGCGAACCACGCCGGGCTCTGTGGGACCGCTCCTGCGTGTCTCGATAGGCGACGGGGCGATGGCATTGTTCTGGCTGATCTCGTTACTGCCACCCATATGCCCCATGGACCTCAACCTCGATACACGCGACTTGATGTGGGACAGACGCTCGCAGAAGTCGACGGCAGGGATGTTGCCGCCATTCTTCATGGACCGGAGAATGCTGAGCAGCGTCTCGAGACCCTCAGACGTGGCGGGCGCAGGCTTCATGACAGCCGACATGATGAGGATGAGAGCAGCCGAGAATATGTGGTGCGCATCCCAATAGCCAAACGAGGCGATGGATCCGTCGAGGAAGAGCGTCTCGACCATCTGGCGAGAGGCCTGCGCGGCATTGACGCAGCTATCGGCCAAGGCCATGGTCAGAGACGAGAATGGCTGACGTCGGGCGGCCTGCGGCCCATGTGCGCCTAGCCGGAACTGCGCCTTGAAGAGGTGGAGGAGGACCGGGCGCGTGGTCAGTATGATGCACTGGTTGTAGGCGAGGTGCAGGCTCGCCGCGGGGCGGGGGGTGCCTCGCTCCTTGATGCGCATCTCGGGAGGTAGCTCGTCGTGCCATGCGCGGAGCTGCTTCAGGATCCCATGTACGCGGTCTATGCACAGGCCGCTCGTGCTCTTCGGTATGCCGTATATGTCCGTCACTACAAGGCAAGTCAGGGCAAAGAGGTTGGTGGAAGGGGCACGGGAGAGCAAGGGAAGATGGTGGACGCACAGATGTTCCCGATGATCCGGGCCAATCTGACATTGGTGGTCAAGGAAATCGGATCGAGGAATTCGAGCTTCTCTGCCTCCGTCAGCCCGTCCATGCTGGGCAGCTCGACATCAATGTCCTCATCGCGGACAGTGATGGGCTGCCCGAGCTTGGAGGCGGAGAATCTCTCGAAGAAGTACAGCACCCACCACGTGCGCCGTCGGCTCTCACGCTCCACGGGGCTGAGGCTGCTGCTGCTCGATGCGGCCCGGTGCATGCCCATGCTCATCGCCATTCTCATGGCGGTGCCGCTGTAGCAGAATGCGGTGCGGAGGCGTCCGAATATGTTGGAGGCCCACGCCTATTCACAAGAACGTCAGCGTCGGTGCTCATCATCCATCCAAGGAGGCGGGGGGGTTGCATACCAGGAGGGTGAGGATCTCGACCAGCAGCGGCGAAGGTTCCTCGAACGACTCCTGGAACATGGTGACAGCCCGGACATAGTACTCTGTTCCGGGGACGCCGCCGCCGTCATTTCCGTACCTGCGGCTGGTGTACACCTCGCCGAGGGCGATGAGGGCGTAGAACTTGCACATCCACAGCACAGAGGGCACCGTCTCGCGACGGTACACTGCGTCGAGCTCCCGCATAAACGTCACCTCGAGAAAGAGCGGGTGGTAGTTGCCGATGAAGCGCCTGGCCACGTTGAGAAGCAGCTTGGCGTGCATCCTCTCCGGAAGGTCGCAGTATTTTTCGGGAGGTAGACGGCCGGAAGGGTTGAAGCGGAAGTAGTTGGACAGCCCGGCCGTCGAGGGCTTGTAATCCTCGTCGTCCAGACTCTGGAGGAGACGGTTGCTGAAGGCGGCGCACGACGCCTCGCCGATAAACCCCGGCTCCGACGAGGGCAGCGCCTCGATGTCCCTTATCATCGGGTTCTCGTCGAAGAGGGGGTTGATCATGTTCTTCTCCTCGGACGACAGGGTGGGCGCGTCATCGTCACCGCCTGGCGTGTTCACCATGCTCTGCGGGGTCTGGTTCTGGGTCAGTTCGTGGAGACGCTGACTGTCTTCTTCGAGCTTCCTCAGACGGCTTTTCATCGCAACTGTCAGCGCCGGTGTCTTCCCCAAGTTCATGTCCCGCACACGGAGAACATGCCTACCTCTCCGATATTGGAACCTTGCGCTCCTTAGCAGGAAAGCGACACTCTGCCGCCTTGCCGCTGGAGATGCATGTTCGGCACGGCTTCTGGCCCGAGCATTTGGTCTTTTGTGAATGACACCTATGACAGCTACATCGATACAGTCAGAGGGTGCACACACAGTCATCACACGCCCAACTCGACTAGGATGTAGGATGCGTATATCTTACGCCGCAAAGAGGCGCCTCGGATGGCGGTTACGCGTGCTCATGTCTGTCGTCTGTTCAAGAATGATGTTCGGTCTGTGTGTCTGGAGTTGGAAGGGTGATGGTGGTGGGGGGGACCTGTCCAGGCTTAAACATGTTCCCGGTAACGGCCTTTCCCGCCTGCATTATCTCCCGTCGCAACGGCTGTCCGTATTCGATCAGCCCACTCGACGCAGCCACTCGTGCAGGATCGAAATTCATCATATCCTGGTGCTGAGATGGTACAGTGCTATTCTGCGTATAGGCTTGCATCTTGCACGCGCTCGATAATATATTATGGCCTGCATGGCTGTTCTCATTCCCCAAAACAGGACCACAGTCCATCAAGACCCCTGAAGAGAAGATTATATGAAGTGATACAATTGCTCCCTGATCGATCACATCTTACAGAATGAATGACGACGAGTACGGTTCTTTTTTGAACCAGTCGTGTGTGTTGGACATTGTCTTGTTGAAGAGCCATCAGCCCCTCTCAATGGTTCGGCAAACACTTCAGGTTGCCGATCGGCTCTAGGCGTCGGTAGATTGGAAAATGCCGCACTGCAGTATCTGGTATTATTACCGTATAAGCCCGGGTTGAAGCTGCAGTATCATTATATGCTGGCGCCGGGCGTCGTTTGTTCCCGGTGAAGGAAGGCATTCCGAAGTTGAATGCATGGATGTGCAGTCAATACTGCACACGTTCATTCTCACTTCTCTCGTGATACTCTGCTGACCGGAAGCGATGCTCAATCACGAACACCGGCTTGGTCGCCGACTTGCCGGTGTACTCGTATGCGGCCGATCGCTGAGCTGGGAGAACACACTACTACGAGCACATGCATGCAAGCAGAGCGACGTGTCATCGGACGGTATCGTGCTCGTCGCCACGTTGGCGGGCATGAAACATGCAATTGATAGAACCTGTATCGGTGCTCTATTTCAAGCCCAGGTTCGGCCGGGCGCAGGATGTATACTCTCCATCTGCTCATCTATTCGCACCCGTACTCTATGAGGGTGTTGGCACTATCATTCTGGTCGCCTGAATGGGTGCGCCTCCGTGTTGAGCACGTACTCGTCCAGACTGACCAGATCTATCGGGGAGAATATGAGATAGAAGTATTTGAGCGTCTCGGCCAGCCAGAAACTCTGTGGCTATCGTCAGCACGTCGTTCCGTGAGGGACGAGAGAAGAGAGAACGAGGGAGGATGGAGCTCACCTCCATGGAATCTTCCTTTTGCGGCGAGCCCATCTCGGTAACCTTGCGGATAGCAGCATGGGCTATATCCGTCTTGGTCGACCGGACGATGCCCTGGAACATGTCCCATGCGATGTCCCTCAGATCCTCCGAAGCCGTCATACGATACAGGAGGAAGATGCTCTCGATGGCCTCCGGCCGCAGGAGGTATCGCGCGTCGCGGGCATTGACCCAGCCCCTGTTGAGAGCCGTATCCCCATTCCTGAGCCATCTGTCCTCGTCCCAGGCACAGCCGCTGATCGACTCGCAGGCCAGGAGGTTGAAGATCTCGGGCATGACACCCGTGGGGAATTGACCGTACGCCCAGCCGCAACCACGGGCAAGACGATCGCCGACGTCGACGTGATCGGGCTTGTCAAACAGCTTGCCACCCAGGCCAAACATGCCGCCGGCAAAGCAGCTGAGATGCTGGCCTTCCGGGATCTTGTCGATGTCACCCGTCGAGCTCACCTTGACGTCACCCGTGAACAGGATGTCGTCCCCACCGGGAAGCATGGGGCGGAAGAGCAGATGCTTGATGGCCGTCTCGGAGGCCCCGTAGTACAGCTTCTCGTACGTGTCATCCAGGCCGCCTGTCAAGGCGTGCATCTTGGGCAGGTACTCGTATAGGGAGTCAGCGAGCGCGCCGAGGGTGAAGCGGCTCTCGGTCACCTTCTCCTGCCGGAAGTTGATGGTCCTAGGCCACATTCCCGGCAGCCTGGAGTCATACTGGACGCGCTGGAGGAACCTGATTACACGGTCGGTGGCATCGTAATATTTCCAGTCTCCGGTAATCTGCGAGAGGCGCGTGAACTCGAGGCACAGTGACGCGGGCGATGCCGAGGGGTCGTTGACGCCGGCAACCTGCTTACCGTTCCTCGCCTCCTCGTAATTGAGCCAAAATCCGGGGAGACGGTTAGGCGTGTCGAACCCCTTGTAGAGCATCTCACCGAGCTCGACAGCCTTCCTGAGCAGAGCGTCCTCGCCGCTCAAGTCGTACGCGGCCAGCAGGCCACCCAGGTGCCGGATAGTCGTCTCGAAGAGGTTCGCGGCGCCATCGGGCGTCTTGGCCCAGTCAATCTGGGCGAGGGCAGCACTAGCTTCATAGAATTCCGTCTTGAGGTTCATGATCCAAAGCGTATCGAGCGAGTCGACAAGCGTCGCTGCCCACCCACCAAACGTGTCCTTCCCGCGGCCCGACAACGGGGCCAGCTCGTCACGCATCCACGCATGCTCCTTGTAGGCTCTGTAGCTCCGCTTGAAGACCTTGAGGACCTCGTCGCGACGAGGATCGGCTCTCGTGGGGCTCTCGAAGGCGCTGGCTGGCGCCTGGACGGGAGCGATCGGACGCGGCTTGCCCCGGGGCAGCTGTTTGATCCGACCGGCCGGGTGGTATTCGCGGACCGTGGCCCAGTTGACGGTGCTGGCGACGAAATGTGGCTTCGTGTGCGCATGGCGGAACGGGTCGATGCAGAACAGCACGAGCAGCGCACATGCTGTCAGCAAGATCAGACGCGTCCCTCTCTTGGACGGCATGGTGAAGCTCCCATCCAGGCCTGGCTATTGAGGGCCTGGGAGAGAGTGGATGGAGGACGATTTGGGGAAGAGATGGCGACGGCGATGCCACCCTCCCTCCTCCATCCCGGCGACGCACCAGGCTTTTAGGAAAGTCAAGGACGAGCACGACACCCTGCAACTCCAGTGGGAGCTGGGGAAAGAACCCACATGCATGCAATCTGTACAGATTATCATTACCCCGTATTACCTGTACTCCGTACCTGTACTCCTCCGTATTACCGTGTACGAGTACGTCGTGTACGGGCGTTGTTACACGTAACTGCTCGTACTGCCGAGTACGTACCTTATTGATATTGCTCGTATCTGCCTGGAATACGCCGTAATCGAATCTACACGTCGGCGCTCAACTGCATTATCCCCGTTACTCGGTAATATGTAATGCACCCTGTACTATGTACCAGTACACAAGCGGCTCCATGGTCCCCTGCGAGTACGAGTGCGGGAGGGGGGGGGGGATACGGGAATGATTACCGGACCAAGAAGCACCCCAGGCTCGCGGCAGCCTGTGGGTTCCCGTAGGATTCAGGAGAATCCTGACAGGGTTATGAAAAGTTGTCAATCAGACCACCAGGGCATCATGAACATCGAAGTAAGCCTGATATCATAATATCGTAGCATGAGTTTTACCATTGGACTAACCACCCCGGGAAAGGACCGACATGTCAGCCCCAAAACGTCTTGGGCCAACAGGTTGCCAATCACACATGTGTCTTTTGCCTTTTCATATACAAGTACACGAGGTTTTGCCCTGGTCCTCATGCATCTCAGCCGTCTCGGAACTGATGATGTATCCATGATATATCCATGTCATATCACCTGGGAGTACCCACCGCCAGAAGTTCACACAGCATGCTAGGGGAAAAAAAGAGCGAGCTGCTGCAATCTCGTCTCGGGGCTACTGTCCAGCCAGCCGACAGATGCAACACCACCCACCGATGCTGGTCCCGACATGCACGTATCGGACTCGTACAGCGTAGGATGGACTGGCCATATGCGGTAATGGCCGAGCCCGGCTGTCCATGCATCGTTTCTCTTCTCCGTATCATTATTGCCTTGCGACTTGCTATTCCTCTTCTCCGTCTGTGCATCTCTATATACCACCACTACCACTGCTCCTCATCTCCGAGTACCGTTAGATGCTGTGTCTGCAATAATAGCCAGATGGGTAGGATGCACGCTTCCTTGGGACTGTGGTCCTTCCTTGTGGCATCCGTCGTGGGAGGTGAAAAAGCCATGTGCAGAGGAGTTCCCGTTTCCCTACCCACCAGACTTACACGAGTCCTCAAGGACTACCGGAACTCTCTCATGGGAGGCATCCCGGGTGCCTTGTGGGACCCTGATCAGGGTATCGTCATGCTTCCTTGGCCGTAGGAAGCCTCCCGTGCGCTGCATACTATTATCAGGCAATCGAGCTAATGAGGCCTCGCCTCCCTAGAGAGCTGACTAGCACTTGGATATACGACAGCCAGGGATACTGCGACGGGACAGTCATCTGGAACGACTTGATATGCGACATCCGTCGAGGCCACCTGTCTGACGAGGGCGGCTCAAGACATACCGCAAGGTCTCGGATCTTCCGTCTGTCGGAGGTGCCCCCATCGAGGCGTCGTATAACGGATCTGAGCCTGGCATCCCCAATCTCCTCTCTACCAGCCTAAGCGTCACGGACACCCTCGCCCTCAACGGCGAGAACCCCCTAGAGGCCTTCTCGTTCGGCGTCCCCCGCATGCGCTGGGCCTGGGGCCCAACTCGACGTATCTGAACTCCATGCGCAATGCCGGCCTTGTCGCATCTCGCTCATGGTCCATGTACTGGGGCCGGGAGTACGCCGACGATGACATTGACGGCTCCATCGTGGTGGGCGGATGCGACTCGGAAAGGATGATTGGCGACAGGTACACCATGCCGCTCGACTACGACGACTACGAGAACAGATCGGGTTGCTGGACGGGCACGAAGGTCAACATATCCGAAATCATCCTCAACAGCCACGACGGTAGCGACGACACTATCTATTCCACGGCTGAACCACTCTCGGTATGCATCGTGCCTCAGAGACAGCTCCTCCCCGAGGCTCCCGGTGATGTCTTCTCATCATCCGAGGAGACTACCGATGCTAGGCCCTCCAATATCTCCTACGACCTTGGTTGGGATGGCCACGTCTATCTCGAGGATGACTTGTAGGTCGTCGATTCTTCCTCTCCTTCAGGTCTGGGCCCTTTCACATTCAGGTTCGACATGGGGCCCGAGGTCAGAGTACCCAACTCCCAATACATGGTGCCCGGTGTAGAGATCACCCGCGAGGGAGACCGCGCCGTGGACGACTCGAAGCGTGTGCTCCTCATCAACGACATGGGAGGGTCGGACGGACCATTCACTCTCGGCAGGTCTTTCTCGACGGCAGCATACCTCGACGTCGACCACGAAAACGGCAGTTTCTCCCTGTGGAAAGCTAACCCGACTTCCTCATCCAAGCTCGTCAGCATCGTGTCCGAAGACGCCGCCGAAGAATGCTCCGGCAAGATACTCAACAGTGGCAACGGCACGTCAGACGATGGTCCTGACGCTCACAAGAAGACCAGCTCGGCTATGCTGGGTGGTGCTATCGGCGGGACCCTGGGTGGCGTGGCCATCGCCAGTGCAGCAGCTTTCTTCCTCTGGTGCCGGAGAAGGCAGATGGAGAGCTGGGAGATCGACCCTAGCATCCCCATGATGCTCGGCGACACGTTTAAGTCTCCCATCGTTATCCCCCAGACTTATCAGGAGCTACCGGTGGCTAGCCAGCATATCCCCCGAGAGATGGAGGGCGACGTCCCGTCTTACCATGAGCTGGATGGTCGGAGTGAGCTTGGACGGAAGGGCATCGGCAATGGCCCCTCTGCAGTATCAGCAGAGCGAGCTCTGACGCCGTGACGGGTTGGCTGCTGCCGCGGCAGAGAAAGGGAGGGAGCAGGTGTGGTCATCAATCGATGCCATACTAGTAATATAGCGTATGTACTTCAATATCAACTTTTTGAAGAATTGTCAGTACGGATACAAACGTGAAGTCATCATACTCGTATCTTATGTATTTTTTTAGTTTTTTAGTTTTTTAGTTTTTTTTTCATCGTGCAAAAACGTGTGATAGGCAAGATCCGTATATAATATTTATGCATCAGCTGGTGATGCCGCCTGTCCGCGGATGCGGAAGGAGCTCAGGCATATTGGAGGGAAGGAGAGAGCCAGATGCTCTTTCTTGCCTCTTGTATTTGTGGCAGCTCTGCCTTAGTATAGTGATGCCAAGCCCCAGGGCGGAGAATGTATCGTCATCCTCTTAGGCTCTTTCGTACCCCAGTTGATAGCCACACGAAATCGCCTCTCTGGCTGTCCTCTTTTTATTTTTATTTTCTCTCCTAGGGTTCCTCGACCTGTGAGATGCGTTCTATCGAAATCACAATCGTGGCCGCATTCGCAGTCCATCCGCCGAGTGCTGTTATACCGTCAGGTCCCGTCTCTCAGAGTGCATTACTGTCCCCGGCTACTGTCGATCCGCCAATCGTTTTTCAGGCAGAGTTGTGTTTGTCTAGGCAAGCGGCCAGGCACAGCATCGACAGCCTGTGCCAATCCTCTTCTTCGGTCTTTTCGGTGTCGATGGAACATATTTCAGCTGGTCGATATTCTCGTTGTGCTCGGTGCATTCGCCCGTGGGCATGCTTATGCAGACAGCGCTATGCTCTCCTCTGCATACAGCTGGTGAGAATACCTGCTGTCCTCTTGTATGTCTTTCTTTGTTCGTTACTCCTTCTTCAGGTGGCCTTCAGGTGGCCTTTATTATATTTTGTCGGGGTCGCAGCAAGGTAAGTGGGAGGCCTCGTCGTGCAAGTTGATGTCTGGGGACCGAATCCGACGAGCCAGAGACGCCTTCTTTGGTCATCTTGAAGATGTCAAGTCGTCGCGGGGCCAAATCCAGGCCTGCCATGGCGACATAGCAGGCGACAAAGGGGGCAGTCATTGTCTCGAGCGAGCACACATGCTGATCAGCAACCCCCCTTCCATATATCGACGGCTGGTACTTTTCATCTCGGTCCTCCGTTCTATACCTGTCGGATGCCGTTGCTGTCAAAGATGGCGTGGTTTGTCTTTGAGACGGTGCGCTTGATCGGTGTGGACGATATATTCGCCCTAGCCTTGTGCAAGGCCTCCCGCTCAACCAGACCGACGCCGGGCGTTCCCTCCTTCAGGCCTATGAATCCGGCTTCGTTGAGGACGACGAGGGCGTGACCCAGCCAGTGCCGGCTCCGGCCCTTGCCCTCGAGGGGGTCTGAGCTGGTCGAGCGATGCCTACGGCCATTTGACGACGATACGGAGCGGGTAGACAGGCTGTGGTGGAAGCGCCTGGGGCTGAGGGTCTCGCCCAGCATGCTCTCCATGTCCTCGGCCATGTTTTCGATGTGGAGGGCGAGGACGATACGATCGCTGTCTTCGACCGGGACCCGAGACGGCTTGTCAGCGCTGGGTATCCTGACCTGCTCATACTGCCATATACCGTCCCGCTCCTTGTATCGAAAACTCTGGCCGACGCGCGGCGACCTGGACCAGTAAAGTCCCCATTCGAACTCGTCTCCATTGGATTCGGTCGGTGTCGGAGAATGTGGTGGCGGGGGTCTCGTCCGAGGTATGGACAGGACGACATACAGCCCGTTTGGCTGCAAGTCGAGTGGTGCGGCGGGTGACGGCATCGAACAGCGAGCCGCAAGCGCAGCGGTTTGTTGTCTTGGGAGGCGCTGCCTCTCTCTGCCTCCGCGGGATGACGACACGTGACGATCAGCATTTCGCGCGCGCCAGTGCCGGTGCCAAGTCCCCAGAAAGCGACAGAGAAAAAGATAAAGAAGAAGGAGAAATGGAGGGAACAGGGATGGCACGGACAGGGGAGATGGAAGGCAATAATACTCACGAGTGGTTCCCGGGGTGGTGTTGTGCCAGATCTAAGCGCGGCAAATCAATCGCATGCGCCCGGCCGTCTGTGGCCGTCCTTGGAGGGACGAAGGAAGAGAAGATGGTGGCTCTGTTGCGGGGAGCGGCTTGGAACAGGGAGAAGGGTGCGGCCTGGAGATGGAATGTGTGTGTGAGGGAGAGTTGGTGAGATGGAAGGCGGCGCACTCGTGGCTTCTTTTGTGTCTCGCAGTTGTCTCGACGCAGTGATTACGAGAAGTTTGGATGTTCGGGAATCTGGAGATGTCGCTCGTTGAGGGGTTGTGAGTAAATCTGTGTTCGTCGGGTGGGGTGCAAGAAGTGTGTGCATGCGACGCTTGGCGACCTCTTTAACCGTCAGCAGGGGTCTCTCTCTCTCTCCCCCCCTCTCTCTCTCTCTCTCTCTCTCTCTCTCTCCTTCGTATCCTGCCCTGGTCGCCGATTACCTTGGCAGGGAGATGGGAGGGTCAAGCGTTGCGGCACCCAGTTACAGCTGTGCCCTGGCTCAATCAATCGTCGTGTCACGGCAGAACCACGCGCAGGCAAAAAAAAAAAAAGCTCTCCGGAGAGGGGGAAACGAAGTGGGGGAGGTGTCGCGTCGATTTTGTGCACGGGGTGTCGGTAAGACGAAGAAACGAGGGGTATACGGGAAGAAGGGTATACGAAGAAGAGGGTATACAGTGTGATGACTTTTGATGACTTTGTTACTGACCCTTGACAGTCTCTTGTTGGCGTGTTCTAGAGATGTGTTTCTCAGAGAAGAGTTTCGAGAGAAATGTTTGGAGAAGTGTCTAGAGATGTTGATGATGACGAGGAAACACTTCGGTCGCAAGACGTTTCGACAAGGACTTCCATGACCTCTGGAATGCGAGAGACAGCTATCACAAGCGCGGGCAGAACCATGTGTCGGGTGTTTAACCCTGATAAACCCGAGAAGGAACGAACTTTTGGAGCGCACCGGGCCATACGAGTACGTCGGGTACGTCGAGTACGTCGAGTACGTCGAGTACGTCGAGTACGTCGAGTACGTCGTCGTATTTCAATCGGCACAAGACTGGAAGAGGTAAAGAGAGCAGCCAAAGGGGGAGGGTGGGGGGAATATAAGAGATGAGGAAAAAGAGAATAACATGAAACAGTTTCCGCCGTTCAGATTGTGGCTTAATTAATGAGTTCTAGAACGAACCCATGTGCAGCTCCAAAAACCACCATGAGGAGGTTCAGGAGATGTACTTTACGGCCTACATTCGGTTATCCAGTCACCAGGTATCGATTGATTCATCGACACATCCTTCATCTCTGTCCTACCGTCCCTTCACCATCTTGTGGTCGTGTGGCTCTTCGGTCCTGCGGTCCTCATGCGTGAATTGGGGGGCTCAACCAATCCTCCGTGGATCTGTACGAGCATTCAAGTTTTTTTTTAAAAAAAAACCTGTCTGTACATGTATCAATACGGATACTCGTACAGGTACGGGTACGGATTCCAGATCTCGACAGCAAAGGACCATCTGTTTCGAGGCCATCCCGATGCCGAATTTCACCTGGGAAGGATCGAGTGCGACCGGATGGACTTTTGGCGCATTTCCTCTGCTCTCCCCCAGCGCCACGACCATGTTCTGTTTATTTTTTTTTTTTTCTCATTTTCTCTCCAGCTCTCATTCTCTATCCTTACTTGGGCGCCCGTACAGAGTTCAACGGGGCGCGTGTTACGAACTGATGATCCACACCTTAGCACACAACACATAGAACGCAGAGCACAGAGCAGAGCACACACACTCTCTCCCTCTCAGACAGCCCTCTCTCAGAGTTAGGTGAGGGAGGGAGGAGCAGGCCAACGAGAAGACAAGGGTGTGTCCAGGTGGGCGCAGTGGAGCGCTGAAGCCAAAGATGATTGCGGTGATTGTGGTTGTGCGCCACAGCACGCAGGCCCAAAATGAATCGAAGACGCGAGTGCTACGGGCAGCACGCAGCTGGACAAGACGCGGGCTCTCGTCCCGACGCAGATCACGGGGCTTGCGACGCTGTAGCAGGTCCGACTAATATGGCTCATGGGGTGGGTTGTTCGGGTGTTGATACTCCCCGAGCCCGGATAGAGGTATTATACATATCGATAAAGTGGTGTACTGTTCCCCGTACGTACATGTGTGTATGAGGGGACTCGAGGAGTATAAGGAGTACGGTACTCGCCGTCTTCGGTTACTCGTGGGCGTTGACGTCCCGTGGGGACGAGTGGCAAGTTTGCCGACGGGGTAAGTCGCCTACTACATACTGAGGACGAGTACGAGGATACCGTACCATACAAGACATTGATTCGAGTACTACGACGGTTACTTGAACAACATGGCATTGACATTGTCATGCGGATGATCTCGATCGACGCACACACTACTCACTCACTCACACACTCACTCGCTCACACACACACTCACTCGCTCACACACACACACATACACACACACATATATATTACTACCTCAATCTCAGGAGAAAGAAGGCGGCAAGAAAAAAAACCCCCCCGACGCAACTTGTCGGAGCACACTAGTAGTAACACCGACCATGTTACTCGTAAAAATGGCATCGCTGACAGCCAGCACTCGCCCCGCCGCCCGCCGTCACATTGGCCGGCATGCAGCGTGCACCTGGCGCACATTCACGGCCCCGGTTACGCCGCGGTTTCAGCGTACGGCAGAGGACGCCGCCGATGAGCTGATGAAGGAATTTGGCGGCAGGATCGTCAGCAGGAGACAGCTGATTGACGGCAACCAACTGCAGAAGCTGGCCTTGACCCTCGGCCGTCGGCATCTGAGCTCAGATGGGGGCGTCGGCTACGAGGAGCATGCGATTGACAAGATGCTGGACGTGACAGATTCGCCACCGCCCCCTGGAACGCTAGTGCCCCCCGGGTACCACCTCGTCTACTTCACACCCGGTGGGTTGGAGACTGAGCTGGGGATGGACGGCACAGACGAGACGTTCAACGCTCCCTCGCCATTCAACCGGAGGATGTGGGCCGGCGGCGTGATGAGATGGCCCGGTTCAGCCGATGGCCAGAGCAGCAACAGCACGCAGCTGAGGGTGGGGGACGAGGCCGAGGAGAGGACGAGGCTGGTGAGTGCCACTCGCAAGAAGAGCCGGTCCGCCGGCGAGATGATCTTGGTCGAGCTGGAAAAGGAATTCTGGACGGCACGGGGGCTGGCCCTCGTCGATAGACGTTCATGGGTTTTCCGTCCGGCACTGGACGCCAGCCGGTCGGTGGAGCCGCCGCCTGCTCGGATCGAACGGGGCACGAGAGCGCCGTCGCGGGTCAGAGACATTGACCAGGACGGCGACGGGTTCCCACGCCGCGAGCTGTGCTGGTCGTCGGTCGGGCTCTTTCGCTTCTCGGCACTCACCTTTAACGGGCACAAGATTCACCTGAGCGAGGACTGGGCACGCAACGTCGAGGGCCACGCCGGGCTGGTGGTCCACGGACCTCTCAACCTGATCAGCATTCTCGACTACTGGAGAGACGTGCACGGCCGAGGGAGGGCGACGCCCGGCCAGATCAGCTACAGGGCCGCGGCACCAGTGTATGCCGGCGAGACGTACCACGTCGTCACACGGGAGACGAGACCGGGGGTTGATGTCGGTGGGCAAGAATGGCTTGTCGACGTTGACAAGAATGGCATCACCTGCATGAGTGGTGTTGTGGGAAGGTAGCAGGGAGAGCAGTAGGGAGAGCAGTAGGGAGAGCGCGTCAGACGACGGCAGCGCAGCCAGCCAGCCGTAGTCTGTACAGACCGCCCAGTTTCCTTCAACCCTGATTCAAGCATGACCGGGGACGAGTGAATGAATGCATATGCAGCCATCCGTTTCAAGGCAGCGCCTGACAACTCTACCCGTACAAGGCCAGTCCAAGGTTGACCAGCGAAACTGTGTACATGTGTACATACGACTGGTCCGTACCTACAGTACTCTCTACCTATACTACCAACAGTATTGTGTGTTTTGTCGTTACGCCCCGCTTCCCGGAAAGGGAGCTAGGACAGTACAGCTGGTAAAGTATTGACTTCTACAGAACGAGGCATCTCGGGAACGGACCGGTATAGAGGCTAATAGGGGTGCGGACCGGACTTGCGGAGAGTGCCGCGAGACAGCGTCACAGCGTCAGCGGGACTCAACGCAAACACTATATTAAACTTGTCTGCTGCACCGTACTGGGGGAATGGATGGACAAGTACAAGGATGAGTGAGTGCAATGCAAGGATGGACAGGTACAGGGGACAGTGAGGGTGCAAGGACAAGTGGAAAGAGACAGAAGGACGAGGGACAATGGAGCGCTGAGCTGAGAGAATAGGCATCTTGACAACTGACATGGAGAAGAATCACGTGCCTATCTCTACTCTGATCAATACTCATGTACGACGTGTTAGTGTACCGGTAGTCGCACATCTCTCTGCCCCTCCCCCGTATCTGACACGACGCAGACACCCCGCCCCCCTCCCCCTTACCTGCGATACCTCCAACTACGTCATGACTGGTCGGCATCTTCTCTCTCCAACCGGCCACTCGTAGTCTGTACACTTCCTTGCCTCATGGCATAACGGCAGCCGACGATGGACGTCACAACGGCATCCACCAGCTCGACGACCGACACCGTCTCACCCCTCCAGGTAGGCGTCTTCTACCGCCACGCCTCCCGTCGTCTGCACTACTTCCCCGCGCTGGCATCGGTCTCGTGGTTCGGCACGCTGACGGCCCTGCTGGTGCGCTGGCTCTGGCTCGGCCGTCCGCGCTACCCGGGGCAGGCGAATCCGACCGTGCCCTTCATCAGCGACATTGCCGCCTTCCAGTTCAAACCCGTCTTCGTCGTCGGGTGTTCCGTGACGGCCGTATGCTTCGTCGGCACCGTCTACGCCGTGCACCACGTCCGATACGCCCCCAGCTTCTACGGGCTCGTCGACGATGCGCCTTGGCGGAAGACCCTGAGCGGGGTGGCCACGGTGTCTGGTCTCGCGGCGGGGACGTGCCTGCTCCTCCTGAGCGTGTTCGATACCTTTGAAGAACATCAGAAGCATCTCTGGCTTCTTGCCGGCACCTTTGGCGGTCTGGCCGTCAGCTCAGTTGCCACCGAGGCGGTTTGGTGGGACGAGACGTGGCGCGCTGCAAGGTTCCCTGGTCTGAGGAAGTGGTCGGTCTGCCTTCCCTCCCTTTTTCACTCCATCTTCCCTTTCTTTTCTTTCGTTCAGGATGAGGGACAAGACAAGGGAAGAGAAAGGAAGTCTTGGCAAGCAGAAATATGCACAACATCGTCATCCCCATGACATGTCATGACATGCAGTAAAAGAATAAGAAGAAGAGAGGGGAAAAGGCTAATCTCTTGCTCGCTGCGGGATCTTTAGGTGCATTGCTAATAATATCCTCGTCGCCTGCATCGCCGGCGTCGGCATGGCCTTTCTCGTATTCCTCCTTACCGATTACAACGGACGCGCTGGACTGCTCGAGTGGACGCTCACCTACCTCGGTTCCATCTGGCTCGGCACGTTTACCGGATACATACAGTTTCGCGAGCGAGGAGGCGTGGCCACGGCCGGGCAGGATGTCGACGCTGAACGGCAGCCTCTGCTGGTGGCCGACGATGGCGGGGGTTGATCGGCCTCCCTGTTCTCGACAGCATGCATCACATCACATCTACGCGAATGATGAGACGGCCGTGTCAATCAATTCTGCCCAAGGTGGGGTTCTACGTTGACGATCCCGCGGGACGTACGGATCACTAGCGGTGGCTTGGATCAAACAACACTCGACGCCATTTACCAAGTCCACGGATCTCCAGGGAACCGACGAGGGAGCGATAACCGGGTCGGCTTGTTGGACGAGAAAGCCAAGGCACAAAAGTGCACGTCGAAAGATGCGCGCCCCCGCCCCCAGCAGCGGAGAATACGGGCAACACACATAAGGACCTCGCGTTTCTCCCTCTGGGGGCCCCTCTTGGGGGAACTCTTGGAACTCGTGGAACCCTTGAAAGTCGAGAGGAGAGTTGTGGATCCTATTGCAAAACAACCGGTCCCATTGCGAGGCGCAGTATTGCGGGAACTGGTGAAACAAACTAGCGAATAGGACAGACCCCAGTGGCTTTTTCTATCTCAGTTCTTGGCTTGAACTGAAAGAACGAGAACGGTATAGCTAGTTAGCTAGTTCGGAGTATGTGGGCCAGTGTCGGAGGGTTCCTATTCATCTCCAGCTACTAGTTCAGCATCTGATCCACAGCATATGTACACATTTCCGGAGCCACACTTCCGTCCAAGAATAATTGGCTGTGGTCTGGTGGTCTAGTGGTATGATTCTCGCTTAGGGATAGCACCCCAAGCACATTTGCGAGAGGTCCCGGGTTCAATCCCCGGCCAGACCNGGTCCCGGGTTCAATCCCCGGCCAGACCCTTCTTTTTGGTCTTTTTTCTGTTATCTGGATATCTGCTCTACTTTATATGTTCCCTCTTTTTGGTTTCTCTTTTTTTTTTTTTTTTTTTTTTTTTTTTTGCAAAACTCCTCTAATAGTAGGTAGCATAGACAGACAGTGCAGGGGACAATAAATTTCAGTTCAAGAGTGCGCGCACTGTTCTTCAACATCCGTACAGAGATGGACGCAACTGACAAAAGCAACTTCTCTGTATTGCAATCATACCAACCCTCTATGACGAATAATGCCCAACCGACAACAGATAATTAGCCGTTCTGATTACACTAATACCCTTGGCCAAGATTGACCCGGTTGACAAATGGCCTGTCCTCGCTCAGACGTGAGAGGTTCAGCTCGAGAATATCCTGGATCCTGTGCTGGTAGGCCGACGACCTCCCACTGATGTGCGGCGTGATGATGACGTTCTTGGCACTCCACAGCGGGTGGCCGTCGGGAAGGGGTTCCGGGTCGGTCACGTCGAGGGCAGCACCCCTGATGACACCCTTGTCGAGCGCATCGATGAGCGAGTCGGTGTGGACCACGGGCCCGCGGGCGATGTTGGTGACGAACGTCTTCTTGGCCGAGAGAGCTTCGAATTCCTCGCGGCCGATGAGATGGGTCGTCTTGGCCGTGAGCGGCACAGCGACGACGAGCAGATCCAGCCCGGAGGACAGAAAGGTGTGCAGGTCCTCCTTCGAGCCGCCGGAGAACCACCTGGAGGGGAGGTTGCCCTCGACGTCGCCGAGCCCCGGGGGGGTGTACGTGTCGTCGCGGCGCTCCTCGGGCGTGTTCTTGGGGTGGAGGGTGTAGGCGTGGACGTCGATGCCCATCGCCTTGGCTACGCGAGCGACCTGACGGCCGATGGCGCCGTAGCCGAGGATTCCACTGATACCTCGTCAGAGGTGGTGAGATGCTACGAGATACAGGCTGACTTACACTCGGCTGCTGACGGTGTCCTGGGGCAGATGGTCTCCCGGGGCCCAGGTCTGCTGCTTCTGCAGGTCAAGATAGTGGGCGACTAGTGCGTGATCAGATATGGCGATGACGATGCAGAGGGACGTATAAGAAGGGAGGGCGCTCACTGTTGTGCTGGTGCAGCAGGTATGTCGTGATGATCCACTCGGCTATCTGTGGTCTGATGCCCGTCAGGGTCCGAAAGGGGAGAGGAGATGAAGACATCGCGTCGATGAATGCTTACCCGTGTACGCCATTGGCGGTACAGAGAGCCACCTTGGGGTCGTCTTGGAAGAGAGGCCTGCCAAGTACATGGTTGGATCCCGCACTGAGAAGCTGGACGACCTTGAGGCGGGGAGCCTGTCCGATGTGCGGGATGGTGCTTCCTGTGACGAGAACAGTGACATCCTCCCACTTGACACCCTCGGGGAGAGCATCGTCGGGGTCCTGGTGCTGGAAATCCGTGACCTTGGATACGACGCTGAGATGGGGGAATCTGGAGTTTAGGTGGTCGATCCACGACTGGGGGATCTCAAAGGGGACGAGCAGGAGGAGCTTGTGGCCTCGTAGGGTCGGGTTAGTGCCGACGTCTTCCGTCATCGTCTCGGTTGGCCCTTCAGTGTCGGGAGATGGCTGACAGTGGAGGTGTAGCTGATGACAGTTGGCGATTCAAGACTGACTGTGTTTTATCTTGGGGGTTCTTTTTTTTTAAAAAAAAAAAAAAAAAAATCCGAGTAGATCTCTGCTTCGAGGGTTGAGACTGACGATGTTGAGGAGGGGTTTGATGATAGTGTCCGACGGTGTCCGATTGTCGGCAACGGTATTGATTATTACCAAGCATCAATGTGGCTGCTACGTTTCGGTCTTGATGGCGACATGGTGGGGCCTCGACACGAAAAGGACTGGGAAACGATAAGGCGGCCAACGAGAGCATCAAGAGATCATTTGTCCGTTCGGGGAGGGGGGACACAGACAGAAGAGGAGGTTTCCTCATGATGCCATATAAAATGAAGTGGGAATTCCCGAATCTGGCCGTTTGCCATTCTATTGACGGAGCACGTCATTCGGAGAAGAGGGATAAAACTGTTGAATATTACTCTCTCAGTGGGAGACTGGGAGTGCATGTAGACCTTTTCCCCGCGCTGACAAGGTGGGATAGCCATTCCTTCTTTTACATGTTTAACAAGTACGGAAGATGTCGGTGCTACTCATGTTGAACTCTGGAGCCAAGGCCGGTGATCGGGAGAAGCATTCACCACGTAAGAGGACATCAAGTGAAAGGATATGTGCAGCAGCAAACACTTTTCAATAAACGCAACTATAAAACCTCCCCCTAAAGAATCGAAAAAAAGCGATGCCAACAATGTCCCCTCAGCTATCCTGAGGAGAGCAGAGAATATCTGAGGCCCATATGATACAGCAGAAGGTAAGACGCACAAACACATAGGGAAAAAAAATCGGACTATATCAAAGACAAGTCCAAGCCAAGTCACTTCCAGAATGACTCATTTCACTTCCTCCCCCTTTTCAGAGACCAATGTTTCTGGACTGTCAGGTCAGAGCATGATCTAAGCCTTGACAGAGCGAGCCCTGAGAGCACGGGCAGCACGCTTCTTGCGGCAGCTGGTCTTGGTGCTAGTGGGCTCGGCAGCGGCGGCAGTGGTGGTGGCGGCGGCAGTCTCAGAAGCAACGGCCTGGACGGAGGTAGCCTCGGAGGTGGCAGCCTCGGTGGTGGCGGCGGCAGAGGAGGCGGCGGCCGAGGTGGCGACGGCGGCAGGGCTAGTCTCGACAGCGGCAGCACCGACGGTGGCAGCACCGGTGGACTGGATGGCCGAGGTGGACTGGGCGACGGCGGAGGCGCCGGCGATGACGGTGGGTCCGGGGACGGGGTAGCTGGCGACGGACTGGTAGATGTTGAAGACGATGCCATCCTCGGTGGAGGTGTAGAGCTCGGTGCCGAGGGTGCCGGCGGGGGACTCGGAGCCGGAGCCGGTGACCTTGAGGCTGAAGCACTGGGGGTAGTTCTGGGCGCCACCCTCGGTGCCGGCGGAGTGGAGGGCGATGAGCTCGTGGCGGAGGACGTAGTTGCCGGGGGCGACGTCGGCGGGGATCTGGACCAACCAGCCGTTGCTGTTGTCGAGGAGCTCGTCGGAGCCGTAGATGCCGGGCACGCTGGTGCCGTCGACGAGGCCGACCTGGTCGATCTTGAAGAACTTGAGGGACGCCTTGTCGACGGTGCTGCAGTCACCCTCGCAGCTGGCGAGGTAGTCGATGACGGGGCCCTTGTGGGACTCGGGCCAGGTGTTCCACTGCAGGAAGATGGAGTCACCGGCGGCCACCTCGGCGAAGCCGGCGGCGTTGGTGCTGTTCTTGTGGCAGATGATGTCGCCGGACGTGTAAGCGTCGGGGGCGACGAAGCCGAGGTCGGTGGCGCCGGAGCTCCAGGCAATCAGGTCGGGCTTCTCGCTCTCGCTCATGTAGGGGATCTTGGTGACATCGTAGCCGGGGTAGTTGACTCCGTTGATGACAATGTTGGAGACGTAACCGTGAGCGGCAACGGTGGCGGCGCCGAAGAGGGCGGTGGCAAGGGTGCGAGTGGTGGAAGACATTTTGAAAGTGTTGGGTGGGTTTTTTTTTTCTCGTTTGTTTTCGGATGTGATGTTTCGTCTTCAAGACGTGTGTGTATATAGGAATGGATAAGAGAAGGAGTGATGATCGTTTTTTCTTCTTTCGAAAGTGGGAAAAAGAGATGGATGAAGAAAGCTGTAAAGGCCGACTAGCGGATTGTGTTTGTAAAAGAAGGAACTTCAATCAATGAAGTGTAGAGAATGAAAGAGCTGAAGCTCGGAAAAGAGAAAGAGAGGCTTAGAAGAAGCGAGAAGTGAATGCTGCTGGAGATGTTGAGGCTGAGGAGGGAAGGAGAAGAAGTCGATGAAGAGCGGGTGAGGCATCGTCTTATATACACATGAGAGGTGCCTTCCTGTACTAGCACCAGGCCTGACTAGCACTCAACCGATCGCGATGGGGCCGGCCGACCGACCAACCCCCTTGAACCCTGCGCCCTGACCCCTACACTAAACATCGGACAGGAGCCAAGCGCGTAGCGGATGATGCGGTTACCCGTGTGCCTGGATTGGATCAGAAGCCGTACCTGGGTGTCAGGGACCAAAACCGTACGAACGGCACTAACTCCGTACTCGTACCATGTGCACGCGCACGGATATCAATGGCTGTGGGGCTAGGGAAAAAGAAAAAGAAAAGAAAAAAAGAAAAAGAGAATGTACGGGTACTGTTACCGTATGGGGACGGAGTGTATGACCCGAAGAGGCCAGTTCTGTCTCAGGGCCGGCGGGGGCAGTCGTTTGTGAGATGTTACTCGTAGGCTGGCGGCATGATTTCTCACCAGTTGAAGCACGCCGGTCCGTCGTGTAAGTCGTCGTCAGCAGAGAGGATCCCATCCGTCATGGTTCGGGCCAGCCCTGTCTGGGGGGAGGGTTCTGCGTGTATTATTCCCCTTCCCTTCCCCTAACCCCGACCATGCGGCCCCCTCCTGCTGGTACACCGACTACGTTCACAGATGGCGACGATATCAATGACCTTCCTCGCACAACCACGACTACTCTACTGATTTGCAGCTGGACAGGAGACGAGCGGTGGGACGGCATTGCTAGGCTTGCTGGCAGACTTGGGATGGATGAATACAAGCTGACAAGATCCATAATGGCAATTACCTGTATATTAATTGCCACCACCATCAATATCGACCTTGTATTCTCCTAGCGCGTGTATCTTTCCTCTCTACCTGCCAGCATCGCAGTCTTGTCGGATTGCGCCTCTATCCTAAATTCTCCTACCGAGAAGACGGAGACGCACACGTCCCAAGGGGGAACACCTTGAACACACACAACACACGTTTGAGCATGACATAAACCACGTACCTGTAATGTGCATTAGGCTTGGCAGTTTAGTTTGGTTTGCAGTTTATGGTTTTATGGTTTCGCTTTAGGCTGTTGGGGCCGTCAAGGGGGGCGGGGAGGGCCGGTCGAGAAGATGAGGAAGCCGAGCAGAGGAGGGACGAGCGCTCAAGAGGGCCGGTCTGCGGCATTAGCTGTCTCAAAAGGACTTCCGGCGGTTGGTCCACACGAACCGTGGTAGGGTGGAGATGTTTGCCAAGTTTTTCATACCGGAGTATCACTCCGTAATACTTGTACTATACCAGTATCAGTATTACGAGTACGGAGTACATGCATATAATATATATATATTAATACTCCATAAAAACCACGTACGTCTTAGAGAGACGAAGCGTTTTGGGTGATGCAGGTTCCCCCCCCCCCCCCCCCAAAGTCCCAAGCCTTGGCTCGGCCCAGCTTGCTCCAGCCTCGGCTGACCGTTTAGCAATGACCGGTAGACCAACCGCTTCTCCTTCATATTTCTGAGACGCCGATTCCTCCCCTTCTGTCTTCTAGTGCGACCAGCTGTCCCACCCGCCCAACGTCGTCAAGCCTCAGGGAATCCTTGTCTCTGCTAATAGCCCCTTGTATTCTGTCCCGTCGGGTCAAGCCGAGAGAGGAGCATGGGTTTCATCAGAGGTTACAAACATATGGCCAGTACCTGGTCTTCATAACACCTACGTACTACTATCACTGTTTTCCTTGTTTCTATTAGCGACGATGGCAATAATAGAACCACCTAGAATGACGGATTACGTAGACAGAACAGGAGGAGAGAGGGAAAAAAAGAGAGAGAAACAAAGAAGAAAAAAGGGTCTTACGCTGTAGGACAATCAACTTCATACAGATGATGCGTCCGAATCATCCGACTTTACGCACATCATCTGTCGTCGGGCTCGAAACCACCAATTGTCCAACTTTTTCTCTTCTCGTGCCACCACCGCTAATATTACTAGCCATCCACAATAATCAACCCATGCCCGTATCATCATCACTCCTTCGCTCTATATTCTCGCCTCTTTCCGTCTTGAATATCCTCTTCTCGACTCTCGTCTTGACGCTCTTCTTGACGCTCTTCTTGACTGCTGCCGGTCTTCCTTGTGTCTCTGCCTCTCCCCTGCCTATACCCATGTATCGTTACCAGACGAACACACAGAAAAGTGATCAAGAACCACGTGGTTGTAATTTCCCGCCGAGAAAGTTCCTCAGGGGAGCATCGTACGAGCAGGAGAGAGGAATCATCAGTTAGGGGATGAAGAAGAGGAATATTCATCTAGAAAAAAAAAGGAGAAACAAAAGAATAATAAGAAAACATCTTTTTTTTTCCATCTTTGAATTAATAGCATCCCCTTGATCATCAAGTGTCCATATTCCGACATCCCCTCCGCGAGCAGAGCAATCAAGGCTCCCCCCCCCCCCTTAACCTTTTTGGCCGGCGCAATGCTCGAAAAGGGTCATCCTTCCTCCCCCACCGTCATCGAGCTTTATCCCGATCTCGAGGCCAGCAACGGACCGCCACTCGCCGACAACGCGACGGCAACGCCGCAGATTGCCACCGACGGGCCGAACTTCACCGACGCTAACACGGCCGCCCAAGATGACGAGGACGGCCGTGACGATGGTCAGGGACCCCTGCTCCCCTCGAAGAGCTGGACAGCACACCAGCTGTTCTACGTTTTCGGCATCGACGGCATCGGCGCCATGATACTCTCCGGTGGCGTCAACTTTGCCATTGCCTATGGTATACACCTCCCTCTCTCTCTCTATCCAATCCCCCCCCCCCCTTCCATCTTATATCTCTTCGAGCTACATACTAACACAGAGATCCCCTAGTAATGTACACAACCCAAGACACCGTCAAGAACCCAATCCGCCTCTTCTCCTTCCCCAACACCCTCGCCGGCGACGCAGCCGTCACTGTAATCATCCAATGCCTCCTGACATGGTTCGTCGAGTGGGGTCTGGTGGCCTACGACCTGTCCAACCGCTCCGTCCAACCCATAGGTTTCCTGTCGGAGCCTAGGAACCGCTGGGTAAGATGGTACTTTTTCCTCGACGGCCCTTCCCCGTTACCGACCTCGGCTTCGACGCCGACCACAGCCGGAGACGACGGTGAAGAGCCCGCCTCGACTCCAGGCCTCCCTCCATTCCTCAGCCTCGTCGTCAACCAGGCCATCCGCGGATTCGCGCTCTGCATCCCAGCCTTCCTGCTCCTCTGGCCCATATCTGTGGCCGCCATGATCCCGTTTGGGAAACCCCAGCCCCACCACGACTATCTCTACACGGACCGATGGGCACCCCAGGTGCTCAAGCTGGCTCTTGGTGGGATGCTGGGTCTGTTGACTACGCCGCTCATGGCCATGTTTTGGCTCGTTCGGGCGGGGTGGGATGCTGCGGAGTGATGGATTTTGCTTCTTCCTCGTGTTTTTAATTTCTTTCTCCTATTTAACTTTGCTCTTTGGACTCTAGACTCTAGATCTTTCTTGGTCTTGATCCTCTCTAGATATCTCCTGGTCTTTTGTCGTTCCAAGACTCACGATGTTACGGCTTTTACAACTACAAAACTATACCAGTCTCGACGGCAACAGCCATCTTATTGCTGATACCCGTATCGCACACTTAATACTTGCAAACATAGAACTCATACACATAAGAAATAGACACACTATAATACACTAATACATTATTCAATCAAAAATGCCACAATGCATGCGACCGTACTACGAGTGCACACACTCAACGTATATTACTCGTAAGATCATAGGTGCAGACATGTTCAAGTCTGGATTTGATGATCCTACCCTGTACTCGCTGCATCTACATCGCAAGTTTGTTGCAACAACGAACAAAGACAGACTCGACGGAAGAAAAGTATAGCCATATTATAATACGACTTCAATAAGAGGCATGAGTGAGCAAGTTCCAGTATAAATTCTATGCTATCAAAGGCGGTTTGTAATGGTCAAAAGATGGAGTTAACTCCTCACATGAAAACCATCCAATAATTTCATATATACCAGGGATCTGATCCCGTAAATGCCAATGATGTGAATCAAACGACACATAATATATCCTCAGGTTCGAAGAAAAAAAGGAAGAAAAGAAGAAAAAAAATCTCCGTGATAGATAAACGACATGAGAAAAAAGCCAAGCATTATGTGCCCGCCAAGAACGAATGAAAAGGGACAAAATATCAAATCTGAAAAGAAAAAAAAACGCCCGCTAACGTATGCTTAGAAAATCTTGGTCCGTGCATCGGCGACAGCCGCCTCGACAGCCTCGTGCAGGTCAAAGTGGAAATGGGGCCTGTTGAGACCGTGAATGACAACCTTGCGCGTCTCGGCTGTTAGGGGCTCTGCCGACTCGCCCTCACTCTCGATGTCGCTGTGCCGCTTATCTGGGAGGTCTGCCTTGGACGCGTCAGGGGTCGGCCTGCTGCCCATGAGCTCGGCAATACTGAAAATGGCCTCGCCGCGGTCGTCGTCGGCCTTGCGCAGACCGAATCCTGCAGCCACGAGACCACGCTTAGTCCACCGGTTGGTAATGTTGGCGAAGTGCCAGTCCACCGTATCAGGTGCCGTGTACCGGTCCAGCTGAGTGCGCGTGTCAGTGAGGGCCTGCACAGACGTCACGTCGATGTTGTTGACGGCCGAGAAATCTAGGACCACAGCCTTGAGTGTGGGGCGCGACTCGTCCTCAGCCTTTTCCTTGTGGACAGTACCAGCCTCGTTCCACGGACGATCGCCCAGCTTGCCCAGACGAGAGGGGTCCGTGCGGCGGGTAGACTTAAAGATGACATCTGTCAGGTGGCCAAGGTAGCGCGATGCGTTGGGGTAGTTGAATCCCTCGGAGAAGCGGTACACAAATACGCCGGGGTACGGGTTCTCGACGACAATCTCCGAGTTGCTACCGTCCTCGTGCTCGACCGGGAGGAATCCGGGGCGCAGGGACATCTCGACGCCATCATCGTCAAAGTAGACGTCACCACCAGATTCGGACATGGCCTTGCTGCTGATGTGAGCGCTCTTGCTGGGTAGGTCACCTTCGCTGCTGGCAGAGCGGGCGGCGGCGGCCGAGGGGCGGCCCACGGTGCGGATGCGGGTACGGCCGAGGAAGCGACCCTGGCTGAGGAAGAGGCGGAAGATGAGGACAGCAAACGAGGCGGCAATGGTCGTATAGACGCCATTTTCAATCGTAGTAAAGACGGTCACAAAGACACCGGCGAAAAATATGGGAACCTCGTGCGGGGCGACGCGCCAGAACTGGTAGACAGTGCGAGGGGGCGTGATGACGTCGCACACAGCATGGATAATGACACCGGCGAGGGCGGCGTTGGGGATGTAGAAGAAGACGGCCGTTAGGGCGTAGAGGGCGAGGAGGACGACAACAGCCGTCAAGACACCGGCAAAGGGCGTGCGGACTCCGGCTTTGGACTTGACGGCGGTACGCGAGAAGGAGCCGGTGGCGGGGTAGGCGCCCAGGAAGGGACCGAGGAGATTGGTTACCCCGATAGCGACGAGCTCCTGCGAAGGATCGATCACGTAGTTGTTGATGCGGCCAAACGACTTGGAGATGGCAATGTGCTCGATGAGCATGACGATGACGGCTGCGGGCAGCTCGCTGCCAAAGGCCTTGAACATGTCGGAGGTGATTTCAGGAACCTTGGCATGGCGGAAGCCTGTTCATATGAGGGGTTAGGCAATTATTTGAGAGGGAGGGAGAACAGTGGTATAACATACCGCTGGGAACACTCCCGACAATGTCAAACATGGGGTTTTCACGACGGTGGACGTTGCAGGCAGCGCTGATGGCCGTGTACAGCAAGATGACAAAAGACGTTCGCAGGGTTGAGATAAAGAAGTAAATCTTGGCGCGATTGGGTTGCTTCTTCGCCATGTAGGCAGCGCCTTCGCGGATGATGTAGAGGAAGACAAGGGCGCTGATTCCCAGGGCAGAATCGATGGTGGAGTTGGGGAACTCCTTCAGGGTGTCGATGATGACGAGATGAACGCCCTGGTGAGTGTCGACTCCCGATATACCCATGAGCTTGCAGAGCTGACCGGCGGCGATGCTGACGGCGGAACCAGTCATGAAGGCGCAGATGGCGGGGAGGGGGATGAATTCGACGATCCAACCAATGCGGATGAGGCCCATGGCGGTTATGATTCCTCCGGTGATGACGGCGAGGGCTGAAGCAATAACGTGACCCTCGACACCGGGGAGTTCAGTGGCGGCTTTGGAGACGACGTTTCCGGTAACTTGAGACATAACAGCGACGGGCTGGAAGGCACAAAAGTCAGCAACGTGAGAGGCGTAGGAGGCACCTAGGTCTGAGAGCACAACCTACACCAATGGTAATATCCTTGGACGTGGCAAAGAACCAGTAGACGGCGACACCCATGAACGAAGAGTAAAGGCCGTATTCAACAGGGAGCTGGGCGAGCTGGGCGTAGGCCATGGCCTGAGGGACGACGATGCAACCGACAGTGAGTCCTTTTACGAGTTTTTTTCAGTATACAAGAAGTCTCAGAGAAGAACGGCAGAGAGTAAGGGTAAGAGAGTAGAGCTCACCAGCGACCAAGTCACCCACAAACCAGGATAGGTTGTACTTGGTAATCCATCGCGTAAACGGGAGAAGGTTGACAAAGTAGTTGCTGATGTCGTCAAAGCTGGGGATAAACTGCTCGGCCCATTCAGATACGGAGGGGTCATCTTCAGCATAAGGGTCGGCGTGGGAGATGGTGGGGATGGGTTCCTCTGGTCGGGCGTCTATACCAAAGAGCTTGGCCACCTGGGCCCTGCGCTCTGATGACGGCATATCGTCGACTATGCGTATATGTGTGGTTTTTGTCCGTATGATGAGGAGGGCAATGGCGATGGAGGAAGGGGATAGTAGTAGTGACGGAAAGAAGGAATATACGGAGGGGGGAAGGAGGAGTAATATGGGCCAGAGAGAAGAGAGGAAGGAGAGAGGGAGGATAACGGAAGGAAAACGTGGGAAAGTGCGAATTAAAGACTCTCTGAATCATGGGATAGGAAGGAACAAGGCAATTGACTTGCAAGGAAGGAAGGAAGGGGAGGTGTGGCGGTATTGACGACGAGGTTAAAAGAAAAAGAGTACTTGTATGAGTGAGTGCTGGATCTATTTTCTAATCTCTATACCACGTAGCTACTGGCAGTAGTAGCAGTTTAAAGCACCCAAAACACCCAGGAACTGGTTGCCTCCAGTGCGTCCTCCTTGACCCGGAGAAGAAGCTTAACGCTGGTTCTCAACACGCGGCAGGCTGTTTCTGGTGTCCGGGATTCGAGGCGTGATGGTAGTGATGGGGATCGGCGTGGGCCCGGTGGATACAAAGAAAAGACAGGCGGAGGAGGTGGGAAGGTGGACCCTGGTGATGATATCCTCCCGCCAGTACAAGAAGGAAGAGAAGGCAAGAGGGAAAGTGCGCGAAAGCCCCGTCGAGAGTTACTGCTGTTTTTGATTTTATACAAGACTGAAAGATCGCTTTCGCTGCCTAAATGGCAAGGGACAAGGGTTAGAGAGAAAATAGGTGATGTCTCTGGCAAGATCTCGGGCAAGACGAGTCTCAACGAATGCGTCGATTGGTCTCCCTACAACTGCTAATGGATCATACACACCAGCACAACCTTTTTTGTTCTTTTTCTTTTTGTCTCCTCCACATCCTCACTCCCTCGGTCTATACCTCAGTACGTATCCTCGATATACGTATTCATCCCCCCCTCTTGCCGCCGTCATGATCGTGGTATGTCGCTGTCAAGGGGGGGCCTGGCTGCCGACGCTCCGTCGGCTACGGTGGGGACACAGCCATTTGTAGCGAATAGTGTCGACTTCTCATGGCGTGCTCAAAGCTCATGGAGCCATTGAAGACGGAAGTTATTCGGGGAAGTCGCTGAGCTACCAGCAAGGCAGGGGAGTGCCGCCCCCTACAAGTATCATTTATTAACGTACTAAACACTAGCGTAGAGGTACGTAGTATCAACACAAGAGCCTCTGCGTGCTTGCGATTGCTTGGCAGCGAGGAGCCGTCGCGTTCTCGTAGTAATACAGGATCGGATTTTTATCTTTTCTTTCTAATCCGCATTGTCACTGCAGGTACCTTATAACAAGCACTTGAAGCATTCTGATCCAGATACCCAATTCACCAAAAGTATATACGAGTGATTATTCCAAGATTGAGCACGTACCTACCAGCCCCTCTCAGCATAGCACACCCTCTGGGGACAGACTGGGTAGACTGGGGGCAGGGCCGATTCGCAAAACAGGCCGCGCACGCTCCTAGCCTCTGCTTAGTATGCTTCTCCATTGAACTACGGTACTAGGAAGCCGTAATACTCCATCAATTACCTGACTGTTACTACTCTTAGAAGCTCCGTAGCTCGTAGTTACGAGTACTCGTACGCGCAATCGGCCTAGAACTCCACTGTCAATGCCAATGTACAAGTAGGCCGTGGAGAGCATTACGAAGTACGCATCTTCCTATGTGTTCACTTATAATCTGTACTACTGCTAGCATTACTGCTAAGTAATGCAGGGCAAGGTTCAAGTTGGCTCATCAGACCGAGGAATGAATGGCTAGGCATTAGAGCGCTCCTCGTCGTGTACGTCAGTAACTGGAAGTGATGCAAATTTTAATTATCACACCTTTTTTGTAAGGGTGGGAAGGAACCGTTGTTTTCATTTTACTGATCCTTCTATTAGCCATTCACTTCTACGACTATTTGATTACGAGTACCCAGTACAGATTAGACTTTTTCAATATGTGTGCGTGTCGCGTGTGCTGTGCTATGCCGCTTATTCACCATTTAGGGCAAGTAGTACGGTACTGTGTCTCATAAGTTGACAGGTAATAATATCCCGTTGGTGGTGATGGGCTGCTCCTTCCCCTTTTAGTAACGAACTGCTAATATTTGCATTCGGATCCGTGAAGTTGTGCTTCATCTGTGAGGATTTCGATCAGTGAGAAATGTTAACGATGCTACCTAAGGAAGCAGTAAGACATACACAAGTTGTGTTCGCTGTTATTTCTCGCGCCAATATATTAATCTTACGGTACGGCCAACGGGAAATAATAGCAGTGATCAATTATGATAACAGATAATTGGCTTTTGCTGTATGACTCAGTAGCAACAGCATCTGCTGCGGTATCTGAAGTGTCCTCCGCAACTTCCACCAGTCAAGCTTTCTCCCCCCCCTAGCAAGAGGGGTCTTAGATCTATCCCTCTTCTAATCTGTACTCTCAGTCCCATCTCATCTCTCGAATTATTTTAAAGCTCAACTAACGTATGAATTACAACGCAGATAGCCAACCTATTCCTCGACCTTTGCTCTGCTGTGCCTCTGTCGTACTCCTAGCATGGAGTACCTCCGAAGGCCACACATACACATACACACACGCGCGCGAACAGATCGATAGCCCCGAGAAAACATGTCATTCTTGACCGCTTATTTTCGAGAGCTCTACATCTCTATCTCTATTCATCCCGTCATGCGCAACAACCGACACGTCGTGCGCTGTCGTCATGAATGGCCATTCACCATCTTCTGTTGAAGACATCATCCTGCATCTGAACCATCGCAAAATCGAACAAAGAAACAACGACATTCCGCGGTAGCTCGGTCATGAGCACCCGACAATCCGCGAGACCCACGTTCTGGTCCGAGTACCTACACACACCCCGGTCATAGCTGCAGTTCCCAAGGGACCAAGGGAAGCGCCGCCCACGATACACTGCGGGACACACGGACGGTCCCCTCCCCCTCGTTTCGCATATCTGCCGCCAACCGCGACGGCAATACTCACGCCAGTATATTCCCCACGATCTGATATCCCGCTTTATTTCCTTTACGTGAGTTAATACTCGTATACGTGTGTATACCCCGTATTGATCAACTATACGAGCAGTCTCCTCTCATTGTGCCGTCCTCAGCACTCCATGGTGGCCTGAGATTGTGACGTCGATGCTTTTAGCCAGAGACAACAAAGCACCAACCAACTGTGTTGGTCGCCTAATCCCATCCTAGCATGACGCTGAGAGTGCTCAAAACGCAGTCGCGCTCTCATGTACTCACGGGCCTCTTAGCAACACTCGAAACAGACGTCGCTGCCGTGAAACACGAGCTCACGCGGCTGTTGTTCTATCTAAACGCGGGAAAGTCGTGGTCACAAGGGACGCCTACGGGCCATTGTACCCGTAGGATGACGGTTTTGCCTTTCTCTGTCCCGCCAACTTTACAATAATGAGTACGGGAAGACTTTTTTTTTCTCGATATGTCGACAAGAGGAAACAAAGAGCATTGGCCAGAAATCGAACAATGGCAGGTCTCCGATGCGAGTGTCTGTGTACCCGCGGCCCATGCAGTCCCGTCTGCGGATTCTGCGACCAGCAGGGAAACCCGACACCCTCCTATCCCACGGTGGAGATATCTCCACTAAAATGAAATCACGTCATATATGTCGACGATGGCTTCATCGCGTCTCACAGTGTTGATTGGAGTCCGCGCCGTTCTTCTCTCTTAATTCTCGACAGGTATTAGTTACCTACCTAGAACGGATGCCGGGTCATCGGTGTCCTTCCCAGAAACAACCATTCGTTTGCCGACATTGCCACTCGTTTCGCTCCATCGCAGAGGGGGGTTAAGGAATGGAAATAATGACGTCGGAAGAGTCTTCATATCCGTACCCCATAGACTGAATCTCTCGTCTCTTGTTCCTTTCAGGGGGGACGATGCAAGGTAAGATACTTTTAATGACATGTTCTATTCGTAGTCTCAATAGTAGGATTCTCATGTCACAAGACACTCTGCAGTTACAATCCTCCTTTCACTCTCAACCAGCAGCATTCAGTTGAGACACGGCCAGTGAGGATAGGATTTGGAAGCTGAACAAGGATAGGATATCCCTCAACTAAATATAAAGAATGATATCTCTCTGCTGTCAGCCCCAGAAGCAGTCGATGTAATCACTACAGGGTAAGCAAATTCATCACTTCATGCTCTGCCGGCAGTTTTTTCCTGGGAAATGAGCAAGACGCGCATCCCTGCTCGATAAACAGCGGTTCATCGTACCCTGGCGGACGCACAGACAAAAATGACGACAATGACAGCAATGATGAGGAGTCATGTTTCTTCAGGGTTCAAAGTCATCGATGCTCTTGAACTGTACAAGGGATCGGAAAAGAGATAATGGCACCAACGGTTGGACAATGGCCATTGTTCGTCAACCTCTGACATCTGTCAAAACCAGACACCAACCGAACACTACACTTCCACGTGGATGATGCATTACTGTTGGGCCGTTGCGACACAACAGTCCAATCATATCGATCAGCTGCTCCTCCTCACCTGCGTCGGTGGAAATGAGCCTCCCAATTAGTCTCTGGTTCTGACGCCTAGTATTGGCTCACCGTCGCGTATCTTGGGCCCCCTGGTTCCTTTGCCCCCTTTGAGTCGTATTCACGCTGGAAAGCGAGTGCGAGCAGGACTGATGTACAGGATAAGCCGGTTCCCTTTGAGAGGGGAAAGGCCCAGTTCAACGACTCTAGGCCCTTTGAATCCGTTGAGAGCAAATCCAACCCGTTCTGCGACCCTCTCTCTCTCTCTCTGTCAACCCTTGTCCATCAAATCACCACCAAGATGGACAAGAGACAGTCGGTCGCGGGCGAAACGGTTCGTGGTGGCATCGCCACAGCCTCTGCTGGTGTCACTACCACCGGCGGAGCAAGGAGGAAGCCGACAGGTGTCGTGCCCCTGATGCTAGCATCGCCAACGGCGGTGACAACAAGGGGCGGCGCAGCGTCGCCGCAGACCAACACCATCAGCGACGCCACAACCAGCCCGACGAGTACCACCCTCGGCCAACGTCTCCTTGCCCCGGCGCGTGCTGCCCTCCGCGGAGACGGACGTGTCACCAGCCGCTACCAGACCTTCTTCGAGGACTCGACACCTCCGCCGTCGCCGTCGTACGTCGGCCGGAGCAGCCTGAGCAACAACAACGCCGAGACGGGGTGGGGACATGCACCGCTATCGGCGCCGCTGGGCCTCGCGCCCAAGAACGAGGGGTACGACTACAGATATGACCATGTTGCGCCTCCAGCCCCGATACCAAAGGCCAAGGGATTCATGGGACTGAGCCGACGGGCGTGCTGGATTGTTCTGGGTCTCATCGCCATGGTCATCCTCGCGCTGGCTGTCGGGCTGGGAGTTGGACTGTCGACTAGTCACTCTTCATCATCGTCGTCGTTGTCCGATAAACAAGCAGATGGGAATGAGTATGCTCATTTGTCCTCCCCCCCCCCCCTAATCGTATATGAACTAACAAGGGAAAAACAAAATAGCTCCGGTGTATCTTCTTCCCAAACAGCAACAGCGACGAAAGAGGCAACAGCAACAACGACGGAGGCCGCAACAGAAACAACGACGAGTGCTATCCCGTCGACAACACAAACCGTCGTCGACGTCGACGACAGCGACGCCTGCCCCATGGCCAACAACACGCTCTACAATATCGAAGGCTCGACAAAGCAGTTCCTCCGCTTATGTGGCGTGGACTATAGTGGCGATGGCGGCGCAGATGACCTGGGTATCGTGTACACGGTATCGATGCAGGACTGCATGGTCAATTGTGCGGGCTACGACGGCTGCACAGCCTGCTCGTGGGGGATCCTAGCGGACGATGGGGCGCGTGATAATCATCGGTGCTGGCTCAAGACGAACCTGGGCAAGGCGCAAAAGGCGAGGGCTAGTTGGGACTTTGCGATACTGCAGTAATTCCTTTGTCCTTTTTTATTTTTGTTTTCATTTTGGTAGCCCCTGGTTGCCTTTTTCTTGTATATAACTCCACGTCGTTATGTGTTAGCGTTTTTTTCATACTTCTTTTCAGATAGCCAGTGGCTGACGCCCTACGATAATATTGATACCTTGGTGCATTTTCACTTTGATCATTTGTTTGACACCAGATTGATGCTGCTGGTGAGGATATTTATATGTATCCGTGAATTGATAAGTCGCGATGTCTATCTATACTACGACTAATAGTGGCAGTAGTAATGTAACAGCGGTGGGGTCGAGAGGGGCACATCTTCAATCAAGGGTAGCCTCATACCCTCCTGTCCTTCAAGAACTCCAGTCAGGATGCCTCCCAACGTCCATGTATACCACGAGGCGCCCTCATCGCTTGAGGACCTCCTATCGTCTCACATGCCACGCTCCCTCCCGCTCCTCCGCCGCCTCCAGTTTAGCAAGTACAGGACCGCATCATCACCGGCAGAACGCTTCATACTGGTGGCCGACGACGACAGCTACAATGCCTTTACAGCGGCGTACATTGACGTCTCTGGCGGCCCAGACACGCACATGTGGCTGTACAGTACCTTGGAAGATGGCGAGGCGTACATCGACGGTGACGCTCAAAACCACTATCGCCCGCAGTTTGACCTGCTCGTCCGCGCCAGCATCGACATAGCTAAGGAGTATGGCAAGCCGACATTCTACCCCGAGGGAGTCCTACTCGGCTCTCTGAACACGCGCGTGCGCAGAGTCATGGAGAACATGGGCTGTCTCAGCTCTCGCCTGAGCGGTTACTATGACAAATGGCTCTTCAAGGCAGACAAGCTGGGTGGTGCTGAGGGCTTTGTCCTGCCAGAGGGGATGAAGTGGGATTCTCCCAACTACTCCGACTGTGTGACTGCTGTCGAGAGGACGGATGTTCCCAGAACGCCGTATGTCTCCAAGGAGAAGACATCCAAGCAGAGACAAGGACAATGGACGAAAGATTGGATAGAAGGCTGACAGTGCAACGTGATTAGCGACGTGCTTATGCGTCTTCCTGGTCTCGTCATCCGTCTTGACGACGGAACACCTATATCGTGGGCCTTTATCGGCTCCGACGGGTCTCTCGTCAGTCTGCACTGCGAGGTGAGAAGCCTTCCGATCCTTCTTTTTGCCGTCTGCACACTGCTTACTTGCCGTGGCCGTGTAGGAGCAGTATCGTCGTCGCGGGTTGGCCAAGGCCCTGGCGACAAAACTCATCAAGCAGGGGACTGGCTTCCCTTCGCAGAATGACGGATGGTCCTCGGCTGATGTTGCGAATGATAATCTGGGGAGCCGGGCTATCTGCAAGGGTCTGAATGGGACTGTTGACTGGGAGGTTTCATGGTATATTTCCCCTCCCCTCCTATTATTTCTTTGTTTTTTCCCCACTTGTTCATAGAAAAGATGTTGACGAGATGACGTGTAGGGTCCTGTTCAGAGTGAAAGATGAAGCTCATTGAGCCATCCGATACAAGATCTAATAGAATTAGAAGCATCGCGAATTCTTAAAAAGGATGTAAAACTGAATATTGGCAGTCATTCATCGGTTCCTTCCCCATTAAACGACCAGGCATTACACAGTGCCGACGATCCACAAGTCCGTACCGTATTTGCACGTACAGAAGCACCAAACTCTGACAATTAAGCACCGAATGGTCGCTGGGGGGGTGCATATATACCGTGCGAATAACGAAATGTAAGTCACTTGCCAAGTCGCTCCTTCTTCGGCCACTGACATTGAACTTGATCACCACATCCATCGTCAAACATCGTCACGGCAATGTCGCCGTGGGCTTTAATTTGATTTAAAAAAATCTCTACTTGTTTACCACAGTGACAGGCTAAGGAATCAGAGAGTTTCAACAAGAGCTAAGGAGAAGTTGACTCTCGTTCATCGTCCTCCAACCTTGTCCCGGCCCTTTCTCTCATCGTCGCCCAAGACCTAGACAGACGTCATGTCAACATTCGATGGCATCGTGCCCGAATTTCCAGACATCAAGAGTGCGCAGCCAGGTCAAAAGATATCTTCAGGTCTTGCTGGGATATGGACTGACATGTACAGTCGACTCTTTTCATATTGGCACAAGACCTCCCCTTGCCTGCTTCTTGAGCCATGTCCATAGTGACCATCTGGTTGGTCTCGAGACCCTCCGGAGTCCATTGTGAGTTTGCCCCTACCTTGAGACGAACATGAATGGATACGTGCCTGACCAGACCTCCAAACACAAGTGTTTACTGTTCAGCTGCAACACGCGAGATCCTGTTGCGGTTGGAAAGGTATCCCTGCCGTATCAATTACGCCAAGGGCATTCTGGAAGCACGGCAGCAGACATACAAACATCTCTACAAAGTCTTGGTGCGTCTGACCAGACCGTCGTCGACCTAAATCTCATTAGCTGACTTTCTGCTGCAGAAACCACTTTCACTCGATACGCCAACACGTATCGAGCTCCGTCCCGATCACTGTATCCAAGTTACTCTCTTGGATGCCAATCACTGCCCCGGGGCCGTTATGTTTCGTACGTTCCTTGCACCAGCTATTACATGAGATGGACATCTCAACTGACGATCTCCTAACTATAGTCATTGAGAATGATGAAAACGCCATTCTCTACACTGGCGATATTAGGAGTGAACCGTGGTTTGTCAATTCCATCGCACGCAACCCCAATCTAGTTGAATATACGACTGGACTCAAGACATTGGACAAGATTTATCTCGACACTTCATTCACAAGCAATGTACCCTTTCAGACTAAACGTGAGGGAATATCGGAACTCGTCTACAAGATCTCTCGATACCCAGATGACACCGTCTTCTATATGCGCTCATGGACCTATGGGTATGAAGACGTCTGGGTTGCTCTCTCCCGGGTGCTTAGAACAAAAGTACAGTCTTTACCCTCACCCCTGCTTCTATATCTATTATGTACTAGTATATTGCGTAGCTGACTCGTCAAAGGTGCATGTCGATGACTACCAAATGAAGATATACAAATCACTACAAGCCCGTGTGTCCGATGGTCGCCTCAGCACGACTGTGCACTTGACCCCTGAGGCACCAGCTCTGGTCGGCCACATGTGCGGCAACTCACCTCACCCCGGCTGTCTTACTAAACAGGAGAATGTCAGACTGCATAGTTGTGAAAAGGGAAACATGTGCGAGGTAGCCCGGCAGCCCTCGGTCGTCCATATCCAACCCGTCGTTGCTCACCTCGAGAATGGGGCAGACCTGGATGAAGTGGGCATTGGCGGTGGTGGCGACGACCTGGATCGTAAAGCAGAGATCGGGAATCTCACCCGCGACGATGTCCAGTTTCTATTGAAGAGGTCAGCTGCAGATTACTTGGTAAACGAATTAGTGTACGAGCTAACACGTCTTGCAGCATTGAAACGTCCAATGCACTGAGTGCCGATGCTCGGAATCAAGTCACCGGGTTTCTCACAAATCTCTCCTCAAACGGTAGTAGTAACGTACCTCTAGACATCGACCTAGATCTCGAGGAGCCTGCAGTATTAGAGGATGCTTTGCGTCTCTTTGCCAAAAAGTCAGCACCCGATGCTTCCACGGACGAACGCAACCAAACCTGCGACACCACCGTACCACTCCCTCGAAAGATTCTCTTTCCATATTCAAGACATTCCTCGTATCCAGAGCTGTGCCATTTACTAGAGATATTTCGTCCGAGAGATGTCTGGCCGTGTACTGTGGACCCGGAGAGATGGCTAAGAGATGGTTAGTCACTTCGTCCCTCTACCCTTGTATGTGCGTGTACACGCAACTGATTTACTCCGACATCCAGGCATTACAGTTGCATCACTTTTCGGAAAGCACTGCCTAGGGACTAGCTTCGAATACGACAAAATCCTGGAGCCTCTCAGGCCGACTGCATCCGAGGGCCCGGATAGGGAGAGCCAACAGACACAGCAGAGCAGTTCCTCAGCAGCACATTCAAATATACCCCCTATATTGGTGACCGGCAGATGCGGCCCTGGATCGAAGCGCACATTTGACGAGTACGTGGGTAATTCAACCATTGGCGTCGACGTGAACGGTGGTACCCGCGACGATGAAGAGGATCAAGGCGACTCGCAACAGACGGATGCATCCTTCGCCTCGACACTGTCGATGCGACACTCGGAAGCCAGACATGATGCGTACTACCAAATGCTCCACGGAAAGAACGACAGATGGCCAGAATTTGGTCTTCTGTCAACAGATGGGAATCACTCTGCCATAGAAAAAGAATTATGAATGATCTGGTTCTTGCTTTCTTTAGCTACTTTTTCATGTATCATCATCGTCTTCTTTGGGTATCATACATGTACATCTATAGATCGAAGCCCAGCCCCATGCCTTCGGCCCCGAGGAAGATGCTGGCATTCCCCGATTCCCTCTCACGCAGTAGGGCAGCGACATCGACCCTCCCGCCTGTTATATACCTCTCGCTAACACCCAGGTTGACTCTCTGCGACAGCTCGTGCCTCAACTGCGCTCTCATGGCTCTCATCTCGGCCTTCGACAACCCGCTCGCCGCCTGCTCCTTCTTCTTCCTACCTCCGCCGCGCCCGTACCCGAGTTGTCTCGAGTCTACCTCGTCTGAGTCGTATATGACTCCAAGATCTTCGGCCGCAGATCGCATAAACGAATCGTCCCCGTGGGCCTTTTCCTTAGCCAGTACCGCATCTGCCAGCTTCTTCGCCAGGTCGGTGCGGGGCTTGAGGCGTGAGACAATCTTGCGGTCAATAGGCAGCGTCTGGATGACGTGCTTACGGGCCGCCTCGGCATGCACTTTGCCGGCCAGACGACGCGTGGGAAGAACTTCGTCTGGCGAACACAGCATGACACTCACACCTTCGCGCTCGGCGCGTGCGGTACGACCGGATCGGTGGACGTAGGTGTCTGCCGCGCGGGGGACGTGGTAGTGCAGCACCATGTCTACCTCGGGGATGTCGAGACCACGGGCAGCCACGTCGGTGGCGACGAGGATGGAGGATTTTGTGGCAGCGGTGAAGCGCTCGAGAGACCGAAGGCGGGCCTTTTGAATCATCTGCGAGTGCAGAGGCAGGGCGTTCAGGTTGAGGTTCTGTAGGAAGGGCGTGAGGCGACGGACTGCCGAGATGGAGTTGGCAAAGACGAGGATGCGGCGCTTCGGGTTGAGGATCAGGGCTGTGTAGAGGTAGAGGTCCTGCGTGTTTGTTAGCATCTGCTTTCTTGACTTCTTGGATACGTAGCATGCATTGGAAGGGAGGGAGGGGGTGGGGGGAGGGGCCTTGTTACCTTTTCCATAGCACCACACTCAATCAAGCCTTCCTTCAGCTTCTCAGCCATTTGTCGCACAGGATCCACATCGATAAACTTGGGCTCTGAACGGAACCGAAGACTCTTCATGAGATAGCCCATCTGGCCATCATCTCCGCCCTTTCCGTTCTTCTTGGGTCCCGTCTTCCTAGGACCTGACAGCTTGGTCTGTAGCTCCTTGTCGAATGTGGCAGAGAAGACGAGCGTCTGTCTGTGGTTGCTGTCCTCGTCGCCGTCGTCGTCGCTGCCGCTATCCTCATCGTCGGCAGGGCTGTTCCTGTCCAGGGCACCAATGACATCCTCAGCCTCCTTGAACTGGCCAGCCTTGAAGAGACGGTCCGCCTCATCGACGACAAGGAAGCGAATTTTGCTAAAGACGTCCTGAAGCTTCGAGTCCCCCTCGAGGACCTCCCACAGACGACCGGGCGTACCGATGACGATGTCTGCGCGGGCCAGCTGGCGACGCTGCTTCTGGATACTCAGCCCGCCAGTGATGACGCAGACGAAGGGCGCAGAGGAAGGCAGACGGTCGCACACGGCCTTGATGTGGTCGCCTATCTGCTTGGCCAGCTCGCGCGTGGGGCTCATGACTAGGGCGAGCGGCTGGTGCGTACCCTCGTCCTTTCGCCGCTCAAAGTCCTGTTCGGTCCTGCCCTCGGCCAGCTCCAGCCACCTCTCGACGATGGGGATGCCAAACGCCAGCGTTTTACCCGATCCCGTCTGAGCCTTGCCGATGACGGACTCGCCGCTCAGAATGTCCGGGATCGCCCTCTTCTGGATCTTGGTCGGCTTGGCGAACTTCAGTCCGGCAAGGGCAGACAGCAGCGGGGGCGACAGGCCGAGCTGGACCCACGGTGCCATGTCCATTTCCGAGTCATCGTTGTCATGGTATTGGAGTGCGCTGAAGGCATTGCCGCCGACTCTATGGGAGTCTTGTAGTTGGGCGTCTTGCTGCTGCTGCTTTTTCTTCTTCTCCTTGATTGCGGGGGTCTTCTCCTCTGTACCCGTCTCCTTTGCCTTTGTCTCCTCCTTATTTTTCTTCTTGCCCGGCCTCTCCTCTACCACATCTGTCTTTGTGTTTGTCTTCTTCTTATTCTGCCCCTCCCCCTCGACGGGCTCAGCTTCTTGCTCGTTGTCGTTGTCGTTGTCGCTGAATCCTTCGAAATAATCCTCCTCCCCCTTGTCATCACCGTTGGTATCGGCATCGGCCTTGGTCTCCCCCTCCTTGACCAGAAATTCCACCTTGTTACCGTTCTTGACGACGCTGACATTGTCAATCACCTGGAGGCATCCGAAGATGTCCTCGTCCACCGACTTCCATGCCAGGGCGTTGGCGTCGACTGCCCGTCGCGGGGTCTGTTTCTGCTTCTTCATTCGCTTGGTCGCTGATGAGGCAGGCGTTGTAGCCGTCGCTTCAAGCTTGCGCTTCTTTGTCTGGGGCGCCATCTTTTCTTCTGTTTCGTATACGTCGTGTGTCGGTTTAGTCTTGATGGAAGACGAGAATGGTCACGGAGAAAATCTATGCGATATGGTCTTGGCGGACTGCAACTTGGAACATTCTTTTTTCTATAAAAAAAAAAAAAAATCTTTCTGCCGGTCTGTCAGCTCTAAATATGGTAGGCGGTGAGATGAGCTGAATTCACACTGCACTACCTTCAAATCTGGTAATATGAGCGTCAAGTTGGACTTTCATCACGACGCATATAACAGATACAGCATCATCATCGAGTATATGTAAATAGTGGAAGTCATTTTTGAAAACAGACAAAGAAGAGTGAATTTTTAGGTGGAACCTGTGTTCCCAATTGGTAATATGGAGGGAATAGTGAGCAAGAAAAAAGAACCGAAAATAAAAAACAGTACAGACAAATCCAGTACACATGTCTTCCTTTTTTCCCTTTGCAACGTCGCCCTCTCTCATTTGATCCAGTAAATTCTCCTTTGAACCTGGAACCCCCCAGAATATGAAGTGTAAAATATGGAAACGAGCAGAAACAGAAAGGAAAAGGAAAAGAGAACAAGATAGATAAAAAAACAAATTACGTCATGGTACAGCTAACGTACTCCCCCTCTTAACCATCAGATGACAGAGTCTCGCCTCTAGTGAGCTCCCCTTGCCCTCTTGACTCCTCCGCCAACCTCGGAATCTCCACGAGGCCTCTTGGTCCCTGGCTGGAACTCCTGAGAGTTGGGATTTAGATTGCCAGGACCTCCTCCACGTCCACCACGGCCTCCTCCGCGACCGCCGCGACCGGGCTGAGGAAGTCCAGAAGCGTGTCCTGCGCCGCCGCTGGCAGATCTCTGTCCCGGGGGAACGTAGGATCCGCGTCCGCGTCCTGCGCCGCCGCCGCGTGGCATGGGGAGGCCTGAGCCGCCCTGCTGACCCTGTTGCTGCGGCGGAGGGACCTGGGGCTTAGCAGGCAGCTTCGAAGGCTGCTGCTGGTCCTGCTGTTGCGGAGGTTGCTGCTGGCCCTGCTGCTGAGTCTGCTGAGCCTGCTGAGCTTGCTGGGGTTGCTGGGGCCTAGCCTGGGGAGGTGCTGCCGCCGTCGCGAATGGGTTTGGTGTCCCCGAGGCGCCATTGTTGGCCACTTCAAACGGATTCTTAGGCGCCGGCGGAAGGCCAGAAGCAGGAGTGCCCTGGGCCGTCGCCTGACCCTGCTGCTGCGTTCCTTCGGAGGCAGTTGCGTTGGTCCCTGCGGGCATCGAGGCCGCTGCGGCCGGAGTTGCCGGGCTCGGTGCTGCAGGCTTGGCAGCAATGGGGGTGGCAGGAGCAGTGCCAGGAGTACCAGCAACGGCGGCCGGCTTGGGCGTCGAAGAGGCAGCTGCCAAGGCATTGGCCTTCTTGGCCACCTCCCAAACCTCAACGACGGGTTTCTGAGGCGTGTCCTTGGCCGCTGTCTCTACCACGCTCAGCTTGGCCACCGCCGCCTTGAGCTTGTTCTCGCTCATGTTGATGCGCAGCGTCGACTTCTTGGACTCGAGCATCTGTGCCTGCTCCCTAGCAGCCATGATCTTAGACTCAAACTCGGCGCTTGTCTTGGCCTGTTCAGCCTCCACCTTCTTCTTGATGTTGGCTGCTACGATGCTCTTCACGGTAGCATTGCTCGAGAGGAACTGGCGTACGGCCGCATCGTCGAGCTGTGACAGGTCGAATCCGGCGCCGCCCGTTGCTGTGCTCGGCGTCGGTGGTGCTTCTTGCTGTCCGATGCCATTCTGCCCGCTACTCGCCTCGACCTTGGGCTGGGGCGTAGCGGGGGGCGCCTGCTCGCTATTGGGCGCGGCCGCCGCAGCTGCGTTCTCCGCCTTCCAGATGGCCTTTTCCTGTTCCAGCTTGAGCCCCCACTCCTCCTCCTTCTTCTTGTACTCCTCGTCCATCTGTGTCCGGCGCTCCCGGAGCTTCGAGTTAAGCGTGTCCTTCATGCGGTCCGAGCGCTCCTTGATCGTCTGCTGGATCTTGCTCTCAACCTCAATTGCCCGCTGCTCATACTCGGCTGCCTTGGCCTCGGCCGCAGCGATCTTGTCTTGGAGTGCCTTGCGCTCCTCGTCCGAGAGGCCGGCAACGCCACCTTGGGTGGCTTCAGGCGCAGAGGCGGGGGTAGGGGCAGCAGCCTGGGTAGAGCCATCGGCCGCTTCACCGCTCGTCTGGGGAGCAGCTGCTGTCGCCTCCTGGAGCTGTTGGATCGTCCGGTCTCGTTCCGCCACAGCCGCCTGCATCTCGGTGCGAAGGATTTCGAGCTGCTGCTCAGCACCCAGCTTTTGGGCGTTGAGCGCCTCGAGCTCCTTGCGGGCGTCTGTGAGCTGCCTCTCAAGCTGGGCCACGACCTCGGCCGAAACAGAGGCCTCGGCTGGTACTGGAGCGGCAGCGGCCTGAGGCTGCTGGTCCACGGCCATGGCGTCCAGGGGAGGTGCTGGCTGCTGCTGCGGCTGCTGCTGGCGCAGTTCGTCAACCTGCTTCTTGAAATCCTCAATCTGCTTTTGCAGTTGTGACTTCTGTGTCGTCGACTCGGTCGCCTCCTTGCGCACATTCTCCAGCTCCGTTGTCTTCTGGCTGAGCTGTTCTTGCGCCTCGTGGAGCTGCTGCATGGCCACATTCCTCTCGCCGGTGAGCTTGCGCGAGCGCTCCTTGAACTGCTCCGCGAGCTTGGAGCGTGTCGTCTGCCAGTTGTTGCGTTCCGTCTCCAGCGTCGCCGTAATCTCGGCCAGCTGGTCCTTGAGCGGCTGCTCCGACTCCTTGAGCGATTTGCACTCCGCCTCGAGCCTAGTCACCGTTTCCTTGAGGTTGTCCATCTCAGTCGGGTCGACGCGTCCATACTTGGTGAGGATACCTTCGACACGCTTCTGCCAGCGGTCGCGATCCTCCTGTACCTGCTTAATCTCCTCCTCCAGGAACGTCTTCTGCGTCTTGATGGTGTCGATCTCAGCCTCTAGCGGCTGCACCTTGGCCTCAATCTGCTCGACCAGCTTCGTCTTCTCCGCGACCAACCCCTTGAGCCTGGCATTCTCGTTGCGGAGTGTCATGCTGCTTTCGCGGTACAGGTTGAGTTCGTTGAGCTTGTCCATGAGATCCTGGTGCATGATGGATGAGCGGCCGTTCTGCGCCGCCTGGTTGCGCTCCTGGTCTAGCTTGAGCTTCGTCTCGTCGAGCTGAGACTGCGTGTACTCGAGCTGCTGCTGGAGGCGCTTCGATTCCTGGGTCTTGAGATCGTACTGCACCTCGAGAATCTCCTTTTCACGGCGCAGGTAGCTGTTGAGTTCGCGGAGACCCTCGCTGGCATCGCCGATGGGCACAGGTGACATGCCCTCGTCGCCGTCGCCGCCACCGGACTCGGGGTCGCGCTTCTGCTGAAGTGAGTTGACCTGGGACGTTAGGCCTTCAAGCTGCTGGTGGAGAAGCTTGTTCTGGGCATCCACATCCTTGCGGCGCGCCTTGAGCTCGTCAATCTCCTGCTCGAGACGCTGCTTCTGGTCCTCCCACGATGCTTCGCTCTGGGCCAGCGTAACCTTGGCTGACTCAGCCTCAGTGCGTAGGGATGTCGTCTCGCTCTTGAGTTCGTTGTATTCGCCACGCAGCTGCTGTACAAGCTTGGCGGCCTCGGCGTGCTTGACCAGCTCCTGCTCGTAATCCTGCTGGGCCTTGGTGGCGATGTCGGCCTGTGCTCGGAGGTCCTGCTGGTGGAAGCGGGACATTTCCATGTGCCTGGCGCTGTCTTCTTTGAGTCGCGCAACCTCTTCGTCCAGGATGGCCTTCTCGTCCTCGTAGCGTCGTGCGACTTCTCCCATGGAGTCACGCAGGCTCGAAAGTTCAGAGTTAGAGCGCGACAGCTCACTAGACATATCCTCGATGCGCTGCTCTAGCTCCTTGATCTTCTTGTTCTTCTCCTCCACAAGCACCTCCATCTCCTGCTGGTACTGGCTTTGAGACACCCGTAGGTCCTCAAGAGTCTCCTCGTTGCTCTGGCTGAGCTCCTTATATTGTTCGGCCTGGGCCTTGGTGTTATCTAGATGGGTCTTGGCCAGGTCCAGCTCGCGCTTGAGGTCCGAGACTTCGTTATTGAGATCCTGAATCTCCAGCTCGAGCTCCTGGTCGTTGTTGGCTGTGACACCAGGGCGAGGAGTAGGTCGCGGCTGCAGACGGCCGACACGCTCTTCGGCGTTGCGTAGCTCGACCGTCAGTTCATCGACGCGAGCCTGAAGATGGTCACGGGTAGTCTTAACACTGACGTGCTCCTCCCGCAGCTGGCTAAGACTGGCCATGAGCTCGTCGATGCGCTTCTGGGCCTCCTTGACCTCATATTCCTTCCTCAACTGCAACTTCTTGGTCTCCTCAGATTCGCTGTTGAGCTTCCTCTGCGCATCGCTCAGTTCCCGCTCCAGCGTCTCGACGCGAGCTTGGGCCTTGCGACGGGCCTCCGACTCCGACATGGCTCTCTCATTTTCAAGGGATTGTTGGGTCGATAGAAGGTTGTTTAGTCTGTTCTTCTCTTCGATAAGACCCTCGTTGTCCTTTGTCATGCGTTCGTGAATGTCATTCCATAGCTTCTTCTCGGCCTTGAGATTGGCCGTCTCATTGCGCATGCTGTCCAGGAGCCCTCTGGCCTCGATGAGCTCCTCGGCAACCTGCTGGGTTCGGATATCCTGTTTGGCGGCCGTCTCGGACAGAGCCTGGCTGCGCTTCTGCAGCTCCATATTCTCGGTCTGGAGGGCAACATAGTTGCTCTGTAGCATCTCCCTCCGCTCGGACTCAAGTCGGGCCTCCCCGTGAAGCTTGATCTTCTCCGTCTGCAGCGAGTTCTTCTCGGCCGTCAGGTGTTCAATCTGGCTTCGGAGATCCTTGCGAACACCGTCCTGCGCGTCGCGGAAACCATCGTACTCGGACTGGAGCTTGCGGAGGGCCTCATTCAAGGATTCAATCTGCTCGGCAGGCTCAATGCTGGTAAGCGGGAACCTCTGGCTGCCATCAAGCGATGCGCGCATCATGGAGGCATCGTTGCCGTTGGCGCCGCGCTGCTGCAAGATGCGGCGGAACATGTCGCGCTCCATTTTGTAGCTCTCCATCGTGTTCTTGATTGACTTGGCCTCCTCAGCCATGTGTTCCAGCTCCTGCTGCAGCCTATCAACCTGGTCGTGGTCCTGCTTGGCCTGGTGCTTGGCTGCCAGAGCCTCCTCACTCTCAATCTGCTCAGCCAGCTCGCGCGTGATGCGAAGCACCTCCTCATTCTTCTGCTGTAGTGACTTGATATCCTTGAAGACGACAAGGCGCTCCGTAATGAACTGGTGGGTGTCCGACATGTCGGAAAGGGCCTCCTCGGTGATTTCGCCCCTTTCAAGCTGCTGCAAGCGAATCTTCTCCTCGTCGGTGAGCTTGTCCATGCCCTTCTCGAGTGCATAAATATTGAAAACGAGGTACTGTGTCTGGGTGCCCAGGTCGCGGACCTGGTTGCGCAGAATGTTGACCTCGGCCTGAGCGGTTGCGAGAGCCGACTCCGCCTTTCTAGCGGCCCTTCTGGAATTGTCACGCTCCTCAAAGCTTTGTTGAGACAACTCCGACATCCTTGCAATCTCTGTGCGCAGGGTCTCGGCCTCGGACTGGAGTTCTTGGATCTCGGGCGCCTTGGCCTCAAGGTCGGCCATCATGCTGTCCAACTCCTCCGAGAGCTGGTGGCTCCTCCTCTTCTCGCTAGCCAGCTGTGCCTTGACCTGATAGAGCTGTTCGATGGCCTGGGTAGCGGTAATGACCGACTTGCTGCGGATCGAACCGGGCGTGGCAAAAGGCGACGATGCCCGCGGGGCAAAGGCGCCGTTGGCACGGGGGGTTTGGGGGCCTGAGGATGCAGGCGGTGCCTGCTCAGCACGGATGTGGAGCTCGTCAATCTCGCTCTCCATATTCCTAATCTTCTCCTCGAGCTCAGATCCGGCCTGGCGCTCCTGCTCTAGCTCGACGCGAACACGGTGAATCTCGCCTTCGTAGTTGTCTCTGAGGCGGGCCTTTTCGTTCTCAAGATCGCGTACGCGTTCCTGGTGTTTCTTGCTAAGCTGGTCTGACATGTCAGCCAAGCGGCGCTGATCATCAAGTTCGTGCTTGTAGCTTTCTATCGTTGTGGCAAACGAGCCCTCCTGCTGCTGCAGCTTAACGAGGACTTCGTCCGCTTTTGCCTGCATAGTAGCCAGTCGCTCACGCAGCTGCTGGTCGGCCCTCTTAAGAGTTTCCATCTCGGATTTGGCATCTTCGTTTTGTCGCTGGAGCTCTGCGATGCGAGCACCCTTTTCTTTACGGTATTTGAGGGCCTCGTCACTCTTGGTCTTCAGTTCGGATTCGAGCCACTCGCTGTTACGGCGGGCAAGGTCGAGCTGCTGCTGGAGGGATTCTTCGCGGTACTTGGCACTGCTGAGCTGGCCCCTGGCATTCTGTTCGGCTTGCTGAAGCGACGTGATTTCGCGAGAGAGTTCGACATTCTTCTGATGCTGTTTGGTGAGCTCCTCGGTAAGGGTCTGATCGCGCTTGTTGTTTGATTCGATGATGCTCAGGCTGGTTCGGTTCGATGACTGGAGCGTCTCAATCTTGTCGCTGAGAGCCTTGATCTCATCATCGTGGCTTGCATCCTTTGCCTTGAGTGACTGAAGTTCGTTCTCGACGTTCTGGCGCTTGTTTTCTGCAAAGGTCGGGGGCCAAGGTTAGATACGAGTGAGCAGAAGCGGGGGGAGCAAAATATATGTTGGTCTGGCCGGGCACGGATGGGGTTACAAACCTTCTTCACGGAGTTGCTGCCGCGTCTCCTCCAGCTCCTTCAGAGCCTTCTCAGCAGTAGCTTTTGAGGCCGTCGAGCGAGACTCGGAGCTGCGGACGGCGTTTTCGAGCTCAATGTCGGTCTGAAGCTTCTCGGCGTACAAGGTGTCAAACTCGTGGGCCTTGGCGGCGACAGCCTGAAGCAGGGTGGAAACAAGCTCGATGGTGGGCTGTGTCGTCAAGTTGGTAATGACGGGCTGATCGAGGCCTAGATGGCCTGCGATGTATCCCGCATCCACCTGGACGGCAGCCATGATGAATGCCTACGTTGTGAGCAGCGTGGGAATCCTCATTCCCTGACGCTATGTAGGCTCAACACGGCAACGCGACCACGATCGAAAGAGACGGTGAGAGAAGGGGGAAAAAGTAATAGAAGAGGAAAAGAAGGATAAAGACCAGCGTCCCAAGCGACTCTTGTAGACGGTCGGTCGGGCAGCGCTTCGGTCGTATGCGCAAAATGGCGAGAGGGGATGAGTTGGTGATGGAGCTGAAGCAACAGACCAACAAACAAAAAGAAGGCTTCAGGTTCCTTCCCTTTGTTCGCGTTCAACGCCTCGCAGCTGCTGCACCAACAGGAACGCCGCAAAGCCAGATGTTGGTCCGTGCGACCACGTGCACCAGCCACATTGTGCACCAGCCACGAGCTGTTTATCCAAGCTTTAGCCGATGTGCATTGAGATTACCCTAGACGGTAATTTAGAAATCTTGAGCAGTTTAAGAGTCTGAAGCCATATAAATGAAGTCTTCATGATACAGTCCACTCGTACAAATAATTTAGAGATATTCTCGCATCCCATCAAACGTCGATAGAAGATCTTATCGAAGTTAAGCTCTTGTTCTATGGGTGAATATTGCTCGTTACCTTCAACCACCATCAAGTAGCATCCAACACATACATGTTTTCTACAAGTCATGAAGATACAAACTTCCAACACGAATTGAAGACTTTCAGAGAATTTGGAACTTGATGTGCCTCAATCCAGTGACTTGATTGACAGTCATAAAAAAACCATTTAGATACAATCCAGGTTGTCTCCTCTGATATAGTCGAAAACAAGCCGATGGGGACCCAGCCCTACACTAGCATTGCGCTATATAAGACTCAACTTTCAACAACTCCTCATCCATCCAACATTGGTCGCGTGGCCCAATGGCAAGGCGTCTGACTACGAATCAGAAGATTGTGGGTTCGATCCCCACCGTGACCTTCCTTTTTTGCCCTCATTGATGATCTATGGCATCAATAACTCGTAGATTTTTCAAAGCATGTCACAAGCTTCTTTTTGTGTTACCCTCATCTTCTTGGGATCATGGGCCGCCGCCAGGGGGAGAAGGGGGGGGGGGGGCATGTGAAGCCTGGTCTAAGACTTGCATGTAGCTCTCGATGACATTTAGATGCAGCTTACCGCCAAGTATAAACACAGAGAAATAAGAAAGGAAACACAATGTGCAGTTGTACTTGCTAGACATGCGGTATTCGACGGCCTTGACGACTTTGCCGGCTATAGACTGTCCAAGGCACTTTTGAGGTCGGTAGTGGGACAATGCAGAGAGAAACTATGTCAATGATCTGCAAAACATGTTGTAAGTCTACCTGCCCCATTCCCAATGCATACTTACACGGATATTGACAAGTTGCTAACCTCCGTCACCCACTGTCTACATCAATCGGCACATATACCTATTGAGAATGGATGGGTAATACACGACGGGAATAATATTACACAACTAAAGGCGTGCTTCTGACTCCTTCAGTCAACGTCGGGCATGCAAGCCCGCACCTTGCCCTCCTCAAAACTCATGGCAACACGAGCTCCGAAATCGAACGGGTTGCCTTCGTATACAACAAAGTCGTCGACTGGCTCAAGCTTCAGGATCGTCTCAATGTTCTTAGACACCAAGTCGAGTGCCAAGCTGTGATTGCCAGGACCAGCGATCCAGCCAGCTTCCCAAATGCTGGTTCTGATGTGGTTGTTGGTGTCGTCCCAGTTGGAGATTCCCACTGTGACACCTGCATCTAGTAAGACCTGCGGCCCAAAGGCATCCGTCAGAGGCGGGCCAGGCAGACAGTTGCGGCCGTCCCAGAACAAAGGTTCGCAGCCCCAGAATGGTGAGACAATGACGGGGATTTCAGCGTCAGCAAGCTGCGATGCCAGAAGATGAGCTTCACCACCGCCCATAATGACAATATGAGCACCGGTCTCGCGTTTCAGAGCAATCATATGAGCAATGACGTCCTTGTTGTTGGTGTGGATGACGACTGGCATGTCGCCATCGACTGCACGTTGGTAGGCTGGGTGGATATGCTTCTCGATTGTGAGAAGATCATGCAGTTTGCTGATTTGAGATGTTATCGATGGCGTTTGGGAACCTATATAATTGGTTAACAGATATATCTGAAGCGTGGAGAATAGCTCACCTACTCTTGCCATCATGCCCGATAGTAAAGTGCAGCGCAGGCCCTGATGCGGAGATGGCGCCGTCGTCGAGAACTATACTCAATCAGTATCATACTCGCGCTGAATATATCGTCTGTTTCTCTTTTCTCCTTTCTCCATTCAGAAAAATTCCTTACCGCTCTCTGCACCGGCGCGGAATCTTGTGCTAATTCCGTGGAAGAAGCCCGTTGTAATGGGCGGCGTCACTATGCGCGTGATGCCACCGGTGTAAGCTCGCCGAACGTGCACACCATCAAACTTGATGCCAAATCTGCTTTCGAGAGGCCTCGAGTATTCTTCGCCGGAAGACGCTCCATCAGTTGTTGATGGCTCTTGACGCATCTCGACAAGGCCGTGTTGCCGTGTAACGATAGTGAGACCCTTTTTCGGCAATTAAGTCAGCCAGGTCTTCTAAATGGCACGAATTGGGAACATACCGGGACTAAATATCCATCGCTGACGTTTATGAAAGCGACACCTTCTTGTTCAGCATCCTTCACGTCATCCTGACAGCTCGATCCGCCGACGCACACCACTTTACCGGAGCGGACAACGGCAGTTAGATTCCGCCCATATATACCGTCACCCCGGAGTCCATTATCGCCGATGTAGCTTTGCGTAATCCCGTGAAGAACAAAGTCTGACTGGCCAACGTCGCAGCTGCTGTTGATTCCCGTACTTGGGCGTACTGGAGGAGCATCTCTCGCATATGCCAGACCCTCGGACTTGCGCCACAGCTCCTCCGAAGCACGAACGACGCTGTTCCCTTCAATGTAAACTCCTAGCGGGGTGGCGCCGACGCGCAATGGATGCCTGTCCCAGATAACCAGGTCGGCATCATATCCAGGTTTCACAAATCCAAGTCTGCAACTAGTTAGCGAGCTCGATCGACAACTGTACATAAAACTTCGACAGTTTACACACCTATTAGAAAGGCCCATGATACGAGCTGGTTCACCAATGACAGACGATATGGCATGCTCGGTGTCAAGGCCAAAATGGTGCGCGATTTGTGCTTCGTATATCAGCCATTGGCCATGCTCAGCAGGATGGTCTCGAGTCAGGGCAAAAGGAACACCGTGGTCGACCACGTGCTTGGGCAAATACGAGCTCACATCGTAGAGCTCCTTCTTGTCACCCCAAGAGTCCGAGAACCCAACGATGCTGATTCCCCTTCTCTTGATCTCCTCCGCGACGAGGTCGGAATGCAGAGCATGATGTAAGGCGGTGATTTTGAAGCCGAACTCATCAGCGTGATCAAACATGGCAAGTATGTCCTCGGTTTCATACCCGTGAATGTTCACACGAACGTTGCCGCGTAGGACATCAACCAGCGTTTGCCACTCCAGAGAGCGAGGATATTCAGTTGACAGCGATTCCCGACCAGCTGTAGTGGAGGCTGCTTCGCACCACATGTCCTGCTCCTGCTTCAGCCGCCGAGCATTATCATATGCCTTCCTGAACCAATACGACTCCCCGAGCCTTGTTGAGGGACCACCGGGTACGTTCTCAAATTGTCTCTTCTGGTTCTCTCCCATGGCCATCTTGAGATATCTCATCGGTTTGGGGCTGCCCTCGGTGACATTGACGAGCATGTCGCGCACCGAGTCTGCCTGCCTCATCTTGACGACAACACCTTCCCCTGAAATCAGGTTCTTGGCGCCGGTGAGAACCAGCGAAGTCGTCACACCGCCGCTGCCAATGATCGGAATGGCCTGGTCATGGGGCTTGAGCGCATCAACAGCGCGTCCCCAAGGTGTAAGTGGCGCCGATATCTCGGTCACGTCCTCGGTCGCCCAGAGCTGGGGCGTCTCTCGGACACCAGCATGCGAATGCACATCTACCAGCCCGGGCGTTACGATGCGTCCCTGAAGATCGACAAAAGCCGCGTCGGAGGAGGAAGACAGATCTTCGAGGCTGGGGAACGTTGTCGATACTTTGGTGAAAATCGAGCCCTGCATTTCAATGCTGCATCCCAACGTAACCTCGCCATCTCCGTTGATGAGAGTTGCATTATAGAAGACAGTGCGTATCCCATTCCTGGGAAGCGATAGCCTCTCGGTGGCAAGTTCATAATTCACGACCGGATGCTGCTGGTTGAGCGCACATTGGGAAACACCATATTCAAGGTCTGCCGCGGGGAGCACTTGGAACGTGTTTGGCGCTGTTACACGCGTTGGCGTCCAGCGTGTCGACAGGTAGTAGGTCGTGACGATTGCTAGAATACAGCTCGTAATCGAGCTCTTCCCGAGACCTGCTGCGGTTCTTTGATGGCTTCCATGCGGTCCCCCGTGCCACTGGGGCATTTGTGAGGTCTTCATGGCAACAACGGGTAGTTCCGGATTGAGATATTGGCCAAAGTTGTACTGGCAAAACAACCCGAGCCTCGAAAACGCCCACGGTTATAATGTAAACCATTCCGATCCGATCCAGTAATACGTGCTTATCACAATGCCTGCTTCGAATTACATAGACTTGGTCCATCCCCGGCGTTGATAGCACAAGCCGAGGAACTTTCCCAATCAGGAAATGCATGACCGACGGACGAGGTGAAGGCGACGATTGCACTCATATACTACCATGCACGATTGTGCTGCTCTTAATCAATATCCCTGAATGATTGTCTGCCGTCACCTTGCACCCAGTCATAGCCCAAACCTCGGCAGAGGTCTTCCGCTTTTAGGTCGTCTTACAAGAGAACAGTTATTGCATGGATTCCTATTTCCTATGCAGCATCGTAGCCAGTGTCTTGGCTACAGCTTTCAAAAACCATACAGGTACAGGGCCGTCTTGGCTAATTCAATGCGGTTATTGTACAGTTACAAATATGTTCGAATCTTCGTCTCTTCGCTAGGCAAAGCACCATTAGACAACAACAACAACAACAACAACAACCCCCGGTTTCCAATAGCAAAATGCATACATAGCATGTGTACCCACTGCCTTACATGACATAACGGAAGATGACCTTCTGCTGCTTATCTGTGAGGTCTAGGAACTCGTCTTGTTCCACTGCAGCCTCTGTTACTTCCGCGGCCATGCGATCACGTTTCTTGTTCTCCCAGATCAAGTAGTACCTCAGGGCGATGGTGAAGACAATGCATAGGGCAAAGCAGACGAATGATGCTCGGAATGCTGTCTCATACACTGGCGCCTCCTCGGCAAGGAATAGCTGTGGAGCAATGACTTGGCCGACACAGAAAGCCACGTACATCATGGCGCCGGCGGTGGCCTTCTTGGTGTAGCCCGCAAAGTTACTTGAAACGAGAGACATGGTCAATGTGCCGACGATACCGTGCGTCTGCACGATGTAGTAAGACCCAAGAAGACCACGCTGGTTCTCTCGGGGGAGGGTGTAGAGGAGGACTGCACCAATGAGGGCCGGGATTTGGCATCCTGTGTTCTGTTAGAAACAGCCGTACTGAATCGGGCACCAACCACCAACACCATCCGTTAGGTACGTACCAGCAATGAGCCATGTCCTGATATTCTTGAACTTGCTTGTCATGAATCCTCCAAAGATGATGCATATGGCCTGAATGACACCGAGAGGAACCAGAAGGAGAGTGGAGTAAAGCGTGCTGTACCCGAAACCCTTGACGACAATGCTGCCGAACGAGGCGACACCCCCCGCGGGGATGTCGTCCAGGAAGAAGGTAGCAACGAGCATCCAGCACTGAATATCCATGATGCACTCCTTGAATTGTGACCACTTCCACACGTGGTTCTCCACACCGGTACGGTTACTGCGTACGCGTTCGATGGCAAGGGCCCGATCGTGTTCAGACAGCCACCGGGCATTCATGGGGGAGTCGGGCAGATAGAAGAACAGGAAGCAGCCGTACACGACGGTTATGGCTCCAAAGATGATGAAGAACCACGCCCAGTTCGGCACAGTTGACGAGTTGATATGCGCAATTCCGTAGCCGAGAAGGCCGCCGCAAACCTGGCCGATGGAATTGCCCAGATACCAGAATGTGATGCGCAGTGGCTGCTCATCGCGGAGCCACCACTGGGAGGAGATGACGATGAATGCGGGGTTGATGCAGGACTCGAGACAGCCCAGGATGGCACGGATAGTCATCAGGCTTGCGAAATCGCGAGACGCCGGCATCGTCATCAGGACCGCACCCCACAGGACAGTGGCACATGCCACGAAGCGACCGACGGGGAAGCGCACAATCAACCGAGCGACAAATGGCTGCGATACCATGTATGCTATGAAGCATTGGTCAGATGTCTCCACAACGCGTGCCTGAGGTTCGGAGACGATGTCTTACCCAGATAGAAAACAGAGCCAGAAGCCCAGCTGTACTGGTCTCCATGCAAATTCTTTGGCGTGTCAACCTACTGCAGAAACTAGGGAGTGCGTGTGCAATTGACGGGAGTACATACATGGTCATCAATAAGACCGAAGTTGGCTGAATAGGACAAGGCATTCTTGTCCATGAAATTGAGGGTGTAAGTGATGACCATCTTCACACAGAAGGTTGTTAGTATGGCGCCATCACACACACACACACACACACACACACCCCCTTTCGCTAACAAGAGAGGGAGGGAGTAGAGAGGGAGGGAGTCAAGGGGGAAAGAATCTTACAAGAGGCAAAAGATGCAGGTCAATCTTGCGCAGGATGCGCTTGTTCTCGGCCTCAGTCAATGGCCCGACATTGTGCTCTTTCGCGAACTGAAAGGCCTTGTCAACTTCATCCACGGCACCCTCAGCAACGGACTCAACAGCCTGCCTGTTCTCGGGCTTCTTCTCCAACGTGTCTGCCATGACGTGCGTGGTTCAGAAACGTATGTCGGGGGATGGCCAGCAGACTAGTGTCATCAAGGTCCTCGAGGGTCATCTCCTCTATTAAAGACGGGAGAGCGCATCCTATGCTCGCATGCTTATCGGCTTGGGCGTGGTGCAGGGGGGGGGGCTTCCGTTGACGAGTGACTCCTGGTAAGAATTATTAGATGACCACATCTCAAAGGGCTTAGTGGCACATGAGCGGCACTACGACGGTGCGGAGGTGGGGAGATGCGGCGATGGGCTAAACGTCCCATGCTTATCAGCGGTTGGGTGGGGTTTGGCCGTGCAGAAGCAGGGATATCGCATAGCCGAGAAGACTTCCTATAACAGGAAGGCGCGAACAGATGGGTTGTCGCCTCTCTCGCTCGTCATTCTTCCATATCTTTTGACACATTTTCTCCTCCACTTCCTCGTCCAAAGAGGCAACTGCTCTGGCGTCCGTGTCATCCTATACATCAGTACTATCTGAAAATTCATCGGAACCAAGGACGTTCGTCGGCTGCCATGATCCACTCTTCCCCGAGAATTGGATGAATGCACAGAATATGGTCAAGACTCGTGTTGCCAGGTCCAAGACAGGTCGGTTCACCTCACTCCCCCTCTGGGCCCTGGCCCTTCTTCCCCCGCAATATCCACCGATCCCCACGCGTCGCATGCTAACGGGGTGTGTCTTCCGAAGGCTGCCAATCATGTCGTCGTCGCAAGGTTCGCTGTGACGAGGAGAAGCCTATGTGCAGTGCCTGCTCACGACTCGAGCTTCCCTGCTCGTATGAGCCTGGCAACGCAGCAAAGCCTGTGGGGGCGTCGCGGTATCGAGTCCGCTTCGTCAATGGGACTTATTCCAAGAAGCGGTCTCGGGGCAGCGTTTCCGAGACTGTCCAGAACTCCACTGCCGAGGACAGTCAACTTGGCGTTCCGGGGAAACAACGCGGAAAAGAGACATCTAGGCCTGAATACCTGCAAAACACTCGCGGGTTCGACGCTCGCTCTGGAGCAACCAGTCCGGAGACTAGACAGCCCTCGGCACAGCCATTGGCTTCGGCTTCGGCCCGCGACAGTGCTGCCTCTAGAGATGTGCAGGTGCCAGACGTCACAGCTGGTGTGGGACGGATAGGACCCCATGCAGCTCAGGGAGACGAGGGGCATATGCCGGTGTTTTTCGATCTCAACATGAACTTTGACTTGCTCAGTGAAGAATGGCTTGCTTTCGGTCAACCCCCAATCGACTCTTCGGAAGCTGCCGTCGATGGGAGTCAACATGCCATTGCGGGATCAAGTGTGGACGAGAGTTCTGTCATGATCGGCATGGAAGACAACGGTCTTATCCAACACTACCTCAACGTTATGACGCAGTACACAAAGATACGGAGCTCCCGAGACGATAACATCTACACACACATCTTTAGCAACATGGCATTGTTCTATGCGCCTCTATACAACGTCATAATGGCCTGGACAGCCTTGCATCTCGGGCAGACCCGGACCGAGCCTGACCTCGTCCAAAAGGCCGAAGAGCGTTACCACCACGCCATCTCCCTGATACATGAAGATCAAGAGGTAGCCCACCACTTTGAGCTTTCCCTCGTCACCATATGGTTTGCACTCCAATTCGAACTACTGGCCGCTCGGGGTGTAGACTCCTTCTTCCGACACCTAGAATTCACAGCCGATCTCGTTGAAGCGCACAGGCGGCATCAAAAGGCCGGCGGGACCGCGACGCCACTTGGTCCCATCGGTTCCAGGATCTTGATATGGCTTGGCACCTATGATGCCCGAGCAGCTTGGATTGGAGGTGCTGGGCGGCTTCTACAGAACCTTGAGCTGTTCTGCACGGAACATGACTTTATCGATGCCGCATTCCCAGATGTCCAGGATGACACCGATCTGTCTGATTTGAAGTCGTGCTTGCGCTTGACCCTAGAGATAGATTCTCTCGACAACATGATTGCGCAGCTCAACAACCGAACGGTTGCCGGTCCGGCTGCCATCCTATTGGCCATCCAGACTGATTTGCTCTTCCTGCAACATCGTTTGGAGAGTGGCTCAAGGATATCACCCGCGCTCCCTGCAATCTTGAGGCCTACACGGCAAATCGATGGCGAAGTCACCACGGGCTTGTTCAACGACTTAATCCTTCTTGCGGCATGCTACTGTCTCATCATAAGCTTCCATAGGGTCCTACCCGCCTCCGTGGCCGGTAGCTTGGCCGGGAAGCTGATGTCGGCCGAAGCAGCAGCAACGCGCATTCTTCGCATTACTTCCTGGACATGTCGACACCGGCCACCATCGCCACAAAACATTTGGCTGCGGATATTATTCATGGCTGGGGTCGAGACAACCGACCTGATATCTCAAGATTGGGTTACCATGACACTTGCTAATGCCGAGCGCTGGGGTACTAATTTCAAAAAGACGCGCATTCTGTTAGAGCATGTGATTGAACAGCAAAGTCGGAGTGGAACTAGACTCGACCATGTTGATGCGATGAGGCAGTCTACGGGATTATTTATCATCTGATCCACCCAGGCATTGAAATATTACATCGTGTGATTACAAACCAACCCCCCCCCCCTCCTCCTCTCCATGTACATGTATCTTGACTTATGAGATTGGCGTGTACGGATACATGAGCAGATGCTCAAATCTGACGCAGCTCTTACTCGTATTCCTTATTTGCCGGCATGCTATCTGGGCCAACGGTTGCTTCTGCAGCCGAGAGCAGCACGTCGGGGTTGGATTATTCCACTTTGGGAAATTCCTCGCATAGTACTCCAGCATCCTTATCTCGCCATGGACATGGACAATGGGTGAAGCAAGGGGATGCCGCCGCGCCTGATATTTCTTTGAAAGGACAAAAAAAAACGTGTACCGTAATATCAATTTCAATCTTCTAGACCAGTCGAGCAATCATGGAGAAAAACAGGTTGGCGTGGGAATCCGGGCCTTGGGGAGCGGGCAACTCCAGACCTCAAGCTCGCAAGTCACTGCTTGGCCTGGTGGCTCTGGTATTATTTATCGGACTCGTATTTACCCCGTTCCCATATTCGCATGCTCCGAACCGCATTCTAGGCTCATTCCGCGAGAACTCTTACAACGCTTATGACAGCTGGTGCCCATTGTCTGATCCCGTCGTCTCTCACAACGACAGTCTCAAGGAGAGCGAGCATCTGTTTAGTGATGTACAGCGATCTCTACAAGTCAAGCGTCTTTCGACTGCGGTCCGGGTCCCCACCGAGAGCTATGACGATAACGGAGAGGTTGATGAGGATCCTCGGTGGGAAACGTTTCTCAAATTCCACTCTGTCTTGGAACATCTCTTCCCACTCGTGTAAGTGGATTTCCCTAGACTTTCGGAAGAAGCACGTTTCTGATCACGGGAACTTGTATATAGCCACTCTCAACTTGAGTTGCGCAAAGTGAACAGATTTGGCCTTCACTACGAATGGAAGGGTAGCGATGATCTGCTCAAGCCCATCCTCTTCATGGCCCACCAAGATGTGGTTCCTGCCGATGCCGGTTCAGCATGGACATACCCGCCCTACGACGGTTATTATGATGGGACGTTTGTCTGGGGACGAGGCGCTGCCGACTGCAAGAATGTATTGATTGGAATCCTGTCGGTCATCGAAGACTTGATCTCTCAATCCTTCCAGCCCCGTCGCACCATCGTTCTTTCGTTTGGATTCGATGAGGAAACTGGCGGAGAGCGGGGAGCAACAAAGCTGAGCGAGGCTCTCGTCGAGAAATGGGGGCCCGATTCCTTTTTGTTTATACTAGACGAAGGCGGTATGGGTCTTCAGACTGTCGGGGACATCTTATATGCCTACCCTGCTGTCGGGGAGAAGGGATACTACGATGTACAAGTCACACTCGGTGTCCAGGGTGGACACAGCTCTAAGCCCCCTCCCCACTCGGGCATCGGCATCATGTCTGATGCCGTCCTTGCTCTCGAGGGAAAGACGTACAGTCCTCGACTGCCGAAATGGAGTCCGTTCCGAAGAGTGTTGGAGTGCAAGGCCAAGCACTCCCCCGATAAGGTTCAACCGTGGCTTCGCGAGTCACTGCTCCATGACAGAGAGGAGGAGATTGCGCGCAAACTGTCGGATGAGATCGGTGAAGAGAAATGGCTGATGCAGACGAGCCAAGCGGTCGATGTCATCTCTGGCGGCATCAAGGTCAATGCACTGCCTGAGACCGTCAAAGTCAGCATCAACCATCGCATTGCGATACATGAATCGCAAGATAATGTCAACCAACACATCCGCCAGGTTCTGGAGCCCATTGCCGAGAAATACGGCCTCGTTTTCAAGGGTATTGATCCTCCAGGCGAGGGACCAGATGTCGACGACATCGATATCACCGGCACTCTCGAGCTAAGCGTCCTGCAGACGCTGCCCATCGCCCCTCTATCCCCTACGGATAACAATGTATGGGCGATTTTCAGCGGAACCCTACGGTCTGTTTTCGAAAGTACGGAGTCTGGAAAGGGGAAGACAGTCGTTCCTGTAGGCAACGTCATGACTGGCAATACGGACACGACACACTATTGGGACTTGACGCACAACATCTACCGGTACAGCCCTGCGAGAGACGGTACACGATTGAACGTCCATGCAATTGACGAGAGGATGGAAATCACTGCTCATCTGGAGGGCATGAGGCTCTACTACGGTAAGTACGGCCACAATACCCATGGTCAATGGCATACACTAACTCCTGGAAAGATCTCATACGGAACTTTGATAGCTGGGATGATGATGAGTGATCTTTGTCGATATCTACATATAAAGGTTGCATGGACACACTTAGCATATGCAGCCACAGTCCAAACACAGTTTAACGGGAGTTGCCCTTACTGTATTGCACATGATCTACTTATATAGTTGACTGGATGTTCTAGTATTATAAGCCCACAGTGGACATGTCGTTTCTTCTATCGAGTATCACAGGGGTTCCAAAACTTGACTCAAATCCTGGTACCGCCCCTGTTGACTGGGTGTATCATGTAATATAGTATAGTATAATACGGAGCAATATACTTGTACACACTCCACGCCAGACACCGACCGACGCCCAAACAAGGCGGTTGAAGCCCAGGGATCGGAAGATCCCCCATTTTCGACGCCTATTCCTGTTCTGTGTCCGCCACATGAGCCACCGGCATTCCTCCGGGCGCATATTATTACTTTCCACAAATTCTGTGTGGTCCATGTGGCTCTCACCATATTATCGCGAGATGGCAGAGCCTTGGCTGGCATCACTCTCTTGCAACGACCCCACCCGAAGCGAGAAGCCTTCCCGATTCGGAGCCACCATTAAGACGGGCAAATGATAGCTCTACCCTGAACTCGCTCGAATGGCCCCGTTTTTGCTGGTAAGACGCGCAGAGTGTGTAATGACGGCCTGTAAAAGAATCGGGAGGTTTCGTCGGGACCCATAAGCTTATGCCTGTCGTGCATGGCCTGCTCGCTTCCCGTAGTCAGATTCGGCCTTAGTTTAGTCGGGCTTCGGCGTCATCCCGCTCAAACACTCCGGGGAAAGCGGCACTTCTACGGTCCCATGAGAAAGAAACAAGAATCTCTCATGTCCGTGAAACTCTTACTTCTTGCCCTCAATGGAGCTCCAGCTCTCAAGGTCATATGGTGGGCTTGAGGGGTGATCATGTCGCAACTCTCCTTTACAGCTCGGGAATACGCCCCGTGGGCTGTGGGCTCGGGCAGCCCAGACTACCACTCATATGAGTATATTGGGTCTTTGGAGCTCACGCCTCGGTATGTCTAGATCATCCGCCAAATACTCTAACCCGCCGGAAGGAAGTCGTCTAACTCTGCTCAGGGAAATATGGCTAGGCCGTCTCCGGCACGTGTCGCAATTCATCGGCCAGGGCAATCTCCATCTCATATGTATCCCGCTGTCACTGATTCCACTTCTCTTCACAAAATCGAGATGGAAATCGGCTTCACGGCCTCAGCTATCTCTTGCACACTCCACTTCGTTGGCATCTGCCCTTCCGCAAATGATCTTTGCTGCTACAGCCTTTTCCATCTCGTTGTATGACACAGTCAGAACCGGAGCATGGAAAGAAGCTGTCTGTCTGGCACATGTCTTCATTCTTCACATCTCACGTTTCATATTCAAGTCCTCGGCATGGACGGCTTACCATCACATGAATGCCATAGCCGGCTGGATCCTTCTCCTAGCTGTGATCAAGTCTCTGCTTCCTCTCATCATCATGGACTCACACTGCCATGTGTCCACCGCGGAGAGCCTGAAACTGGCCTCGATCGCTGCGCTCCTCTTTACCTCCTTCATTTCTCCTCGCTCCAGGCAAAGAAAACCCTCCAATCCAGAGGACCTGGTCCCCCGAAGCATCACTTCTCCCGAGGAAACCTGCTCATGGTTCTCTTATTACCTATCATACGAGTGGCTTACACAGGTAATACTGCGTGGGTTTTCACGGGACTTGGTTATCGACGACCTGCCGGCCCTGCCATCGTACGACATGCCTCTACTTATGCTACAGCGCTTGCTTGATGTGCGTGCGAGGGGTTGGAAGCTCTTCTGGTCCCTCTGTCTAATGTTCAGGGTCGAGATCAGACGTCTGCTTGTCTGGGCGGTTCTCACAGCCACAGTCGAATATGTGGCCCCCTTGGCCATGTTCAATCTGCTCAGATATCTGGAACGCGCGGACCCCGAGGACAACATCATTCACCCCTTTGTTTGGATAGCACTGTTGTTCCTGGGGCCCACAGCACGCTCTGCATGCTACCAGCAGTCCATTTTCAGGGGCACACGCCTCTTAGTTCTGTCGAGAGCCGTCGTCATCCAGGAGGTATACCACAAGCTACTGAGATCAAGGGCGAGTGATTATCTTCACGTGGCAACGGAAAGACACCATGGTACCGAAACCTCCCATGGCCCTGATGAGGAATTTAGAGATGGCCCGGCATCGAATTCAATAAAGATCGAGAGCCTGATGTCTTACGATGCCGACATGATCTCCAACGCGACCGACATGTTCTACGCATTTACAGCAAGCGCCCTTTCGACCGTCATCGCCATGTCCTTTCTCTACACGATTCTCGGATGGCCATCCTTGATTGGCGTTCTCGTTTTGGCAGCCCTGACTCCACTCCCTGCTGTCTTCTCGGGAAAGCTTTCACGGATGCAGGAATCGGTGATGAAGGCAACCGACGCGAGGCTCTCGAGTGTTTCAGAATACCTCAATTCCATCAGAACGCTGAAATATTTCGCCTGGGAACCAATCGCGGCAGCCTCCGTCAACAAGATCCGCATTGCCGAGCAGCAAAGGATATGGAGGAGGAGTATTGTGTCAATGCTTGTGGCAATGACGGGCGATATGTTATCGCTCGTCAGTCTGCTCGCAATGTTCACATCGTTGATTCTCCTGACCGACAGACCCCTAACAGCCCCGGCAGCATTCACCTCTCTCGCAATAACCGAGGTTCTGCGCTCGCAATACGTCTGGCTCTCCAAGGTTGTCCAATGGGTCGCCCAAGCCAAAGAATCGGTACAGAGAGTCGACAAGTTTATGGAGGTCTCTGTTGACAAGCAGCGCCACCCATCTGGTCCCGCTTCACTGAAGAACGCGACGTTCTCCGTCTCAGCCCACTCACCCTTCAAATTGCGGAACCTCTCCATCCAATTTCGGGAGGGCGCTCTAAACGTCATCACCGGTCCTACTGGCAGTGGGAAAACCTCGATGCTCCTTTCTCTGCTGGGAGAAACAAACCTCGAATCCGGAGAGGCCGTTTGCCCTCTTGATGTCGCCTACGTCCCCCAAACCGCCTGGATACAGAACAGTACCATCCGCCAAAACATCCTGTTCTACAGCGCCTTCGATGAGAAACGGTACAGAGCAGTCACCACTGCCTGTGCCCTGGATGATGACCTGGCTCGTTTTCCTTTAGGTGATTTGACTCCCGTTGGCGAACGAGGTTCCACTCTGTCAGGGGGTCAAAAGCAGCGGATCTCCTTGGCGAGGGCGCTGTACTCGTCTTCTTCGACGCTTTTCCTGGATGACGTCTTCTCAGCCCTAGACGCGCACACGGCCTCGCAAGTCTATAACCGATGTTTCTTTGGGAATCTGCTAGCTGGCCGAACGGTCGTTCTTGTGACACATTTCATTGCGGCTATCCAGAGCGCTGAGCTCGTGGTCTCTCTGGAACATGGACGAATATCGTTCGTGAGAGACGAATCTGACGCCCAGACTACGTGCCCAACTCAAGAAGAACAGGCTCTTTCGTCTGCCACCATCACCCCCACAGCTCAGAGTATTGAGCTGCATAATTGCATTCCCGAGGTGGATGGAGTAGAGGATTTCGGTCAGAATATGGACGTGCAGGACATGGAACACGGAGAGAAGAGTGCATCCGGCCGAGTCCCACGATCAATGAGTAAGACGGTCCATGAACCCATCTAGGAGGAGAGGTGTTTCTTTGCTGATGTTCGCAATTAGTTCTCAGCTACGTGCTGTTATTTGGCGGTCTTCCATATGCCCTCTTGGCCATTTTCAGCGCCATGATGGTCCAGGTTGCCTACTTTTCCATCACGTTGTGGCTGTCCATCTGGACGGGCTCATATACAGAAGGCGAGGATCGTTCAAAGGCATTCAAGTATCTGTTAGTGTACATCGGAACCGTCCTGGCGTTTGTGTCCCTTCAATTCCTCAACAACTTCATCTACCAGAGGGGAGGATGGAATGCGGCCAAGACGATGCACCAGCGATTAGTCACTGCAGTCATCAACGCACCGATAATTTGGTTCGATAGAACTCCCATCGGCCAGATTCTCAACCGTTTCGGCCTGGATACGCAGTCACTGGACTCTCTCCTCGTCGACTGGCTCCGGATGACTCTCGACAACGGTTTGCGATTCCTCCTCCGCCTGGCAAGTATTGCATCCATCATGCCCATATTCGCACTCCCAGCTGCATTCTTCTGCCTCATCGGCTTTGCCACAGGTGAGCTATACTCGCGGGCCGAGATATCAATCAAGCGGCTTGTTGCTGCCAAGTTCGCCCCGGTATTCTCGCACTTCAACGACACATGCGCGGGGATAGCTGTCATCCGTGGCCGGAATATGGACGCTGTCTTCCAGAAGCTTCTGGCCGACAAGCTGGTGCCGCACATGCGTGCATCGGAAACCCAATTCAATTGCAACCGCTGGGTCTCGGTGAGATCCGACTGCTGCGCTGCCACAATAGCAGCCACGGCCGGCTTCATCGCTTACTACAAGGCTGGGTCCGCGGGCCTAGTAGGTTTCTCACTCACCAATGCCATCGGGCTCAGCCAGACCATCTTGACTTTGGTCAGGAACATGAACGAGTTGGAAGTGGAGCTGAACTCGTTCCAGCGCATATCTCAATACACCAAGATTGAGCCCGAAGAGAGCGAGGAGAAACGAAAGGCGCTGGAGAAGGAGGCCCACGTTGCGGCATCTTGGCCGTCCTCCGGTCAGGTTGAATTTCGCAACGTGACAGCTCGTTACTCGTCAGATGGGCCCAATGTCTTGCACGATGTTGACTTTGTTGCCAAGCCCGGCGAGCGCATCGCCGTCATCGGCAGGACAGGTAGTGGGAAGAGTACGCTTGCTCTGTCTCTGCTGCGTTCTACGCAGATTGTTTCTGGTGGTGTCACCATTGATGGCATAGACGTCGGCAATATCCCTCTCGGGAGGTTAAGGCAGAGTATTGGCCTCATTCCACAGGAACCCATGCTCTTTTCCGGAGATGTGCGGTCAAACATTGATCCTTCTGGAGAGATGGATGAGACGGAGCTTCAATCCGTGCTTTCGGCTTGCAGCCTTGCAGGTGATCAGGTAGGGAGCACAGACGGACATGCATTTGATATCTCACTAGACACCCCCGTCGCTCACGGCGGAAGGAATTTCAGCAATGGGCAGCGCCAGATAATCGGCCTCGCCCGAGCAATCTGTCGCCGCTCCAAGGTAGTGATAATGGATGAGGCAACTGCTTCCGTTGATCACGAGACGGACAAGAAGATGCAGGCCATTATACGCTCGGAGTTCTCCGGCTCGACGATAATAACCATTGCCCATCGACTACGGACCATCATGGACTATGACAGAGTTGTCGTTATGGGTGGGGGCAAAATCTTGGAGTGAGTATTCTTTGGGACGATTTGTATCCTTTTGCCCATGATACTAACCACCTTGCAGGATGGGCTCTCCTTCGCAGCTGATAAAGCTTGAAGGGGCTTTCTGGGACATGGTGAGGGATTCTGACGAGTACGATGAATTGGTAGCCTTGGTGGGGTTGAGAGATTAGAACATGGCCGAGGTTTTTCTACTTAGGTCTGTTATATTGCCTTCCGTACCCCTTTGCATCACACTTTTCTAGCATGAACTCTGGTCTGTAGGACCAAGGTTCCAAAATATCAGTTCAAGGCTAATTGTTAGAGCCTTTTGTTTCACATTTTCAATATCCATACCCAGTCAAAGGACATGGTAGGGTCCTGCGCGCCCAGGTTTGGGACCCTAGAGAGATCAGCCATGGAGAATGTCATCGCAGATTCTCCTAATATTGGTACGCTTTGTAGCATGGCCTGGAGTGTGGGAGCCGCAGTCATCGCTCCTGTTCCTGGCGTCATTTAATTTTCGTGCAAGACGGACTAGAATGATGACAAGGAAAAAGATGTCTGGGTGGTTCTGGCAAGAGAGTTTAAGATGATGCGATTGATCATGTCTCACATTGGCTTCGCAGCCTCTCGTGTTCATTGTCCGTTTCAATACATCCAGTGCACAAGACTGGAGTGAGTAGTGGTCCGGCCCTTGATATTCAGGCGTCTCGAGCTCCGAGACGATATCCTTCATCGATTTGAAATAGGTATGGCAGCTCATATGCCAATGGAACTGCTGAGCTTTTTTATCATCCGGCATCACGTTCAAGCTCTGAATTAGGCTGACGGACTTGGATGAGACTCTGCAATCCATCATTATTAGCATTGCATATTGGTTCGCAAACAACGTAGAGGGTTGACATATGTTTGCCGGACTTCCGGTGACATCACAGCCACTCCGTACTGTTTCGGTGTCCACAGCTAGAAGAATGTCCAGAATCGCCATTGATTAAAACTAGCATCTCCAGTGACGGCCGATGGCTTGAGTCCTCGATCTGGTCTGTTCTTGACAATTCTTCTGAAGCAATGAATGCTGTTGAGGCGGATCAGACGACCCGTCATACCTGTAATTCCCTGGATTGGAGTGTATTTCCGCGCCGAGATGCACTCCGTCAACAAGATCTTTATCCTGAATCTTTTGCGGAGCAGCGTGGTGTGGTCATCGTCCGTTATCGTGAGCTCTTGGCCGCTGCCTTCGGCAGAGCGGAAGTCAATATGGCATGGCTGTGCAGAGCTTGCGGCCTGTCTTTGACCTGGACAACATCCATGTTGCTCGACGGGAATGGAGATGGCTCTCTACAAAGGCTTTATGAGAGAGCCTTCTGGACAGCTAGGCCAGGCAGTGCCCACATACTTGACATGCTTCTCGCGATTTGCAAGTCTAAACACCAGGTTAGCGACGGCCGAACGACTTTGAGATGAGCCTCTCATTTTTCTTACTAGAAGCACGAATGTCGCTAGAACTTATTAATGATTGTGTGGCTGGAAGGTTCTCTCTCCCCAACCCGAGTTCCCACTCGGTTGAAACTGAACGAGGAGTATGTCTTTGTTAAAATTAAACCGATCCATGGCATTTTCCACCGACAAGCTGTTGATGGGGGGGTACTTTCACGATCTCTGCGCAGACCTTTGTTCAAGGACTACTGCAGTTGATCTCAAAGTTGATCTTGTCCTGTGTTAACACCTATTCGCGCACTTCCCCTTCTCGCACTGCATGGACAAGGGGCAGCTCGGTACAATTGTGCATCGGTCGCCTTCCGTCGTACTCCTACCCCCTCTGCGGTCTAAAGGCCCTTGTGAGGGCAATGGGAACAATCATCAAGGGCAGCAACGTATGGTGCCGCCTAAAGGACTTTTCCCTCGTCCTCGCCACCACTGTCGCTAGCCTTGAAAATTTCCGGGGCACGCGAAGCTAACGACGCAGACATGGTTAATTTTCAGGATATGGCTGACACCATCGAGGACCCTGCCCCACGGGAAGCAGAAAACTCCACACCAGCGTGGGATGGTCAAGAAGAAAGAAGCCTTGTTCGAATCCGCGTGGTATTTTGAAGTTGCAGGATGTGTCTGGCACGAGGTTTGAGAAGAATTGGGTCTAGTTGCATCCTGCAGTCTTTGGTGGGATGATGCTGTATGAAACCAATTTATTCAAAATGCATCAGATATTGAGATCCGAAGCGCCTTGACTCATTTAACATAGATGCTATCGGAGCTGCACACCGACGCTCTACGATGGTCACAAGGTCGAATGGCGTAGGCCAAATCTCAATAGACTTTATTGTTGCGAACAATATGCCTCAGCATGTTGCCGGCCAGCTTGCATAGTCCACATCACGGTCGCATCAAGCGGTCAGATGGCGAGTATGAGTATTTATTATGACTCGAGTTTTTGGCGTCTCACCTGAATCTGGCGATGTTCTGCATCAGCTATCAGGGAGCAAGTCGCATCTCCCGGCGTTAGTGGCAAGTCGTATGAGATGGCGCCAAGGGAAAGGTTTGAGGCGAGGAGGCAAAGGGAGCAAGGAGGTTGGTCAGTTCTTTTGGGTTTCTTTTTTTTTTGTCTTGTCAGTGGCGATTTCCGGGGCCGACTCGGTGCATCTCTCCACGATGGGGCTTGCTTGATAACCAAAGGCTATCAGGCGTCAGGGAGAGTTTTTGGGAGAAGCGGGATCGGCCACCCGGGAAAGGGGCTTTAATATTGAGCCGGACAAAGAGATCCGGAATCCCATAGCTTTGATCAGATCGACTCCAAAGCTTCTTGGTTGCTTGGTAACTTTACGACAGGGCCTGGTCGGATCAACAGTGGCGGTCGCACGCGTTTGAGTACGTGCGGACAAGCTGGGACATACATGAGACACGGGGATGGCCAAAGGATGGTTTGTGTGGGCATGTTTCAAACCGAAGCCGCACGTCAGCTTGGGAGAAAGATACGAATGGGTAATGGGAAGTACGAGAGCCGGTTGCGTGAATAACGGGGAATTAATTGTCGATTTTAGTTATTCATGCGCCTTTGGTTGATGCTTCCCTCCATTGGGAGAGAAGTTGCGGAGATGGATGGGGGCGGAGAAGAAACGCAGATTCAGCTGATGGCACTTCCCCTCTTAACTTGGCTTCTGTCCTTCAACTTTCGTCCAATCATTAGGTCGCGTGGCCCAATGGCAAGGCGTCTGACTACGAATCAGAAGATTGTGGGTTCGATCCCCACCGTGACCTTTCTTTTTGGTCTTTTTACCAACATTTTGGCTGTCGTTTTTCCCCTTCTCTTTTGCAATTTCTTTTGGCGTAAAATGCTCAAGATATGCGCAGGTTGTAGCGGGGCCATTGGCAGAGTGAATTTGCGTAACGCGTAGGACCCCGACAGTTGCATCCAAGAGAGGGGGAAGGTGCAGCCGTGGAGAGGGCAGGGTAAAGGTAAGTGCAAGTATATAGCTGGGTGCGGGGGTAGACGGCAGGTGCAGCATTGCAGATTCGGACGGCAGGCGCCACCCAACCCGAAAGGATCTTGAAGGGCGGATGAAGTCATCAGCTCCAATTCCTCTACAGACGCCCCACGTCCAGACCCTGGATCCCTCTTGGACATCCGACAATCTTACGCTTTTCCAGCAGCAACAAGTACTTCGTACATTAATTTTGGAACGCCTATCGCGGCCACTCCTTACCACTGGTAATGGCAGCCTTACCGTGACAAACTACCCGTTGCCGACTGGCCAGGAAATACTTTCGACGGTGAGGGGTGGCATGCTCCCGATGATGTTGACACGACCTAACCGAGGCAGAAGAAACACACACATACTGTACACAACACACCCACCATGCTTCTCAGTTACCGCGGGCGGTAACGGAATGCAAGCCTGTCGACGTGTAAAAAAGCAAAGAGAGGATAAAAATGAGACGGGGTTGAACCATGTCTCAGCAAGGCTAGAAATCCCGGCAATGACGCCGTTTTCCGTGGTAGACAACATGTCGGGTCTGCCTACACTCCAAGAACCCCAGCCCCGAGCAACGACGTAATGGCACTTGGGGTCCCCAGGGTCCTCCTCACTCCTGAGTCCTCAACAGGTCCTCAGCTCCCGTCGGGTCCACGCTAATGATCTGGACCCCAGCTCAGGGCTTGGCCGTTTTTGGGCTCCGCCGTCGTATTCGGGGCTAAGAACCCACACAGCTCTGAGACCTGATACCAACGGGTCACAATGAGCCGCCATCAGACCGGCGCGACCCGGCGCATACTCGGAGCAAGGATGATCTCAACCAACACACCCTCCATCAGCTGTTGTAATACTTTTTTTCATTCTTTCCACTGTAGAAAAGAGGGGCCAGGTTCGTCATAACCGATCGGGAGGAACCATGTATTAAAACTGGTCGTCGCCGACTGTTTGTGCCTCTCCGCTAATACTCGATGGGTTTTGTAACAAGTGAGAACGAGAAAAAAAAAGGTATCCATACCTTACATGTTGTCTAGTACACATGCCTTATCGTTAATTAGCATCATCAAGACGAAACCGCCCGATATGACGACAAACAGAGAGACTACACTCGATCAAGCACCTTGCCGTCGGAGTGCTGGCATCGTGAGGCGCCTTCTTAATCGAGCGCATATCTCCAAAGATGCAAATTTCGCAAGTACAGGCAGCAACAACTCCAGCGACTCGGAAAGTAGTCATCATGGATCGCTGAAGGAGCGTGCCCGAGGCCATACCCCGTCAATACCTTGGTTCACGCCTGGACCCGGCACGTCATCATCGAAACACAGTGGCTCTATCCAGGCGACTCTTTCGCGTGATCTCTGGGACGAGGCATACGACAGGTTGCGGCTTGATCGAAACACGGCGGGCCTTGTCGTCACGTACGAATTCATTGTGTCCCAGGAGTTACCAGATGAACTCAAGGCGATAGCACGCGGCGTATTGTCCTCGGCCGACGGGGACACTGATCGCCGAGCTGAGTTTATGACTGCAATTGCAAGAACCGGTCTAGCCAAGCGACGTGGAAGCAAGACAAGCCAGGTGGACGACGTGTCGCGCATGGTTGTTGAATATTCGAAACGTGCAGTGGCAGTTGAGCTCAACGAGTACCCAGCAACGGCACTCGCCTGGTCAGGCGTTTGCGTCTTGACACCAGTGAGTGTTCCCATAGCCTACCTCTCACCCGGGATATTATGGCTGACATGTGCAGCTCCTCGTCGACCCCCTTCTACACCACAACGACTTCTGCCGGGGCACTATACATATCATTGGTCGCATTCCCTGGTACATGAGCCTAATACACATGCTTATGTCAATGGCACGGCCTACTGGTAGCCACGGCGATGAGGTCGAGCGACAATACAAGAACGCAAAGGACAACATTGTCGGCCTGTATTGCCATGTGTTGGAATTTGAGATGAACTGTATTTGTGCTACGGCTAGCGCCTGGAACCAAGTGGCCAAGAACATGGTCCGATGGGGCACAATCGGCGAGCTAGTGGATACAATACGCCAAGATGATGAGCAGATGAGCACACTGGTCAACGACATCGTGACGGACCTCCCACAGCGACAGGAGATTCTTTCGAGAAACACAGACCTAGATGTCGATGTCCTTGACAAAGAGTGGCGTATCAATGAGGAATCGGGTGAGGAGACAGGCCCCCGTCATTAGCAAGAGAAGGACTAATTGTGTAATTTCCATGCGAGCAAGGCGTTTCGACGATATACCCTCCCCATTTGAAAGGAAATTTTGAATATATTTATGCACATCTAGATCAGAGACCAGATTCTCCAATCCCAGGCATATGGTTTGCCTGAATCCTCACTTCCAAACTGCTTGTTTGATGAGTTGCTGAGATAAACTCTCGACGCACACCAAGAATATTACTACTGTACGTAGTGTCATCAATGCCGTGTGATTAATCCTACTATTATTTAATGATATCCCTTGAATCTTGATCGTACGTTCACATTATCCGGTAATATGTCGGGATTTTATTAATCCGGATAACCAGATAAGGATAGAATAATGACAGCAAAGAGCTGCGAAATTCGCGGCGGCGCGTTCAGTAGCGCGCGCGTCGACCTAGCTCTAGTAGAGAATCGCAGCTAATACAGGGACTCATTCAATCAAGTTGCCCCCTTGCAACGAAGAAGACCCCCCCCCCCCTCCGATCCACCATTAATTCGTCACGTCCGACGACTTGTCTCCCTGACGCTGCATCGAATACCGCGTATCCCGACAACGATAATAACTGTTCTCTTGCCCCCTCCCCCTCCCCCAGCGACGACTAGGACGAAGTAAACGAAAAGACAGGAAAGAGGAAGATCAAGAGCCAAGGCCAAAGTGTCGATGAGTGGGCAACCATGCGCATCATCAAGCCATCGTGGCTGAGCCACAGCGGCGAACAAAAGGACTTTGAGGTTTACAGCTGCCACATCTCTCCCGATGGCAAGCGACTGGCGACGGCGGGCGGCGACGGCCATGTGCGCGTGTGGTCAACCGAGGCCATCTACAACGCGCATGACCCAGACTACGCCAAGCCGAGGCAGCTCTGCCACATGAGCCACCATCTGGGCACCATCCACTCGGTGCGCTTCTCGCCCAACGGACGGTACCTGGCCAGCGGAGCCGACGACAAGATTATATGCGTGTACCACCTGGACAAGAGTCCGGCAGCCACGACATTTGGTTCCAACGAGCCGCCGCCCGTGGAGAACTGGAAAACATACAAGCGCCTCATCGGGCACGATAACGACATCCAGGACATCGCATGGTCGTACGACACGTCCATCCTCGTGTCGGTCGGGTTGGACTCCAAGGTCGTCGTCTGGTCTGGTTATACGTTTGAGAAGCTGCGCGTGCTGTCAGTACACGGCAGCCACGTCAAGGGCATCACTTTTGACCCAGCAAACAAGTTCTTCGCCACGGCAAGCGATGACCGAACCATCCGCATCTTCCGGTTCACCCCTCCCGGGCCGAACTCAACGGCTACCGATATGGTCAACAACTTTGTCCTCGAGACTACAATATCCTCGCCCTTCAAAAGCTCCCCGCTCACCACATACTTCCGACGATGCTCTTGGTCCCCCGACGGCAACCACATCGCCGCCTCCAACGCCGTCAACGGCCCCGTGTCCTCGGTAGCCATCATCGAACGCACACGGTGGGACAGCGATATCAATCTCATCGGCCACGAGGGCCCCACAGAGGTCTGCATGTTCTCCCCGAGACTCTTCCACACCTCCAAGCCCGACCAAGACGGCTCCGCAGGAACCGGCCACAAGAACCAGCTCGTCACCGTCATCGCATCGGCCGGCCAGGACAAGACGCTCAGCATATGGAACACAAACACCTCTAGGCCTGTCGTCATACTGCAGGACCTGGCCGGCAAGGCCATTGTCGATCTGGCATGGACGCCTGATGGTCAGACGCTCTTTGCTGCCACACTCGACGGATGCGTTGTGGTGGTCAAGTTTGACGAGGGAGAGCTGGGATGGGTGGCACAGCCCGAAGAAAACGACCGGGCCCTCCAAAAGTATGGCGCCTCCCGCAAAGGCATGGGCATCGCAGAGGATGTGCAGAGTCTTGCCTTAGAGAACCAGAGCAAAGAGGGCGAGTCGCACGCCGTCGAGTCGAGAATGGGCGCTCTGATGGGCGACTTTGAAGGAGGCGACAAGGCGAAAGCACAGCCAACTGTGACGAATGGCACGAAGTCGACCACGACCAAGTCTACGACTACAACTGCCAACGGTGGCGGTGACTCGGAAGCGGACAAACAGACCGAGAGCAAATATGACGAAACATCGGCGCCTGCCGCGGCGGAAAACAAGGGGATGGAAGCCAAGGTCAAGGAGATGAAGTCACGCGTAACAATTGGCAAGGACGGCAAAAAGCGCGTGGCGCCGATGCTGGTGTCGTCTTCGGGAACGGGACAGTCGTCTCTCCCGCAGACGCAGCTCGTCGGGTCTATATCCACGGCCAAGTCGGCGCGGAACGACGCCCCTCAAACGAAGCTCGACCTGACCAGGCCGTTTGACGGGCTGCCCCGGGGCGGTATTGCCACCATGCTCCTAGGTAATAAGCGCAAATTGGCCCCCACAGCCACCGCCAGCGCTGTAGATGAAGGGGACGCCGAGGATCCGGCTACCAAACGCCAGGCCAACGGTTCAGCCCAGATTGTATCTAATGGGACCGATGGGACCGTCGAGCCTGCAGCCCTCTCCCCGATGCAGCACGGCGTCGTGCCCACACCGGAATTCCTCAGACCGGCAGTCATCAACCCCAGCACGTCGTTCTCCCAGGCCAGGCTGGCAGTTCCAAAGATTCGATCCCACATCCTACGTCCACTGGAGCGCGGTATCCTCCGCGATGAGACGACGCTTGATGACGCAGCCAAGACGCCCGAGAACATCATCCTGGAAGCCAAGAACGACTCCAACCCCAAGGACCCATCGCACATCATCGTAACCAAGCGAGGAGCCCTGGTATGGCAAGAGTTCCTGCCAAGGGCAGTCATCCTAGTGACGGCCAACAAGAACTTCTGGGCCGTGGCATGCGAAGACGGATCGATCTACACGTGGACACCCTACGGCCGACGCCTCCTCAACCCCGTCATCATCGAGTCTCAGCCCGTGATCCTCGAGTGCCGTGATTTCTGGCTCCTGTGCATCACTTCCATGGGCATGGTGCACGTGTGGGACCTGAAGTCGCAATCCTCACCGCACCCGCCCGTCTCTCTGGCTCCGGTGCTAGACATTGCCATGTCATCTCTCAATCAGCACTCGGCTACGCCTGGGCCGGGCGTCACATCTGCCCATCTCAACACGACGGGCCATGTGGTTGTCACGCTGACCAATGGCGACGGCTTTTACTACGCGCGCGATATGTACACATGGCAGAGGCTCAGTGAGGCATGGTGGGCCGTCGGATCTCAGTATTGGAATTCCAACGACTCGTCCATCTCGGCCCTTCACTCTACTGCCGTGGGGGCTAGCGCTAGCAACGACGGTTCTAACAACAAGGACAAGGATGCCGAGCCGACAGTATCATCGGGAATCATACCCTACCTCGAACGCCACACGACGAACGAATTCCTCCTCAAGGGGAGGGCATACGCCCTGCAGCGCATCATCAAGAACACCATTCAGCGAAGGGAGGGTGAGGGTCTCGAGGCGTCTGTCAGTGTGGCCCATCTCGAGAATCGCATCGCCGGTGCAATGCAGCTCGGTGCTCGTCAGGAGTTTAGGCTGTACCTCTTCATGTACGCTAAGCGCTTGGGTGCGGAAGGGTCGAGGACCAAAGTTGAGGAGCTGCTCAATGCCCTTATGGGTGGCGTGCTCGTCGGCAAGAATGATGACGGGAGGGGGAGAGGCTGGTATAGTACCGGTGACGAAATTTGCGGGTGGGATCGAAAGGAGTTGCTCAAGGGCGTTGTCATGATTCTTGGTGAGTACTGTCTTCTCCCCCTCTTCGCCTATCATCTGCTTACTGCTACATTATCAGGTAAATACCGTGAACTGCAACGTCTTACTATTCAGTATGCCAGGCTATTGGATATGGATCTCGAAGAGGCGTCTGTGAATATTAACTCGATGGATATAGAATAACGTCTTTCCATGCTGTCAAATATGGGAGGGATTACTGTTCTCGTGTGTTTAGTGTATTATCTATCTCCTTTTTGTTTGTCTTCTCTGTCTGTATGGCTCATCTTGTATGATGAAGGGGCGCCTGGTGTTTCTAGAACAGGGACTGGAAAAGGGGGAGTGAGAGTGTTGTATCGAAAGGGGGGGGGAGATTACAGAGCTTGTCCTACTTTTCTACTTCTTCTTTGACAATACTACTTTGTATTACATCGCTAGCCTACACTTCAATATCGGCACTACTGACTGCTGCCTTGTCTCGGCACTATCAGCTTTCCCTTTTCCCTTTTGTGCCCCCGATATTTCGTGACACTCTGGGAAGATGATGGTTGTGATGCTGTGTGTATATATCACACCTTCTGTTCCCCCTTTCCCTGCCTTTCTTACCCTCCTTGTCGGCGACTACTCGGGGGTGAACGGGGCCCTATCCGGTTGCCGATGATCCAATCCCCTGCCATTCGCAGAAGCTCTTCGTCACACACAGCTGATGTAGGAGCTTGTGGCACTCATAACTGGCCATTTATGAGGCGCGCCACGATTGTTAGCTGTGCAGGATAGGCGGTTACACATGCGCTCTTTAGAAAGAGGAACCTGTATGCTGAAGCTCTTGGTGATACCTCTAGATACCCCTGGTGCTACCATGAGGGAAAAAAAGTCGGAGAGGCAATGCATCCGTCATGGATCATGTTTTCTCCTCCCTTGTGTGTATTGTTTTACTGGTTGGACACCTGAGGATGAAATGGGGAGATGGCCCTAATCATCACTAGAAAGGAAGGAACAGCTGGTGACGGGTAACGGATGTTCGGGTAGGCGCCATGGCCGAATGCTCCTGCACTGGCAACGCCTTTTCCTCGCCTCAGTGTCACATGGGCGTCTCGCCTCATTTATGATATTATTTTCCCATTTATTCCTCCGCGTTTTGTGTGCGTGTCATGAATTATTATTTCGGCCCTCTCATCCTCTCACCCCTCATCTTTCTCTCCTTCTTTCCTCCCTCGCCTCTCCTCTCCCCTCTTATTCCTGTCACCCGCTGTCAACAACACTCTCACCGTCGTCCATCTTTGAAAAGACTGACCCGCCATATCCACATTTGTGTTCTTATCTAACTCACTTTCCACAGCTGCCTCGAGCCTCTGCTTTTATTATCTCCTTGAATCTGCTCTTTCTCCCTCAACTCACCTACGCGACCTAGCAATTGTCAACCTCATTGACAACACCTTCCACTTTACCTCGTCTCGAAAAAAAACTGCTCAGCTACTCACTCTCTTCCGGAAGAGGTATCTACTTGAGACCCTTGTTCGTCTCCGAAGCACCTTGGTCGTCCTTGTCAGCATGAGGATTCCTCCCAACTGGAATATTTCAAAACCCAGTGCAGGTACTTGGCTGGCCGTCTTTCTTCGTTTCGTGTCTGTTGTCCGGGGTGTCCAGGTCCCTCTCCCAGGAGAAAAGGGCGTTTGTGCCTCGTTTGTCTCGTTGACGTGCGAGAAGGATCTCTCTGACGTGGTCGTCACTGTTACCCAGCTCGAGGAAGCATTCAACTCAGACCATCAGTATCACTGGGTCTTCTTCGGCACCGATCCGCTGAGCGAGGAGTTCCGTCGTATCACCTCCAACGCCACGAGTTCCGCATGCTTTTACGAAGTGATTCCCCGTAATCACTGGCGCTTCGATATCGGCTTTTGCAACGGCCGCGGCGGAGACTACTGCTCCCAAGCGTCGGAGGACCCTGCGTAGGAGCAGTGTCCCGATCATGAGGGTGGTGACACAGCCGCTGTACACCAGCAGACACACGGCCGCAAACTTGTTGCTTTTGCGCGCGAGCATCTAATGAGGGACTATGATTGCTTTTGGCGTGTCTATCTTGGCGTGAGTCCTTCCCCTGTACTCCTCCAGCTCCCACTCGGCCCCCTTACCGTCTCACCCTCGCCTCATTCCTCGCCCCTCTCTGTCTTTTACCGTTGACTGGAAACTGCAATACGATATTTACTGGCATCTCCCTTTTACAGGCGCGCTTCACCCATCCCATCAAGTTTGACATGTTTCGGTTCATGCGCGATCATGAAATTGCATATGATTTCACCGACTCCGTCGCAAACAGGCTAGATATCAATACCCTCTTCCCACACATTTGGTCCTCTATTGATGAGGACCCTTCTCTCCTTCTTGAAGACTCCCACATACCATGGCTCCTGGGATTTCACGACGACGACGACGAAGACGACGACGAAACAGATGAACTTGGAGCGAACAGCGCCCAGTCTTACAAGATCGACGTATCCGAGGGCATTCACCTGCGCCCCGTCTACCCGGAGGCTGGGTGGAAGCAGAGTATGATGCCCAGCACGACGACCAAGGTTACCTATAGCGATGACGATGATATAACCTGGACACTCGCCGAGGAGTTCAAGTTCTGGTTGGTTAGCCTCTGCGAGGACAACTGGAGCGGCGGCGCGTTTGAGCTTGGATTTCTCGCCTTTCTGCGCAGCCCTGGACACGAAGCATTCATGGACCATCTCGGCATGATTGTCAAGCTTGGCAGTAAGCCAGTCGACATCGATGCTTTCCCGGCACACACAATCAGCGCCAGCATGCTCCTGCCCAAGCAGAGCGTGCGTAACTTTCGCAGGGGGGTCTCCAGATGCTACAAGACAGGCAGCCCAACAACTCTCCCCGGGAAGACGGAGCAAGCGGAGACTGCTGCTGTCGCTTCTGCCGCCTCCTCAGGTACTGCTACTGCTGTGGTGACGGCCATGGAGGTACAGCTTGCCAAGTGGGATCAGCTGGCGCAAGATATTCTACGCCAATCAAGCTGTCCGGGACTCAGATCGGGAAACACTGTGATTGATGAGCGCAGCTTCTCGCTGGTGGACAATGTCGATTGGGCTAATTAGTGGTTTAACTGTGGCACAGAATAACCAGGCACCTTGATCGTGGGCTCTCGGACTCGAACGCGTGGGTAGGAAAACTGAAAAAGAAGGCTTCTTGCATGTACCCGGTAAGACGAGTCCGATTCAGACAGCTAGGGCAGACATTACGCATAGAAAATATCAGGACGTAACAATTTACCGATGATGCGAGGGTCATCATGTGTTGTCGCCCACTGGAAGCACATGTGGGTATATGCCGGGTAAGACTGTATTTAGTGTCTCGGAGTCTGATGTTTTCAAGTTTGGTGTTTTGTAATCAGGCACCACAAGGGTAGTAGCAAAGGCGGGGCGGAGAGGGACACGATACTAGAAGTGAAGCAGCAATATTCGTGATTAGTACAGGTTGGTGCCAAGAATGGTTGGTGTCCCAAAGGGTAAAATGCGAATTTAGAAATATAGAATGAGAAATGTGGCAAGTTGATGCGAGATCAGGATCTATGAGGCAAGTACTCATGCTGCTACTACGAGTAGCACGGAATAGCAGTAATAGTAGTAGTAGCAGTAGTGGTGACATCCATCTGTTGGTTCCAGGGCGCTCAGGGTATATCACTCTACAATTAATTGGGTGATGGTGGTGGTATTGGCGATGGGAGTACTGTTATTATCACCCGGGAATGCCAAAGTTGCTTTCACCCGCGTACCATTCATCAGCTCATCCAGTCTTTTTTTCTCCTCTTTTTCCCAACTCGCGTATTCGATACTCGTACTCACGTATTAATATATAGTGCAGCCAAGAAGCCAAGCCCAGTGTCCCGTTGATCATATCCGTTGAAAGTGTGGGCTCCTCTGGGGGGGTTTTGCGGCTTTTGGCATTTGCTCAATTGACCCCCGGTCTGTCGCATTAAAAGCTCCCTATCTGTTGTGGCTGGGGCCTGTCACTTGTGCATCAAACGCGCCGAACGGGGGGCCAAGCCAGGGCCGAAACAGTGGAAGGCGTAGCGGCAGCGGGAGTTGCGGCGGCTATTCTGAGTTTTGATTATCATTTACGGAGGGGAGCATATAGTACTCCCTACTATTAGAGTCGCAAGTAGCAAGCAGGTGGCCGTAGAGCGGTAAATACCCGTAGAGCCGTAGAGTCTTGGAATGATCGGGGGGGTGGTGAGCGATGGTTGTACGGAGTACTAGCAGTGGTTGTATCGTAGTGAAGGCCGGCAGTTATTGGTATTAACATGCTTTAATATCAACAGAGTAATACGGAATAGACTGTTAAGATTATAATATATACAAGTTGCTAACAGTGCTAAAAAAAAAAAGCAAGGCCAGGAAGGAACAACTAGAGTAGCCAAGTCGCGACCTTGCCCGCCAATTCCAAACAGCAGGAGCCATCCATCCATTGTCCCGTCCATTCTTGCCTCGTCATAATATCCTTTACCTACCTTTTCTTCGCCCTTTTTTACTCTCTCCTTGAACAATAAACAAACACACATACTACACCCAGCCTCTCAATCCCTTGTTTTCCATTTCATTTCATTTTCTTTCCATTCCCTTTATACTACTATCTATATACTACTTTTTATTATCCTTATCTAGTTTGCCCTCCCTCTTCTTCGGCAAAGCCAATCTCTGATCAAATCCAGGACTGGTTCCCCCTCCCCACCCCCCCTCTCGTTCCCCCTCGAAACCCGAACCCAGACAGACGCTACGACGCGCCCACCCACTCTCCCTTCTTTCCACGATTGCCATTGCAACAAGGTCGTGACATTCGAAACTTGGGACGAATCCGACCGTCAATTACAGAAAGTCATTTCAGTTTTGGGTATCCAAATCACATCAACGCCTTGATGGCTCGATGACTTGGTATCACTCGACTAGTGATCATCACAGGCGACACTTCGACACACACGACTTGCGCGCGCCCCGCAAACATCATGGCCATCTTTCAGGCGGCTCGTGCGCCGTCGGGCGGCCGTAGCAATAGCTTCACAAAAAGGGCCTCGTTGACAGCAGTGCGTTTTCCTGCAATCCTTCACAATCCCTAATTCTCCCCCCCGCTCTCTCTACCTTTGCTCTTCTCTGCCGCCGCGTGAACAACCACTGACGTCAACGACAGTTGACCTTTCAAAACTCTGCCCTCATCCTCGTCATGCACTACTCGCGTACCATGCCCCGGTCCGGCAACCACCGATACTTCACCTCGACCGCCGTCCTACTCAACGAGCTCATCAAGCTCGCCGTCTCCCTCACTTTCTCCATGTATGAGTCGTCCAAGACGCTCGCTCCCAACACCCCAGTCACCGTCCTCATCGAGCAGATATACAATTCTGTCTTTGCCGGCGACGGTTGGAAACTGTCTATCCTTGCTGCATTCTACACTATCCAAAACCTCCTCCAGTACATGGCCGTCGGCAACCTGGATGCTGTCCAGTTCCAGGTCCTCTACCAGCTAAAGGTGCGGCCCCCATCTGCCCCGCCCTCGTCAATGCCCCCCTGCCCTGACGGCTGCTCTCTGACGACTCCCTACTGACAAATGATGACGCGGACAGATCCTCACGACAGCCGTGTTTAGCGTCGTCCTCCTCCGACGATCACTGGGACCCAAGCGCTGGCTCTCCCTTCTCATCCTGACTCTCGGTGTCTGCGTCGTCTCCATGCCCTCGTTGGGCGGCGACGACCCCGTCTACCTCCGCGAGCCGACCGATCACTTCTTTTCCCGCCCGCTCCACGACCTGGCCGAGGCAAGCCCTGAGCTCTATCAGCCGCGCCAACACCTGCAGCGCCGCTCTGCCACCTACGAAGGCATCACCGAGGACCTTGCACCGCCCGAGCCTCTCATGAACTACTCTGTCGGCGTGACGTGCGTCTTGATTGCCGCTTCGGTCTCGGGCCTGACCGGCGTCTACTTCGAGAAGCTTCTCAAGGATAGCCCGACGCAGACCAGCGTGTGGATCCGCAACGTCCAGCTCAGTTTCTACTCGCTCATTGCTGCCGCTCTCGGTGGCGTCATGTGGCAAGACTGGGAGGGTATTCGCGAGCACGGCTTCTTTGAGGGCTACAACTGGGCTGTTTGGCTGGCTATTTTCCTCCAGGCCGCCAGTGGCATGGTGGCTAGCATTGTTATTCGCGATGCAGACAATATTGTCAAGAACTTTGCCACCAGCATCAGCATCGTCATCAGCTTCCTCGCCAGCATGTGCATCTTTGAGTTTAACGTGACCTGGACTGTGAGTACTAATACCATGCACCCGTCGAATGCCCATACCAAGGCGCTAACACTAGAAACCTGCTAGTTCCTCTGCGGTACTGGTCTCGTTCTCGCTGCCACATACCTCTACAACGCACCCGACCATAAAATCCCCGCTTTTGTCGCCAACCGCCCGAAACCCATCCGAGTCGTGAGCTTGGAGAAGCCCGCCATTGCGCCCATGGGCACTCCGCGCCTCACACCGAGGGGTACCCCCCGGTTGACGCCCAGATTGGGAAGCTCTACACCCGACCTAGACGGTGTCAACGGTGCGGGTGGCAGGCTCCATTACGAGCCTCTGGACAGTGGAAAGGGTCTTGGCCTATCATCCGGGCTACCCAACAGTCCTATGCTTCCAAGGACGCCTAGCAGGGGAGATTTTCAGTGGAGCTAGTCGGGCTTATTGATATTGGGTGATTGGCGTTGTGGCGAATATTAAATGACATAATGAGCCCGAGGCAAGATGGCATGGTATAACCTCTTGGGCCTCTCTTTCTTCGACCCTTTCTCTTTTCTTTCTCTCTCCACGGCATGGCATCAGAATTTTTTTTTCTTCCCGGATTCCGAAGGGCTTAATACTACTCGGCGGGAAATTTTACATTTTACCGCGTTTCTGTTTTGTTTTGGAAATAGATGGGTTTATCCATAGAAGGCAAACGGTTCCTCGACCAGGATACAATAGAATACAAGGGAACTAACTAAAAGTCATTTTCACATGCTGATATGTAGTCTCGAGCCCACATTTCATCGTGATGCCGACATACCAAATGCGCGGAACAATTCTTCAATTTTTATCTAGTGTGTTAGGGAGAGGCAGGTATAAAAAAGAGGTATATAAATGAAGGAAACCCACATTGAGCTTTTTCGGTGAACACCAAAAAGATCAAAGGCAAAAATGTAACAGTCTCCGGTACAGGGAATCGAACCCTGGGCTCCGCGGAATATCTTTCCCTCAAGTTATGAGAGCGCGAAATGTTAGCCACTACACCATACCGGATAGAGTTAATGAAGGCTGAACGCAAACATCAATGCTATGAGCTAACGGCCCAGTGTGAGTGTCTGGGCTGTAGAGTGGATGAAGACGGGAGGGACAATGTTGGCACTAGCGTATATATATAGTTAGACAATATAATGTATTCATAATAGATACTATCAATACTTATAACTTACAGTTAAATAATAGGTTGGGTGTTTAGTGGTATTAAGGCTCTTACTCTATATTCTTATCATGATGCTAGACTTGATGTTTATTAGTCAAGCCCCGCTTACCTAAGCTACGATTCGATCTACTATGATGACAACCCTCCCTGCGCCATGCATACAACGTAGCAGTCGCTCATGACACCGGGCACAAGTCGAAGTGATTCTGGCTCAACTACCCCTTTCCCTGCTTACACGAAAGCGATAGCTATACCATGAGGTCGACGGGAGGGGGGGGGGGGGGGGGGGGGGGGGGGGGAAGCAGGTGATGACAACGACGATGACCACTTTATTTTGCGAGGTCAACTGACAAATCGTAGCGAGGCTAGAAGAGGCCAAGGAGGAGGTGCGCAAAGCTGGAGAGGATTATTTCATCACCAACCGGAACTAGGCTTGTCTTTTTTCACCACAGCCTAGGAGGTTGAGGCTCGGGTCTGGATTACCAAGGCTCCAAACTACGAAACCCAGCCCATATTTTGGCCCGTACGATGTGGCTTACACGAATATGTATATCGATGCGGATAGCGAGGAAGGACATGCTTCAGTTCTTATATCTACGCAAAGCATACACACGCCGGGCATTGGATATGACCAGTACAATATCCGACCAAGATCTGTTCATTGAACTTGACTCATAACGGCACCTGGCCACCATCAACAAATACTATACATCTTCATCATCCACCGACACGAATCTACCCTTGACAACTTTTAGCTCCAGTCTGTTTAGCCTCTCGATCGCCCCCACATCACCGTCTAGATACTCCATCGCCGCTCTGCCTAAGACCCTGTTAGAGCTTGTCGCCGTCACGAACTGCAATAAACTGTTGCCCGCAATCGAGCCATTCTGCCACCAGCACCAGATTCCATAGATATTGACACATAATGCAACGAAGATGGATAGGGCATAAGGAATATAGAACTGCATTTTCTCGTTGAAGAGGTACACATCGGTGCCCACCATCACATCGACTCCTCCCTGGTAGACCGACGAGTTGAGTGATATTGTCGAGATGACTAGGTCTCGCATATAGTCCTGCAGTCTGTCGGCGGAGATATCGAGTCGTGGGTTAGTTATGTCGTCGTCAAAGTCGATGTACGGGCTGCTCAAGACCTGCGATGCGTTCCCTTCAAACAACTGGGCCTCACCGGCATCGGAGACTGACGGTAGTGAGCATACATCTCGGGTCTCATGCGCAAAGGGGTCACTCATCGGACTTACGTGGACGTGCTATCCCTGTCAGGGCAAGCACAGCTGCCTCTCTTACTGCAAGGGTCTGAGATCTCGAGAATTCGACGCGTAAATCATAGTCTGCACTATCGTTGGAAGGTTCTCCCTGTAGATTGTAAAAGCCATTCCAAAACTCCATAAGCATGGGATAGTCAGGGGTCCATGTGTCCCGGACGTTGTCAACGGTGGTCTCGATCGAGCGCAGATTCTCAGAGTAGTCGATCCGAAGGTTGTATGTGGCAAGCTTCATGGTGCAGGCGAGGCTGCGGATTGTAGTCCGGTTGCATTCGGACGGAGCTGGGTACCAGCTCACCATGAAGTCGCGGGACCCAATGCTATAAGTTCCAAACAGGCTTGAACTGTTGTCCTCTGGGCCGTCGCCGCCTCGGTAGGTAAAGTCGCAGTCCGATACTTGATACCTCGGCTTCTCAGGTTTGAAGTCGGAATCCTTGCAGTCAAAGAGAGGTCCGTCGAGGGACATGTTGTATGCACACGCGTTGCCGCAGGGCGCACTAAAGTCGACTGGTTTTCCAGAGGCTAGGACCTGACTGGCCATTCCCTTGAGTCTCGGTCTTACGCCGTCCCTATTCAAGATCAGCACAAGTGCCCCTTCCTAACATGGCGATAGCCAGGGGCAGCCTTTACAGATCATAATATATATCAGAGGCCAAGTCGTAGAACGAATGTTCGATGAATTCGTGGAGGGAACCATTTCCATAGTCCGATATGTTCATCGTGTTGACATCGTACATGGTTTGCCGTAGCTGATTCCTAAAGTCGGTGGTCACAGAACCAGGGGGGAAGACGAGCGCAAAGGGGATTCCGGCGCAGAGAAGGGTAACGATGGCAACTCTCTTGATGCGAAGCAGCTGCCGAATGATACTCGGGTATATCAGCTCCCATGGACTACCGTGGATATGAACCAGTTGGTCGATCAATTGGGCCGGGAATGCGCGTTTCCGTAGTAGACTCCATAGTATCTGGTTGCAGGCAATACCAAGGCACCCAACTAGACAAACGTCGACGAAAAGGGGGAAAAAGTTTGATATCGCGGACTGGAGACTCTGACCGATCGTCTCTACGATCGGTCTGTTGTGGAGCGCTTGGAAGAAGGCGACATGACCTGCAAAGAAAGCGACCGCTGTCAAGGTAAGGGTACCATGTAAGCTTAGGCCTCTGAAATGTGGAATCCCTGCTCCATACCGAGAGTCCAGAAGACGATGATCGGAACCAAGGTCTTCCACGCCTTGTGACCCCGGCGGGGCTCCGGTTTCGCAAGGAATTCCATGGGTGTATTTGGTCCCTCTTGAAGCTCGACATCCTCATCAGTGGCCCTGACGGATGTGTGTAATAGACGGGCTGTATTCACCATCCCAGATCTTAGGGTTCGGATGCCGATGCGGTAGGAAAGGACTAGATATAGCGCTGTCACCCCCAACCTGAAATAATAGACTTGGGCAATATTTCATTCGACGAAGAAGAAGAAGAACGAGAAGGACAAAGCTTCTATATATTAACAGCCAAGACTTAGATACCGTTTTATGAGGGGTCGGTGCCTGAGCCACCGGACGGATAGTGGGGGAGTGTAAGACGGGTGCATCCTTTTTTTTTCTTTTTCTTTGGGAAGCGCATAAAACTGTCTTTGTTCCCGTGGCTGGTGGGTTTTTGCGTGATAATAGGAGTACGGTGTGCATTCGGGGATGGGATCATCCATAGTAAGCTGTTCCGAATTATGCAAATTATAATATACACAGGCCATGTCATATTACCTTGACTTGACCTATTGCGCAGTTGCTGCCATCGGACAAGATACCAAAGTCCGAACCCATCAATGTTGTTCCTGATCGAAATGGAACCTCCGGTAACCAACTAGCAACAAGTGACCAATCCTAGCAGGGTCACAATCCACTGTAGTTGAAACAAAGAGGATAGTATTATTATGCTGTAAGCTTACGGCGTATTCAAGCTTACTCGGGTTTAAACCAGAGCTGCATGCAGCTAGATCCCGTAAGATTTACAACCAACTGGCAACATGGGACAAGGGTCAAGTCGGCGAGCCGTGACGTCTGGCCTTGGGAGTATGACCTCATCTGCTCTAGCGAAGACATGTATGTTCGTATTCATTTATTCACAACGCAAATATTGACGGCTGGACGTCACTTATCCATGCACTATACAGTATTAGACGAAGGATTTCACGCAGACTAGCACCACGCATCTCCCCCCCTCCCCCCCGGGAGGGACTTGGTAGTATTAACTTGATACTATCTCTCGCGGTGGAACCATGGATGAGCGGGAAGGAAGAATGATCATTGATATGGTCATGGCCTCTGTGAATCCCGTCAGCACCTTACCACCCTCCGTCCAATGGCTGTCCTGACAACCGACTTTGGGAAAGCTGCTGCTGGCTATAAAGTTTTGCCAAGGGAATTGACGCCGTCAAATGTCATAATTTGTATGAATGTGTTGTGACTCCAAGGTATCCAAAGGCAGAAGCGAGTGATTGTTGTCACAGCATATGTTTTTCTTAGATGAATACAACGCTGGCCACATCGGGAGGCGGGAAGAGTAGGACGAAAGTGAATGAGTGATTTCAGTAATTCCTTTACACGGAGCTTCACGGCATGCTAATAGACCCTATGATAGACCCTATACTAATAGCTTGACCAAACCCGCTCATGGAGATATACATGTACATGCTCTCGTTGTTGATCCATTCGGCGAACTGCAAAGAGATCTTGGCCCCTAAAATTGGAATATCACACATCTAAACTGCCAACGAGGGCCTCGGGATGAGGCAGTCTACTGGGAAATTCATTATAATTGGGCAATAATCAACGACATACAGATAGACGCAGTTGAGGTCTCGGGATAGATTGCTGATGTTCAAAGAGAACTCATTATGCATGATTTTCTCTGACTTTTGTACCTCCAACTAATCAACTGCACCGAGCCCATATTTTATTCAAGAGGTTCTTAGATTGATATTGGTCGAGGCTCTGTTTGCTATCCTCCCCTCACACATTGGGGTTTCATTCATCAATTAGGGAGGGCAAGATGTAATGAGGGGCAAGGGCATGCCCGGTATTTGCTGCGACTGAGGGAAACGGGGAAAGATGAGCATTTGTTTCATTACTTATCGTGGAAGTATTAACCAGTACCATGACATCGCTTCTACGCGCTTGGCTATCAACACCTTGTTTTCTTCTTTTTTTTTCTTGTTCCTTGTGTTTCTATTACATGATGATTTCGTTCGCAACATCCTGTACGCACATGTTAGAATTGGTTGTGGAAACGAAGAATGTAAACGAGTAAGGAGGGAAACATACCCGCTTGAGCTCCTTGTACGGGAGGCAGACGCAGTTTTGCACACAGACTTCATCACCAACAGCGCAGTCCTTTCCGAGAATAGTAATGCTCTGAACCTTGATGCCATTCTTGATGATGCTGGTGGAATGGTCCGTGACGGGAGTGGGGGTACCCTCGACACGGGCCCAGGCGCCGACGCGGCTTCCCCATCCGATGATGGAGTAGAGGACGCAGGCGTCGTGGCGAATCTCAGAGTCCTCGAGGACAATGGACTCCTTGACACGGGCGCCAGCGCCAATGACGGCACGAGGACCGACGCTGACGTTGGGGCCGATCTTGGCCGTGGGGTGAATCTGGGCTGTAGGGTGGATGAAGACGGGAGGGACAATGTTGGCACTAGCGGCCGAGAGCTCCTTGTCGCCGCGCTGCCAGGCCCTCTGGAGGTAGAGAGCGTTGGCGGGTACGGCAGAACCGGCCGTCTTGATCTGACGCCAGAAATCCTTGGTCTCGCAGACAAAGAACTGCTTGCTGTCTGCCAGATCGCCGAGGATGTCCTGCTCAAGACGGATGACTTCGTTTTTGCGCTGCTCCTCTTCGTCGTCATCACCGCCGCCAGCACCGGCGTTCTTGGCAGAGGTGAAGAGCTCGAGGTTCTCGGAGGAAGGGTAGGAGACGAGGCGGGCGGGGCGGTCGGTGCGACGCTTAATAGCAGACCGGATGCTGGGGAAGATGGCCTCGGTCGAGAAGAGGTAGACGCCGCAGTTGATGAGGTTGCTGATGTGGGACTCGGGCTTCTCGACGTAGTGTAGCACGCGGCGGGTGTGGGCGTCGGACACGATGCACCCAAAGTTGGTGGCGGCCTCGTCGCTGACGCGCGTGCCTAGGATGACGGCCTCGGCGTCCTTGTCGTCAAAGAGCTTGAGCATGTCGCCAAGGGGGAAGGAGCAGCACACATCGGCGTTCAGGACGAGCAGTCTGTCAGGACGGCCCTTGAGGATGGCGTCGCGGAAGTGATACAGGCCGCCAGCCGTGCCCAGAGCCTGGTACTCGCGCAGGTATTTTATCGAAGTGATGCTCGGGAATTCCTTCATCGCATCCTTGATGACATCGCGGAACACTGTCTCGTCGTAGTAGCCGATTATGCAGACGTCGTGGATCGACCCAACCGCCGCAATGGCAGACAGGCAGTGCCAGATGATCGGGTGGCCGGCCACATCGAATAGAGGCTTGGGGACGTCGAGGGACAGAGGGCGGAAGCGAGTGCCGCGCGAGGGACCACCGACCTATTTGTTTGGCATTATCTGTTAGTCTCTCTATCTCCGTACTATAGCTCATCCCTTCTCTTTTCCTGTCCCTGTCCTCCCCGGTCTTGTCACTGTTTTGTTTTGTAGGGTCTGACGACCCCATGACAACGGGGCGGGGTTCTGGTTCTTACCAGGATGACCGCCTTGGTGGTGCTGTCCTTGGTACGGTGAGTCATGGGTATCTGAAGCGACATGATTTTTTCCTCGTTATTTGTCTGTATCAGTCACTCAGATCCTGTTTGGTCTTGTCTTGCGTTATGAGTGGCGTCGTTGTTGTGGCCAGGTTGTCACTGCAGGGACAGACGTCTCGTGTGGGGATGATGATGTGTGTCTCTTTGCTCACCGTATTGGCGCCTGTCAAAAAGAGACTCTAGTCCACGTGGGGAAAATTTCCGGGTTTCTGGTCGTCGTTCATAAGTGTAAATAAATACGTTTTTAATCTCTACATTTTCTGTGTAAATTCTTGTATGGAATTAACTTGCATTTTACTTGTGATCTATTTCCTAACATAATACACCCCACTGATTCTTCTTCTTTCTCTCACCCTCTTCACATGTAAGGCTGTTGCTAAGCCACACATAGGCCCGACTACCTCTGGGGCGCAAGCTCTTCACCAGCCACACATAAACTGCTGTCAGGGGAAGGTGCGGCTCAGTTTTTTCCCAGCCACTTACATTTTTTATCCAGCGCTTGTTCTCCTGCGAGCATTCAAATATGTTAAGAGTCGCGATTTCCTTGACAAGATAAGATGACCACTTTCACAAATTCTGTATGAAATATTAGTACTGGAATATTTCTAGGAATATCTAACGTCTACGAAGATTTTTATAGTTCTTTTTAGAGTCATTCGCTGTACTTGTGTTCCTAATTGAATAACTTCTCTCCTAACACATATTAACGCTGGCAGGAGTTAAACTTGCTCCTGTCAAATGCGCACGTCCCCCTTCTCCCTACTCTCCCTCTCTCTCCTGTTCTCACCTTGGCCTCACATTCACCAGTCACTCGCCTGTATTTGTCTGTATAATCCTATTTTTGTGTGTTTTCCTGATACCCATTTACTCGAGTTTCGCATCTTCTTTTCCCCCAGTCCCTCACCATAATTTCTCTCTCTCATTTCTTTTTGACCTACCTTATCCAACACCAAGCGACTGTTCCGACTCTTATACGACTACAACTACAGCTTTGATACAAGCTTGTAGTGGCAACTCTGCCACTTCCCTCTTTTGAAAATGCCTGGGCGCGCGAACAGACAATCTCACACTCGTGTCAAAACTGAACCCGGTCATCAGGGAAGCCTCACTCCCGGCGGACCTACACAAACCCAGACTGCCCATGCTGCCTCTGACACCAACCGATCCCGCGCAAGCTCAAGCAACTATGGCGGTGCCTCCACCATCATGTCAACGTCAGTCAATCCACGCCGTGATAGATCAGATGCTCGTAAGTCTTCCAGACTCTCTATTTCTTTGTTGCTCTGTTCTTCATCTTTCAACTCTCTCGTAAATACTCGGAAAAAAAAAAAGAAACTCCGACTCTACTACCACCACCGTCAGTATCGCTAACCATTCTGGCTTATAGCAACTCCAAGTGAGCCCGTGGGGGAACCTGAACCGCTTCTTAGAGAGATGAGGATGAGAACCAACCCTATGGCTCTAGGAAGCCCCACGGTCGTTGGCGAGAGCTCCAACTTCCACACGTCCTTTCAGGACATTGGCAAGAGCCTCAAGGCCTGCAACGATACTCTAGGAGAGCTTCAAGGCCTAGGCGTCTCTCACGATGTGCCACTCCCGGAGCTTGTTCTTGTTGGAGACCAATCAGCTGGAAAGTCTAGCGTCATGTCCGGTCTAGCCAACCTGGACCTCCCTCGGAGCGACGGCACATGTACTCGTTGTCCTTTGCACATCCGCGTGTCTCGCAATAGCGACTGGTCGTGCCGCGTTTCATTGTCCAAAGAATACAGCTACCAACCTCCGCAAGGCCGTGATATCAGCGAGCGAGACGTGACAGACCAGGACCCCTTCTTCCCCTGGCGGCGGAGGCACTCAGCCGAAGTCTTCGAGTTCAAGACGGTCCATGACAAGTCTGAAATTGAAGATGTCCTTAGATGGGCCCAAGTCGCCATACTGAATGACGAGCACCAACACGAACTTTACGTCCCCGGATCAGGTGCTATTGCCATGCAGACGCACATCGACGCCGCCGCTGAGCAAACCTCGGCCAAATTTTCTCCCAATGTCGTCTTCCTAGAAATCAAGGGTCCCGAGTTGCCCAACTTGTCCTTTTACGACATGCCCGGCATTTTCCTAAACCCGGCAGATGCTAGAGATGACTACTTGGTTAGTGTTGTACGGAACCTGTCCATGTCGTACATTCGTCGCGAGTCTGCCATCATCATGTGCTCCATGCCCATGAACAGCGATGCTGAGAACTCAAACACATTTGGCCTGGTTCGCAGGCTGCACGCCACTGAGCGTACTATTGGCGTCCTCACCAAGGCCGACCTTCTCCCCGAGGCAGGCAACCACAACCAATGGCTTGACATCATGAAAGGTAACGCACACCAGACTGGGCTCGGATACTTCATCACATCTCGTCCTCAAGGCAAGGACCTCGACCAGCTTAGGCAGTGGGAGGAAGCCATGTTTGGTGGATTCACCATTGACCAGTGGCCCGAAACTATGCATCAGTTTGCGGATCGGTGTGGCGTCGAGAAGCTAAAGGACTTTTTGTCCCACAGGCTCGGTGAACAGTTCGCCAAGAGGTGCGTGGATTATTCTATTTTCCTCTTCTTAATCCATCTCGGTCCTGTCGCTCCCTTTCAACCACCCCACCGCTGTTCCTGCACCCGCACCCCCTTTATTCCAACTCGCTGACCAGTGAAATCTGTTCCATAGCCTCCCGCACATTGAGCGTAAAGTTAGGAGTCACCTCGACAAGATTCTTCGACATCTTGGAACACTCCCTGAGCTCCCCGACAATGTGGAACTGGAGATAAAGACCAGTCTCCTCAAGTTCACAGACCTTGCTCGGGCCAACCTCGAAAGTCTAGGCAAGCACTTCAACCCACTGCCTGACCACTTTCGCGAATGCATCATCGAGATCAAGCCCAAGTTTGTTCTACGAGATAAGAGTGACATCCCCGTCCTTGAAATCTCCGACAACGATTCTGATGCAGAATCTACTGCAACTACGAACACCCCTACCAAGCGTCGCCCAACAGCACCTCCAGTAACCCCAGCAGCCAAACGCCATCGGAGTAACACCCCGATGACGAACGGGGCTGCGGTGAAGCCCGAACCGTCTGATAGGCCCCAGATACCTCCTGGTGGGCCACGACGCCCTGTGCAAAAGCTTAAGCCGCCCTTTCTAGAGTTTGAGAGGATTGGTCGCGGCTTCAGAACTCTACGCCAGGTTCGCGAAGAGATTAGGCAGAAGACGAGAGCTGGCATGCCTGACCATATACCTGCCGAGGTGTACGAGTCGCTAGTACTAGAGTCGATGCAACCATGGGAAAGACCGATGCTTGTATTCCTGGGCGAGACAATGCGTCTTATTCAGAACGAACTCACAAACTCGCTTAACAGCGCCTTTAGTGGGCTAAAAAAGCGTATCGTCTTTACAGAGGTGAAGAAGCATCTTCATACGCTACTCGATGCTCACCGTGCTAAGGCTAAAGAGGCCATGAAGCAAATTTATGACGATGAGATGCACCAACTTCTCACTTTCAACTATTCAGCTTTCGCTAAGTATACAGAGGAGGAGCACTGCCTTCTGACTCGCTTCCGGCACAAACTACGCATGGAGGCCATGGGCCTCCAAGCTCCCGGGCAGCTAGAGGACTGGGACTCGATGAACGAGTCGAAGCGGGCAGATGACAGGAAGCGTCGCGAAGCTGACCTGCAAAAGATTGGAAGAGATCAGTTCGAACCCGAAGTGAAAGTCGTGGCGTATGTAAGGGGCTACTACCGACTTGCGGCTCTCCGGTTCGTTGACTCGGTCGCCCAGTGTGTCATGTGCCGCATGATCCCGAAGATCAAGGCTGGTCTTTCAGAGCACCTCTACAAGGAGCTGGGACTGCTTGTTGGCCCCACACAGGAGGTATATGAGCGCCTCATAGAGGAGGATCCTGCCGTGGCATCGCGTCGCGAGACACTCAAGAAGGAAAAGGCCAAGTTCGAAAAGGCCCTTGCCAGCATCGACGCTCTCAATTCAGGCGTCATGGAGAATGGAAACAGTATCGGCTCTGGGACTCTTGGCGTTGAAGAACACGATGCCGACGATGCCATGATTGTCGATGATGCCACTGTTGCTGAAGATGGCATTTAGGATGTATACGAGGTCTGACCGTTTTCCTCCTTGCTGTTTTCCCTTTGATTTCTGTTTCATTTTCATTTGCTTTTCCTTCCCCCTTCCCCACGACCTTGTCTACTTTCTTTATGTTCTATATACGATGGTGGAAATTGCTCGTTAGATATTTTGTTCGGGATACGTCCAATATTATGGGACGAACTAAAGGTCTCATGTGTTTTTTTGTGTTCTCTCCGCTTTACTTTGTTTATAGGAGATCAATATGGACGAGAATCTGTGTTGTCAGACCTAACATAGAGCTATACGATTTTGCTTGGTTCGAAAAGATGCAGAGTTTCTGCGGAGGAAGTTTCAAATAGTTTGCGGCAAGGAACAGAACAAGATAGATAATCAGTTGCTACGTTTCCCCCTCTTCATCTTACGAACATGTCGTGTGACAAGGCAATGGCAAACAAAGAAGCACAGCGCTATTACTTACAACAACAATCATCGTCATAAGTCAACGAATTGTAGTGCAGAAGAAAGACGATAGTCTGAGAAGACTAAAAAGGTTGAATGCCTTTTGATTAAGTACCCGAGTGGGGTTATATTATACTCGTGGTCGCTAGTATATAGATTTTGTAAAAGCCGCAACGCACCTGTACCGCCATCCCTTGGACGCCAGTGTCACCCTTCGAATTTCCCCCTTTCGGATGTTCTTATCTTTCTTTCTATTCACCGAGTATCCTCGTATCGCCACGCCACTCTGCTCCGTGCCTTATTTAGTCTCCTGCCCTCACCACCATTTGTTGGCGGTATGAACCCCTGCCCCTCCTATGTGGGGTCGGAAAACCGTCTCCTAGAAAGCCGCCGTGTTGGAGGTGGCAGACTGGCTGAGACTGAGGGTGAGAATGTGAACGTCGTAGCCGTGCTGGTGAGGGTGCCGGGCGTGGGTGTAGGCGTAGGAGTGAACAGGAGAGTTGCCGCATAGGTAGTAGTGATGGCTGCAGCGGCGTTAGTGATGATATAAGAGGAGACGATAGTCCTCCAGCAGAGCAGTGGAGACCAATGTCCTCAATGATGCACTTTGATGTCCCCGTCTCCGTGTCCATGACGATGATCTCCACGATGACCTGGTTGGCAGGGTCGGTGACGGTCTCTATGACGGTGGTGTACCGGCTGGTAGCTGTGGTGGTGGTAGTGATCGTCATAAGAGACAGGACTGTGGCCGTCTCAGTCAAGATAAGGCCGTTGGAGAGAGTGGCTGTCACGACTCAGGGTTCAGAGTCGATGATGGTCCCGAGGCAGGTCATGATGAAGACCTGGACGTTTCCTTGGTTGGAGGCGGTCTTGTTGGCAACGACCTCCTCGGTGACGGTGGCCACTGTTGCGGAGGGGCCTACGGACAGGATGACGGCCACGAGACCACTGGGAGTGCCCTCGATGATGGTCTTTGTGATGGAGGTCTCGTAGGTGAAGGCGTCGTTGACAGCTGCTGTAGGGGTCGCACCGGCCTTGACGTAGATGGCCTCAGTGACTGTCACGGTCCTGCCGGCGATAACCTGGGAAACAGCCATGGTCTCAGCACCGTTACCCGTGGGGTGGGCGGCCTCGGCGGCGCCAGTGACAGCTTTAGTAACTGTCATCGTCTCAGGCGAGAGCGAACCGGAGTTGGTGATGGCCACCATCTTGGCAGAGACGGAGTCCGTAATTATCACGGTCTTAGCGCCAATTCTGCCTGATTTGGTGGCTGCCACGGTCTCAGCGTTGAGAACATCGGGGTCTGTGACAGTCACCGTCTTGGCAGGAGAAGTGGCAGAGTTAGTGTAAGTGATTGCGATGGTGGAGGCGTCTGACACTGGGCAAGAGCCGGAGTCGACTGATCTTCGGAAACCGAAAATCTCGACACTGACCTGAGACAGGCCGGCGGCAGAGAGTATGGCAAGCAGAAGAAAAGTGCGAAGTAATATGTAAGACAGGTGTGTCGGATAAATGTGAGTCGTTTAAAAAGGAGAGACATGACGTTGCTACAGGTGATGAGTGATGGTGATTGTCCCATGCAAAGAAAAACGAGTATTCACCGTGACTTGTATATACTCGTTCCTCGACGGGTTCTACTGGTAAACAAGGACCACCTAGTCACCTATTCAAAAAGCACGATAGTTTATGGTTAAAACGCGATCCTATCACCTCTGGAAGTACTAGGCCTCAGGTCACCCGGTAAAGGGGGCCATCTGCGAATGCAGTTTACAATAATAGTATTGATGAGGAGCCATCAAGGGCCTGATTCATTGATGCGCGTAGATAGTCATACGCCATGGTAGGGGTCGCAGTATTGGTAGGGAGGAAGCAAATGGTCCAACAGAAGCTGGCAAAGGGTCCTTATATATTTATTTCAGCGTTGGCGGCAAGGGAAGGGACTTGGACGCTGAAGGGATATCTATATGAGCATGAGAGGTTATAGGGGTTGCTGCCGAAACAGTTTCGGGGTTCTAGACGGATTAGTCTGTTGCTTCAGGAACCAATCACCCAGCATGGTGCGAGGGAAAGAGAATCGGAAGAAACAACAAGAGGGAAGAACTGGTGCACGTAATCATGGAGGTGAGGGACCGTCCCGGCAGAATGGCGCACCAAGGCGGACCGCAGATTACCCGAACCGCTCTTAGGGAAAGAAGTACAGATTGATACGACTGGAAAAAAAAAGAAAGCACGACCGACCCACTTTCCACGTCCCCCCCCAAGGGAGAGAGCTTCGTAAGGCACCAAGGCAACAAGCAGAAGAGGAAACAGCAAGGAGAGTAAGACGTCCAACTCCATCCCGCGAAACGACGTCATTCCCCCTGCCCATCAACACCACTTTGCGCCGCAGCTCTCGTACTGTGGCTCTCTTTCCCGGACATCTCCTGGATGGTGCCGATCAACCTCTGATATTGCCTGTCCCGTACCCTTCCACCCCCCGATCCCTGGAGGTCAGGAAAGAGTGGCTGGCTCATTTTATCACCATGGGAGCTTGTCAGTCCTGCCTCGGAGCACGTCCACGCGACTCGTATAATGTGGGTGGCCCTTTGTGCCAATGTGTTGCCATGGTGAAGAAACAAGAAAACTGACAAAAGCTGCAGCAGGAAGAGGACTCCGGCCTCCTCTATGACGAAGCCAACGGTGTCCAGTACGGCAGCTTTGGAGAGCAAGGCATCAACGGCGATAACGACACGCTCGAGACGCGGCGAGAAACGGAGGCGATCCAGAATGTGGTGGCCAAGACATCCGAGTATGTGGCCTGACCGGTCGGCTGGACCGCCTGGCGGAAACCGCCTTTGCTGATAACATGAATAGGAACCTGGTGGACGTGTTTGAGGTGGCGCCATCCGTATCGGGACCCATGACATCGACAAACTTTGCCTACGCCGGGCAGGGCGCTCGCCTTGCCCGCTACCAGCACCTGGTCTCGAAGCTGAGCTCCGACGAAGGGGCACAACCCGGTGACATAAAGGTCGGGTGGCTCGCGGACGACGACAACGTCGATATGCCGGGGACCAGCCCTGTCAGCCTAAGGACGCAGGAGGGGGACGGTGCTGCTCTGGTAGGCACCTTTGCCGATGCAGCGGCTGCGGCCAACAACCAGGCGGACACGACGACGACGACGACGACATGAGATAATGTATAATACATCTGACTACCGCGGGACGCACGCCTGCATGCTTAGTCTGGTCCCACGACATTCGAAAAACAACAACAACAACAACAACAAACACGCCATGGGCGGATATTCCTGCCCGCACTCGAGTGGGGTAGGGCTTTTTCGGTCTTACCGTCTTGCGACTGCCACGCCTCCCTAGCCAGTACCGCTCTACTGGAGTTTTGTACGAGCCCGGCTTTATCGACAGAGTGATTTAGAATCAACGGCTCAGACTTGATTCGATTTCTTTGACTTCTTCTCTTCTTCTCTTGCTGCTACTCTATACCTCATATCCACTTCTCTGTGTCCTTTATCTTCTCCCAATGTCTTTTCTCTTTACATGATCCATTCACTTCATATTTCTTAGTTTTTCTTCTATAGATAAGCAAAAGCTCAACAGTAGATTGTCTACTATTGTGTGCATTGAATATTGGGGCTTCTCAAGCCTAAAACACCAATGGAAATGCATCGACATACACAGACACTATTATGGCCCCATTTTACTGCATCTGATCAAATCTGACCATGACATTATTACCGTTGGCATTGAATAACGTGTTCAGGCCGGGCCTTTTCTTTAGGCTGCGGCTTATAAGCACAGGTCTATTGTCGACAAGGCACGAAGAGCCCTAGGGCGTAGCAAGGCCACCAGCCATTAACAAGTGATACGCCGGTTGTGCCATTGAGCATTCGCCACGTGCGCCATTGTTCTGCGCAGTGGGGTAAGTCCTAATACGACTCTTAGCTTCTCAGCTAACCAAGCTCTTGTTCCGTGGGGTGTCTTGTCGTGTGTGTTCTTTTCCTCAACAATCACGTCCTTCGTCTGACTGTACTTGTCCCCTTGTGCGGAGAAGTGCGGTCACGACTCGGACGATATCTGGGGTTCCGAGACCGGTACTGCTTCTCTGTGCTCCGTACCAAATATGCTTACAACCTACTCTCGTACAGGTGCAGATAAAGCCTGAGGCGACCCGTCAGCATCATCTTCTTCTTCGCCGGGCCCAGGGGCCTGGTTCTGGGTTCCGATGGCACCCCTCCCCCGGTCCGTGCAGCATCTGAGACTCCGCCAGGTCAAGAATGCCCGTCTTTGGACCTTGGTACAGCAGACCTTGTATTACTATCCATGCCATACCCGTACTCGGCACTCGCACACACACGCTGCACGAGCGTCGACCAGCATGTGTAGGTATGGACGTGTTCATGCTTGAAACAAAGTACACACATGTATATGTCCCGTCTAATTGCACTACCAGTAGTAATACCAGTTGACCACCCTTGTGCGTGGTCTTTTTTTTTATACCTTTGTAATCTATACTCCATACTCGGTGCTCTGCAATACGGCCGGTTAGTATACAGCATCAGAAACAGACTAGTAATACCTAATAAAAGCTTGCATGGGGCGAGTGACAACCTTGCACAGAGAGTGGGTAGATCCGATAGTACGGGCTGGGAGGATTGTTCCAGAAGGGCTTTTTCGAGGAGGTCTAGGCGAGAGGATTACAGGGGAGGGAGAGAGAGAGAGAGAGGGAGGGAGAGAACATCTGGTGCGCCGTAATACTACTCGCCAGACAGAACTGAAGATTGAACAAGCTGTTCGAAACCAGGAACACGACCGAGACGGACTGCATGCATTATCACCATGCGCCCATATCATCAGACGGGTGCAGTAGGTTCAGGAATACCGAGCACCAGGACGCCGATCACGGTGGACGGGATTGCATCATGCACCATGTTTGTGGCCTTACTGTATACGTACATGGTGCATAAAGCAAGTCAACTAGAAAGAAACAAAGAAAGAAGGGGGGAAAAGCAATGGCAAAAAGCTTGCTGAGTATTAATACATGCAGTATTCCAACTAGTAGTTTAGTCTGTAGCCGGCCTAGCAGACTAATAAATACTTACATGTAACCCCCACCAGGGTACTACTCTCCATATTAATGTGAACAGACGGGTACGGGAAGTTTTCTTCTACTTATTAGTAGTCAGTATAGGTACTTGAGCGTCCTAAGCACAGATACTGGGCCGATACCATCAATACTAGTAATAATAGTAAGTATACAGTCTCTCCAGCTCATCCGTGTTCCGGCCTCTAACTCTCACTGTCTATGTCCCTCCTTTGCTTCTCTCTTCGAACAAACCCTCACCGTCATAGGCGTACTTCTGCGCTCAACGGGCGACCCACCTGTCGATTGGCTGCGTTACGGAAAACGCACGTGGACAGAGACACCTGTAAGGGCTCCCTCTCCATTCCACGTCACTCGCGTTCCAGACGGAACACCGGAGTGCGAAGTATCACGGAGTAATAGCATAGGTAAGCCTGACAGCGTATACATGCCAGTATATCCGAACAAAGCGAAGAGAGAGAGGAGAAGAAGCAAAGCGTGAAATGCAGATGGGCATTATTCCCACTGTTCTCTTCTGCAACCTCGGCAGGGCCGTGGATCAAGGATAGGATTTCTTTTTTCCCAGCGAGTAATACTTGTATTACTCCGTAACTCCCCCACGCACAACTGCGTCCTTAGCCTTGCCGCTCGCTGCGTATCGTATTCGCACCTCTGCGCATCACGGCATCACTCTCCGCAGTCCACACTGTCCAGGTGACATGACTCGGCGTTTTCATTTCAGGTCTCTCTTTCTTAGTAGAGAGAGGGGGGGAGAGCGTGGAAGACACCAGGTCTTTCTTTTTCGAAATGGCGACTATAGGAACTCAACATTACATGCGTCAAGGAAACAAAAACAACTGCAAGGGAAAAAGTAACTCGTAGCAACAACAACAACAACAACAACAACAAAGAGAGCAGAAAGTAAAACAGAACAAGACCACAAGAGAAAACGGAGAAAAAGAAAGAAAAAAAGAAAGAGCAGAGGAAAACCCGGCCATTTTCCTCCTAGTGACTCCCTACCCGGCAAATCTTCCTCGAAAGGCCCCCCTCCCCAGGCTCTCTTAACCCCCTGTCGGAAATCTGCACTCGGGAGGGACAGGGTCAGGGGTTGGGGGGGGGGGGCGGACAAGGAATCCGTCCGGGCAGCTGAGGCCGCTGAAAGGGAAAGAAAAGAAGAGTGCGCCACAAGAAGCCGGCACAAATGAGCTGACAAAATCTGTGGGGGGAGGGGAGGCAGAGCGGTCATGGTTGAAGGATATCTGAAAGGAAGAAGGAAATAGAGGATAAATGGAAAATAAAAAGCCACTCCTCACCCCCTCTCCATCTCTTCCTCTCTTCCTCTCGTTCTCGAGAAGCATGGAGAGGGAAAAAGTTGCTGCACAAGCGGGAACGGTCTGCAAGATTTTGAACTCGCTAGTTGCGGACCCCCTTTTTTTCAACTCTTTTGGTCCTCCTTGTTCGCCACCCTCTGATCGGGCGGGTCTCCCCCCTCTTACATCATATCATGGCCGTGGGCGTGATCGTTTGGATGGTATATACTCGTAGTGTTACTGTTCGTTTCGAGTCGTCTCCGGTCAGCCATGGGTAGTGGTTACACGAGGTAGGGGGTGGTTGGCTGGGAGGTGTGTGGTGTTTTATGAAAGAGAGAGAGAGAGAGAGAGAGAGAGAGAGACGGAGACATAAACTGCTTGTTTTCTAGCTCGCTTTCCGTGGCTTGCTTACCTGACCGAGGGATTGTAGCCTCTGGAGATGCTCTTCTTTGCGTTGGTTGATCTGGGCGAGCACTTCATCCATCTCGCCACACGTGCGCTCGACGGTGGCAGGAAGGCTTCCATCGCGCTGCCATCGCTCGACGTTGCGGAACATCTTGTCATAGCGGCGCTGCTTCTTCTCAATCTCGAGGCAAAGCTTGCACATTCCCGGCTCCTCCCTCGTCTCGTAGACGAGCTTGAGTCCGCACGTCTCGCCCATACGGTATTCCTTGTTGCATTGCTGACGGAAGTGGCCCCAGCGCCAGTAGCCACATGCCCATCGAGTCTGCTCAAAGTAACACATTGCTTCTTCCCTCCTGTTCTTCTCTTCTTTCCTTCTTGACTCTCTTCTTTTCTCCTTTCTTCCTCTTGTCCCCTTGCTATTTCTTTCTCCGTCTCTCCTTGATTTCTCTCTGGTCTTTGACGTTGTCCTCCAATCTCTCTCCTAGGTGTATATGTATATATACCAAGGTGGAGAGATAGCCGTGAATAAACTGACGTTCGACTTTGTCTGTGTATAAAATCCTCAGCAACTCGTGCAGACAGCTGCACGACACACGCACACACGCAGGCAGCACACAGCTCGCACACCACCACGAAGCGGTTACCGCCGCCTTGCCCCTTTTGAGCAAGGGCTCTTATTCTGAAGAACAGGGGGTGGGGGAAGGTCTTACCTGGGCGTTCCTCTTTGATCTAGTCCCAGCCACTTGGGTAGGCTCTTCTTGTTTCGATTTGCTTTCTAGAAGACTGGTAAACGGTTGGTTGGAGTCGTGGAATTAGCTGATCCGGTCCCTCGGGTTCGTGTCTTTGGTTTGTTTGGTCTTTCTTGGCCGGCAGTTGCAATTGATCTTTCTTGACCATCACCCAGAGTGTTCTTCTCGTGTCTTCGCCTTTTAACTTCAGGTGACCAACAACCCCTTGACTAGAGAGATAGATAAAGGGGAGTTCACGGATTCAAAAGCCGGGGAAGGACTTCACCTTTATGTTGATTACAACCCCCCTCCGTCGCTTCCTCGTATTGGACCAAGGCGACAACCCAACTTATATCTCTGCCCGATGGACAAGCAGACGAAGCTTCTTGTCCTTTTTTAGAGTATGCGCGTGCATGTACGTGCAATGTGTGTGTATGTGTATGTATGTGTGTGTATGTGTGTGTGTGTGTGTGTATTGTGTATGCGTCTGTGTGTACACGCGTATGGGTGCGGTTTAGATCTCCGCCTTACCGTTGATCCTGTCTCAACAGGCCATCACCACACATCGAGACGCCCCCTCCTTCCCCCCTATCTAGTGGGACTTTGTTGATTTGGTCTGTGCTGGCACAACAAGGGGCGTATGTATGTTCTTCGAGAACCAACGGCCTTGCGTCCATTTCCTCTTGTTGCTTGTATGTGTCCTTCCCCAATGTGGCTTCGTCCTAGATACGTGGATTGGGCATACTTACCTCTCTTTCTGTCTCTCTCTCCCTCTATCTCAATGTGTGCCTGTTCCTCTTCTCTCTGAACACACCACAATATGAAGGATAAACACCCAAGAACCGAAAAGAATACAAACACGCGACATACGCATTACACATACAACATACGTATACACACGTCTAACACACAAAGAAACACGCCCCCTCCCTCTCTTCCCATGCGGCCCGGCCCCGTTCCTGGCCTATTATGTTCAGGACTCGCTTGGTTCTTGCAGTATGTATCTCTTTTTTCTTCCCTTCAAGTCCCTGCAGCCCATATATGACGCTGTCGCTATATGTCTGTTCCAAAACCATACTATTGTTTTTTCTTCTTCGACTTGACACTACAGATTCCTGTTTTTTCGACTGTGCTTTTTGTATTTTTTTTCTTTTCCTCCTCTCCATTTCTCCTCTTTTCCCCTTCTTACTATATGCAGCTGGTGCGTCAAATGATAATAACCCTCGAGTATTTAGTATTTACTCTCACCACAAACCGTCGAAGTACAAGGGTGAGCAGCAACAACAGCATAGACAACTCCCTTTTTAGGAATATTGCTTGTTGTACAACGAGTTGTGCCCCCCCTGTTGTGCTGCAAGCATTCTAGGGTTTCACGCCCAAGGTGTGATTGGGCATTGAATCACACACATGTCACGAAGGTCAAGTGGTGTTGTCCTTGTTTTAGCCCATTATATTATTATTTGGTCCTCTTTTATTTGTTTTGCTCAGGTTTTGCCTAAACCGTGGCCTGGCCATCTGCAATCTGCCCGCTGTGGACCTATGGGTGTGAAAGAGGTGAGGGGGAGGGTGAGGGGGAAGATGGAGGGGTGAAGAGACGTATCGAGAGTTGTCTAGAAAAAATTATAAGATAAAATAAAACAAAACACGATGGAATAAGAGACCCGCCTCTCCTCGCTACCTCTTCCTCCTCCTACTCAGCCACGACTTCCGAGCCACTTCGCCGTTTAGCATAATGGGCCTCCTTGAGCTGCGGCCGCTGTGGAGTTAGTCTCTTGGTGGTTCGTCCCGATGACCGACAAGTGTCAGGGATAGACGGGGACAGATCGTTGGGGCCCTTTTTTTCCGTCTCCCCAAGAAGATTTTGTCCTTTTTTTTTTTGCTCTTTTTTTCACACTCTGGAGGGGGGGGGGGCAAAGCAAAAGCCATTCTCGGTATACACAAGGTATATGATTCGTCTATTGCCTCTTGGCCAGTCTTGACGATTCGCCGAGGCCCATCGCCGAGACCACCTCCGTCTCACGCCGAAAGGTACATATTGACTGTGACGAGTTTTCCCTTTATAACCAACTGTCTCATATAATTGTTTAGTATCTCAATAAAAAGTATAAAACGAAAAAAAAGGGGGGATTGATTCACCGTATATTCTTGCGGAAACTACATCGGGCTTTTCTCTCGTAGATATGTATTTAGTGTACATGTACACGCATTGTGTAGTGTGAGAGCGTCCCTAACTGTGCTGGCTTACATCGTGGCCCCTGAATGAATGTTGTAGCTCTTTCACATCTTCGTCTGCTTCAAGAACTATTATGCTATGCGTGACAGTATCAACCTATGAGTAACCACTTTCTACTGCCTCGTGCGTTGAACTCTCTTGGTCCACAAGACATTCGCGGGCTTAGGTGAACATTTGAGTATAGCTATGTGCGTAGGCGCCGGGAGAGGACGACATCATGTCTGCCTGGTTCCTCAGAAATCGTACATGGGATATAACCATACCCCTCCCTCCCTTCTGTAAAGGGTCATTGAGCGAACTGTGCATCGTGTGACAGAGGAGACGATGGGAGGCCGAGAGAGAAGGACGGAAGGAGGCCCAGTCATCCAGGGGGTGGGACGCACAGGCCGAGAGACACACAGGCGCGGTACAGATACATGACTCTAATAGGACAGCACTGCATCGCCATTGGACTGATTCCCCCCTACAAGTCCGGGTATACAAAAGCTGGAAAACATGGAGAGAAGACGACGTGGCAGGACTTGTCTGGTCGGCAAGGAGTATTGGTTATACGGACGCCTCAAGGAACTTGACTTCGCTTCTCGACCAGTCGGGGAAGGAGCAACGTGCTTTAAACAGACGAGCTTTTGGGCACACATGAATCCTCGCACCGACGACAAGACATGTGAGGTGATTCACATGAGGGTTGGGCAAACGTGCATCTTCTCGGAGAGAGAGACGCAGAGAGGGAGACGCGGGAGACGGGGACGGAGAACAGAAGCACAGGAAGGGGAGGTGGCTTTTGCGACTTATTCTGTTCTGAGTTAGCACTTGCCATATTTAAAACCCAAGGAAGGCAGAAAGAGGTGAAGAACAATGCCAAATGCTGATGTCATGCTCCTTTCTCGCCTTGTTGCCCCATTCCGTCACTCCTTCCTCCCCCTCTCTTTCCCTCGAGTGATACAGAACAAAGTGGAAACATGCAGAACCTCCTCCATCTTCTTCTCCTCCCATGATACTGATTCGTGACTATACACACACGCACGCACACGCACACGCACACGCACATGAATTCAGGCTTCAACACTCTCCATCTCTGCGTGTGTATGTCTATCTCTCTCTCTCATCACCCTTTCACCCCACGCCTGGCGGACATCGGCTACGTCGACCGTGGCTCGAATACATACCAAGAAGTGATAACAGCATGGGTCGCATAATATTACCCTCCCTGTTAATCCTTTTTGACACGGTACCAGCATGGGTCTGAAGGCCTTGTCGGGACGTCTTTCTTCATTTCAACCGTTTGACACGTCGGCATACCAGGAAACTCACCTCTACACTGTGTCAAGGACGTTTTATTATTTTTTTCTCTCCTCCCATTCCTTTTTCACTATTTCATCCAACATTCTGCTTTCGGGGGTTCGTTTGGTGCTGACGTGCTTGGGTCGCACTGGGTATTTGGACGGGTCACTATCGTTTTGTGTGTGCCTGTCCCTCGTTTTTTCTTCCTCCTTTTGTATCCCGCAATGCTGACATCAATTAGCCACGACAGGATACCACAAATATCGTTTTCACCATGTTCAATGAATTCTCGTCATCGAGTACCTCTATTTTTTTTATCTTTCCTTCTTTCCACTTCATCTCTGCCCCTTTTTCTGCTAAGAGCGATCAAGAACCAACTCGTGGCTCGCCCAGGCCAATTGGCTCAAACAAGGCCACACACACACACACACACACACACACACACACCCTGGGCCCTGGCATCCTTGTCGTGCGGTTAGGGCCGCTCCTTTATTAGCTGGAAATGGGGCCATCCGCAACGGCCCGGCCCGTTCTTTTTATATTATTTTTATTTTTCTTCCTTTTTGATTTGTAGGGGTAACACACCTTGGACATATCCTGAGCCACCGAGGGATTCACAATTCGCGTTACACAGAAACTCAATATGTGCGCCCCCCATTTCTCCCAGTGGCTCTGAAACAAATCAACACCTTGACAACGGACAGTTGGTAAAGGGGCGGTGTGGAGAAGGGGTGATTGCCCAAAAGATCACCACCAGGGGAAGAAAAAGAAAACAAGGCGGCTAGAGGATCACCAGTTGATGCATTCTGGAGCAGGAAGGAATGGTACGAAGACGGGTACATGACGAAAAGAAGATGCGAGATCTCGCAAATCCTTGTTGTTCATGTCCGTCATTGGGCTGGAATGCTCCCTTTTCTTTGCGCCTCCACCCCCACCAAACTCGGTGCCCCCCGCCTCACGTTTTGGCTCGCCCAACCACACTACCGTTTTGGGTAGTTCATGCAGATGCATCTCTGCAAGGCACGCCCGTTCCCCGTGAAAGAGGCAGAGATATTCAGACTGAAGCTAGTACCCTGGGAACTCTCCGGGGTACTATGCGTACGCATCATGTATGTACAGCAATGCAGGGGAGGGGGTGTGTTGGGCCAGCTGTCAGTTTGTTAAGCCATGTCACGGCGAACCACGCGGTGTGCTGCCCGAACTACTAGCTCGGGTTCGTTTCTTGACCGAACACAATGTTCATTGGTATTTCCGGTTGATGGATGTTGTCAAAATTTCCTGTTACACAGCAATTGGCTAATCATGGTCATGATACAGGAAGCTGTCAGCCAGACATTTGGTCTCGATTCAATTCACATTTTGTTTGCCTAAACTTCCTGGTGCGGAACATCGAAGTTCATTATGGCCAAGGACGAAAACTGCTGGCATGGTTTGCGGCACTATACAGGAGAAGCCTGCAAAGAATAAAAAGAGAAGTGAGCTAGCCAACAGGCGCAAGACACAGCATACAGCGGGCATGAATAGCCGGGTCCAGGACTGACCCAGCTACAGACAGTTTGTTGATGCCCAATGCGAATGTCCTATCTTGAAAAGAAGTCGGCTATAATTCACCAATTCACCAACAAAGTTGTCTCTTGTATGTATACAGATACACCGATACACCGAAGAGATGACACGGAGGGGGCAAACGAGGCACGCCAAGAGGTGAGCTGGCGTGAGCTGGCGTGAGCTGGCGTAAGCTTTGCCATCTCATACATGCATCCATGTCCGGGGTCACGGTGCTGCAGGATGCCGCGCCGCATCTTGTCACGGACATGAGGGGCGGGGGTCTCAAAGTATGTGTTGGATCTGCACGGCGAACTGTGTTGTACATTCTTCGGCATCATCAGTACCCCGACGCTCTCCCCCACGTCAGAACGAGGTTGCGTGCGGAGTGTCGGGTGTACACCGTATGCGAATGCAGAGATGACTGGAGCCAGCTGCCGAAGGATTCGTGTCTTCAGCCTCGCAGGTCTGGTACGGCAGGTTGGTTTTCTTAGCAGGTAGTACATGGTCGCATACATACATGTACGAGAATGTATACATGGAGAAAGCCCTCACACAGGAGGGACTATTGAATGGGAGTCTGTAAGATATACATACGCCTGGCGTCAGCGTCAGTGCCCGACGCCACTAATAATATAAAAGTAAGTGTATATAAGGATCATTCATGGGAGAAGGGGAAAGGGGGAGAAACAGGGGGGGGGAGGGGTGGAAATGCATTGCCCATCAACCTGTTGGTTGTGAGGCGCATGAGCGGTCCCTGGCATTGTTGAGGATCAGAGGGGTCAACGAACTGCTGCAGTCTGCAGATGTGCCCGTTTTTGGTAGGCCACCATAGGTGAGTGATTCAGAGTAGTATTACCTCATACGGAGAAGTATATATTACTACATCCAGCAGTAGTCGACGCATGGAATGGGGGTGCACTCGGTATGGGTGTCATGTTGTTCTGGCTCACAAACCCATGTATCCAGCCCTGCCACCTGCATAGCAAGGCTGCCCAACCAGGCTGCCCAAACGAAAGGGGTAGATCTGTCTTGTGCGTGGAGTTCTCATGATGCAAGGACAGAGTGAGATGGATCAGAGTGACATGCAGATGGATATTTGCGAAGGTACGGGTTTGAGCTAAACAGAAAAAGGGGTCTGACGTGGCAGCCTCGCTGAAGGGGTGAGTTGAAGTGGAGGAGTTAAAAGAGTAGTGACGAATAATCAGTGTGGATGGCCGGGTCTAGCAAAACGCGGCCGGCTAGAAGAAGATGGGTGTGTGGAAATCGGTCGCGGAATGGTGATGTATACTCGTACTCAATAGTATTACTAATAATACCTACCTAGTAGTACTACTAATGATAAAAAATGCAAGATGGAACAGAGACATTACTTGTAGGCATATTGGTCTAGTATGGAGAGCGTGGAGTGGCATGATGGTGATGATGGTAACGAGATCATGATGGATTTCCTCGTGAAGTACCAGCCAAGGGAGGTGCAAGTGCTGCGCCTTCCGGTCTGTAAACTGGCAATTGGCAGTTGCACCCCGCCAAACCTGTCCACTGAGCAATGAGCATATGCCGGTGAAATGCTTGAATGCCTACCTACCTTCCTCCCCTCCCCCCCTCCCCTCCAAACCGCCAGCCACTCAGAATCCGGCCTGCTGACGACGTCTCGTGTCCAATGGCCCTCTCGCTTGGGACACCTCGCCTTTGGTGGGAGAATCATTCATCACCATCTCATGGCATCCCATATCACATCGAGAGAATCTAATACTCTTTCATCACCTCACTTGATCACTTTATGGTCCATCTGCATTAGCATTCGTCATTCTTGTATTTCCATCATCTTCTTTAGCCTGCAGCCAACAACATCGCCTCATCTTATCGTGTCCTTATTGATTCTCCCTGCCCTTATCCCATCCACCGAAGCCTCTCCATTTTTCTGTCAATCAGTCAAGTCAACCGATAATCGTTTCCGTCTGCCCATGACGAATGTGGCCTTCCCCGCTGCGACCTCTGTCACGCGCCCGCGACGGATTACACTAACAATAATAGCACAAGTTTTGCTATTATTCTGAACTCGGAACATACAGTCAACAAACGCCCCTTGGCGCCTCAAGCTTTCTAGGTCACGGTTACACTCAACGCGACCTTTTGTCTTGGATCGCGGGCCTTGAGGCGGAAAATCAACACGACGTATTACACTGTAACACGAGCATACCGACAACAGGATAGACAACATTTTTTATCTGCCACCGCACCTCGACTTTGTCACGCATTTCCATTTCTGTCTCCTCGGATAACGGTGCTGGCATTTGCACAAGACGACGCATTCATTACCATCCTTGTACTTTCAGCTAATCCCTGCGCACCCCCAAGGCTGCCACAACGATACCTGCCCCGTTTCGCTTCCATCTGCTGTCTAGTAGTCTACAGAGTAACCTGCTCGTACGACTTTTTTTTGGCCATTCACACTCAAAATCAATGGACTGTCTCGCCAAGGACAACCCTGCTGCCACCTCATACGAGGACCAGCGCATCGCGCATCAACAAGGGCCTTTCCTAGTATCCGACAGTGACAGCCGTAGCCCCTCACCACCATCTTCTCCTACTCGGAGGCAACAACCACAGCATTCCACCAAGTCCCCACTATATCATCCTAGTATAGGCATCGGACATGATGGGCATGATGACGACGACAACGACCATGACAACAATAGCAGCACCAGCAGCAACAGCGGGTTCATGCCATCCATGATCCCCTTGAACTCCCGTCACACCAGTGGTGGCCTGGCCGCATATGCGGTCACTGATGCCCGAACCGCCGCTTCAATCGGAGATGATGAGGCGGTCGGAAGCAACGATGACGCTGCAGCTTTCCTCTCACTCTCACTCTCACGCCGACCGTCCAGCACGATGATGAACACTCATCGAGGAGATCCGCCTGCCCTGGATGCTCTTCCCAATGAGATACTGTTTCACATATTACGCTTCCTCGACGTGAATGATGTACTATCAACTTCCAGGGTAAGTCTTGTACACGCGGAGACAGACAAGAGACATGAGGGAAGATGTGTGTAACACACAGAAAGAAAGATATACACACAGAGAGAGGCATACGAAGGAAGAGAAATAACCATATGAAGATATATAAATGAAGAGAAAGGAGAGATGCAAACGCAAGGCACAGACTAACAAACTCAGACTAGTCAGCATCTCCGGATCGTCTCCCTTGCCCCCCTCCTCCACATATATCGTCTTCGCCGTGTGCGCGAGGTGCTCCCCCCTCTTCTCTGGAGTCCTGAGCGCCCCAGTCTCGGCAACCTCATATCGAGGTCCATTTTTATGACGAATACGTCTGTCGTCTCACGACAGCTGGCCCGCTCTCTCGTCTCCATCCGCCTGTCGCGCCGCTTGGCAGCCCGTCCTTCGGCCGAAGCCCTCGTCGAGCGAGCTGTTCTGCCCAAGGAGTGCGTTCCTGGCATGGCCCCCGTGCATGTCTCCCCATCTATACTGCAGCGTGGGAGGACCATTGAGCGTGAGCGCATCAAAGACGGCCTGCGGCGCTGGGTAGAGGCCAAGTGGCGTAACGAAGTCCAGGAGCGCGAGAAGCGCCAGAGGAGGTGGGAGGAGAGTCGTGGCATCGGCAGGGTGTGGCGGCTCAGACGCTTCTGGGAGAGGATTAGCAGGGGAGAGGACCTAGCCGTGAGGTAGTAGCGACAGGCGGCAGCCTGTGCGAGCCTCTCGCTCCGTTTCCTGTCTTCAGCTTTTCTCGCCACCTTCTTTTGCTTTGCCCTCTTGTTCTCTTTTCCCTTGGTTTGTCTCCTCTCAGCATGCAATTTCCCCTTTGTGCACATTTGTTTTCTCTCATATCCACGCAGCGAAGCCCTATTCCACCATGGTACCGTATGAATAACTTGTTGCTTTTTGTTTCCCCTCTTTCCCCTTTTTTGTTCTCGAACCGATCGCTTCGGCATCCGCAATATAGTGCACAATGCATTTGTTTCAAACACATCATTTGGTTCTTAGCATATGCTTGTTCCTTGTCTTATCCCTGTCGATATCCTTCAAACATGTCACCGTGCCGCAGCAGCGCGAAATCTAAACCCATCCCAGTCATCTTCATCCGACTCGTCAGACTCGTCATCATCTCCTTCCGCCACCACTGCCACACTGTTACCCTTGCCATTTGGTTCTTTCTGTCCCTTAGCTACTGCTGCAGCAGCAGCCTTAGTCTCTTCCCCGCCCACCTCGTGGCTGTGACTCGTAGCTCTCTGCCGCAGAGCATCCCTCTTCTCCTTGAGACGTAGCACCTTGGCCTCGAGGTCACGCATCTCGTCCATCTCGTCTTCTAGCGCACGCTTGGCATCCTCTCTTTCATCCTGTAGCTCTGTATCCGGCTTTGACGGGCGCTGATGACCTTCGCCCCCTTGGTCACCCGCTTCCTTTTGCCTGGCTAACTCCTCGGCCGTTATGGCTGCTCCCGAGATGGTAGCCTCGTCGTAGTTGTTATTTGTGGTATCTGCGGCGGCAATCTCGGCCTCGAAGGCTGCCCACTCGTCTTCGTCTACGCTGATGGCGGCGGCACCATTGATGGGGGGCGCAGTAACATCAGCAATGGCAGACTGTGTCTTATTGTCGGTCGTGCGAGAGGGTATGGCAGTCGTTGTAGATGAAGAAGCGGATGAGTCGCGCGGTGTGGCCGGTCGAGAGGGAATTTGAAGCTCTATTCCCTGCGAGGGCGTCTGGGAGAGTCGACGGCGCGCGGCTGCCGATGGGGGTGTTTGTGAGCTGCCTTCGGGCCTGATGCGTTTTCTTTTGTGATCCTGGTCTGTCTGACTGTCGCCATCCTCATCACCTCGCCCATAACTGTCATTTCTATCGGCCATCTCCTGGTCCTCCTCGTGCTTGCGCTTGTTTACCGTTGAAGGAACAGCAGCAGGAGCAGCAGCAGTGGTAAGGTTAGGACTGGGCCTGACAGCTGCGGAGGCGACCTGCCGTTTCTTGTGAGCCTCACTGGAGATATGTGACTCCCATAGTGATTCTGACTTGATGGGTTCGCGGCAGAGGGTGCACAGGAGCTTGCCCGTGTCAGAGTAGGCGGCGTTAGGGTGAGTTACTCGACGGGCAGCACGTTGCTGACGGAGGAGGGATCGGGCATCGGACATGTTTATTTTCTCTCTGGGCGTTCTGTCTTTTATCCCGGGTATCTTGTACCTCCTTTTCCAGAAGAAGGGGAATGGGTGGTTCAGAGATGGATATTTTGAAGGAGAGCAGGGGATGGATAAAGGAGGAAATGATGGCTGTCAATTGCTTCGCCAAATCTCACCCGCCCGTTCTTAGTCGCGTTGAGCTGAAGCTGGGGCAACTGACGACACAATAAGTGGGTCTACGTCATAAAGACCCCGGCTGTACGACCGCCGCAGATAAGGGTCTGATAGTCTGATAAAAAACGATTAGAATGCATGATAAGATAACAATGTTGCTATACATGTACCGTCGATCATGCTCAACATGATGAATTCATGAGCTCTTTGTATTTCTCTATTCAAAACGCATATTACAGCAAATAATTCCGGTAATAAAAGGGGCAGTGAATCGGCCCTCTCATAATGGGAAAATGCCACCCAGAATCCTAGTCACGTTCATGCGCAGGGCATGCGTGAACCCTCCCCTTGGACGAGCCTTGGCCAGCACAGACGCCAGCCGAGGAGCCATGAGAAAACGCTCCGTGGTGGGAAGCTTCCTATTCCGACGACTCGATGACGGGACGCCGCATGTAGCTCTATTCAGGCGCAGCGCCAACGTGAATACATACCAGTATGTGTTTGAGAACCGAGCAGAAAGGCCAAAAAAAGATGGAAAGCTTAAATGAGAGAGAATTAAAGACACAAATACGCCGCCGTATCAGGAGGCATTGAAGCCGAGGACGCCACCCCTCTGGACGCTGCACTCCGTGAAATCAACGAAGAGACGCGCCTTACTGCTAATTCAGTTGAGTACCTGTGCAGTGGTGTGCCGTGGTCCTTCTTCGACGAGTCGCTCAACTACCAGTGGAGCGTGTACCCTTTTGCGTTCTCGTGGCCGGTCGAGGCCGAGGCGCGGGAAGAGCTGACCCTGGGTCCCGAACATGAAGGGTACGCTTGGTTCAAACCGAACGAGCTGAAGGAGGAGGACCTTTCGGGCGGTATACTCGATAGTTTGCGTCGCGTATGGCCCACGGGTGATTTGGCCGATATCGATGTGCTGGGGCGGTACTGTCTTGGCGAGGGGGCGACGGATGCCCGGCGGGATGCAGACGCTGCGTTTGACGTCTTCAGAGAGACGGTCGGAAATCTCAATGCCGAATCCGAGGGGTGGTGGACACACGTCCGTCTTGCGGCATGGCACGTCTGGAACTACAGTGATGAGAGTATCCGTGCTACCCTGCTGGGTCGTCTCGTGAATGGTCTGAAGAAGATCGAGGGCCTTCCAAGGGAACCGGCACTGCAGCAACGGGTCGTCAGCGTGCTGGGGGACGTTGGAGGAGGGGCGTCGACGCAAGATGCTGAGACCATATTTGCTGGTCTTTGGGAAAAGATATAGGCTTCAACGATGGAATAATTACATAGCACCGCAGATTGATACTCTCCAGTCATACACAAGACAACATATATATTCAATTAAACAAGAATGCACCTCGTTTGTTTCAGTTAGACACTACTGCAAAGGCTTGTCGTTCACAAAGTGGCTCCGCAGACCATCCTTGCCAACTCTCATGGCCATTTCCAATTCCCTCTCCCCCTCGCGTAGTCGGGCCTTGCTCCTCGCTATGTCCCTCTCGTGCTGTCTCTTTGCCTCATCGGCAGCCCTGCTGCGCTCCTCAAGGGCTTTTTCTCTGCGTTGGCGCTTCTTGCGCTCCTCTTCAGCGGCCTGGGCATTGTCCAGATCCTCGGGTGGTGGCGGCAGGCTCTGCACGTAGGCCTCGACGAGGGGGTCTCGCGCAGCGGGCTCGAGGGCGGCGTACCGTGCGTCGACGAGCAGCTGCGTGGGCAGACCTTTGGCCAAAGAGCGATTATTGAGGACATGAAGAGGTTGGGCCTTGAGGAGAGCCGTGAGGTCGGCTTTCCGTGTGGTTAGCGGCAGCTTGAGACGGCTGACGAGATCACGGTAGGCTTTTTCGCGATCCTTGTCCGACAGGTTGTGATCCTTCATGGGTGGCTCGCGCTTGTACTTGCGGCGGAACTCAGGCCAGTATAGCTTGGGTGAGGCCTTTTCACCCAGGAAGGCCATGTACGCCACGCGTGGGTCCTTCTTCTCCTGCCGCGCGCGCTCCTCCTTCAGCGCTGCGATGCGCTCCCGGCACCATTCGTCCCAGCAATCGCGGCGCGCCTTGGTCGTCGTCAGGGCCGTGTACCGCGCATCCTCGACCACCTTTCCTTCCTCCATGAGTTTCTCCCACGGGCTGTACGGGCTCACGCCAAAGTCTTCGAGCATGTCCTTGAAGAGCAGCTTGGCGTCCTCTTCTGAGAAGGCTACTCCCGACGCGCCCTCGGGCCACTCATCCATGTGGCCGTCGTCGTAATCGCCCGGCTCCAGGCCGTAGTCTTCGCCCATGGCCTGCAACTGCATCGCAATGTCATCTTCCGTAAACTCGACCGGTCCGCCCACACCTTCCTCCTTCTCTTCTTCTTCCTCTTCTTCTTCTTCCACTTCCTCCTCTTGTTCAGCTCCGTCCTCCCGGTCGTTTGTCTTTCGCCGTTTTGAGGAATGCTCAGCATTTGCACCCTCATCATCCGTCACCTCGACTTCTTCGTATTCTGAATCGTCGCCCTTGTCATTTTCTCCCTCGCCTGCATCGTTTTTCTTCTCGGGCGCCTCGTCAAAAACCTTGCCGCGTATCCTCGCCTTGTCCAGCTCGAGAATGCCGGGCATCAGTTTCTCCGGTATGCGCCAGTAGCTCGTCTTCTTGGCGGGATCGTGGACAAATCGTCGCGAGTACTTTGTATAGACTATTATCCACGGCTCAAAGCCCGGGATAGCCTCCTTGCGCACAGGCTTGTCCACGGGTTGGGGCCTGGGTCGCCCTCCATCCATGCCCCCTCGGCCGCGGCCGCGCTGGTGCCCGCCGCCCCTGGGCTGCGACGATCCTTGGTTATTGAACTGTGCAAGGTATGCATTTGCCACTTTGGGGTCGGAAAGCGATGGGAAGTTTCCATAGGTCGGGTAGCCCGGCAAAGCCTGGTGCTGGGCCTTGACGGGCGCTGCTGCCGGTCGTTTGTACGTCGATTCCTTGGTTGCCGCGTTATAGTAGTATGTGTGGCCGGTGGGTGCCTTATGCTCTGTCCAGCCTGGCGCCAGAGGCGGAAGAGACGTCGGTGTATATGTGCTTTTGAGCATCACGAGCAGTCGTGCAGCAGCGCAAGCTGATGGGATGATGAGAAGGAAAAAGATTATTACAGTACAAAATAATGAAAGCTTAAGACGTCAAAATGTCATGCTCCTGAGAATCTAGCTACCCTAGATCTTTTTCCAATTCATGAGCGCACTTCACCAGCTCTAAAAATATCAAGTGGATAAGAACCTTTGAAGTTTGAGAAAAAGGAATTCTTTGGAATTGAAGTTAACATTTATTTAATTGGGTTGATTAAAATCTCTTAGGAGACTCAAAGAACGTTCTCTTTTTTTACCGAGAATGTTGACGGATATAATTGGAGACTGGAGTGAACAGGACTAGACGCGGCTACCCCGGTTTCCTTCGCAACTCCGCTTCACACATAAATAGATCTTTACCGAATCCTTTAACCGCGCATCGCATCTTGCTGTCCTCATCTTCTCATGGGACAACAACATCTCACCAATTGATAAGAGCCGATTCTCATTACAGGTTAAGGATATGACACCTCGTTCCAACGGAAACTCATCGTCCACCAGTATGTCCCTGGTCGGACGACTTTGGAAGGTTGTTTGAAACCTCACGCGACAACATCCATGGGCTCATATGCTGACTTCAGTGCAGACAACGCATCTGCCCGACTACACGGGGCTCGTTTTCATCGTAGTTGGATGGGTTTTGGTGCGTATACTAACCAGTCGACCTAACCAGTTGACCAAATTTCAATTCGACACAGCCGCAGCTAACGCAAGTTAAGACGATATCTTTTGTCACGCCGTTCCACCGGTACTTCTTCATTAACGATACGGCTATCTCGTACCCCTTTGCCGAGCACGAGCGCGTGCCCGTTTGTAGGTCATCCTCCTATTTTGAAGACAAGGGGAAATTTAAGTAACATTCTCAGTCATGAACATTGTCTACGCCTTCTTCATCCCCATCGGCTTCCTGGTTGCCGTCAACATCGCCTGGGGATCTAGCGGCCTCAAACATGAGGCCACGTACCTCCCTCTCGCCATCTCCGTCACCCTGACTGCTTTCCTGACGGACATCATTAAGAACGCTGTTGGTCGTCCCCGTCCCGACTTGCTGGCCCGTTGCAACCCAGCAGGTGACCTCCCCATTGGCTCACCGCTCGACATCTCTGCCTGCACCACCCCCCACGACAGCCACAGGCTTCAGGATGGCTGGCGCTCCTTCCCCTCGGGCCACTCGTCCTTCTCCTTTGCTGGTCTGGGATTTACCTCTCTCTACCTGGCTGGTCAGCTAGGCGTCTTCCGTCCCGGCGCTCGCGATCTAGGCCGTGCCCTGTTCTGCTTCATCCCTCTCGTTGGCGCCATGCTCATCGCCATCTCTCGCTGCGCGGATTACCGCCACGATGTGTACGATGTGTGCTTTGGCTCTGCCCTCGGATACGCTGTCGCCTACTGGAGCTACCGTCGCCACTGGCCCCGTCTGTCCAGCCAGCGCAGCCATGAGCCTTACCCGCCCCCCGGAAAAGAGTTCATCGAGGACGAAGATACGGTCAGATGGCAACGTGTCCGCGATGAGGAGGAGCCTTACCCCCATGTAGGAAACGAACTGGATATCATATAGCGTGTTGACGGATGATGAGTGACTGACTTGAAGTGGGTGTAGGATTAAACATGAGGCGTGGGAATTTCCTTGTATTTCACAGAGCGAGGACTTGTTTCTTTGTTGGCAACTCGCCGCCACTTTGAAACAAAGAGCAAGGTATTTGTTGGATGTGCATATAACACGATATGATGGGTCTCTTTGTCAGGTTTGCCTTCTTCTGCCATCCGTGATTCTATAGTTACATAAATGGTTGTCGTATTCTGGCACGCACGTCACCTCGGTGTTGCATAGTATGCTCCCTTTGAAGCTTTTTTTTTTTTTTTTTTTTTTTTTTGCCATTGTGTCTTTTTGTTTTGTTTGTACAAGGACGGTTGGGTCCCTTGTTTTCTCTCTTCGTATCTAATATATTATTTGTCCTCGCTGTCTTCGGCCTTGGCCAGATCGTTCTCCTTCAACAAGTCGTCAATCTGGTCTGCACTCCATAGCTTGTGATAAATCTTGCCGTCTTCGGTCTGGCCCACAGTAGCGAATTCGACTGTACGTCTTGTTAGTATCTTATCCCTATTCGTCTCAACTTCATTTTATATGCAGAACATAACATACTCTTCTCACTGCTCAGCTTTGTCGAGTCCATCGTCCTGCTCAGGACCTTGACGGCCATGGAGCACGCCTCATCAAGGGTGCAGTCCTCCTTGTAGTCCTGCTTAAGCAGACTCTGGGCGCTGGCATTGTTGGCGCCGGCGCTGGTGGCCTTCCAGCCACCATAGTTGCCTGAAGGGTTGCTGAGGTAGAGCTGGAACTGCCTCCTAGGGTCCCATCCGGCGTAAATGAAAGAAACACCAAACGGACGGAGACCTCCGTGCTGGGTGTATCCCTGCTTCAAGTCACACAGTCTCCGGACGAGCTGCTCGCAGGGAATGTCTTCGTTGTAGGTAAGGAGGTACCGCTGTGCGGCTTGGCGAGCGTAGTTGATGAGGATGTTGGCATCGGCCGTCATGCCGGCGACGGCGCAGATCATATTGCTAAGCGACCTCTTGCGTCAGCGGTGTGGACTTCAGATAAGGAGTTGTATATTTTGAGCTCAATACATACTCATTGAGAATGTACAGTTTCTCGGCCGATGTATCCTGCTCTAGAAGCTTCGACGTCACCTTACGTTCGGCGGCTAGGACGATGCCATCCTTGGCCAGGATGCCGATGGCGGTACCGGCGTGCGAGATGGCTTCGAGCGCGTACTCGACCTGGTAGAGACGGCCTTCAGGCGAAAAGATGGTTGTCTGAGGTTCATTTCACAACAACTTGTCAGCGTGCCTCTCCTCCAAGATAAACTGGTAGACGGGAGAGGGAGAAGGCCAGCTCTGGTGGCGGTGATTGGCTTGGTGGGGGGCGGACGAACTCGGGAATCGTAACGGCGAGACATGATGGCGAGGGCGGCAAGTAGTCGGAAGCTCGCTTGCTTTCAGGAAGAGCCGAGGGAGAGAAAGAGAGGGAGAAAGTGGAAATGAATGAATTGAGTACGGGTCTCTCGTAATGTATCACCGTCGTTGGTGGTGGTGGATGATTGATGGAGGGGTGGGTTTGATACTTGAAGCTGTGATTGATGGGAGCTTCCCTGCTCCTCCTCTAGGCACGACCGCCGCGTATGGCTCTTTGGGCGCCAGGCCCAGTAGATGGCCCAGCTAGCAGCCACAGCAAGCGCTGCCGCGTCCCACCAAAGCAAAAGCGCTGAGGTCATCTGCTCTATTTAGCCGATGACTAACCGACAATGTGGCTGACGTAACTCCCCCTCATGTGGCGGGTGAGTTTTTTCTATGAACATCAGTCACATAGAAGCTTGGACCACCTCACGTAACCAGCCCTTTTGCTCTTTCTATCATTCCCCATTCCACGCCGCACTTTTTGCTGATTCTTTGCTCCTCCATCGCCACAAGACGCCGTTTATCATCGCACTCTCTTTCCACGGATTCTGTCGCGCGTCGTAGCTACGAATAGAACTATCCATCCGTGCGCGCGCAATTCCCGTTGGAGTGCTGACCAGCCTGCTTTTTTTCGTTAAGCGCCCTACATTCAAGCAAGTTTTCTGACAAACACGCCACACACAGAATCCGCACGGCCACGACAGTCAGTACATACATTTAACGCCACCAGCCCTCATCACTCGACAGCTTCAGGAGTCCATTGCGCCGCCACACCTCTCACGATATTTTTCGCGACCGCGTCTTGTTGGGACCTGTTGCGGACAAAGCCATCATACCACTGTGCTCTAACTCAACCAGCAGGAGACGGAATAGGCATTTCTGGAGAACACGTGCTGTGACTAGTCTTGCTTGTGACTGTTTTCTTTCTTCTGAATTTCCACCTTTGCCGTAAAGAACAACGACTATTTGAATCTTCGAGGTTCCCCTTCTCGTACCTCTTGTACACACAAAGTAGAAACAAGCAAGCGAGTATCGCGAGGTGTTACGCGCGCGCAAAGAGGAAGAAAACAGCAGGAGAGACGCGCTCCACTCCCCCTCCATTCCCTGCGCAATCACGGTGATAGCGTGTGCCAACCACCACCACTCAATCTGCCTATTCGGCGGGCGAAGAAGAAGAACACCACGATGTCGGGTAAGCAAAGAACACCAATATCAACACGCCTTCTTTCCTTGAACTGGCTGAGGCGCGATTACGCGCAAGAGGCCAACCGTTTCTGGAGAGGAGCGCGACATGCGCAAAGCAGTGCTAACCAAAGCATCAACAGCCGAACCCGAGCCACGCCGCTCTGTCAGAGCCACAAAGGGACAGCACACAAAGGCATTTGACGAAGTTGCCCCCGGCCCGATGAAGCGAAGACAGACCAAGAAGAGCAAGAAGGCTCAAGAGCAGGAGACCGAGGCCGAGGACGAGCAAGAAGAGGTGATTCGCTGCGTCTGCGGCGCCACTGAGCAGGACGAGGACTCTGGCGGCGCCTGGATTTCGTGCGAGACCTGCTACGCCTGGCAGCACAATGTGTGTGTCGGTGTGAGTTCGTACGAGGACGAGATACCCGACTATTACTGGTGCGAACGCTGCCGCCCTCAAGACCACACTGAGCTCCTCGAGGGCATCGCCAAGGGCGAGAAACCATGGGAGGCACGGCGCAAGGCCTTCGAAGAGAGAAAGGGACGACGGGGAGGCCGCAGACCAAAGGGCGGTCGTAGGAGCGATACCAAGGATGATGCCGAGAGGGAGAGGGATAGTCGGTTAAAGACTAAGGCTTCTCCCACCCCAGACTCGGCCAAGGACACCAAGGATGCAGGCGGCAGCGCTAAGGGCAAGCGCAAGAATCGCGAGGATTCCCACGACACGGATGGCAAGGTAAGTTGGAATCGCACAACCCCAGTCGAGGCCCAATCGACCGCTTGCTAAATTTTTTTTGAGCGACAGCAGTCTTCCAAGGCGAGACGTGTGTCGGCCTCGCCCGCGTCGCCCAAACCCAAGTATGTGCCACCCAAGGACCTTGAGCCAGCCATCAAAGAGCTACCGCCAACACGGAACGGCCCGGCAAAGGCACTGAAAAAATCTATCGTTCACGTCATGACTTCCATGGCAAAGGATGGTGGCATCGAGGTTCCCGAGGGATCGAGCATCGATGTCATGGCTGAGACGTCGGCTCTGCAGATTGAACGCGCCGTCTTCGATACGCACCCTATGTCCAAGGGCCAGAAGGAGTATAGCCAGCAGATAAAGTCGTTGACTTTCAACCTGAAGAACAACCCAGAATTGATGCACGGCCTCATGGACGGGGCCCACACCCCCACGACGCTGGCTGTCATGACATCAGACCAGCTGGCATCGTCTGAGATGCAGCGTCAGACGGCCGAGATGAGGGCCAAGGCCGAGAAGGCGTCCATTCTCTATCAACAGGAGACGTCCGGACCGCGTGTAAGGCGGACTCACAAAGGTGAGGAGGTGGTTGAGGAGGACGGCCTCATCACCAACGACAAGGACGACGCACCACAACCGTCGTTGGCACGTCGATCGGTATCGAGTGCTGCCACAGGAAGGGACCAGGGATCAAATATCAAGCACGAGTCGGGTGGTGATTCGACCGACCAAGTCGAGCTGCCAGAGCCGGAACCCTCCCATAATGAGGCAGCGCAGCAGCAAGGCTCCCCTAGCCAGGCCAACTTCGACATCAACAAGGTCTTTTCCAGCGTACGCTCCCCCTCAACATCAAAGCCTCGTCGGCCGTCTGTGCTGACGGGGCCGGCCGGTGGTCCTGGAGAAGATGCCGACGTGGACCGTATGCTGCAGGACGAAGACGACTCACCCCCTTACTCGCCAACCGATGAGGCGCAGGACCCAGGTGTTGTGTGGCGTGGGTCGCTGGCTATGAGCTCCATTGCCGACTTCCAAGCCCGGGCCAAGCACGTCGGAGGTGCTAATTTTGCGTCGATTGGCCCGTGGTCCAAGTTGATCCCGCCCCGGCTGGCAGTGGCCGGCCGCATCCCCCAGCAGAGCGCCATAGAGTACCTCTGCGGATTGCGGTATAGCCCCCTGACGGACGTTGTTGTCGTCAATCTGGAACCGACGAGCTCCTCGTCGCAGTCCGAGTTCAAGGCCATCATCGACTACTTTGTCAGCAAGAAGCGGTACGGCGTCGTGGGCGACAAGGTAGCTGGTAACGTGAGGGACACTTACCTCGTGCCTGTGCCACCGGGCGAGGACAACCACCCAGAGTTCATGCTCAACCTCATGGACAATCACATCCCCAAGAGCCGGACTGAGCCCATGCTCCTGGCGGTTTTTGTCTACCGCAACGACCCGTCACAGGTCAAGGCCATCACACCTACGACGCCGGCTACCAGTGCTGGAGGCACACCCACCCCGGCGCCCAAGACGACGGTCGAGAGGAGCAATTCGATTCCTGGACCGACATTTTCACCAGCCACCCCCCAGGCGCCACCCTTGGTTGCTGCTCCTGCTCCTGCCATGACAGCTCTCCAATCTACCACACCCGTACCTATCCCTCAGCCTCCTCACGCACGCTCTCAACAACCTCAAGCCGCCGCCGCCGCTGCTGCAGCACTTCCTCAGCAGGCTCAGCCTCAGCAGGCTCAGCAGCATCAGCCACAACCTCCGGTCGACGAGGCTCAAAGGCAGCAGGCCTTCCGGAATGGACACGCAATGGCTAACGAAGTTCTGGGCCCAGAGCTCATGGCGTCGCCTACTGTGCACTTCCTGCTCCCGCAGGCATGGCAAATGTCGCGGAAGGAGTGGGAGGTGATTCGGGACATTTATACGAGAGAACCTGCCTCGAGGGGGGATTTGCAATTCCTTGGACGGCTACTGGAAAAGGAGGGCAAGGCTTGATTCATTGTCATCCCCCCCTACTGTTTTTTGTATTTCGTTACGGTATGAGCTACTGGTAGCAATAGGTCTTTTGTAAGGGACACAAAAAGCTTAGGATGTCGCAGTAAACAAAAAGATGTGCCAGTGGAGGATATCCATTGTTCATCAAGCGTATGACGAAGGGCATCACGATGCTCTCTTCTTGGTACTCTTTTTGACCGCTATCTCCTCAGCTGAACATGCCTAATTCGAGGGCCATGTATAAGCCTATCTTGCTTGTCGAAGATACAGCAAATTCTGCTAGTTAGTGTTATGCAGAATTCCAATTTTATGCACCACGCCCCCTTGCTATAATCAGATCTACAACGTGAGGCTCGTATTATGCCACCCCTGTATGCGTCTGCTGTTTCGCCATGACGGGTGAAGGAACCTCGACTTCTATCTTTCGTCACTGACCGCCTGTCCGGTCTCTTCTCTCTTCCATCATCGCCAATATTCAAATCCACACGAAGCCGCCCGATAAAGGAAAAAGTACGAATCATCTCAAGACTTTCAACACCGACTTGCCATAATCAACCATGGGTCAAGACCCGATTTCCATTATCAAGCCTACGCCTTGCATCGACTGTGGGGACTGCTCCTGCTGCTGCGTGCCTATTCCATGCATCGTCATGTAAACGACTTTAGGGGGATTTTAAAGGATGAAAAGGGGTCATGTTAGGAATTGGAAATGGAAGCCCTTCATGTCAGAGTTCTATTGTTATGTTACATAGTGGTATTGGATACATGAAATTGGCATCAGGGAACCAGAATTGTATCATCACTCAAGGCCCGATATAATCCTGCTTGCTAGTGTAGCTATAGTGCTGCTCACTGGACCATTTCTGTGGTCTGTTCTATGTTCGTTCATCGAGGATTCGGGGATATGTCTCGGTTGTCATGACAGGGAGTATACGAGTCGCCCTAGTTGCAGCTGGAGCTTCACCATCCTAGGCGAGCAGTCCATCAGCAGTGATCCACAGCTCAGAATCCCTATTGCTCTGTGCCGTGTCCCAATCAGGCTCCTTGTCTTTGACATTGTGCTCGTTGCCGGCAAACACATCGTCAGGCACAGACGGCACCGTCAGGCTCCCCAGACCCTCGAGCACCCTGCGCGCCTTGTCGACCTGGGACCGCACCGCCACCGTCTCGCTCCGAACCTTGTCCAAGTGGTCCTGCATCATCTCGGCCGCTGACTCGCGCGCTTGGTGCGGCCTGTACTCGTTGAGCGTGTGGTGCATGTTGATGAGGAGGGTGCGCAGGTCGTCCACCTTGGCTGCCGAGTCGGCTGGGCGGGTGGCCAACGTACCCGTCAGCTCGAGGAAATTGACTAGCAGGGACTTGGCTAGGCGCTTCAGCTCCAGTGCTGCATCGTAGTGTGTCCCATCGCCTTCTTCAGCTTCGTCCTTGTCTTTGTTCGCTCGCGAGGGATGTGTCGGTGCTAGGTTGTGGATGCCCTGGTCTTCGAGAGTGGGCAATTTATCTTCGAGCTAGATGTAAGAAATGGAGTTAGCATGAAGATGCTTACTTCAATGGAAAAGGGTTTATCGCATACAGTGTAATGATCTCCAAATACCCTCCATCGCCTGTCTGCTGGCTCCGCGGGCGGTTGCAGTCTTGTCAACTCCTCGGGCACGCCCCCGGGCACCCGCTCCGGCGCCTTCGCACCTCCATGCTCGCTGCTATACTCCCGCCTCAGATCCTCGATTCGCGACAGATTCTCTTGTGTGAAGTCCTTCCAGAACGGTGGGGGGTTTGGGAACGTCGATGCTAGAGAGAGCGGTTCCTGCTGATCGGCCATTATGTACCTGCCCCGCGTGCGCGCCTTCGCCTGGGCTCGCGATCACTTCATAGGGGGAGGGAAAGTGTATCGACAAATTGTATCTTGACCGTCGAAGTGTCGTAGACCACCAGGCTCTATATCATGCGTGTTGTGAGTGAAGAGTATTCAAGTGCCCAGCTGAGGGACTCGGAAGACAATGACATGCGCCGGGAAAACAACGGGCTCCTTCCCCACGGCACTGCCCACTATTACTAAGAATTGGAGTAATGGCTAATACCATCAATCATCAACATTCGTACTCCTACTCTCTCTCTTTCTCCGTCATATTTCGATAATAAGTGCACTCTTTGAATAACTTATACAATAATTAACTATACTTGGTTAATCAGCATATATCTGCTCCTCGGACGATTAATCCGCCACAGCTTGTAGCTCACAGCTCAAAACCCGACTCCATCCACGACAGCACCTCGTTTCGCAGTGCGGTCTCGCCATCTAACCCCATCAAACCCTCATCGGCAAGGGAAAATCCATGCCACGACGATTCCAGATCTATGTAGCTCTCTATAGACTGTTCGGTATCCATCGTATCATCGCCTCCTTGAATATTGACGACCAGAGCCTGCAGCTCCCTGAGCGCCGTGGCACATGAACTCCCGTATGTGTTGCCAGCCTGGGCCTCGCGGTCAAACAGTCCCATGGCAAACTCAATCTCGTATGCGGTTTGATTGCCATCATAATCATCATCGTCCCTGATGAGCTTACAAAGGATGAAGCACAACGCGCTACCGAAAACGAAGCGCAGAGCCGATCGAAGCAGACGTCGCGGTTCAAGGAGTGTGGCCGCGTGGCGGGCCAGGCGCATGTTGTGAAGCGCGGCAGAAATGCAAGAGCTTTTCTGGGAGGAAGAAAGCAGTCCTGATGGCCCATCCGATGCGATTGAAACCTTGGCAGATGCTAAGAGCCAAGGGCGATAACAGAGAACTGTCAGGTGGTTGACAAGCATGTGGAGGTTACAAGTGGCTGGGTCTCCGCTGACGCCTTCGGCCGAGAGTTGAAGCGATGCCGGAAGGGTGGACTGCCACTGTTCAAGAAGCGACACAGACTCTTCCCGAGAAAATGAGGAGCCCTCTGTCATGTTGCGTACGGGGACAACACCGTACAGGTTTGACGTGATGTGGTCTGAAATGCGCGAGAGTTCCACGTGAGCGCGCAGGCCAGCAGACGACGGCATAGAGTCAACATCCATAGGCAGCGAGAGCACAATAGACTCCTCGGGGATTATGGGGGGCCGTCCAAGGAGACAGCTCAACTCGCGGTCGAGGATATACAAGGTCCAAAATATCCGTTTCCCTCGCTCATCAACATGACCCCTGTGCGCGCCCAGACTAAGGGCGGTGCGTGCTGATATACTGACATATAGCGACGACGCTTCCGGTCTATCTGACTGCAGCAGGTAATACGCCATGAGGTTGAGGACCGAGACGGCACCGATGGATGAGTGCGAGGCATCTAGAGGATTGCCCAGAAGGGGGACGGCGCGGGCGAAGAAGGGCTCGCTACGGTCTGGTGTCAGACCAGATGCGGTGATGCGACAGGCGACAGCCAGAACAACCTGGTAAAAGGCCAGGCGGCGCGTGCTGCGAATGTCGGCCTCGAGATCACCCTTAGAGGAGGGCAGAGAAGGCAGGGCGTGAAGAACACCCCACCAGTAGATACCGCCACTTTTCAAGGCCCGTTCGGCCGGCCCGTCCTGGATGAAGGTGCTCACTATGGAGAGCATGTATCGCATTGTCTCCGGGGCCGGAAGCCAAAGTGGATCTCCATCTGGTCGGGGCAAAGGCCTGATGTCGGAGCCCTGGAGGTAGCCCATGGTGGATGGCAGCGTGCTGGCGACATCGGCAGGGAGGCAGCTTCGAAGAAAGGCCCTGAGATGGTCCACGAGTGCCCCGTCACTTGACTCTCCCTGGAATCGGGCGGGACCAGAGACATGTCCAAGAAGGTGGCTCTCGGTGGCGAGCGACGTTGACAGGTCTGCCTCCGCTGTCGGTGAGGCCTCTCCCCTTTCCAGACTCAACGTCGATGCCTTGGGTTGCTGTGATAAAGGAGATGCGACAAGCGGCATGGAGATGTTGTGACTGGCCAATAACTCCTGGCGTTTCTCTGGGTCGGGAATGACATCCTGCAACAGCTTCTCGAAGGCGTTCACACGACGGCGTAGATCCTGGAGCTCATCACGGGCCACAGCGACCTTGGGCGATGAAGAAGGATACACGCATTCGCGGGAGTTAGTCGTGCATTGTCGACATGGCCGGTCTCCTGAACATTTTATGCGTCGACCATTGCAATTGTTGCATCTGCAATCGAGTATAAGCCATGTGAACAAAGTGTTCCGGGTGTTGTTGCTTTCGTCACTTACGCCGTGGCCACACGTTTGCGATCCTCAGGTGCTACCTTGTGTCGTCGAGGATTGACAGGAAGCCGCTGGGACTGAGATTGGGACTTGTCACTCTTGTCCGACTGCATTGCAATGGCACTGCTCCGTCTCTATGGCGTTGGGATTGACGCCTTTTGCTGCCGGCCTGAGTTGCATCGTGCGATTGGTGATGAGGGAGAGCTTAAAGTAAATAATCGCATCTCCATACCAGTTGGTTTGCGCGTAACTGGCAGCCTTGTCGTGGTTTATGGTGAAGCCAATTGCAAGTGTGGCATGGCATCTCATCATTCATCCGTGCCTAGATTCTATCCTGATATCGGCGGGCTCTTCGGTCACGGCCAGTGAGAGGCGGAGATGACGTTTGACTAGATGAAAATATTCAGTATAGCTGACTATTGACTTAAAAAAAGACGTTGCCTAGACGTGACAATCCTCATGTCATGATGTAGGCAGCATTCTAAGGGTGTTTATTATGTAAGAGAGCTTGTTTCGATACACGATAGCTTAGTGTCATTAAGAAACATGAAAATGGTAATGGTAGCCCTATAGCAGAGATGACATGCATTGAACGAAAAGAGATATAAGCGACATAGCAAGGCAACAACAAATCAACTTTTGCATCGTTCGTGTCTGCCTTGATGTCAGAAAAGTCAGAACCGATGGAAGGTTGCCTTGTTTCATAGGGTAGGAACGGTGGAGCCTAGAGTCGTCATCGCCTTGGGCGGAGCGTCTCGGACTTTTTAAAAGGTGCCTAGGGCGGTTCTAGGGCTAAGGCTCCAGGGACCAGGGCAGGTGCAGACTTTAGTGAACTTTCGTTCTTCCCTGGATTCCCTCCCAGTCCTTCGGATGCTGCCTACCGCCTCTTTAGGGCTAGCGGCTAAAGTCTTCGACTGCCGGGCCTCAACCAACAACCAACATGCGTCTGTACGCGTACGCGTCACCGAGGCCCTCTTACTATTATTAAGAGGCTGCCATTCTTGCAGTCAATATTGCTATTCTTTCTTTTCTTTCTCAGCGGGTGCCGTGCCGGGTTTTGCGGAGCTTCGTATATTGCCTCTGCCTGACAGACATACTTGAACTTTTCGAAAGCCAATGATGCCGATTGAGATGACGCGTCTTTTTGATTGGCAAGCTGCCTCTTACCGTTATCGGGCTCGGCACGTTGGCATGATGCTACCATGAAGGTAACATTGACATTACATGAAAGAGTCAAAAGGGATAGATCTAATCATAGTAATAGGTATAATATTCAGTGCTTAATATTCATTATTGTGTTCCTCTCTCTCTTTTTCTCATTTCTTCTCCATGTTTTTCTGTTTTGAACGCCTCAGCTTTTCTTCGTTCGAGTATCATTGAACCAATGACGATTCGTGAAATTCTCATACTACAAACCTCGCTCACTCTCTGCCCCCCTTTCCCCGGGATGTCAGGTTGGGAGTGAACGACTCTCTCGTGTCGAACTTTCGATGTCATACCCAACTGTATACTCACATAAACATGACCCTAGAGATGGAAATAATAAAGACCAAATATGAAGATGAGAAAAGAAGAAGAAAAAAAAGAAGATTCGCATGTGTATATATATTCTCATTAGTTCTTTCCGAAGATGGACTCAACCATCTCACCAGAGCGAGTCGACAGGACCGAGAGTAGCGTATCGGAGAGCTGTCAGTCATATGTTAGTAACCTGTGGCTCATATTGAAGTTGGGAAGGAAGCAAAAACTTACACCGTGGGTACCCTCGCAGCAGCCTTGCAGGTAGACACCAGATCCCTCAGCAACGGCACCGGGCTTGAAACGCACGCGGTATTCACGGTCGACAGCCATCTTGCGCTCGCCCTCGTCGGTGGGGACATCCCATCCGGTGATGCCCTTGGAGTAGGTGGGGTCGGACCTAGATCCCTTCTTGGGGAGCAGGCTCCAGGTGTCGCGGAGCATGTCAACATGGCACGTCCTCTTGTAACCGGTGGCGGCGATGACGAGGTCAGCCTCAAAGGCCTCATCGACGCTCGAGGCACCCTCGGCTAGGACATCAGCTAGGCTGCCGATGTGGAGGTCAATGATGCCGTCGGCACGGGGCTCGATGCTCTTGATCTGGTGGCCGCCCAGGATCTGGTGGGGCCAAGCCTTGCTGTCAACGCCCAGGACGCGGCGCTGGTGGTACATGGTCTCGTACAGCTCCTCGATGAGCTCGAGGCGGACGACACCGTAGTTGGTGGCGCGTGCCTCGGCAAGGAGATTGTGGCGGTGCGCGGCCGATCGAGGGAACATGAGGTCAATGTATTCGGGGTTGAAGACGGAGTTGACGCTAAAGACTTGTGTGTAAGTAAAAGGTTTCACAGGACGGAAGGTGAACGATCTGCCTCCAGAACAGAAGAAGAAAGAAGCACTTACAAAGGAGAGTCGTCGCTGGGCCTCAGGAATTCCTGGCGCATAATGAGCCTGGTCTGAGAGTTGGGGTAGATCTTCTGGACATTGTGGAAGATCTCGGCTGCGCTCTGACCGGCACCGACGACGGCAACGCGGTAAGGAGCCTGGGTGTTGGGCAGCAGGTGAGGGATGACTTTGGCGTACTGCGACGAGTGGATGACGCGAGGGTGCTTCTGGGGGAAGGTTGGGGGTAGCGAGGGCTGGCCTCCGGTGGCAAAGACGATGTTGCGGCCGCGGAAGGACTGGATGCGGCCGGTATCGATGTTGCGGGTCTCGACGACAAAGTTCTTGACGTCGGTGGTGGCACCGCCATCGCGGGTGACACCGAGCACCTCGTTGCCGTAGCGGACGACGGGATCGAAGAAGGAGGCCGCCCAGCGCATGTAGTCCTCATACTCGGCACGAGCGGGCAGGAAGGTGCTGAGGTTGGTGAAATCAACCAGACGGCCCTGGCGGTGGAGGTAGTTTAGGAAGGTGAACTCGGAGCGGGGGTCGCGCAGAGTGGCGAGATCCTTGATGAAGGATATCTGCATCCTGGCCCCGGGGAGGAGCATGCCTGCGTGCCAGGAAAAACTGGTCTGCTTCTCGATGAAGAGGACGCGAGGGGTGGTGCCGTCGGCTTTCAGCTTCTTGCCAGCGGCCAGGGCGTCGTGCATGGCAACGGCAATGGCCAGACTGGCGGGGCCGAAACCCACGCAGATGAGGTCATGCTCGGCAGAGTCATCATCGCTCGGCGTCAGGTAAGCGGAGCGCTCCTTGTACTGAGGCTTCTGCGGTTGGACCTTGGACACGACAGGGGCCGGAGCGGGTGTCGACGAAGCGCCGTTGGTGTAAGTGTTGTGGACGGTGGTGCTGGATCCATTGGTGCTGGATCCATTGGTGCTGGATCCATTGGCGCTGGATCCATTGGCGCTGAATCCGTTGACGCTGGATCCATTGGCAACCGAACCGTTGGTCGGGGCCTCAAGAACCTCTTCGCTGTGTGGTGCCATTGCTTTGGCGGGTGATTGTTGTGTACGTGTGTGTGTAAGTGTAGGCGTTGAGGAAAAAAACAAGGCCCTCTTTCTGGGTGTTCTTGTTTTATTCTGTTCTTTTATTCGACCTGATCACTCTGGATCAAGTTGGCGGGGTAAGATAAAAAAAAGTAGGAGGGGAAAGGCTGGAAATATTGGACTCTGTTTGCCACGTCCAAGGACAAGCTTGCGTATAGCAGGAAGTGAGCAGGGAACAGCTGCCGTTGGATTTGGGTCGGGTTTGAGAATACAGAAGGCCACGAGGAAAGAAGTAATAGATGTGAGAGTGTTTTAAGACAGGAGAAGGCGTTGTGAGAAGGAAGGGAAGAAAATACAGTGGTTCCTCTGGCGGGAATCTGGCGACTAATGTATGTCGACATCTTCGTTTTCCTTCGCTTCGGCTCCATTGACGTGGAGCAGCTTCCCGGATTAGTGGTGACATTTTTTTTTTCTGGACCTGGGTCCGATGCAGAGTCGCATGGAAATGGGGGTCTAAGACACAAAGTTGTCGAACCCCTGCACATTATTGGATCCGAAGTACCTGCAGTGTACGACGTACTTTGCCGCGTGGGATAATACTCGTATAGTGCCACTTCTGCTTCTCTCTCCTTCTCTATGCGCCACTCATCATGTCGGTTTGCCTTTCTATTTTTCACCCTTCACATCGACCCGAAAATGCCCGTGATCGGAGAACGAGGGGCCTTGCTTGGGGGAGCGGAGTCGCTTCGATGGACACTATTACCTCTCGACGGGTGAGGCAATTGATGATCCCTACTAACACGACAGTTTCTCCTTCACCCCTCACCTCGCATTGCCCGGCATTGGAACACACCACGCTCGTACTCGTACGAGTAATATATTGAACCGGTCCTATAAGATTTTGTCGATGCACATCTGTACCTCATGCCCTCCCTCACTGCTTGAAATATTGGTGCCAGCATGTGACATATGTTGGCCATTGCGGTATGCTTCTGCTTTATTTCGTGCCCGCCCGCAGTCCACCCCCTCTCCCTCCATGTCGGCAACGGCAGTTTGCAATTAGTACATGGCATTTTCCGTCATGACCCCCGAACCCGGAGTCCGTATGTATTACTGCAGATCTTGTGCCGTGGGAGGTCTTGGCGTTGAGCGTGGCGCAACGCCGTCGGTTCTTAGCCTTGATCTGATAAGATGAATGGACAGTCTCCGGCCGCACGGCCCAGTCTGGTACACCGGACAATGGTTCGCCCGGATCACGCACTTTTTCTCTGTGTGTGTGCGTTTATACCTCTCTTTCTGAGTTGTTTTAGCAATACTACATACATGTAGCTGTTTTTTATCTCTCTTCTCTCTTTTCGTGTCCTCTACTCTTGTGAATGGATACTATGACATTGCCATAATGCATCCTTCTCTCGGATATGTATAGCGTGGTAAGAATATGGACTTGCCTCTTGTAGCTCTAATGCTACAAATGTCTGGCATGGCAACCCGCCTAGTATGGAATCCTAGGTCATCGTGAGCATAGGGCCGGATGAAGGGAAAGTGATGAAGACGAGAGTTCCTTGAAGCCCAATTCCTTACGAGTACGAGCCCCATACAGCGACGTATGTACTCTCTGTACGGGTATGGAGTAGTCATAGTTTTTCATTCTCTTTTTCCTTGTTAAACCCATTGGTTCCCAAGAGCTTGGGCGGTCAGGGAAAACTTTGCCATTGCCTAATACTGCCTGGCTTCGATCTCACACATGAACGGAAAAAAGGCAAAGGAGAGGGAAAAACACTAAAAACAGGGTCAACAAGTCGAGTCGGCCACTGTTTTCCTACGACAACAATGAGACGCATCACATGGCACTTTTCGACCTTGGGCTCCGACCGCTCTGTCTAGTCCAACTTGGCATAATGGAGTCTGAGTCCGAGCGAGGTGGTAAATGGAGACGTGAAGTTCCATGGATTCTGGTGAGAATTTGGGATGCTCGTACAAGTTGTGTAATGCCAGCAACCATGGCGTGTTTTCCGACCGCAATGAGGGAATTATCTGATGATCTGATAAAATTCTCGGATCAGATAAGATTGAAGTGGGCCCTTCGCCCTCGGTATCCGCCTCTCTAACCCTTGTTTCAGCTATGTGAGTGACTGGGGAGGAAAAAACGGGAAAGGATGGAAAAAAATTTCATTTTGTCTTCTTACACGGTCCTGGTTGCTCTCTCTTACGCAACAGATACTCCTCGTCAAGGGTGTAGCCCACCTCCGTGGTGGACACCACCACAGGTACTACCAAATATATTAACTTGTACTCCGTACATAAGTAGTACTAGTACGAAGGCATAATAGTACGAGCCTGCAGTATCATCTACTAGCGATAATATTGGAATTCACGACTACCAGTATTAGCGCCCTAGCGCGCACACACTCTCACACACAACACACACTCACCACTCACACACACACATGCACACACACACACACACACACACACACACACACACACACACACACACACTCACTCACTCACACACGCACACACGGACGGACGCATGCTTGCTTCACCAAAACATACACACCACAACTAGTAATAGTAACCAGTCAGCATAACCGGATTCCCCCCTCACCCCCCCGTCATGTTCCCCACCACCAGCACCGTGACTTGGTACGGAGTTCTTACTGAGTACAGGCCCAGCCCCTCCTCCCCTGTACATACTCGTGCGCACTTGGTAGTGCCCGTATTGGAAGGTGCTCACATTTGGCCTTGTTTCTCGTGCGGCAGTGTTGCTCTCCCCAAAGCGAATTATGACCACCCTTGGCCCGTCCCATGGTACTTTGCCAATGACCCCGCAGATCAATGCCGCACATTTCGTACATACGAGTCTCGCCCCGTGGACACATGACGGGCATCCGAGGAGCCAAGGCAGCTGTGGGAACCAGCGGGCCGTCGGTAGTCGTGGTTGGCCGGTCCAACGCACACTTGCAGCCAGAGGCGTTTCCCAGACGGGCCGAGAAGCGCTGATCTTTTCACGAAGGCACTGCACTCGTACCTTGTACGTTGTGTGTCCGAGTTCATACTCTCTGTATTAGCTAGCTGACGGAGCACTATTACGACGAATCTCATAAGCACGAGTACGGGTATACGACGTATCCTACGACCTGTGGCATCACTCATCAAATATTATCACCTAATCCTCCTAGTCTTAGAACTCATCATCCCGGCACCCACTGCTCCGTATGGACGGAAACAGCCAAGGAAGTGGGATGGAACTTTCCTTCGTGTATTCACTCTAAACCTCCAACTCGACAAACTCCGCACTGCCCGCATCTTCCCTGCGAGCCTGAGCCTCTCCCGCGTCCCTGCCGTGTGTCCCTGATTCCTTACTGACTCCCGTTAGCTCTTCCCACTCACTGCTCGTGTGCTCTCCCCTCTCCCGCCCCTAAAAAAAAAGTCGCCCAATACTCGTTACGTCCATCGCTCGCGCCCGCGCCCTCGGTACTGCAATCTGCGCTGTGTGACTATCCGCGCCCGTCTAGGGGCTAGACCCGTGTCTTGCCCCCTTTTTTTTTCTCGACCCTGACATTTTTCGTTAATCGTGACGCCATTCATTCTACATTGTAGGGCGAATACGTTGTATCCGTCGGCTTCACTTCTGTCCGGAGGTCACAGGGGTTTCGGCCCTCCCCACAACTAACCTTGTTTTGCGAGGTGACGGCCCCCACCCACACAAGCTTCCTCAAGTAGGGAGACCGTAGGTACGTATGTTCTATACACTCCAATTCGTTCTATCGTCATGGCCTTCTCTTCTTGTTGAACCGTCGACCCAGTATTAGCGGCTTCGCCCACCGTCGTGGCCTGCCGCTGTTCCAACTGGTGTCCACCCTCCCTCTGCCATGCTGGGCTGAGTAATTGGAGCTCTCTGACAGGCTCGTTTGTCTCCGAACGGGGGCCCGTGGCATACTGCGTACACTCTCACCACCACCTCCATCAGCCTCCTGGTCTAGCGCCTATGACCTCCCGATTTTGGTCACGTCTGCATATTTACGAGCGTCGCCATTGGCTGACCTGACAGGGTCTAGTTTCCATACAAGCTACGGGTATTACGAGTACATACCAATCAGTTGTATATGGTACGTCTCGCGTAGCAACATCGCCAGCGACGCAAACACTCGGACCCGAGACGGAGACCAACGTTCATTTCCTCTCGGTTTATGAGAGCTGACCCAGAGAATTGACAGCATAGTAGTATTCTTGATGAATGCCTCATCGTGCAATCTCGGGTACCGACTCTAGATATTGAAGCCTCTTTTCTCCCTGGCCCAAAATGGATCCAAGCCAAAGCCTCCAGTCCATCCTCAATCCTAGTCCATCTAGGCTTCCAGGTCCTTGCCTACTGCATCGGCTGGTAACGGCTCCCTGTGAGTCAGAGGCGCTGAATCATCTCGACAACGGTTCTCGTACATCCTACTCCTATCACGACCTTCATCGCGCTTCCGACGCCATTGCCAACCGACTTGCCAGTGTTTCCAGAGATCCGGAGACCCAGTTTGTCGTACCCGTTCTTATACACCAGTCTCCTACTCTTTACATCACCTTGCTCGGAATCCTCAAGGCTGGCGGAGCCTTTTGCCCTCTCAACACAGACGCACCACCAGAGAGGCTCAAATTCATCTTTCAGGATGTGTCTGCCAAGGCCGTGCTGGTTTCCAAAGACCTGGCATCCAAAATACCCCCTGACTATGCGGTGGAAGTCATCGTCGCGGATTCAGTCGAGATTTTCCCTCCTGAACACATAAAGCCAGAAGCCGCTGTCAATGTTAACGCCGACGATTTAGCCTATGTCATGTACACCTCTGGCTCTACCGGGACACCAAAGGGCGTTGGCATATCTCATGACGCTGTTACCCAGTCATTGCTTGCGCACGACCTCCATGTACCGTCGTTTTCTCGCTTCCTGCAATTTGCAGCACCGACATTCGATGTGTCTGTCTTTGAGATCTTCTTCCCGTTATTCAGAGGGCAGACCCTCATTAGTGTGCGGCGGTCTGATCTTCTCAGCAATCTCCCGGCCGCGATCCGGGACATGAATGTTGACGCTTGTGAACTAACACCCACTGTTGCCGGGAGCCTCCTCAGGAGCCGGGACAAAGCACCCTCTCTCAAGCTGCTATTAACCATTGGCGAGATGCTCACGGAGCCGGTTATCCGTGAGTTTGGCGGTAGCCCGGACAGAGCTGGCATCCTCTGGGGCATGTATGGCCCTACTGAAGCCACGATACACTGGTATGTGAGACTGATGAACTATCTGATCGGACTCAACATCACTGACAAGCTAAAAGTACACTGCAGACATCCATGTCCGCTAGCTCTAGTGTGCGGAACATTGGCTTCCCACTTGACACCGTGTCATGTTTCGTGGCACGTCCGGCGGACAGCACAGCTGGCGATAATTCATTCGAAGTCCTCCCTCAGGGCGAGGTGGGCGAATTGGTTGTCGGTGGCCACCAGCTTGCTGCTGGCTACCTAAATCGCCCGGAGCAGACGGTCGCGACGTTCATCTCCACACCTTATGGCAGGCTGTATCGGACTGGAGACAAGGCCCGCCTTCTCACTGATGGAACCCTTGAATGCCTGGGGAGACTGTCAGATGGCCAGGTCAAGCTGCGTGGACAGAGGCTTGAGCTGGGCGAAGTGCAGCAGGCTATCCTCCGCACCCCTGGCTGTCATGGGGCTGTGGTAGTTGTTCAAGACTCTATCCTTGTTGCCTTCTGCTCTGTCGACTCAGATGTATCGGAAGAGTCCATCTACCGGGAATGCGGCAAATGGCTCCCGCAGTACATGATGCCTGGAGAGGTTGTCCTCATGGACACGTTTCCAAGCCTGCCAAGCGGCAAGGTAGACAAACGAAAGCTTATAGCCGGCTTTCTCCAGCAAAAGGAGGAAGATAGGGTCCACATTGGCGCCGATGAGCCAGCCGATATTCCGACTGAATTGAAATCAATCGTGAGCAGCATCTTGGACATGCCTGTTGATGCTCGGACTTCTCTATCTGCCTCCAGCCTGGATTCGTTGTCGGCAATCAGGATAGCATCGTCTCTAAGAGCGGCTGGATTTGAAGCCAGCATTGGAATACTTATGGAAGCAAAGTCAGTTTCTGATCTTTGGACTCTACTCCAAAACTCCAGGAATACGTATCCAGGACAGGGACCAGTTCCTGATATAAGCCTCATGAAGGATTGGCAGGAGATTGTGTCTGAATTACCATCTTTGGAGAGTTTTTCTGATACGCTTCAAGATGTTATTCCTTGCACGCCCCTTCAGACAACAATGCTCTTCGAAACATTGCAAAACCCTGAAGTATATTGGAATGACGTGGAGCTAGAGGTGGCGGCGGATGCGCAGATCGTGGTGTCTGCGCTGCGTCAGGTGGTCAAATCCAATGAAGCCCTCCGCACCAGTTTTACGCTGTGGAAGAGCGGCTTTATCTCGCTCGTGTTTAAGGACCTTATAGGAGAGTGCCTTCACGTCGTTGATGAATTTGAGTCATTTTCCACTAAGAAACATGCCGATGGCCTACTCCAGCCTTTGAAAGTCCAGATCAGGCCCCCTCGAGACAACGACAAAATCACAAGAATACTCGTACAAATCCATCACGCAGTATACGATGGCTGGTCCATGGATATACTGCGTGCAGATCTGGCGACCATTCTCCAGGGTTCGCAGCCATCCGAGAAGCCCCAGTTCCGCAAAGTAGCAGAGTTCTCCCACGCTCTGATCAACGACGATAGCGCCGTCTCTCAGGGAAAGGCCTTTTGGGCCGATCACTTGCTTGGATGGGTCAAGACCCCTTTCCCCAAATTTCTCGATGGAGCTGTCAAGGAATACGATACTCTCGTCACCAATGCATACCTTCCTGTAGACCTCTCTCAAGTGGAGGTCATATCCCGGAAGTTAGGGTACAGCGTGCAATCTTGGCTTCAGACCTCCCTAGCCGTAGTCTGGAGCGGCATCCTTGGAACCAAGGACGTTGTCTTCGGATCAGTTACATCTGGGAGAGCCATTCCAGTCCCTGGAATCGACCAGATCATTGGCCCTTGCATCGCGCCTCTGCCTCTTCGAGTCAATTTGGATTCCATGACTGAGGTATCTCATATTCTTAACCATATCCAAGCGACCAACAATCAAATTTTGAAGCTCCCACCGCTGCCTCTATCAGAGATCCGAAAGGTCACCAACCTGCAACCGGGAGATGCCATCTACGATGTGCTGTTTGTTTATCAGCAATCCCCCGAGAGTGGCGCTCCAGAGGGCAATATTGTCAAAGAACGGCATCATAGAGATCGCCTCGAGACTCGGCTTCTCGTTGAGATTGATCCCCAAAAAGATGGGTTTGGCATACAGGTGACCTATCGATCAGACAGTATGTCTTCGGCTATGGTCCAATGTCTAATTGAGCAATTCAAGGACATCTTCCAGAAAGTTATCGACAACCCAAGAGACAACCTGGTATCGTTGAGCCGGTCACTCTCTGTGCAACAGTCCATAAATAACCAGCTCCACACACAATTTAAAGGGATACCAGACCTGGCTTCAATGGTTGAGACGACAGTTTCCGCTCATCCAGACTCCCCTGCAATCTGCTTTGCAAGTTCGGCAGTCGACGGTAGCCTTAAATTTGAGACGACTTCGTATCAAGAGCTCAACCGACTGAGTAATCGAATTGCTCGCTATTTGCAGAAACGAGGAGTCCAGCCTCGGTCAGTGGTAGGAATCATTATGGAGAAATCCGTTGTGCTCTATGCCTCTATTCTTGCCGTTGTCAAGGCCGGTTGCGCATATCTCCCCATCCTACCCACTACGCCGATAGGCCGCATCCAAAGTGTTTTCGATCAGGCTGAAGTAAGATATTGTCTCACGGATGGGTCGTCTCCTGTTACGTCAAGTCAATTGCATGAACTTCAGCTCATCAACATCAACGATGTATCGCTTTCCGAATTTCAAGACGACAACCTGCACACCGTTGTTGATGGATCCAGAATTGCTTATGTCATTTATACCTCAGGAACCACTGGGGCGCCGAAGGGCGTTGCGGTCACTCAGCTCAACATTGCCAGCAATATCAGCAACCTTGCAGGTGTATACCCGACGGGTTCCGCTCCTCAGGCCCGTTTACTTCAGCTATGCTCCCAGGCGTTTGATGTATCGGTATTTGAGATATTCTTCGCATGGCACACGGGCATGTGCCTTTGCTCTGGAACCAACGACACCCTTTTCAATGACCTGGAACATGCTATCAGAGAGTTGGACATCACTCACCTGAGTTTGACACCTACGGTTGCATCCCTGATAGACCCGTCAACCGTGCCATCGGTTGAGTTTCTTGTCACAGCTGGTGAGCCCTTGACGCAGGCTGTTCTTGATAAATGGAGTGACCAGCTTTGGCAAGGTTATGGACCTTCCGAAACCACCAACATCTGCTCTGTCAAGAAGATGGCTCTTGGAATGCCCATTGAGAATCTTGGACGAACGCTCTCCAACACCTCCGTCACTGTGAGGTACCCCGATGGTAGTGGTGTTGTACCAATTGGCTGGGTCGGCGAATTCTGGATTGGAGGAGAGCAGGTGGCCCAAGGGTATCTTAACCTGAACACCCTCACTGCGAGCCACTTTGTCCATCATCCCCAACTTGGTCGCGTTTATCGTACTGGCGACATGGGTCGCATGCTTCCCGACGGCTCTTTGGTAATTCTCGGTCGCCTCGATGATCAGCTCAAACTCCGCGGTCAGAGAATCAACCCCAAGGAGATCAACAGCGTTGTCACCTCGGAGTACACTGCAACTGCAGCTGTGACCATGATAGCCACCCGGGGTAGTAATGCACCTGATCAACTTGTTACGTTCTATGTTCCAGCAGAAGAGACATGTGGCGATGGCGCCCTTGAGCCGGATACTGCGTCTATCTGCCTCTTGTTCTCAGTTGCACGATCCAACCTACCGCCCTACATGGTTCCGTCCTATCTTATACCAATCTCGAAGATACCCTTGACCTCCAGCGGAAAATGGAACAAGGCAGCCCTTCAGAAGTTGTTTTCAGACCTTGATACATCCTACCTTGACAAGGTTGCGCCCCCGTCTGATGATATAGAGGATTCCGCCTCCGAATGGTCAGTCACCGAGACACTGATATCTGAAGCCATCGTTGAGAGCATGCGTTTTCCGGCATCTGAAGTCAACAGGTGGACGCCATTTCCCAATTTTGGCATTGACTCCTTGACGGCCATTGGAGTAGTGCAGATTTTGGGCAAGAAGATTGGACACCAGATTCCTGTTTCTCTTGTTATACAAAATTCGACCATTGCTCAACTCGGCCGCTCCATAGATGAGCGCATGGCACGTACCGTGCTGCCGAATTCATTGGAGATATTTCCCAAGGAATTCATTGACACCGTCCGCTCCGAATTTTACAAGGAATCCAAACAAGTCGAATCTATACTCCCTTGCACTCCTCTTCAGGAGGCCATGTTGGCCGGAGGACAGCAAAGCTATTACAACAAGGTCCTTCTACGGCTCAAGGTCGACGATGACAGGATGCGAAGCTACTGGGGAGAGATGGTCCGTCGCCATGGGATTCTTAGAACTTGCTTCGTGACCACGACAGATGCCAGGTATTCTATGGCACAGGTCGTTCTCCAGGATTGGCAGCTACCGTGGGAGTCCTTCAAGGTCCGCACTCCCTCGTTTGACGAAGTTGTAGAGAAGCATCTTAGTCTCCTCCCGCCTCCCGTCGACCACAAATCTCCGCCGATCTCTCTCGCTGTTCTTCAGTACCGGGATTCAACCTTCCTTTCTTTCATCTGCCACCATGCACTTTATGATGGTATCGCCATGAGCAACCTTTGGAGGGAGGTAGAGTCCCTCGCCAACGGTGTTCCTCTGCCTCGCCCCATTCCATACGAGCCTTTCTTGAAGGAGATGGTGAACTTGCCGCGTGACACTGAACAATTCTGGAAGTCTAAGCTTCACGGGTTCAACCCGTCCCGGCTCTTCTCGACTTCTCCGGCTGGGAAGTTTGACCAGGCTGTTCATACCAAGACTCTCAAAATACCAGCCGGAGAGTTGTATGCACGCTTGAGAACCCAGGGAGTATCGCTACTTTCAATTTGCCAGGCTGCATGGGCAAACACAATATCACTTGCCTATGACTGCCCCGATGTTTGCTTTGGAAATGTTGTCAGCGGACGAAGTGTTGGCGTCGAGGGAATCGAGAAGCTGGTGGCCCCGTGTTTCAACACAATCCCACTAAGGGCTGATCTTTCCAACATGCCCCATGGTGGCAGCCTAGTCAAATACTTTTATCAGCTCAATTCAGAGGTCATGAAGTATCAGTTCACACCACTGCGCCTGGCACAGAGGGTTTCTGGCCAGCAAGGAAAGGGACTCTTTGAATCTCTACTTCTCTTGCAAAATCCCTTGGAAGGGATGGACGACCGAGTCTGGATCCTTGAAAGCGATGCAGGTGACATGGACATCCCACTCGTGTGTGAGGTAGTCCCTTGTCCCAGCCTGGATAGCCTAGTTATCAGCATGCACTATGACATGCATGTCATGGACCCGAGCACAGCCACCGGAATCGCCGAGTTGTTTGAGTACGTGCTGGAATCGATTCTCGACCACCCGTTCGCAGCATTGTCCCAGAGGCAGAAACTGCCCTCAAGCTTGAAAAAAGGCCTCAGCGGACTTCGCCGGAGAGAAAGGACCAAGTCTTCGGAAATCGAGAGTGCGGCTTCCGAGAACTGGTCTGAGATTGAGCAGACAATCCGGCAGATATTTTCCGATCTCTCTGGAAGGTCAAAGTTCAGGATTGCCCGACATACAACCATCTACCAGCTTGGCTTGGATAGCATCAACGCCGTTCAGCTTGCGTCGATACTCCGAGGACAAGGCATGGATGTTTCTGCTTCTGATGTCATCGAATGCCCCACCTGTGCAAGGCTTGGTGAGATTATTTCCAATCGCGCCCCGGGAGGAAAGCCACCGATGGAGAATGCGTACAACTTCCAAGCATTTGCACAGGCTGTGGCCGGGGATGTCAGAGCTCAAGTACCTTCCGACTTACAAATTGAGACAATACTCCCTTCCACACCTATGCAATGCGCATTCATGACGGCGTTTACTCAATCGGGCGGTCAACACTATCTCAATTTCATGACCTATGACTTCTCAGATAGCTTCACCATAAAGGATGCCACACATGCATGGCAACGTTTGCATCGCCACCATCCCATGCTGCGAACGGCTCTTGTTCCCGTTCCACACCCTGATTCAACGTTTGCCATGTTGACATACTCCCCCGAGTCACTCAGTCCCCCTATAACTGCATTCAGTTCTGCTGGTGTGGAACAGGGAGATGTCAACCGTTGGCTCGAGAGCGCCAGGAAGGATATCATTGAAAGGCAGCATTTACCTCCCTGGCATGTCCTCATATACGAGACCGACGATCGCTTGAGCATGAGGATCCTCATGCACCATGCCCTCTATGATGCTACTTCCCTTGAGGCTCTGCTCAGATGCTACTCTCAGGCTCTCTTGAATCAGAACATGGATAAGATTCCGAATATTAAACGGGGTCTCGGGGCAATTCTCACCAAGAGCGTTAGGGACAATGAAGCCTCTGAGCCGTTTTGGAAGGGTTTGAAGGACAGTGCAGTGGTGAACAAGTTTCCTGTCATGACACCACTGCGCGAGGAAAACGATGTACTTGAAGTGCAATCGCTCCGATCTTCAGTGACGTTTCAAGCGCTCCGAACAGCGTCTGAAGATGCAGGCTACTCGATCCAGGCCATCATCCAAGCTGCGTGGGTTCGCCTTCTCTCGTCATACTTGGGAGAGGCTTCAGTCATTTTCGGCATGACGTTTTCCGGTAGGACGGATGAAGAAACCGCAGAAGCTCCATTTCCTTGCGTTGTTACTTTGCCCGTGGTTGCTTCCGATTCCGAGTCGAACCATGAGCTCCTCAATCATATGATGAACCTCAATTCCCAGATCCACAAGTACAACCATGTGCCACTCAGTCAAGTTCAGAAATGGCTGGGGCACCCGGCTTCCCCAGTTTTTGATACTCTTGTTTCTTTTCGAAAGACTGACAAAAGCCCGTCTACGACTCCACCTTTCGCTCTCGTGGATGAAGGTGTCAATATTGACTATCCGGTTTCCCTCGAGATCGAGACAACCGATGAGACCGATACCGTTACTCTGACCCTTAGCCACAAGGTTGATATTCTTCCCCGAGAGCAGGCACTATTGATGCTGCAGCAATTCGACATCACCATGAAGCATCTTGCATTCTCCCCACACGCAATGGGCGACGATGTTCAAGACCAAAACCCAACATCATTCTCTCATTTGCCGGCCGAGATTCCCGAGATGGCTTGCCCGGTTCAATATTTGCATCAATTCGTTGAACAGAAAGCCCTGTCACAGCCTAATTCCATTGCGTTAGAGTATACTGAAACTCTTGATGGAACATACATGGCTCGGAAGAAGTCGTGGACGTACAAGGAATTTGATGACATGGGAAACCGTCTGGCCCGGGCCATCTCAAAAACAGCCAAGCCAGGCAGTATCGTGGCGATACATTTTGGGAAGTGCCCTGAAGCATATTTCAGTATCCTTGGAATTCTCAAGGCTGGATGTTCGTTTGTGGCCTTAGACCCAACGGCGCCAGGAGCCAGGAAGAATTTTATCCTTCGTGACTCAAATGCGCCCTGCCTTCTTACTGGAGCTGAAGACGTTATCGACTTGGAAGCCAACACGCCAGCCGAGATTATTCGCATATCAGATGATTACCTCTTGCAATTTGGTCCAGAGCGGTTGGATCTTGGATACAGTATCTCTCCGTCGTCCACCTGTTATTGTCTTTACACATCTGGCACGACCGGCACGCCAAAGGGCTGCGAAATTACCCACGAGAACGCGGTGCAGGCCATGATGGCTTTCCAACACCTTTTCAGTGGCCATTGGGATGCGGAATCCCGCTGGCTCCAGTTTGCAGCTCTTCATTTTGATGTTTCAGTCTTAGAACAATATTGGAGCTGGTCTGTAGGCATCACAGTGGTTGCCGCACCGAAAGATGTCATACTCGACGACTTGACTGGTGCCATCAACAAGCTCGAAATCACGCACATTGACCTGACTCCTAGTCTTGCTAGACTTACGCACCCTGATGATGTGCCCTCCCTATGTAAGGGCGTGTTCATTACGGGAGGCGAGTCACTGAAACAGGAGATCCTCGACGCTTGGGGTCCGAAGGCTGTCATTTACAACGCGTATGGTCCAACAGAGGCAACAATTGGTGTCACAATGTACCAGCGCGTTCCAGTCAACGGACGCCCCAGCAACATTGGGAAGCAGTTCCCGAATGTGGGCTCCTATGTCCTCCGGCCTGGAACAGAGACGCCTGTTTTGAGAGGCGGTGTTGGGGAGCTGTGTGTATCTGGGAAACTTGTCGGAAAAGGATATCTTAACCGCCCTGAGTTAACATCCAAGTGCTTTCCGCATATGGACAGCTTTGCCGAGAGGGTCTACCGGACAGGAGATCTTGTGAGGTTATTGCATGACGGATGTATTGACTTTCTCGGGAGGGCTGATGACCAGGTGAAGCTACGTGGACAGCGCCTGGAGATTGGAGAAATTAATCACGCAATCCGGAGAACTCCAGGTGTCACTGACGCCGCCACGATTGTTGCATCGCATGGTCCTGGGGAAAAAAGCGTTCTCGTCTCATTCCTTGTTTCTCAGAAGTCGCCTACCCAGTCGACGGATCTCAAGGTACTTCCTGACGATGAGGCGCTTGGACCAGATGCCAAAGAGGCCTGCAGGAATAGCCTTCCAGGATATATGGTTCCCACATACTTTCTGCAGATTTCCTACATTCCTCTCTCTGTCAATAATAAGGCCGAGGTGAAGAAGCTCAAGAGTCTGTTTTCCGAACTATCTCATAGTCAACTGATGGCCATGACTGCGTCGACCTCCGCGTCACTTTCCAATGTCAGCCCAGGGACCCAAAGCAAGATAATCGACGCACTCTCTGACTTCTGTGGCCTCGGACGACATGAGGTTACCGGCGACATGAACATTTTCGACATTGGGGTTGATTCGCTTTCCGCCTTGCGTCTCTCCTCTCTTTTGAAAGCGCGTGGTGTAGCTGAAGCTACTCCTTCTAAGATCCTGCAAAACCCAACCATCAATGATTTGGTTCAGGTCTTGTCCCGGGGTACGGCTGATACGCAAGCTCAGGCCATAAAGGAGTCCCAGCAAGTCCTTCGAGCGTTTGGCCACCGCCACCTATCGTTTGCATGCGACGAGCTTAATGTTACGCCCTCTGACATTGAATATATCGCTCCATGCACTCCACTCCAGGAAGGAATAATATCCAAGTCGTTCATGCTGGAGGGGTCTGGCGCCTACTTCAACACATTCAGCCTGCAGCTCAAGCTTGATGTTGACGAGGAGAAACTTCACAATTCTTGGGCCAAACTCTTTGCAGAGGAGCCTATTTTTCGGACTGTCTTCCTCATCACGTCTACCGGGCCCATCCAAGTGGCCCTGAAGCAAAGAACAGATGCATGGAGAAACGTGACTTCAGGTTCCGAGAGCCGAATGGTTAGCGGAGTAGATTCGTTACATCGTGAATGGCTGAAACGAAACCACAAGCATGTTCTAGATCCTCTGCAGCTTATTTTCACACAAAATCCGGGCTCCTGCTGCCTTCACGTCAACATCTTCCATGCCGTCTATGATGGAGTCAGCTTTGACTTGATACTCTCCAGAATTGCTGCTTCAATGACTGGCCAAAGCATGAGTCGGGGCCCATCGTTCTTGGATGCTGCATCCCTTGGACCGCTGAAGAATTTCAACTTCTGTCGTGAATTCTGGGAGGAGCATCTCAAGGATTGGCGTCTTTCAACAACTCCCGCCTTGTTTCCATCTCGCCCAGAGGGTACCTCTTTTGCAACACGGGAACTGTCAGCCTCGAGCATTGAGAAAATTCGAGAGAGCCAGCACGCTTCGTTCCAATCCGTACTTCTTGCCCTCTGGATATCAGTCTTGCAACGATACCATCCAGCTGGCTTAACGCTCGGTGTCATTGTCGCTGGGAGATCTCTTGACCTTGCTGGAATTGAGCACACCATTGGGCCCCTCTTTAACACTCTACCATTCTTCAACCGGACCCTTTCAGGACACACATGGGCATCGCTGGTTCAAAAGTGCCAGAGTTACGGAACGGCAGTTTTGCCTTTCCAGCATGTGCCGCTACAGAAGATCCAAAAATGGTGCTCCAGGGGCCAACCTCTATTTGACACTCTATTCACTCTTCACGCAGGGCCAGAGGCCCCCGAGATGCAAACAGGTCTCTGGGAAGTCCTGGATGGAGTCACTGTCCCTGATTACCCATTGGCAATCGAAGTGACACTCAAGACCGATGGCTCCATCCAGGCATCTCTTGTATCGCAGGGTCACATAGCCGATTCTCAAGGATTGGGGAAATTGCTAGACCAGCTGGCAGATAATCTTGAGATCATGGCATCCCGCATTCAAGATCGCATTACTGATGCGGAGAGTATTTGCGAGTCTTCCGACGAGAAACTGGAGTCAAATGCGACAGTGCACAATGAATCCCCTGATCCTGTTGCGTGGAGCACTACGGCCAATGCTATTCGAGGAGCAGTTGCCTCTATTGCAGGGGTTGACACGCACGAGATTGAGTCAACTACATCGCTTTTGGAACTTGGCCTTGACAGTATCGACGTCATGAAACTGGCTGCCAAACTTCGAAGTCTTAAATACGACATCCCGGGGTCTCAAATCATGCGCCTCCAGACAGTTCCCAAGATTGCAGTTGCCGCGGAAGAGTCCATGACGCAGCAGCAGCCGAAATATGACGGTATTGAGGCTACTAAAACCCAGTTATGGGGGAGGCTCAGTCGCCAAGGCCTTGCCATGTCTAACTTTGAGACTGTATTGCCTGCAACTCCTCTCCAAGAATCTATGGTAGCTGCAATGGTGGACTCTGGGTTTTCTCTGTACTTCAACCATGACGTGATGCAGATTGCCGACGGGGTGGACATGGAGAGACTACAATCGGCCTGGAATAAGACAGTTGAGACACTCCCTATCCTACGGACAGGTTTTGTTCAAGTGGAAGATCTAGGCCTTGATGCAACCTACTACCAAGTTGTTTACAAGGAGGGCGCCGATGTTTGGAGCCACGTCTCTGAGGCAAGCAGCCTCGATGATGCCGAAGGAATAATCAAGGCAGCTACAAACCGAGCCAAACTCTCCGAGGGGCGTGAAAGCTTGTTCCAGCTATCGCTATTTTCGGTTGGAACAAAGCCATATCTTGTCCTGTCTATCGCCCACGCCTTGTACGATGGATGGTCCCTCGGCCTCATTTTTAGAGAACTGAAGAAGGCATATGCCGGAAAGTCTCCTTCAACGCCACCCGCAGACAACCTTTTCAGACACATGTGGGACACTTCGAAGCTTGATCATGAGAAATTCTGGGCCACCTACCTTCGCGATTCCATCCCAACATTTATCCCAAAACTCGCTTCTAGTGATGTCCACGAAGCAACGGTTCACAGGGCTGATAAAGTGTCGAGCAAGGCTTTGTCCAAGATCCAACGTTTCTGTAAGAAGTCATCGATTTCGTTGCAGGTATTGTGCCAAGCTTCCTGGGCCATGGTTTTGGCAATGCTTACGGGTCAGTTGGACGTCTCGTTTGGAGTTGTCACATCTGGACGCGACTTTGAGGGCGCTGAAGAACTGGTCTTCCCTACTATGAATACCGTCGCTGTTCGGTGCATTCTGCACGGTTCCGCCTCAGAGCTTCTGCAATATCTCGAAGATACCATGGGGGATGTTAGAGAACACCAGATCACCCCCCTGAGAAAGATCCAGACAGCCGCCAATGCTACATCCCGAGGCTTGTTCAATTCACTATTCCTTCTCCAGAAGGGTTCCCACGATGAGGAATCTCTCCCTCTCCTCAAATCTGTTCGTGGAATGTCAGCAATCGACTACCCAGTCAGCGTCGAGGCAGAAGCGATAGATGATTCTTTGATGTGGCGAGTGGCTTGTGATTCCAGATTCTTATCACAAAGCGGAACCAGCGAAATTCTGCGATCAATTGATCAGGTCATTGGATTCTACATGGACTCTCCTGATGCCGACGTTATCTCGCTCTCTGGATCTCAGGTGTCCATCTGTGGCCTACCGCTTGTGCCTCTAAGCTCAAATGCTAATTCTCAAGAGATGGTGGCACTGGCGAATGACTACCTGCCTCGACAGTGGACTAAGACGTCGAGTACCATACGTGACGTTCTCAGCAAAGTTTCCGGGATCGAAAGCTCAGAGATACGGCTCGACAATAATCTGTACCATTTGGGTCTCGACTCCATAAGCGCACTCAAGGTCTCATCTCTACTTCGCAAGAGAGCCGTTAATATCAGTCCCCGGGCTCTCATTGGAGCGGCAAGCATCGCCAACATGGCGGAACTAGCAGACAAGGAGCCCGTGTACCAGTTTTCAAGCCGCGAAACGACCGATTGGGCACTGCCTGCATCCATGAACCTTCCTCAACTTTTGAACGGTCACGGACTCGCTCAGGGTGATGTAGATGATGTTATTCCAGCCCTTCCCATGCAGGTCTACATGCTAGGGGCGTGGGAGAATGCACACGGGACGGTGTTCTACCCAACCTTCACGCACCTCCTGTCCTTTCCCTGCAGCGATCGGGATATTGAAAAGGCATGGGAAGCAACAGTAGCCTCAACGCCCATGCTTCGGACATCGTTTGTATACACCAACAACAAGAATATTCCGGTCCTCCAAGTGGTTCGCAAGTCGACATACTCGACCCCCCAGGCCATGGCCAACCTTACGGCCCTGTGGAACGAGCAGCGAAATGGGTGGGTGCTGAAACTGCAGATTCACCACGCCCTGTACGATGGGTTTAGCCTGCCAGCGATCATGCAGAAGCTTGCGCGCAATGTTGTCGCGGGACACGAAGGCTCAACTAAAGCTATCTCTGTGTTGCCTCAATGGTCAGCACTCTGTACATATCCTACGACTGAACAAGCCAGAGCTTCCAGAAAGCAATTCTGGACGCAATACCTCAGCAGCTGCTCGCCAAAATTGACGACTGCTGTGCCGATCAGCTACTCCATTGAGCGCGTATCATATATACAGCGATCGGCAATTCAGGACGCGTCCGACCTCCGACAAGATGCTGCCCGGCTCGGCCTCGGTATACAGACAATTTTCCTTGCTGCATATGCCAAGATCCTGGCTGCAAGAACGACTATTCATGGCACCACTTCTCCGCACACTGTGGTCTTTGGCATATATCTCGCCAACAGGGGTGTGTCAGACATCAACGATCGGCAAATCCCGGATACGTACCCGCGCCTGAATCTTGTGCCACTGAAGGTCTATATCAAAGACGACCTCAGAGATATGGCTGCACATATTCAGAAAGATATTGGAGAGATTAGTATCGATGGCCGAGCGGACGTTGGCCTCTGGGAGATTGACGAGTGGACAGGCATTCAGATCACGTCGTTTGTCAACTTCTTATCTGGTCCAAGCTCTGATGAAGACGATACCAAACGTCTGATAACTGAGATACAAGAACTCGATGCCCCATCTTCCGATGAGAGTTCCCAGCCCCGGGGCGTGTTGCAAAAGGGCAGTATGTCTGTCAGAGACTCATTCCCGGTATGTCATTATCTTTCCCTCTTCTTATTTTTCGAGATAGCATTTTTACTATACCACTTTTTTCTAACAGTGAATCAAATCAGCCGGCAATTGATATTGAAGCATCGCTGCACGAGAGTGGCCTAGACATCGGTGTCTTTGGCCCCGTCAATGCAATTGGCAATAAGGCTGAAGCAGCTATGCTCGTCCAAGAACTTTGCCGTCTTCTACAAAGTACACGATAATTTGCTTTTTCCCCTCAGATTTTCCTTACAACGCTGTGGCATTGCCGGCCTTTGCCTGTTTTCTTTTCCCTCCTGCTGTTCTTTCTTTTTATGCCCATTTTTAGTTCTGCATTTCTCAATTGGGTATTTGTGTTTTTAGCTATCTTGTTGTTATTGCGACGCATCAAAGCACAGTATGCATGAATATTATTGACATCTGAATTTTTGGGCATCAAAACGCCCGTGTTCATCTTAGCTGCCGGGCGTCGGTGGTCTCCGAACCTGTATATGTAGTATTGACATTAAATGTTATAAGGGTGAAAATTCCATAAGAATTCGAGTTCTTCGGCTCAAATCCCTGTAATGTGCTATCTTGTTCTTCAACATTATTAAGCATGTCTTGATATGCTATTGTGGGAAGAGACAAATGCAGCGACTGCGCTTTAGTAGCCATCTTGGGATTTCACTCTCTGGCTGCTTGTCAGCATCCCTGTTTTCTGATGCTCCCCCCTTCGGTTCCTGAGCTCCGTACTCCGGGTCGGCCGGGATTGGTGCGGCGGAGGGGCAGAGCGAGGCGTTCAACCCCCACCCACACAGAATTGAAACTCGATACGACATTAACGAATCATTCTCTCTGCATTATCTATACGGTATAGATTATTATCTTCCAAGATACGACATCATACGAGCAGGGTCCAGACTCCCCGGATTCCTTTGGAAGATAGGAAAAATACCTTGTCTAACCGATATCGATACCCGCGTCTCGACCGTCTGAAAAAGCCTTGACGTGAGCATTCAATTTCTTTCTGAACTACAATGATAGTTCATCACGGCGAGGGTGTCAACATGAGTACTTCAGTAATGTTTTGTGAACATCCATGGAATGAAATAGAAGGTGAGGGGAGAAAAAGTAGACTCGTAACTATCATGTCATCGTACGCCAATCAAATATATATATAGTCTTTTATGAAATAAATAGCAGGGGATATTTTCAGTACAACAAGTCGATGCCATACACGCTCTTTCACACACGGCACAGTGGCCATTCTTCGTCATCCTTTTTTGGCCGCGCAGCTTGACCTCAGCTCACAATTTGAGCTCTCTCGTCATAATTCACAGGCGCGACCTGTTAGTGTCACCCTTCCAGCCATCGTCCATGGCGATGAGCTCGGCGGCACGCTCGCCAATGGCCAGGACAGTGACCATTGGGTTGATGGAAGGCATGTCGGGGAAGATACCGGCGTCAGCGATACGGAGCTTGCCAATGCCGCGGAACTTAAGCTTGGGGTCGACGACTGCCTTCTCGTCGCGGGTCACATCACCCATCTTGGTGGTACCAGCAGGGTGGTATACGGTGTGAGCGACGCGCCTGGCGTATTCGCTAATATCTTCGTCGGATTGAATCTTGGGCCCGGGGGCAACCTCTTTCTTGAGCCAGTCCTTAAAGGGAGCCTGTTCAGCGATCTTGCGGGCAGCCTTAATACCAGCAACAAAGGTGGCGGCGTCGTAGCCCTCGGGGTCGGTGAAGTAGCGGAAGTCAAGGGCAGGCTTGACCGTAGGGTCGGCCGACGTAAGGTAGATGCGGCCACGCGAACGGGGGCGGGGGATGTTGGGGGTCATACAAAAGGCGTAGCGGTCCGGGATCTCTGGGTAACCGAGGCGGCCAGTGTTGAGGGTGAAAGGAATCTGGTAGCAGTGCATCATGATGTCGGCGGCATCACCATCATTACCGGCAGCGTTGGGGGCCTCGCGGCGAAGGAAGACACCAGCGTCCGAGTCCATGGTGGTCTGGTTCTCGGGGACGGGCTTGTTGAGCTCCCACATTATGATGGTCTCGGGGTGGTCGAGGAGGTTCTCTCCGACACCGGGGACATCGGCGACGACGGGGATGCCCAGGGCCTCGAGCTGGTCGCGGGGGCCGATACCAGAGTGCAGCAGCAGGCGGGGAGTGTCAACGGCACCAGCGCAAAGGATGGTCTCCTTGCGAGCCTTGATGGTGATGCGCTGCCCATCCTTGAGAGTAACATCGACACCAGAGGCGACACCATCCTTGACGTGCAGCTTGGAGACCATGGCCTCAGTTAGGAGAGTCAGGTTAGGGCGACGTTCCTCACCTTTGAGGATAGGGTGGATGTAGGCGACCGAGGCACTGCTGCGATGGCCGTTATCGGGGTTGTAAGAGACGGAGAAGAAGCCGACGCCCTGGTTTAGTTGGCCCTTGTTGGAGATTTCGTGGTTGAAGTCGTGGATGACGGGGATGTCAAGGGCCTGTGAGGTAGACTCGACCCAGTCCTTGCACAGCTGGTTGCGGTGACGAGCGTGGACGGGCTGGATGGAGTTGCGCAGGTTGTCGACGTGGCGCATGACGTTGTCAAAAGACCAGCCGTCGCAACCACCAGCCTCCCAACGCTCCATGTCGTGGCGGAAGGGACGGAAGGAGATGAGGGTGTTGTGAGAGGAGCAGCCACCAAGGACTTTGGCACGCGAGTGGCGGATGTGGCTGTTACCCATGGGCTGCTCAGTGGTTCCGTAGTCGTAGTCGAGATCACCACCGAGCAGGCTCAGCCACTGGCGGAGGTCCAGGACATTGCCGAGGTCGAGGTCAGAGGGTCCGCCCTCGATGACCAGAACCCGACGCTCGGGCAGGTAGGCGGAAAGACGTGAGGCAATGACACAGCCAGCGGTACCACCGCCAACAATGACATAGTCAAAGGCGTCAGCCGCGTTGGCAGACAGAGACTGAGTGACGGTGACCATCGTGATTTATCAAGGATCAAGTTTAAAAAGGTAGACAGGGTGGGAAGAGAGGGAGTAGGATAGTGATGCGGAGGAGAGGGAAGGAGGGAAGGCGGGAAGGTTGTGAACTGCGGCAGGCAGTAGCAACCAGGAAAGATATAAGAGGGAGAAGTTGCAGGTAGAAGAGGGAAGGAAGGAAAAAAAGGGAAAGGAGAAGAGAGAACCGGATGATAAGAAGTTAAAGGTGTTGGTCCTGACTCGACAAGAAGCGCCCGCACTGGTTTTGAACGAGGAGGCTGACTAGCATAATATTACATGGCAGGAAAAAAAAAAAAAGACCAGGCTTCCCGCTCACCGAATGGCGACCGCAAAGTGAGTGCTACGTACGTGTGGCACACGTACGGACCGGCCGTCGAAGGGTTCCACCACTGATGCCGCAGCGGGAGACGGCGATAGACCGTAAAAGAGGGGCACTGTGCTAGAGTCTGTGTGGCCCCGGATAGACCCCCATGGCCGTACAAGACAAGCGCGTTGACCGCCCTGACGCAATTGGGAAGGGTGGAGCCAATTCGGGGATCTTATTGGCTTTGGTGACCAGTTCTTGGACGCTAATCCTAAAAAGGGCATTATCCTGTGCGAGCATTCCGTCGGCGGGTCCTCGATTGCACTGTACCGCCCCAGATAGGTCAGGCAGCCTCCCCACCAACCAACAGCCCCCAAAAAGCCTCCCAAAAGCCTACTGAAAGCCCCGGAAAGCCCCCAAAGCCCCCGAAACTCCTCTTCAACACCACTGTGCTACGTGCGCCTCAACTGCCCTATACGGCATTGTCCCATGCTCCAGTCCACCTCTTAGCCCCAGATTCCATCAAACAAAATTTTCCCTCTCGCCTCATGAACGAACAAGACATACGCACCTTTCCCATACTCCAAAGTCACTAGTCATTTCATCTAGACACTTTTTGTCTCCTGATTCCGAATGCACCTCGGACCCGAAGTCGTATTTTCTCTCGTCACCCTCTTCACCCTCGTCATAGGTGCACTTGTTCTGTTTTCTGCTGCGTAATCATCGTTCGAGTTGCCCCGACGTGCAGAACTTATACAGTATGTATTTCTCGTATTCGCACTCACACATCCTTACTTGTAATGCCGTCTCGTCGTAATCGTGCTCTTCTCATTGTTTTCTTTGGCGTAAATTCTCTCCGATAGCCCGACTAACCCACCCGGAGTAGACGAGGGATCCCGAAACAAGGACTCTTCTTTTTTTTCATTACCTTTTTTTTTCTTTTGCCGCTTTGTGCCAAGGGACTTATCTTCGTTTGTGCTTGGACCATCAGTGACGGTATCTTGGCAAGCTCTCTCATATTGTAGACGGCCGATTGGAACATCCCATATTTGTTCCTCACTCATTCAAACTTTCCCTCCACCACTACGCACCTACTCATCCCCGTCATACATGCTCCCATCTCCATCGCCTTAATCACCTTTACGATGACCTTCGCCGCCGATATTCACACCTTCCATTCTGGAAGGCCACAGGCTTCGTCCTCTAGCAGCTCCTCCACATTCAAATCGATCGACCCCAGTACCGGAAAGCCCCTCGCTACCATCTACACCACGACACCAGACCAGCTTAATGCTGCTGTCGCCTCAGCACACGCAGCCTTTCCTGGGTGGTCCCAGACTCCCGCTCCGAAGCGCGCCGCCATCCTTCTCAAGGCTGCCACCCTTCTGCGCGAACGCAATGACGCACTTGCCCTGACCGAGACCCTCGACACCGGCAAGGCCTGGGGCGAGACGTCCACGGTCGATGTCGTCACCGGTGCTGACGTCCTTGAATACTACGCTCACTTCATCGCCGGTGGTAACCCCGGCCACAATACCGCCCTGCGCCAGGACGCCTTTGTTCTGACTACCCACGAGCCCCTTGGCGTCTGTGCCGGCATTGGCGCCTGGAACTATCCCATCCAGATCGCCCTTTGGAAGTCGGCCCCCTGCCTGGCCGCTGGAAACTGCATGGTCTATAAGCCCAGTGAGGTCACGCCTCTGCACGCCAACACGCTCGCCGAGATCTACATTGAGGCCGGCGTGCCCGCCGGCGTCTTCAACGTCGTCTACGGTGATGGTCCCAGTGCTGGTGTCCCTCTGGTCGCCCACCCGGGCATTGCCAAGGTCAGCTTCACCGGCCAGGTCAGCACCGGCAGTAAGGTGGCCAGCCAGGCCTCCAAGGACATGAAGAGCGTCACCATGGAGCTCGGTGGCAAGAGCCCCCTTGTCATCCTGCCTGATGCTGATGTCGAGGAGGCTGCTGACGTCGCCATGGTCGCCAACTTCTTCTCCACCGGTCAGGTCTGCACCAACGGCACCCGTGTCTTCGTCCCCGACACTCTTCTTAAACCCGTCGAAGAGGCTCTTATTCAGCGCGCCCGTGAGGGTATTCGCATGGGTCTCCCCCGCGACGAGAGCACCAACTTCGGCCCCATGGTCAGCGCCGCCCAGCGCGATAAGGTCAACATGTATATAGACCACGGCAAGAATGTCGACAAGGCCAGGCTCCTCTACGACGGCAGTGTCGACGCACAGAGCAAGAAGCCCACGGCTGACGGCTTCTGGGTCCCCCCAGTCATCTTCTCCGACTGCAAGGACAACATGCGCATCGCCAGCGAGGAGATTTTTGGCCCCGTCATGTGCATCCTTCCTTATTCTACCCAGGGCAAGCAGGAGGATTGGCTTCCCGAACTGATCCGCCGCGCCAACGACACCCCCATGGGTCTCGCTGCCGGCGTCGTCTCCTCCGACATCGGTCTGGCCCAGGACGTCATCCGCCAGCTAGAGGCTGGCATCACCTGGATCAATACCTGGGGTGAGTCCCCCGCTGAGATGCCTGTTGGTGGATGGAAGATGAGTGGCCTCGGCGTTGAGAACGGCCCGGAGGGTATCCGCGCCTACACCAGGACGAAGAGCACCCTTGTCCAGCTTGGCAAGGGTGCCTGCAAGGGTGTATTTTCAAAATTGTAATAGCAGTCTGAAGTTATGATGAATACTAGATGGATACCATATACTTTTTCTATATTTCCAATCCTTTTTTTCTCCTTTCTGTTCTATCAACGCCATCTGTGGTATTACATGTCGTTTCGCGCTCTTGAATGGCGGGGTTGCTATGACGTAGAGGCAAAACAACCAAAACGCTCTACCCTGCATAGCGCAATTTGTGCTTCCTGTGGGCGAAAACATATGATGACCCGCCGACGTAAATACAGTAGTCTTTATCTACGTATACGTCCTAGGTCTATGTCCGTGTGTCTAGTTACGCTTCTTTTCAAGGACAGAATCTATCTACGAGGCTATATACTAGTCGAGTGTGTTGCAGCGGGGGCTGCGTAGTCATGAAATGCGAGTGCCACAAATATGCGCAATCAGCAATACAAAGCGATCATCAAAAGTATCTATTCTTTATGTCATATTCATCATTTTCAATATCAACATTGTTTCTGTCATATGAAATTGCATTCGAATTCCTTCGGAATTTGCCGGTATGTGCACAAAACTCTTCAAGTTTAACTTCATCCAAACATGACGTTCACCTTGGTTACGTTCAATAAAGCGCGTAGATAGTAGACGATCACACAAGTGCATTAACCTCCTCAAATGAAGTGCCGCAGCGGTCATGATGGTTTTTCTTATTGTTCTATTTTTGTGGCACAAAAGGTGGCATGAGGAGCTTGGAAGAAGAAGGTGACGATGATGAACTAGCTAGCTATTGAGCAGAAATGCGAGATGTTTGCGAGGGACTGGCTGCACCACATCAACGTCTATCTATCTCATGAGGCCGTATAGAAGGTGGGATCGTGATGTTTGCTGCTGGCCTAAGGCAACGACCTCGGCGCCGGAACTACTATTCTCTATACGGCATTTGATGTTTGTGCAAATTGTTCATGTAACTCAATTTTACTTCAACAACCCCCATCACCACGGATATTTTCTAACCTCATCCTCACGTTCCAGGTCCAGACCATTGGCAAGCTGCTCCTCGTGCTTTTTATCAAGATACTCTAGAAGAACATCCCCGTACTTTTCTCTGCCCTTGTATTCAGCCACGAAACCGTCCCAGCTGCGAACAGCGCTTGCCAACCTGCCAGGGACATATTTCTCCTCGACAATCTCTTTAATCGGGTGGAAATAAGTCCTGACCGTAAACACGACAGCCCGAGACTTTGGCAGCCTGCGTAGAGACTGACGCTCAGAACGGAACCAATGGTGCTCAATGGTCTTGTTCTTCTCGGCCGTGCTCCAGCTTACCTGTGGAGCATCCTCATCGCCAATGCTATGACTCCAGGGTAGTGAGTCGTCTACCTGGAGGAAATAGTTGTTGCGGCAGTAAACGGTGTCGCACTTGAGCCTTTGGAAAAACTTGTTCATGCTTCCCTCGAGCTTCTGTTTGAAATGCGGCACATCGCCCGAAGTGTGGATCTCAGACAGCGTCATGCCATACTTGTCAGAGAGCCTCCAAAACCCAGCCAACAGGATGGCGCCCGCCAGGAGCTTGTACTGCCCGTCAGGCTGGGGTATCATGATGGCGAGGTCGTCCTGAACGAGACGTGCGCAGATGGCCATGGGGTCCTCCTTTAGTGGCCTCTCCACAACGTTGAAGGTCTCGCCTGACCAGAGGTTGTCGATGCCTACGGCCGTCCTCCGGAACAGACTTGGGTACCTGGCGGGGAGGTAGTTGGCCAGCTCCTCCAAGAGCTCTAGAGCTGCATCCAAGGCATCCGGGTGCGTGTCGACGCACTTTTTACCTCGGTCTCTGATGCGAGCAGCCTTATCGGCATGGTATTTGGGAAAGTGATTGTCGAGCTCGATCCACTCATCCGATGAGACGGTTCTCAGCCCCATGGTGACATGGTACTTGGGGCCATAGCGGAACGCCCGATACGGCAGTGGCTTGGTCGTCTCAATCGACCATTCTGGGTAGGGTGGGGGTACCGGTATCTTGTAGAGGTTTCCAGTTGCCTTCTCGTTGAGATCTGCGGGGGTCGACTTCAGATATGGCGACCCGATAATTCTTGCTCTCACTTTTCCAGAGACCACAGAGAGGCACAGAAAAATGCATGCTGATAGTATAATAATGGTTGGAACGATAGGCGCTATCCCGGCCTTGATAAGCCAGTCACCCAGCATTGTTGTATGCAGTTTGGAGATGGTGCGCACAAGAAGCAGGACACAGTGATATTGCCGGACAAGGTGCACTTGGTGAATTGCTTTTCATAATGCTACATCTGGCGCTTCTTATGAGTTACTATGTAGACATTGATACCCGCATCTACGATTACAGTCATGTTATCAACCCCGCCAAATTGTCTACGACTGTGTAACATGATAATGACGGTAGTGCTACTGGCGTAAAGAGCTACCCGAAACGGAAACTATACGCGATGCTTCGGCTCATATTCCTGATGGCCATTGGAATGCCACACGCTCGTTGAACAAGCTTTCGGCAATCTATACCATCCCCCGTAATTTTATGCGTGTGATATGTACCTAAGCGTGAATGGAGAGAAGCCAAAAGCTGCCTGATTTGGGAAATCTTACCAGGCCAATGGCTGAGGGCCTGTTTTGCAAGCAAGCCGTGGGAGTATATATTGCATGCTATTGTTTTATTTCTAGTATCGAAATACAATAACCCCTTTAAATAACCAAGAATCTCGATACGAATTACTTGCGCACAAATAACCAAATGTCTTCAGACTCGCCAGCCTTTCAATTCTACCCCCAGGCTCAATCTGCCTTCAAAATCCCCCTCCTGGCCAACGACAATGCCTACCTCGGCGACATCTTCTCTAGCGAAAGCACTTCAGACGCTCCCATTTCCTCTGGGCTGTTCCGTCTAAAGGAGGGCCAGCCTCTAACTTACACATACAAGTACGATGAGATGAAAATTTTTCTCGAAGGTGACTACACCATCACCGACACTACTGGCCAGACCACCAAGGCCAAACCCGGCGATGTTGTCTTCTTCCCTAAGGGGTCAACAATTACGTTTGAGACTGAGAATGGTGGGCTTGCTTTTTACGTTGGTCAGAGGAAGAAGAACGACTTTTAAAGAATGATAATAAGAATCACGAATGCAATGCCTCAGGCAAGGAAGGGTTGTCAGGGCAGCTTGCTCTATGAACAGACCGCTTGGTCGACCTGCTAGCTAGCCTTGTCTGTTTTATATTTATGACAAGTCTTCTGTAACTTGTTCGTATCTTTTGCTGGTGAGAATGATGGGCCTGCATTGCTTTCTCTATAAGTTTCTTTCTGTGAACCCACCGCGCTCTTGTGTAGCCGAACATATAGCACGCCAAAATATATACGAAGCAGTGGAGACTACGGGGCACCTGTGTTTAGAGGGCCAAAGTGTTATTATGGTATCGTGAAAGGAAGAAGCCCGAATATCGGAGCCCCCCGCCTAGCCAAAGAGTGATATGAGGTCTCCCTTCTTCATAACGTCAAGCCAGTGCACCGAAGCTGACGTAGTAGGCTCACTATCATAGGCGTCCCATATGGCCTTGACCAGGTTTTGGGCCACAACGATCGGCTTCGGCTGGAGTGTGCTCTCTAACACGCTTAGACGATACATGATGAAATTCCGTGCACTTCCAATGTCCACGGCGGTTTTTGAAATGGCCGGGGGTTCGCTGATTTCATCGTCGTCGCCTGCATGGATTTGTCCGACATAGTCGAGTATACCACGATCGCTGATTCGTGTCCAGGAGCGCTGTTCAGTGGACCTAGGTCGATGGATCGTATTTTCCCCAGGACTTAAGTCGGACGGGGGAGAGGGGAGGTTGTAGCGAAGGCCAGTGCTCGCGCAAATGTAGAGTAGCGGCTGCATGACACGGCTGCCCGAATCCGGTGGAATTTGCTCCAGTACCGATATGAGACGCAGAGTCAACGGGACAATCCATTTGTCCCAAGGAACATCGTCTTCTCCAACCAAGACTGACTCATGTGGAAGTCGTATGGAAACGAGATCCGGGAAGGTGACGTAGAGCAGGAGCAGCGAAGCAAGCTGGTAGGACTCGGCGATTCGTGCGAGATGGAACCATGGTGTTTTGCCATCACCAGTGTCGGTATTTACCTGAGATGTAGGGGGAGAAAAGTTAAGCTCCAGAAGCCTTTCCTCGAGCTTCTGGGCCTCCTCGATCTCATGCATTGCCGTCGAGAGACTGATGGCCCGACCGGTAGGGTTCGTGATTCTCCGGCGGTACGTACGACAGAGTCTCATGGACCGAGCGAAAAGTCGAGAGGTTGTGGACGATATTCCAGTCCAAGGGTGCAAAGTTATATCGGTGCCCGCTTCACCTAGAACCTCAGCATCGACAGCTTCTAAGGGCTGAGTCAATAGCGCAGCGTCGGCCCCTGTCCGTGGACTGTTGTCATCCACCACCGACACCAGCATCTCCCAATACACAAGACTTTTCTTGAAAAAGGATATGAGAGCTTGGTTCTCAAAGTCCGCCGTCTGGTACTGGTCAATTGTGCGCCGAAGTAAGGATCGTGCCTCCTCCAGAAAGGGTGCGCCGATGAGACCCGGATCCAGCCAGCAAATAGTGGTCCCAAGACAAAAGAGTGAGAAGAGAAGACTGGTGGGCATATAGCTAAGTCTCTGGCCCATTCTTTTGATCGAGTTGACTTCAGCCTGGATACTCGTGGCGGCCGTTTGCAGCAGTTGGCGGGCGGGTCGTTTCATGTGAGGCATTCTGGCGGACAGAAAACTGGCGGACATACTCTGCAGAGAGTGGAAAACTGTAGAAGAGGATTGCCAGAAGTCGTAGGCGAGTCTACGGTTCATGTTCACGTCTGAGTCGAATCCTGACCAGGCGGGGCAGACCATGTCGAACCAGTTGTTAATCAATTTGAGTGTGGCTTCTGGCCCAGTTACGGATGACGACGGCATTGGTGGAATACGCACCGTCAATATGTCAAACATATTGTTGGTATAATCGTGATCCAGTGTTGTTATCGTGGAAGATGTATCGGACTGATTCTGTGGGAAACATGGCTGCTCCGGCGTATTGTCCAGAATGGGTACCAGATCGTCATCTTCAGGCCAGGAGAGTAGAACGGGATCGTCGATCACACAAGTCTGGTACCCGACTTCTTCGATGACACCATTACCGTCCCCATTTTCCACGCCGTTCAGAGGCATAGGCAAGCTGCTGGGCGAGAATACGTTGTCGAAGATAAAGGGCTGCAGACTGCTGGTGCCGTCATCGCTGAGAGCCTGTGATGGCTCTCGCTCCACTGCCTCCTCAGTGGCGGCCCTGCTGCTGGTGTTGGCAGACGGCCGGACGCCGACAAAGGTGTGTTGGTGTTTATAAGACCACTTTACCCCTGATGAGTAGCCGCCGCAGGTCCATCCCTTTTGAGCACATTTTCGGCAGGTTGGTCTAGTCTCGTCGCATTTGACCTGTGCGTATTTTCGACCCGGCAAGTCAGCATAATTATACGGCTGGTGGTCATGGACTAGGCAGTAATGTAACTAACATGCTTCTGTTTGCATGTAAGGCACCCTGCGCGCGATCGATTCAGCCCCTTGGTTTTCGACCTGGGGCCGGGGTGTTTCTTGGCTTTTTCTAGTGAGGGTTGTTGATTCATGATATCCGATATCGGCTTTTGACGTCTGCAAAGTGTCTATGGGGCTAACGCTTCGTCTTAATGCCTGGCCCTAACCCACGTGGTGATTGTCCTTGACCGGTAGACTGCGCCTTGTACGTTGTAGGTATGATGGTCGACGAGAGAAGGAGAGAAGTGCGATACGCCTACGAGTATTACTCAGTAGTCGTAGGTTGGTGGGCGTAACCCCGGTATTTCGGGATCTTGGTATCTTATCAGTCCGGCCCAAGGTCCCAGATGTACTAAAGAGCTAGCGTTATCATGATGAGAGGAGGTTGACACCCCGCATTGTTACAGGCCCGTACGACAATTATTACGTAGCTTGCAATCGAGATGCATTGATTGGCACATGTCGTCAATTGCCGCGAGTACGAATACGAGCGTTATTCCGGCGGACTGGTTCAAATGCCTGGAACTGACGGCTCATTACTTAGTAAAGCCTAAAGACCGTGTTAGAGACACTTCCTGAACCCTGCAATCGACTTCACGATGATGAAACTTGAACCTTTAGCGTTGAATCATGGCAAGGCGTATGGAGTGCTGTCGTTTGAAACCCCATTGTGTCTGGTGTACGAGTTGCGTAACACAGCTAAGCCAATGGGAGAATTGCGACATGTGGAGTCAGTTCCCATGGAGTCAATAAACCTCCTCACTTCTAGCAGTATCGAACAACATTCGCTTCATCTCGGCAGAACGTTACGGCTTGGAACAGACTTCTAGGTGATACATCGAGGACAGCTCATTGTGGTGTCGTTCTCATCTTCCTTTACCATGGCTGCGTACAAGAAGAACCAAGAGGAGATAGCCAAAGCTGCCAAGCTGGCTCATGTTCCCGGGGGCGAGGATTATGAGAAGATGATATCCGGCATGCTGTGAGAGAACATGCACCCGACCAATCACCGTGTGCGCTCTCTGTTGCTCACCGACATCTTCAACCCGCAGGTACGATGCTTTTGTGCCTGAGCTGGAGGTCGCTCGACTCCGGGCTAGAAAGTGGGCGATGAAGTACAATACGACGTTTCCCGACGCGGATACATTCGACGGCGTAGCCAAAGTCCGGCTGTCGATGCTTCAAGAAATCATTGGGCATATTGACGATGAAGAAGCGTTTATCGAACCGCCCTTCTCCATCGACTATGGCTGCAACATCAGTCTTGGCAAGCGATTTTATGCCAACTTCAACCTCACCATTCTCGACTGCGCCATCGTAACTATAGGCGACCGTGCTGTATTTGGACCTAACGTGTCCCTCCTGGCCGCCACTCACGAGACCGAGGTGGCTAGCCGACGCCAGGGTGTTGAGTACGCGAAGCCCATCACTATTGGAAACGACTGCTGGCTCGGTGGCCATGTTGTTATCCTCCCTGGCGTCACTATAGGGGACGGATGTACCATCGCGGCTAGCTCTGTTGTAACCAAGGACATCCCCTCTTGGAGTGTGGCCATGGGCGCGCCGGCGCGCGTGGTGAAGAAGGTGCAAGCCCTCAAATGAAACGAGAACAAGAGCGGGTGAATATTATGAAAAGGTTCTTGAATCAATACGAATGTCGTGCGCATTAGAGATGAATCTCGTGTTATCTGCATGGCTCTCAGAATCGACTGTGTTTCTGTGGCTCCTGGTTACCAAGTGTGCGACATTAAACATGTATAGATCATCATTACTAGTTTTGGCGGTAAATGTGAACGAACACATTGTCCAGTCTCAGCTCTCTATAAGCGACTGGCCCACGAGACATGCCCCTTTCCGTTTTCGTACTGCCCAGATACAACCTTTATGGTTTTCCCCGACTCCCGCCATATAGTAAACCATATGGTAAACGATATCCCGGTGCATAAGATCATGTGCTCGACAGCGTCCACGATGCCATCACCAATGGAGCGGCACCATAACCTACGGGTACCCCGCAGAGTAAACAACAATCAACATTCTTGGAAGAATAAGAATGGGTATGCCGTACGCTTTACAGGCTTAGTCAAGAGTGAACCTTGCAGCCGAATACCGACACCCGAAGACGGAAGTTTGGGATCTGGGCTGTAAGACAATCACATCACCGTCCGCCCAGATGACGTGGACCCAGCGCCATACCTCCATACGCCAAGCGGTCGTCACCCCAGACCTAATGATGCACCCCTTATTGCATTTTTCCATCACAAGTCAAGGGACAACTTACGCCTCCGGTCAAACCCCCACAATTAAACAAGATGTTTTCGAGCAGATTACTAGAGAGGCTTCCCTATATATAGCCCTTGATGGAACATATTTCATCGCCGTAAGAGAAGGAGAGAGGAACATACCACCCTAGTCATAAACGTGCCGACTTTTGGACGTCCCATTACTATACAAAATGGCTGCAATCTTCGCGCTGGGCTCTCTGGTTCTATTTGGCTACGAACAGTATGTTGAGGCAGCATCGATTTCAAAGGGATCAACGTCTTTCGCAATAGACATCCCTGTAACCTCTGCCAAACAGGTTTCAGAAAGCGTGGATCCAGATTTCATCGGACTTGCTTTTGAACAATCTTCATGGGTCCGCTATGCCCTTGACGATTACGGTAGTGTCAATCAGTTCTCCCAAAATCTCATTGCGGCCATCTATAACCGTACGGGAGGAACACCCATCATCCGCATAGGCGGCACATCCCCAGACTATGGCCATTACCTCCCTGGACAGGAGCAGCCGGCCCTCCCCATCGCTGAGCAGGACAACTACCAAGATATTGGAGGTACAACTATCGGACCTGCCTTCTGGGACATCACCCGACAATTCCCTGGAGCAAAGTACATGGTCCAAGTCCCTCTAGCTACCACCAATGTGAGCGAGACTATTGCCTGGGCTAAATCAGCGGTAGAGGGAATCGGTCTGGATAAGATACACTCTATCCAGCTTGGAAACGAACCTGACCTTTACTCTGACACTTTCCACGGCGCTCGTGACGAATATCTTGGCCCCCCGGACTTCCAAGGAACGTTGGGCAATGAGACCTACGTCGGCAACTACACCAAATATGCCGCTGCCATCAGGGAGGCAATTGACCTGCCAGATAAGTTCTTCACGGCTTTCGATGTGGCTTCTCATGTCGATGACCAATCGGTCGCAGTGTGGCTGTTGCACCCAAAGCGGTGCTTTGAGCTAGGCATTGACAAGGAAAACATCATCAAAGAGGTTTCCCATCACTACTATCAGAATCATGCCGGCGGTGCCGAAGACTTGGAAACAGGCCTTATGGATGTCAGCGTCACCCACAAGAACCTCGACTACCTGCAGTCTCGCATCAACTGGCTCAGAGAAAATCGACCGGACCTCCCTTTCATTATCAACGAGATTGGCAACTCTCTTCAAGTGACCAACTCGTACTCATACCAGGCTCGCCTTGGAAGTGCTTTGTGGGCCGTTGACTTTGTCCTCTATAGCCTCAGTATCGGGGTTAGGCGCTTCAATTTCCAGCAGATTATGCATTCAGGGTTCGACTTGTGGCTTCCTGTTACTAGTTCAGGATTAGATCCCCAAGTTTTTGCGACATTTTATGCCCAGCCCTTCCTGGGGGACTTCATTAGCAATTCGGGAAAAACGACTGTGTCCAAAGTCACTATCAATGGGGGAGATGCAAACCCGAACTTGGTGGCATATGTTGCATATAATGATAACCAGCCGCAGAGATTGGCAGTCATCAATCTTGACTACTGGAACCGAACATCGTCGGGTATTGAGCGTCCCGTGACTGAGGTCACCTTCACCGTCAGTGAAGCAGCTGATACTGTCCATGTCGACAGGCTAAGCAGCCCGGATGGAGCCGGGGCTGACGCATCGACCATCGCATATGCAGGGAGCCAGTGGACATATGAAAGCTTAGGCAAGGAAGTCAAAGGTGTCAGGGACGACAGCGACGAGGTTCAAGGAGAGGATGGGACATTCACTGTCAAAGTTCCAAGCAGCGAGGCTGTGATCATCAACTTGCAGTAGCTGTCTTATGCTTCGCACTCTAGATATTTGCATTTGCCTTATTTGCAGTACTTTAGTATGATCGTATTTGGGGGGTAATAGAATCTTAGAATACCTTTGATTTAACATGAACACGACGAAGTAGTTCATCTTACTTTGGCTGATGGCGTCTTGTTCCTTAAAAGGTGCCTGTAATGGCTCAAAGTCTGTGGTAAGCAAGCTAAGATACTACATGGTCATTTGGCTCAGATTAGCCATTTGGTAACTTTGACTTTTATATTTACTTGACAGGGTGATCCAGGAGTTGTTCTGGCATGAAAAGGTAGAATTACAGCATGTGTTGTTTCTATCAGACGATCAATATTCCTCCCAGTTGTACGTAAAAGCTATCCGCGCAGCCTACACATATATACGGGAAAAATATCGTATCCTGCAAGACTTTCAATGGAGCATCAATGTTGTTGCTGTTATCTATCTAATCGTATCTCAGGGTAACTATCCGTAACGTATATTATTGAATATATATATATATAAACCAGTCATGTAGGGGTATGTATGAGAGGGAGAAAGCCAAACCAAACCAAGTGATCTAAGGTAGACAGTGTTGAGCGTTTACATCATGAAAACATAACATGCAGCGGCCTCACGAATTAGTGGACTTCGCTTGCACAACCAGGAGATCCGCTTTGATACCTGAACTGATGAGGAGGCCAGCATCGTACCCAATGCAACCCACCAACTCGTCGGAGATTTCAAGAGGTGCTTTTCCAACGCCTAGAGAGAGCTTTCCGGCAGAACCGTGGCGCCCAACAACCACAAGGTTGTCCCAAGAAACGTCACTGGAGTCTTGACCGAGCGATCCTATTGCCGATGTCACGAGTTCCTCACCGGCATCGTTGCTGGGTGCAAAAATAAACTCCACCCGGGATGCGACGTCCGGCGAAAGACTTCCAATAACGCTGTTGAGGTATTCCCGTTCTTCAGTGGCAGATATCGCATTGTCGGCCATGATGTGCAAAATCCTGGCCGACACTTCCTCTCTCTCGCAAAATTGAAGTGCCAGCATTAGCGCCAGCCTATCATCACTACCTCCGAAGAAGGGCACGACAATACGTCGCGCCTTATCCTTTACAGGTAAGGGATTGACGTCATGGTGTATGTCGCTGAAAGAATAGGCTCGGTGCAACTTAAGTCTGTCGGCGGTCCGCGATGTATCCTGTGTTTCGCGGGACTGGGGAAGAAGAATCGCAATATTCTGCTCTGTTGAGGAAAGGACCGAGTTTGTGAAAGATATGTAGGAAGATACTATCTTGTCATCGGAAAAGGGTGCCTGCGAGTCGCCCAAATGCCCGGTGCCACTCCAGGGGAGAAGTAGCAAGTCCGATGAAATATCGGAGGACTTGGTGAGCAAAGCCTCGGAAAAACGGCTCTCTAGCATGGTAGCCACTTCGCCCGAAACAGACACCTTGAGTATTTGTCCCACCATGCGCCACATGTTCACAATGGGGTCATTCTTAGTATACTGCTCGACTTCAGACACAGTCATGACCGAAGAGTCACGATCTCCGAGCTGCAGCAATCTCAGGCCATGGGCCCGGACATGCCTTTTGGGTGGCGTAGCTTGTGCCATGCCCTCCTTGCCGACATGCATCGCAGGCGAAGAATTCTGGATATCTTGTCCAAAAAGTGCCACGATGCCCAGCAGTCCGGGCATGCTGTCAAGTCTGAGATAGACGAGGAGCTGGCCAACGCGATTGTGTGGAGCGGACTCTTTCGGGGTGGCAGAGTCGGCACCATTGGGCTCCCCGCTGTCCCAGTCAATCTCCCCGCGCTTCCAAGCTTCCAGCTTCTTCTGGTACCACGGTGGATACAAAAAGGTTGTCAATGGCGTGGTTGTAAAGGTTGTGACCAAAGCCATGACAACGAAAATAGTGAATGTTCTCTGGCTTAGAATCTTGGCTTGAAGTCCGATATTCTTCATAAAGAGGTTAGAGTCTTGAACTGTCCCATGATGGAATATATTACTTACAAGGACAATGAGTTCCACGAGACCCTTGCAACTCATGAGCGCCCCGATCGTGAAGGATTCTCGCCAAACAATGCCGCTAAGTCGGGCGGCCAGAGTAGCACCAATGATTTTACTGAAGAATGCGGTGAGGGTGACGGCAACGATATACGCCCAGGTTATGCCGTTGTCAAGAAGACCCAGGTTAGTATTGAGGCCGGAAAGTGTGAAGTACAAAGGCAGAAATAAGGCGCCAATGAGATCTTCAAGTTTTTCCGTCACCTTTATCGCGAAACTCATATCTCGGGGTACAATGAGACCAGCCATGAAGCCGCCAAAGATGGGATGGACACCAAGAATGCCAGTAAAGAAAGCAGACGCAATGGCGATGAGAAGAATCAAGGAGATGATCACCTGCGATGGGCCATTTTTGAGGTTGCCGGTGCGATCGAGCAGCCAGTAGAGTACAGGCTTGACAGCATAGATCAGGAAGAGAAGGTAACCGAAGCAAGTCAGTAGAATCCACAGAGCCGATAACCCATCGCCAGAATTGGCCAATGTTACGCAGAGAGCGAGAAGAATCCAGCCTGTCTGCAGTCAGAATTGAGTTTCGGCGGCATATAAGCTGGGCTACACTTACCAATGACGTCGTTTGCAACCCCTGCTGAGAGTGTGACAATACCAGCCGTGGTGCCGAGGAGATTGAGTTCAGTCAGAATTCTGCACAGTACAGGAAAGGCCTAAAGGATCGGCAAGATTAGTGCGTATGACCACAACTGAGAGACCCAAGGGAACATACCGTGATGGCTATGGCAACGCCGATGAAGAGCATGTATGTGGTGAACTCAATGTCGACGATACCGGCGTCGGTGCGAAACTCGTTGTAGAGACCCCAGGCTAGAGCACAGCCAAGTGCAAAGGGAAGAGCGAGACCAGCGAAAGCTACGGCCGAGGCGATGCGCCAATTTTCAACAAGAAACCGGACATCAGTCTCAAGACCAATCATGAACAAATAGAGTACAAGACCCAGATTGGCGACGAGGGTCAGGCCAGGTATAGATTCAGAGGGGAAAATAGCATCAGTAAAGCCGGGGATGCGGCCCATTACAGAGGGACCCAGTATGATGCCACCAATAACCTCTGCTATGACACGAGGCTGACGAATCTTGGACAGCGGCCAGTGCAAAAGGTGGCATAGAATGATGATGAAAGAGGCCTATTTGATGATTGATAGCTGGTCAGTACACGCATGGCCCGTGCCCAAACCGTTGTTGTTGTTGTCGCGTACCTGGATGATGAAGAGGATGATGGGGTCTTTGGGATTGTACTCGGTCGGATTGGCACCCTCAATGATGCCACCCTGAGACTCCACGCGCCCCTCATCAGCTCTCGCCGTCAGGTTTACGAGAGTAGACATGTTGATATCAACAGAAGTTGGGGCGAGAATAGTGTAGCCGTAGTGCCTTCCACGGTCGTATAGCCGCGGGCTCACGATGGCAAAACACTGAACGCGCCGAGGCAATTGGGATTGCTAATGGTAGAAATGGCGGAGTGGGATGTGACACATGTGGGGTGAGGCCTCCTCATTCGAGAACAGGGAGAGATAATGTATTTAACGTTTTATTTAACCTAACAGGGATCAGGTCAGGCGGACAGTGGCGTGCCTAAGCTCCACAAAATAAGACGAAGCAAAAATGAAGATGGGAAGAGTATTATATGTTCCATATGGTGCATTCGTTTCCACGTGAACGACGTAAACCCCATTCATCTCACCGTCCTGATACTTGGCATGCCAGTATGCGAGGCGGGGTATTGTCAGGTGCGCACGTCACAATCCGACAGTTGTCAAACTTGGTTTGATATCATGGAAACTAATGTGCGTTTTATGTATGGCCGCAGCCATTTCTTGGAAAAAGACTGCAGGCTCTAGTTACATACATGTACGTATCCACCGAGCGCCGCCATCACGATTTTTGTTTGCCATCGAAATGATCTAAAAGTAATTCACCACTTCGTTGAACAGTTGTACTTCTTGGTCCCATAATCCCTAGATGATATAAATCACCGCGTTAGCACTCACATCTATCATCAAATGAGAGCAGCCCAAAAAAAAAAAAAAGGGGTATGAGACCTCCAATAGAACTTACCCAGTCGAAGAAATTCTCACCTTGGTCACCTTCTAGTAGCTCGCACAGTTGAGCCTGTGACGTTGGATTATCATTGTTTGGTCCTTCGGGGCCCACCAGTCTGTCACAAGGGACCTCCTGTCCAGTGTCTGGATTGGCAGCACCGCCTGTGTTGCATATCTGTCGTAGCATTGTGGAGAGGGCATCGGTTGCTCTGTCCATCTCCGGTGAGAGTTTTGGGCCGAACTTCCAACGATTGTGAAGGCTTTCGAGTGACTGGAGAAGCGTATGAGAAGGTATGGCGCTTTCCAAAATGGTCTCCGTCTTACGGTAGGTTAATTCGAGGCACACGACCATCGCCGCTGTCAAACCGTCGGAAACGGAACGGGGAGCCCCAAACCAAACATAACGACGCAAGTGGTGCCCGTGTATCATGAAATCAAGCAGCTGGTATTCTAGTTCTAGGATTCTGTGCGCCGAAGCCACGCAAGTCTCCCTCAGCAACTGTGTGTGGACCTCCAACGTGTCTCTCACGAGGAAAGGTCTGTGGAGGATGCACCTTGTCCGGTGATAACTCATGGCCAAGCTGAATCGCCATAGAGTTGATTGTTCCTCCGTGATTGGAGGTCCAACAGGTGGAAGGTGGAGATCTTCTGGGATACTCTTCCTGGCGGCATCCAATTCCGCGTTGAGTTTAACGGTTCTTTCAAAAAGAGACTCTGTTTCGGGGGAGATATCTGTGATGTCGCTGGATATTGACAGTATTGACTGTAAACTACTGAGATATGTTATTCGAACACAGCCCTTGTCACTCGGCCTGGAGGGTGGCATAGAGGCAGTGAGCGGCCCAAAATCTTGGTCAAGGATGCTGAGGGGGGGCTTTGCGTTCCCAAGCCGCCTCGGTGTAACTCGCGGGAGCCCGGTGTGAATAGATATGGCAGAGTCGAGTATCAACAGGTCAAGCCATACCCTTCGACGCATTTCAGCTTCAAATGGGGTCATATCAGTGGGGGACTGTGGCTCGTGGTGATAGCCAGAAACAATAGCTAGTCGTGAGACAAGTCCGGCCAGAACCCCGACATTTGCCTTCATGGTGTCGGCGCGAAGGTATTCGATTGCCATATACATCACTGCTGCCTCAACCTTGTAGCGCCCAGGTACAGTGATGTCAGACTTGGCCAACAAAGCTGCGGCGTGGGTTCGGTAGATATGAAATGTACTCGGCAGGTTGGTGCCAATTGAGTTGGAGTCGGATCGGTGCTCTATCCAAACACTGCAGCACATTATCCCGTATAGAAGGGATAGCCACGCAACAGGGAAGGTATCTGGAAACCTCCAAAACTCCAAACACTGGAACAGTCATGTTAGAAATCACCCGCGCTTGCAGCAAACGCACTTGTCGAACTTTATATTATCAAATGTACATACCTCCTGTTTGAATGTGGGAGCGTGCACACAGACTATGCACCAAAGATGTTAGTGATTGATATTGTGGTTTGCAACTAAGAGACGCCCTACATACTCATAAATGGTTCACCAGCTTCGACAAAAGCCAATATAACTTCAGCCACAACTTTTTGGGGTGGAAGCGCCTGGAGGTGCTCTGAAAGGTCGCATTGGTCCAAAAGAGGTGCAAACAAAGCAGGTCCTTTCCAATTCCTTACTTTGTCGTACGAGGCCTGCAACTTGTCGCTCTTTGATGAAGCCCCTAGCTCCCTGGTCTAAGAATAAGTTGGAACAATCTCAACAAGGTGGGGGAGTAGCATCTCGGCCAGAAACGCCAACATGTAGTCAACTTACTGCATCGGACATTATGGTCCTCCAATGGTTCTTGTTTTTGAAAAATTGGCTACTGTCATCTGGCCATAGTAAATTTGAACCCACAGGTCTCAACTGTAAAGCTGGTTGAAGCTCCTGGCTTGAGTCGCTGTTTGGTATATGGGTCTGCGGAGTTGGCTGGGAACCACCGTGTCCACGAGCATGATTGGCATCACGCGATGAGATAATCTTCTCGAGGTTTTTGAGCCGTTCATCAATAGACGCAAATCGTTCCTCTACTTCTGAGGTGCCTGTGGAATTCTCGGTGATGGAGTGCCTGTTGCCATACGTGCAAAATTCCTTTCGATTTTTCTTAACGCAATTCGTGCACGGTTCTTGCCGGTCACATTTCAATCTCCAGCATTCAGTTAGCGAGGGTGGCCAGCCTCAAGGCGTGGAGACGAAATTGGCGACATACTTATGTTTCCTGCAGGCACTGCAGGAGAACAAAACACGGGGCTTCTTATTTCTCCGTCTACTGCTATTCCCTTGCCCTGGCAGCGGCTCTGGATTGTCGATTGGCGAAGAACACATCACTGCACCCCTGAACTTTTTGATTGTTTGAGAAATGGCAGATGCTCGTTTGTTCAGGCAACAAATAGGCAATAATGCCAGCTGTTAGTGCCGGGCACCGTGTCGGATTTGTCGCAGATGTCGGATATCTATCTGATTTGTCAGACACTCAAACATCAGAGATCTCGGCGCACTCTTTACAGCACACGCGACACAAAGCCCCACCCTACAGATCCCAACAAACAAGATCGAAACGACATATTCAGGTATCGAAAGATACCCCAACAGTTAAAGCTTTTATATCGATATGCCTTTCTCTTATATGGCCTGTTCTGTTTATAATGGGATCTACGTGTTTAATCATTTCCTAGCAAATACTAATAAAACTTACTCTACTTGTAAACCACGTTTATATTTCATGAGGTATAACATGTATTTATCAGTAACCGTGATAGATGGACAAAAATGTTTCTAGATCAGTCAGTTCTAAGTTATATATAAGACTCAACCCTTATAGCAGGCTCGAGTGACAGCAGAAACTTGATTTCCGGGACTTTATAATCAATATAATTGATTACGCTCTCGCTACCTTCGGAAATTCACTTCGTACTTAAACTTCATCAGTCATCGGGCTTGTCGGGCTTGTCGGACATGTTGGTTTTTATATAAGACGGCATTGACTGACTTCTCTATATACTGGTCTGAAGAAAGATACAGACACTAAATCCAGCAACATGGCCTTGAACAATACGGAACAACACATTTCTTCTAGCGACGGCGGTGATTCCACGCCTGTTGAAAATGCCAACCGAGAGAAGGATGCAGAGAGTGCGATGCCACATCGACAGCCCTTCCCAGAAATGGATCTGAGAAACGGGATAGTTGGCTGGGATGGGCAAGATGACCCCGAAAACCCTCGAAACTTCTCTAGCAGGAAAAGATGGACATTGCTTTCAATAATAAGTGGAATGACCTTTGTCACGCCTTTTGCCTCCAGCATGTTATCACCCGCTGTTACCTTTGTGTCTGCTGAGTTTGGTATCACCAACCAGACATTGCTGTCATTGAGTGTCAGCATTTATTTACTGGGATATTCAGTATGTCAGCGATTTAATCCTTTACAAATTGTGGCATAGACTCCTGGTGAATTGTGCTGACTTCTTTTCGATTCAGTTTGGACCTCTGCTTCTCGCCCCGATGAGCGAGATATACGGTCGACGAATTGTCCTAAGTCTGTCCAATTGGTTCTTCGTCATTTGGCAGATTGGATGCGCGCTCTCTCCAAACATAACATCCCTGATAATCTTCCGCTTTCTTGGTGGCATGGGAGGATCTGGTTGTCTGACCCTGGGTGCTGGGTTGATTGCCGACCTCTTCCCTATTGAAAGACGTGGCTTAGCGGCATCTTTCTGGAGTTTGGGACTATTGGTTGGTCCAGTTCTGGGCCCGGTTTGTGGAGGCTTCATTTCCGAAACCATCGGTTGGCGCTGGATCTTTTGGACTCTACTCATTGTTGGAACGTCGATGTCCGCACTTATAGACCTCTTGAACGAGGAGACTTATGCCATCGTTATCATCCAACGGAAGAAGAAGCGATTAGCAGCAGAGCTTGGGCGAACAGATCTACGCAACGCCTACAAACACGATGGAAAGGAGGAATCTGTCTTGGCAACACTCAAGATAGATTCTGTTCGCCCTGTCATGCTATTCTGCACATCGCCCATTGTATTCCTTCTTTCCATGTACTTGGCCGTTGAATACGGGTTATTATACCTATTCTTCACAACGATTCCAATTGTTTTTCCGGGAAAGTATGGTTTTTCTCCCGGAATTTCGGGATTGACCTATCTTGGAATCGGTCTCGGATTTCTTCTGGGATTAAGCCTCAACGCATATACCAGCGATCGAATGATGATGGAATCGGTCAGACGCAATAATGGAAAATTCGAGCCAGAAATGAGGCTTCCATTTCTTGTGTTCTATTCTACATTCTGCACAATCGGCTTCTTCTGGTATGGCTGGACCGTGGACAAGGGGATTCACTGGATTGTCCCAATCATTGGTATGGTTCCCTTTGGTTTTGGACTAATGGGTCTATGGCTCTGCATTCAAACATATGTTATCGACTCCTACCACAAATATGCAGCTTCTGCAAACGCTGCCATCACTGCATCCCGATCGCTACTCGGTGCTACTCTTCCTTTAGCCGGGCCGAAACTCTTCGAGACCCTGGGCCTGGGATGGGGCAACTCCCTGCTTGGATTCATATCTTTGGCATTCGTGCCTGTTCCGGTAATATTTCTGAGGTACGGGAAGAGGATTAGAGAGAAATATGATGTACAATTCTAACCTTCATGTGGTGATATGTACGAATACAAGTGATTCGGAATGCTGGCAAAAATATCACTTTTCGACGACAACAAGGTGTGGGGTATCGTGGGGTATCGCGGGGTGCAGGTAGACATTAGAAGATAGGTTTGATTCTATGGTCAAAATGGAGAGAATGCTTTAGATATACTCGATTAAGAAGTTTTTAACACATGACCACATCTTACCTCACTGATGGATGACGCTGCTAATTGTACATGTCAACTGACTTCAAAGCTGCGCCTCGAAATAGACATTTATCAAGTGGAGGGGGGGAAAATGGAAATGGTTTGGTCATGTATAAAAGGGTGGGTTAGGGGGGGGGGGGGGGGGGGGGGGGGGGGGGGGAGGCAGGTTCGGATCGATATCCGGCAGCGCTATCGGTATCCCTGCTCGCTCGGTACTAATACTTGTCCGTTTGCCGATACGTTGCTCAGTCGGCATACAAAACTGATTCGCTGTTGTTCCCCATACTATGGATATGAGTACATAGCCTGCTTTGGTTTTCGCAAAGGAAAATTGCCTCAAAAACCTGCCTTTATATCGACTTTACGTATTAATCTCATCCCACCCCCCCCCGAGGGCTCGTGGAGATCCACCGAGCGGTGACCAAACATGATATCCTCACTCGGGCGCTGCGGGAACCCATTATCTTTATCTTTCGGCTTGTTGCATACTTCTATGCCCGAACCAAATCTTATCATAGCTAGTGGGGAAACTGATTAGAGGATTGCACAACACCGCTGCGAAAGAAAGCCATTAGATAATAATGGGATTATCGCCAAGACGCCATGCGACGATAAGCACTCAGACTTTAGCCCGCTGTCGGTTTAAGCCCCAGATTGTCTATATGATGGTTGATATGGTATAGAAATTTTTGGTATTATGTGGACATGTCCGTAAAAAGAAGAAGCGGTCACCAAGACTGGGTGAATCTATAAATACCAGAGGATGCTCGCACTTCAACGAACTGTAATTGATAACTCAAGATAGGATTATTTCTCAGACAATCAGCCATGGCCCTCAACGCCATCTTCACTTCTAGCGCTTTGTTCGCGGCTGCGGTGTCGGCCATTCCCGCACCGATCCCGCTTCCCTTGGTTTCTCGAGATGACCAGAGTTTCAACGCCAGCCTCCCCAATATCACCATATTTGCAACTGGAGGAACCATTGCCGGAAGTGCCGCGTCTAGCGACCAGACTACCGGCTATAAAGCTGGTGCATTGAGCATCGAGACCCTTATCGAGGCTGTCCCTGAGATCCGTAACATTTCCAACCCTAGTGGAATCCAGATTGCCAATGTTGCGTCCCCTAGTGTGACGGACAGCATTCTAATGAATCTGACCCATCATGTTCAGGCCGCCATGGACGACCCTTACTGCTCGGGTGTGGTTGTTACCCACGGCACGGACACTCTGGAAGAGACCGCTTTCATGCTTGATTTGACGGTGAAAACCAACAAGCCGCTCGTCATTGTTGGTGCTATGCGCCCAGCTACAGCTATTAGCGCTGATGGGCCCATCAACCTCCTGGAAGCTGTTACTGTCGCCGCCGACCCAGCTGCTCGCGACCGCGGAACTATGATTCTCCTCAGTGATCGCATTTCAAGTGCTTTCTACACCACCAAATCCAACGCCAATTCTCTCGATACTTTCCGGGCTCTTGAGCAAGGATACCTCGGAGTCCTCATCAACATCAAGCCGCTGTGGTATACTACTCCTAGCCTTCCACTTCACCGGCCTTACTTCAATGTTACCGAAAAACATGACCTGCCTAAGGTAGAAATCTTGTACGGCTACCAGGATGTTGACCCTACCATCCCCAAGGCCGTAGTGGAAAACGGTGCTGTTGGACTTGTTCTTGCCGGCATGGGCTCGGGCGGTTGGACCGATGATGGTAATGCGGAGCTGGAGAAGCTGTTCAATGCTACCGGCATACCCATCGTTTATTCTAGGCGACCAATGGACGGCTTTGTCGAGCCTACTGGAACGTTTGGAATTGGTGGCGGCTTTCTCAACCCTCAAAAGGCACGCATTATGCTCCAACTGGCCCTAAGCACTGGTTATAAGGGCAAGTCGTTACGAGGCCTCTTTGAGTACATCTGACGACCTTAACGATTTATGCAGACAAATTAGACCTTACACGCAAGATATATACTCCTATAATTGTAATATAGGATGTCTCTAGAATATATAAAGTAATTGATATAAAGGATTTTACTACTGTTACGACCCGTTATGTGTGACGTTAGGGTCAACTCTAACATCCTGACATCCTGACATCCTGACATCCTGGATCCGCGCATTTTGATATCAGAATGGTTTTTTTCCTATATAAACTCTAATATTGTTACGGCCCGTTATGCGACCGTCACGTGCACCTCACATTTTTTCTTTTCCTTACTCATTAATACCTGACATCCTAGATCCGCGCATTTTGATATCAAAATGGTTTTTTTCCCATACAAACTCTCGACCCACATATCCAGATAGGGGGATTAAAATGGCTACATTAAAATAATCCGCAACTTATAAGAAAAATGCGTAAAAACTTCAAGATATATTAATTACGGTAAAAAAATAAGTATTTCTATATTTTTAAGCCATATATCTATAAAATAAAGCTAGAATTAGCTATTAAAGTTGCTAGCGCTAAGAAATGGCAATCGTGACAACCAATAAGACAATAGGTYATTAAGYAAGGGTAATAGGATACGTACCTTACACTAAAAAAAAGTAGGTACGTATTAGTTTTTTAATATTAAAATAGTACGTACCGGCCATTTTAACATTAAAATAGTACGTACTAGC